AGTGGAATAGGGAATGACTTTGCTTAAAAAGTTTGGAGTAAAAAAGGGCAAAAGCTTCAGGCAAATTTTATTTCAATCACAAAAAGAATAAATATTATTGGTGCCATTGGATAAGGATTGTTTCTGTTTTAGTGTGTAAATGAACAAGTATGCAAAAAGAATTCGCTAATGCTCATAAAGAATTACGAAGGAATGAAATCAAGTAAATTCTACTGATACCCTTTATATCTGAGATAATTTCAATTTTTTTTTAATTCTTCAAAACATATACGTTTATTTGTTATGTTATTTTATAAGTAAATATTTCATTAGATTATCTTGTTCAAACAACAGTTTGGTAGCAGAAATCAATTTTTTAGGAATATCAATACAACTAAAAATGAAATAATATGCAATAAATTTCCAATCCTTTCACTTAACTATTATTCAAAAGAAGCAAATTTATCCTATTCTTCAATCTTTTGTCATTGTTAATTTTTATATCCACATAATATTTAAGAATAGATATTAATTAATCGACAAACTTTTTAACTTATGTTATTTTGACTTTGATGATCATATTATATTTTACAAAGTTATTAGAGTTTATTTGTTTTAAATATTGTAAGCAATCATCCAAATATATAAATAAACTACATTCAAATTAAAAAGACACTCTCTGTGATTATCATAAATCTTAAAATTTATAATTGAAGATCATACCTGTTTAAAATTGAGTATTTCAATTCTCTCTTTGAATCTGCATTTGTTTATTTGAAATGATTTTGCTTTTTTTCACCACATTCCATTCACAAATCGAATATATTTATGGAGAATAATTTTATAGTTTGTTAATAATAATATGATTAGTCACTCTAGTAATATCAATATATAACAGTCATTCACTTTTATTCATGACTACAACTCTACTTTAAATTTCTGAATTCCCCAATTCTTAAATTTAGTTTTTTAACAACATTATCTGTTAGTATATTTGTTTTACTTTTTTTTTCTTAGTTATTGCTTTTCATTTAAGAGAGTGATTTTTTATCTTAAATTGACTTTTTTTTGATCTTTTAAAAAATCTACCTAAATTATCTAAAATGAGAGGTGTTGAAAGATTGAATGATTCTTGTAGAATGAATAAAAAATTACTAAAGATCTTCTTATGTCAATATTGATACACAAGTCTTATAACTAACTTTTAAACAGTTAAGGAGAATGGTTCAATACATTATTCATCCACGTTTTATCTGGGTGATGTTCTTCATCAAATCCTCAAGGTTATCCCACATCTATAGATAATAAACTACTAGCTAGCATTTGTGTATTGGCCTTTTCTATTATTGCCCAAGTTTTACACATTAAAGTTTTATCCTAAAACCTCTATTTGTCATGATTTTAAATAGATAATCTTTGGTTATGGGGAGCATTATCTTTTGGGAAGGTAGAATCCCTTCAATATGATGCCGTTGTTAGCTAAATCAATTGATCCAATGACTGCATCAGACTCTTATAAAGTTATTGACATGGAGGTTAGGAAATTAATTGTATATTTAATTTGAATTCCATTTTTTTTTTGAAATCAATATTTATTTTGTGAATTCAGAATTAAAGATTTGAATATTAGATTGTTAACAGAAAAACAATTACATAATATTCTAATTTCACGATTTTGAAGAGAATTTATTTTTTGAATTTTTATATATTCTAACAGACAATTTTTAAACAGACTTTTAGTTTAAATGAATGTTGAGTAAATCGAAAGTGATTTTGACTTAGAATTCTTTAGGTTTTCACCTCAATAAATTGTTGTGGTCATTTCCTAGATTATACTTTGGATTAAATTACATACAAATTGAGATTAACTTAAGGAGCAGTATTTAATCATTTTCTGTCACACGATCAAGCAATATAATTCTGTTCCTCAATAATATAATAATATCACTCAGAGTATCCAACAAAATTGAATTAAAAAAAAACAATGCCTTTCAAAAACTAATTACAAACCACCTATTCTATGAAGTAGATTACCTCAAAACTGCAATAAAAATAAATTTCAATCATTACTCAAGCAGCTGTAACTGGATTGCCTGAAAGTAGGCTGAGATAAATTCATTAGGGATTGAGTTAGGAGAATTATAGATATATAGATTATATATTTTAGGTTGATGAATCACATCATGTTTGGATAAAATAATACTAGAATTAATAAACACAAATATTTGAAGTATTTTCAATTAATCAGGAATACATTTGAAAGTAGGTCTTTAAATTAATTGTGAAATCTCAAGGTTTTAAGCATAAGGTTGCATCGAATTACTAATTATAGAGCAACTACTAGTGTTAACAAAAGCAAGTAGTATTTGTACGTTCTAACAATTTTGATCATATTAAGGAAGAAAGATAGGGCTTGGCAAAGATTTTATAGCATATAGAGTCTCGAGTAACAACAGGTACACTTTATATTGATCAAGCAGAGGAAATAACGAGAATCAATATCATTGGAGACTTACTAGTGTTTTAAGCTGAATAAGTCAAAATTTGTTGACAAAGTTGATTCATATTTGCAACAAAAAATATGGGTTAAGGAATTATGTATTGTTATGAATAATGCTTCTATTCATAAGGAAAGTACTTTAACAAGAGTTGTTTAGAAATACTTAAATAATTTGTATTTGCCACCATATTCACCACAGTTGATTCCAATTCAACAAGTATGGTGTGAGATGAAAAATATGTTATCTAAATAGGAGTGTAAAACAAGTTTGAAAATAAATTAAGAGATTCGTCAATGTTTTAGCTAAATTAGAGAGGAGGATTTAGATAAATTTATGAGAGTGATAGTATTAACTTAAAAATGATTATTCAAATCCATATATGAAAAGAATTTTGTGAATTTAAATAAATCGAATTTAATTATCTAGTCTAAAATACAGCAATACAAGTATCTAGAAAAATCTCCATTTTACTACATTTTCTCTAAATTTTTCGGTCCATCCCAAATTAAAAATATTAAAATGCCAGGACAAAATTTGTATATGTATACATTGTAAACTTTTAAACTGCTTTGCAAATTCCAAAAAAAATTTACCAACCTAAGTATTTAATTACATATGACAAAGTATCCAAACTATTGCAGCACTATCCCTAAAAAAGGTAGAGTGATAGAAATTTAAATCACAGAAAATATCAATAAACAACAATTTGTTTTATCACCTATCAATTGGATAGACTATTTGTTACCAGATAGTTTTCCAATATTATTTAAATTATATAATAAAACCTGTATTGAGCTCCAATGCACATCATCTTATAAAACAGATACTATAATATCATAACCTTTAGGAGCTGGTAAATACTTACTAAGACAAGAAGACATACAAAAAACAAACAAGAAGAGAGCTATCTAAAACCAATTTAGAGGCCTGTGAAACAAATTAAATTTATAGGATTATATGTGTGTGTTAATAATAATAATTATGAGGAAAATTTGAAAATTAATAAATCTTATATTTAAGGATATTTTATTAAGGGTGAGTTTTAAGTATTCTTTTTGAGTAAATCATTATTTATTATAACATAAATTTCATTTCATTTGACTATATTAATGGACAGCAGAATAAATTTTACCTAATTTTTATTTCCAAAACTGGAATTTTTCAAGATCAAATTGAAATTCAATTTTTTGGCCTTTTCTTTTTTGGAGAAACTTAAGCCTTGTTATTCTTTAATAAATATTTAGTTGTTCTTTGAAAAATCAATTAATTTAAATAATCATAACAATCATAATTTTACAAATTTAATACCAAGCTCAAGAAATATTCTATAGATTCTCTTTTAAAAATCAAAGCAAAGATATTAAAATGACTACATAACTAGTAAAAGATTCACAATATTTCAAAATGAGTTTTAAGGTTAAGACTATAAATGTACCCTAAAGTTATGATTGAAATATTCTTTATTCTTATTTAAATTGCATTTATCAATAGTTTAGATTTTTATTGGTGAAGCAGTGAAAAGATGCAAAAATAATTCTAGTAATATTAAACTATTTAGATTTAATATAATATAATTATAATGAGAAAAATTCATATTTGGTGAATTTATAGGGTTTTAAGAATTTAACATTAATGAAGTAGAGAAAATCTTTCTTTCAGATAAATAAATTTTGAAATATTATCTTATTGTAGAATAATTTCATCCTAAATTGTAGCATAATATTATTATTTGAACTTGCTGCATTATTAATCGATCAAAATCAATTTGGACTCAATATATTAAAAAGGGATTAAAATAATAAGAAATTCTATTAGCTCATTATTTAATGTAATTAGTATTACTATTATTAAATATAAAGGCAGCTTAATGAAACAGATGCATTAATGTGGGCTGAAAAAGTTGTGTCAGTTGATTCAACGATGCTTATAGCAAAACTTTTTTATTCTATATTAAATATATAATGGTTACATAATTAAGAAATGCAATTATTTTGTCTGATAATGCTTAGTCGATTGATGCAAATGATTATACTTCATTGCAAATAAAATTTAATTCAACATTTTTAATATTAAATTTAGTGGAATTTGGTGAATAAGAGGAGGAAGGATTGAAATGTAGTCCAAATAACAGTTACAGGCATTTTAGAATGGATCCAAATAGTTAATTATATAAAAATGCCAAATGTTTTTTTTATTTTATATATCTAGCATAATGGCAGATAAAAATAAAAATGAAAATAGAATCTAATGATTATTTAAAAATATATATATCAAAAATCATAATTTTCAATGAAATAACAATATTTTCTGTTAAAATAATTACATTTATAACTTTTTCAATGATTACATCAGATAATCTCATTATGATGGTTTTCTTTAATAAATTAGACGTAAAAAATTTCCTTGTATTAACGCTATACATTATCACAATAATAACTAAAATAAGTTAATAATTTATTAGTGTATATATNATTAATGGACAGCAGAATAAATTTTACCTAATTTTTATTTCCAAAACTGGAATTTTTCAAGATCAAATTGAAATTCAATTTTTTGGCCTTTTCTTTTTTGGAGAAACTTAAGCCTTGTTATTCTTTAATAAATATTTAGTTGTTCTTTGAAAAATCAATTAATTTAAATAATCATAACAATCATAATTTTACAAATTTAATACCAAGCTCAAGAAATATTCTATAGATTCTCTTTTAAAAATCAAAGCAAAGATATTAAAATGACTACATAACTAGTAAAAGATTCACAATATTTCAAAATGAGTTTTAAGGTTAAGACTATAAATGTACCCTAAAGTTATGATTGAAATATTCTTTATTCTTATTTAAATTGCATTTATCAATAGTTTAGATTTTTATTGGTGAAGCAGTGAAAAGATGCAAAAATAATTCTAGTAATATTAAACTATTTAGATTTAATATAATATAATTATAATGAGAAAAATTCATATTTGGTGAATTTATAGGGTTTTAAGAATTTAACATTAATGAAGTAGAGAAAATCTTTCTTTCAGATAAATAAATTTTGAAATATTATCTTATTGTAGAATAATTTCATCCTAAATTGTAGCATAATATTATTATTTGAACTTGCTGCATTATTAATCGATCAAAATCAATTTGGACTCAATATATTAAAAAGGGATTAAAATAATAAGAAATTCTATTAGCTCATTATTTAATGTAATTAGTATTACTATTATTAAATATAAAGGCAGCTTAATGAAACAGATGCATTAATGTGGGCTGAAAAAGTTGTGTCAGTTGATTCAACGATGCTTATAGCAAAACTTTTTTATTCTATATTAAATATATAATGGTTACATAATTAAGAAATGCAATTATTTTGTCTGATAATGCTTAGTCGATTGATGCAAATGATTATACTTCATTGCAAATAAAATTTAATTCAACATTTTTAATATTAAATTTAGTGGAATTTGGTGAATAAGAGGAGGAAGGATTGAAATGTAGTCCAAATAACAGTTACAGGCATTTTAGAATGGATCCAAATAGTTAATTATATAAAAATGCCAAATGTTTTTTTTATTTTATATATCTAGCATAATGGCAGATAAAAATAAAAATGAAAATAGAATCTAATGATTATTTAAAAATATATATATCAAAAATCATAATTTTCAATGAAATAACAATATTTTCTGTTAAAATAATTACATTTATAACTTTTTCAATGATTACATCAGATAATCTCATTATGATGGTTTTCTTTAATAAATTAGACGTAAAAAATTTCCTTGTATTAACGCTATACATTATCACAATAATAACTAAAATAAGTTAATAATTTATTAGTGTATATATTCAATTGTAACATTTAGGAACAGGAGAAGATATATGCTACTTTTCATTGAGTGTTGAACAATAAGACTAAAAATTAATGAAGAATAGAAATTTAAAGAAAAGAAGAAACATATATAACTAAAATTAAACAAATGAGATAACATAACTCATAAAGAAGTTGCATCAAATTGTCAAGAAAAAGAGCAAACCTTATAAAAAATATAGGATAAAGTCAAATAGCGGTTACACAACTGCTCTTTTACCATTTTTTTTTATTAATGGACATTTGTAATGTATTAATTTAGATTTTTATATAATTTAAGAAATTTTTCTAACTCCATATTTTATAACAGCATTAGAATTTTGATAATGGGAACATTGATTCAAACACTGTAATACTTTATTTTTTATGTGTAAATCATCAAAGTTAATGGAATTCGACTTAGGATGAGATAAATTGATTTATTTGGAAGTATTTTACTTCGATGTTAATTAGAATAGTTATTGACTCAAATTATTAATTAGATGATGTAAACTTATACACATACTTCCAAGAAATATATAGAACACTTGTAAATTGTTTATGCAAGATTACCAACTTTACCAAAATCTCTATTCCTTGTGAAAGTAACACTTTCTCGAATATCATCTGACAAGTCTACCAAAAAGTGAAACGGCTCTTGTGTGGATCATCAATTATATCATAAACAGGACAGACATTTAACGATTAAGGAGATGCATGATATTAGCAGGGGGGCTTAAAAACAAGAAATATCTATATGTAAACCAAATACTTAATATTCTGTTCATTTCTACTTATCAAATATTATAAAAGAAACGTTTTTAAGTAATTGCTTTAGTCTTGACTTTTAAAAATGGACAAAACTCTAAAGTAAAAATCCGCTCATTAACTTCTTTTTTTTTAAACTCTTTATCGTTAATTTTTTAACCTCAAATGTTTTATAAATATATTTTGTCTTTTAATTTGTTATTAACTGATTATATTTATTATAAAAATGCATATACATATTTTTTTCTTTAAAAATTACTAACTTCTTTATGATAGAGAAGAAATACTAAGTACCAAATGAATCTCAAGCAATTAAAGCCACATCCTATATTTAGGTTTGTGAATAAAGTAATTGATCTTAAAACAAATAAAAACATGATTGATTCAACATTTCTTTTAAGAAGAAAATTAGGCTAGGGGTTTTAAAAATATCTTGAATAAATTTATAGTGTTAATTGGAAATGAAAAATTATAACTGGATCAAACAACAAATTATTATAGTTTTTTGTAATTTATTTTAAAATATATTGATTGATCTAACATCAAGATATCAAAAAAAAATGATAAGTCTACATTTATCTTTATTGATAAAAATGAGATTAAAAGGAAATATTAATTAAATTTCAGATATGGAAGCAATTAAAATTTAGCACAGAATCTAAATCTAAGATTTCTATCAGTTGAAACTTGTGACGAAAAATCCTCATATTACTATTCTCAATATCTGCAAATTTTTTTCAGTATATGAGTTGATTACTTCGAAAATGTTTGCATAATATTTTCTGACAAATGTAATTTCAATGTTCTACTAAGCATAAATTTAGGAAGGTGAATGGAGAGAGAGGCCAGAATTCAATAACAATCATTGTGCAGGGTTTATATTATTTAATTTGATTACTTATTTTAAATTCTAAACTATTACATGTATTCAGAGTATTTTGTTATTCATAATGATTGTAGCTATAGAATTAGGTGCTAATATAAAACTTTATTAAATAAGAAAATAGGAATTTTATTTTCATTCTCCTAATTAATTTGATAACCCCACATAATTATTTATTCCTCTAATGACAGGAGTATTTAACTGTCAGAGGAGGACCCTAATCATTAAACAAATAAGCAGAATTATTAGATATAGTAAGATCGTAATTAAAACAATAAAATAAATTATTAGGTTAATAATCTTTGGGTTAAATCACTCAAAAAGAAAATATTTGGTGAAATTTTTCATAAATTATTTATAAAAAAAGCAATAGATATTGAAGCACTATAGAAGTAACATAGACATAACTAATCCTCGAGCTATTACGAAATCTAAAAGCTAAAGGCATGAAATGAGAATCAAACAGATACATCAAAATGAGAAGAAATCCAATAATATTTACAAATAAATTAAAAGTTGATTCTTTGATTTAATCTCATTAAATCAAATCTTTGGCCTTGATAGAAAAAGCTGGTAAATTTTGCATCAATTTTAAACAAACCCTTCTTTCAAACTGGATTAGAAACCTTTCTCCTCCAAAAAAGATTTGAGTTCCTTTTGAAATTGCCTAAGTATAAAAAATAATTACTCTCGCGAAGAAAAATCATCAAAATTATCAATATATATTTTGGGGATATGTTACCTTCCAATACTATTGAACTCTTTTTTAAATTTTATAATCTGCTTTCCCTATTTCATTAAATATTCTCTAAGTTTTTTGTATCTTTTCTAAACTCTGATTCTGATCGATTATCTGTTTTGAAGTTCTTTTTTAAAAAATTACAATTTCATAATCCATGGAGCCTTTTGTCTTAAGAAGTCACGAACTTTATCTAAATGTACTTCTAATCTCTTGTTGTATGAACTTATTATTTATTTCAAAACAAGAAGGAGGTAATACATATTGAGAGTTACAATAATTAGTATGTAAGGTAGTTGAAATTCTAAAGAGCCATCAACAAAGATGCCAATCCCGAGGGCAATTGAAATTTCGCAAATATTAGCAGAATAGGCATCCAATTTATTAAGCTTTGGTAATAAATATGGTTTAAATCTTGTGTTGAGTTCTTAATAAATATATAGAACCAATAATACTAAAATAGCTTTTTTCACTATTGTCTCTTCATAATATGAGAGAAAAATAATTAGCAACTCTTTTTCTACTATTTTTACAATCTCCCAAAAATACACATCATTATTATATTCATTATAGAGATATCCCCATTTTTACCTAGTCCTTTTTTCATTAAGCCTTTCTCGATTTTTGTACAAGGCATAAAACAATAGGAATGGAATTAATAATCCAATAATAAATATGCTTGGAAGGCAAAAAGATAAAAGCCAAATTATATGAGAATTCGTATCATGTCTATATGCAACATTCGCTTGAATCCACTTAAAATTAGAAATATTTCTGTAGGCAATTAAGGATATTAAGCCACCAACTAAATTTGGTTGAAGATATATGTACAAATAAATAAATGTTGTCATGATCACACTTATATTATAGCTCATCTTTTTTAAGATAATAGCTATCCAGTAAATTGTGAAGAAAAAAAAAATATAGATCAACGGCATGATAAGTTGCCAAATAATTCTTGAATATTGAATGTTGATGTTGAACATATCTTTTAAGAAGCAGTCAAGAGAATAAGTTAAAGTTTATAGAGGATTTCCAGTGGCATTTATTGTGCTTACTAATTCGGTTGGAAAATTTAATTTAAAACTTGTAATTGTAGACAATATTTAAAGGTGATTAGTGAGCATTTTTACTAGAATTCCTGAGTGAGATTCCTTTATTGACATGAAGAACCTAAACTTTTATAATTATACTTTTAAGGCAACAGCTTTTAAAACTGAGATAGTACTTTTGACTGAAATCAGAATTGAGATCAAAGTCCTTATAATTATTTAAAATACTGTACCAAAAGCTAATAATAGTGATAATAATTGAGTTAAGGCCTTTTTCAGAACAACCTTTGCAGGAGTACTTTGAACTTGTAGAAAAGTCTCCATCTCCTCGCAAATTGTATAAATCACATTCTTCGCATAAAGCACCTATGTGTCCTACTAAGCAAGAAGTATCTCCTTCCTACCATCCTCCCAAACAATTACTCATTAAATTGCTACACTAACTAACTTAGTCAGTATAGAAATAAGGTCTCCAATACCCAGATTTGAGATTCATTTACGCAGATGTTACATCTTTAGTTGTGGAATCATCTATGATTGTACAATTCTGAGAATGGAGAGTCACAGAAAATTAACCTTATTGAGCATCGCATGGCGAACAAGTTAAATCAGAAGCTCTCTTGATCTCACCCATTTAGCATGGTAGCGTCTTAATATTTATTCTCAAATAATAATTACTATGGTAACCTACTATATCAAGTTTTTCTCCATAAATAGGTATTAAAACAGAATTACAACGAAACTGCAATTATAAAGTCATATTTAATTCATCATCTAAATAGAAAATGATATCGTCTAAGTTATAATCTGTCCCATTAAAACTCACATTGTTAAAACTTGTATAATTTGTGCTAAATTCAGTAGTTTCATTGTCTTTAAGTAATCTACTATTGATCTCACAATATGTATCATTCAAATTATTTTATTATGCCCCTTCTTGATCCAAAGCAACAATTCTCAAATGCAAATTATATGGAAAATATTCCCCTTTTATCCAATCAAAATATTCATACTTTGAAATAATCTGCCCATTTGGTACATACAATGCATTAGAATAAGTATTTTTAAATACTTAATAGGGCTTAAATTGAACCTATTCTATCAACAAATCGTTTTAATCGATAATGGTTCTTTTAAACAAGATGACGTTCAAATCAGTTTTTATTGATAACGAAGATGGTATTTGAACATAATTATTTCCAAATTATCTTGCTATATTCTCATTTAATAAGGATCCAAACCTTGCTAAATTTCCAACTATCTAATTTGCAATTGCCATCCCTCCTCCTTAATTAGCTGTATTATTCAAGATTACAGAGTAGCCTAAAATAAAAAGTTCATGTCCAATTACAATAATAGATCCACCGGAATTTAGAGCTAAATTATGCAAAAATAAAGAGGAAACAATTATAGTCTTGATATTAGAAATTGAAAGACATGTACCTTCATAACCTATGTTATATTTACATATATAATCTTGTACTTAAAAATTATACTCTTACTTAATTATAAAATTACTTATGCTCTCTAGTCTACGTAATGAAGAGCTTTGTTTTTAAATAACTACACAACTTGATTTCCCACAAGCATTATTTTCAATTGTGGTTCTTTACAACCTAAGCATTCCTAATTAATTATTGAAATTGATAAGAATTAGCCCATTCGAGCAACTGAGATATTTAAATGATGCTGATGAAATGCTTGTGCTAGTGTGATAAGAGTTGATATTAATTAAACTAGCATTGTATTTTCTATCAAATGTTCTCATTTGCTAGATTAAGCAATCCAAAGAAAANTTAAATTGCTACACTAACTAACTTAGTCAGTATAGAAATAAGGTCTCCAATACCCAGATTTGAGATTCATTTACGCAGATGTTACATCTTTAGTTGTGGAATCATCTATGATTGTACAATTCTGAGAATGGAGAGTCACAGAAAATTAACCTTATTGAGCATCGCATGGCGAACAAGTTAAATCAGAAGCTCTCTTGATCTCACCCATTTAGCATGGTAGCGTCTTAATATTTATTCTCAAATAATAATTACTATGGTAACCTACTATATCAAGTTTTTCTCCATAAATAGGTATTAAAACAGAATTACAACGAAACTGCAATTATAAAGTCATATTTAATTCATCATCTAAATAGAAAATGATATCGTCTAAGTTATAATCTGTCCCATTAAAACTCACATTGTTAAAACTTGTATAATTTGTGCTAAATTCAGTAGTTTCATTGTCTTTAAGTAATCTACTATTGATCTCACAATATGTATCATTCAAATTATTTTATTATGCCCCTTCTTGATCCAAAGCAACAATTCTCAAATGCAAATTATATGGAAAATATTCCCCTTTTATCCAATCAAAATATTCATACTTTGAAATAATCTGCCCATTTGGTACATACAATGCATTAGAATAAGTATTTTTAAATACTTAATAGGGCTTAAATTGAACCTATTCTATCAACAAATCGTTTTAATCGATAATGGTTCTTTTAAACAAGATGACGTTCAAATCAGTTTTTATTGATAACGAAGATGGTATTTGAACATAATTATTTCCAAATTATCTTGCTATATTCTCATTTAATAAGGATCCAAACCTTGCTAAATTTCCAACTATCTAATTTGCAATTGCCATCCCTCCTCCTTAATTAGCTGTATTATTCAAGATTACAGAGTAGCCTAAAATAAAAAGTTCATGTCCAATTACAATAATAGATCCACCGGAATTTAGAGCTAAATTATGCAAAAATAAAGAGGAAACAATTATAGTCTTGATATTAGAAATTGAAAGACATGTACCTTCATAACCTATGTTATATTTACATATATAATCTTGTACTTAAAAATTATACTCTTACTTAATTATAAAATTACTTATGCTCTCTAGTCTACGTAATGAAGAGCTTTGTTTTTAAATAACTACACAACTTGATTTCCCACAAGCATTATTTTCAATTGTGGTTCTTTACAACCTAAGCATTCCTAATTAATTATTGAAATTGATAAGAATTAGCCCATTCGAGCAACTGAGATATTTAAATGATGCTGATGAAATGCTTGTGCTAGTGTGATAAGAGTTGATATTAATTAAACTAGCATTGTATTTTCTATCAAATGTTCTCATTTGCTAGATTAAGCAATCCAAAGAAAATTCATCCTTAAACGAAGTTAAATTAATGGGAGATTATTTTATAAAGAATTCAGCTAAACATTAAAACTATACAGATGCTATTTTAGAGTCTAAATTTGAACATTTTGATTTGGGTGTTAAATTTATTTTATCTAAAAGAGATATATTATATAATTTTAATGAGTGGATAAATATATTAGACTTGCTTGGAGTTGCATTAATCATTAACAAAGAATTCAATAGTTAAGATTAAGTTAGTTAAACCTATTTTATAAGAGTGGTTTAAATATTGTTAAAGAAGCCTAGTGACTCATAATATAGGTTAGCTATTTGAACATATTCCAAAGTAAATCTTTAAGCATTTGAAATCTAAATTAAGGATCTTTGAAAGGTCAATAAATACATTGAGGATGCATCAAGCTAGCTATATTTTTGCAGAAATAAGAGTTGGTTTTGAAGATTATTTATTACTATCATCTCTGAAATCTTTAATTCTTAATTTGAGCTCGCGTTTTACGAAAATTCGCTATAGATTATCGAACCTTTAAAGGCGTAAACATCTGTTATATTGATATTTATCAGTCTGATTTCCACGTAATTCAACCCGTTTACAAGATAGAGAAAACCACCATAGTTTCTGCAATGAACATTAAATACTGTGATGTTTTAAAATAATACATCTGATCTCAAAGCAAATGATGTATCTATGTACATTGCTCCACCATTTTCTGCAGAATCAATGTAGTTGGTTGTAATATGGGTGAATATCGTATTTTTTATAAATAAATACCCATCATTTACTGTTTTGATATAAAAAGCCGATCCTGATGAATTAGAGATTTCTAAATCTATTATTTATATATATCTTCCAATAAATTTAACATTTCCAGCAAGAACTTTTATTTGAAAAATTTCCTTTATTTATTCATTAAAAATATCTTCATTTTGGTTAAATCCCCACAATAAGTATGGTTACAAGAGCCTGTAATCAAATATTGAGTTTCGGAAGAAGTATGATTTATGAAATGATATATTTTATGCTTTAATGAGAATTACAAAATCTGTCGTATTGGTAACAAGATTGTCCTCAACTTTGAAATGTGTTAAATTTATGGTACAAAAAGGACAGTCAAAATTGAATAGCAACCCTGAAAATAAATGATCGTTCTATTCATATTGATGCATTAAGTTTTATTTAGAAGTTGAGTTTATAATAGTTATTTGATATTCCTATTCTGAACCCATTTGAAATAAGGAAGTCTATTTTGTTTTATCGCTTAGTATGAGCAAATTATTATTAAAGCTTGATTACTTCAAAAATAAAGATTTTTTATATAAGGATAAAGCTAAAGAGTTCTGTATATTTATTATTGGGTAATTGATGGATTGAGACATTGTAATATTTAAGCTATAAATGATTATTGATGAAACATCATATAGATAAAGCGATGTTATATAATAATCACTTAAAATTGATTTTTTAAAACAATCTTCAAACTAATGAAGTCCTTTAAATTAATATTTTTCATGTTATTGAATCTTTATTTTGTTTAGATATAAGGTTTTTATCTCAACAAACGTTATGTCTCTTATTCCGTAGGCTCTTTCTATTAATAAATTAGATATGCTTAAATTTTATATTTATAGGTATATTAGAGATGTTAATTAATTCTCTAAAACCTTCATACTTGTTTTTGAAATCATAACATTGGCAATCATGTGTAACTATTTAATAACCATTTCTTAATTTGTATTAAAGCTTTATTTTATTGTTATCAAACTAGAGGTTTCGTCATACTTACTTAATTAAAATGCAAGATTTAAAAATGTATAATTTTCAACCTGATTATTTTGATTAGAAATGCCAATGGAATTTTATAAGAATTGATTATTACTAAAGTCAATATTGATTAATATAGAATATCTATTCAATAATATAAGTGTTGAATTAGTTAATATGCAATTTTACAATTTAAGTTGATTAATTTCAACAAAAGGTATTGTTCCTAGATAAAAATGACCTTGGATATCAGCTAATAAACTGTCTTTTATTTCAATGTTTTTTAAAGTGATATTTCCACCTACTATTTTTAAAAATGATGATTTCGAGAATCGAGAATTTATTGTAACATTCGAAATCTCTACAATATCGTCCTGTTTTACAATCAGAAGGAATAAATGCAAATTCTGGAACTTATTTGATTAAATTTCAAACTTGGATATTTTGACATACTAAGTTTGGGGGATTTAATCGATTGTAATAAAGGCTTCTACATCTTTGATATCAACATTTTGTAATTTAAGATTCTCAATTAAAACTGAATTAGTGTTTCTTAAAAAAATTTATTGTTTTTGATTCGATACTTCTGTTGTATATATTAAATCAATAAATTCTATTTTTTAATTAAAAGAGCTTTAAAGGATTATGGATTTGGTATTATCTATATCAAAAGGAGTGAAAATAATTCCCCTAAGTTTAACTCTTGAAAAATCGACAAAAGAAATTACTTTGTCATATTTAAATGTAGTAATACTATTACCATTAATTTCAAGTTCCACATTTCTACATAAAATATTAATATTACAAAGCTGAGAATATATTCTAACTGAAAATTTAACGAATTTGTTTTGTATTATTTATTGTGCAAGTTTGATGGACCTAGCTGGTAATTTTAATAATAATAGTTTTTATGACTTGTTCATTTGCTTACTTGTAGAACTCATCAGTTTCAAACTAAGTTAAAATATAAAATACTTATACAAAACTATTTTGTGAAAACAAATCATTGATCAAAATATTAGATTATTTGAAAATTTTGATTTGATACTCTATTTTTAACAAATTAAGGGCATCAAAGTAATCCTGATTTGAACAAAATAAGTTTAAATTGATTTGAATTTGACGAGTACATCTTTCAATTTAACAATTAACGAAGATCTCTAATTATTTATCGAAGTATCCATTAAATTATTTCAGACATTGGTTTGATGCATATGAAAATTTTAAATTTTTAAATAGAGGATTAATTGCAATAATTTCACTTTGATCTCTTTAACGACACAATGAACAACTAATAGGACATTGAATACACTCATTATTATGAAGACTTAAGAATCTTCCGTTAATAAAATCTGGGCATTTTACGCAAATATTTTAATTATTTCTTTTAATACATTAAACACAATTTTCAGGACATGTTCGAATACATTGATTATTGTAAAGTTCATATCCAGTTTAACAAAATTTGCATCTGACTTCATAATCTTCAATATTTTTAGAAGTGCCAAAATCAATAAAGGAATGTGATTATAAATTATCATCAATAGCAGACCTGTAATAAGATCGAATTTCAGTTTTCCAGTTGTCCTTTGATTTTTTATCCTATTAGTAACACGATATACAATGAAAATCAATAGGACATGGTTTACATTATCCAGTCATTCTTTCCGAATAATAACCATTGTTACAAATTAGGCATAAGTAAGATACTTTTGTACTTACTTGACCTTTAATACAAGTTTAACAATTCTAAATAAGTCCTATACATCCGGTTGTAAATGAAATAGGATCAGTATCAATTGTTTATGGTCCAAAAAGGCAGATATCATCGTCACTACTATGTAATCGATAATTATAAGAACATTCATTTTAGGATCTCATTATACACAACAGTGTTTCCTCATCAAATGAATATAGTTCTTTACATTTTGCACACTTTGTAATGACCAATCCAATATGAGGTGGAAAGGAATAGTCCAAAGAGCTTAACCTATTATCTTCAGAAGCTACTTGAAAAGCATAAATACAATTTAGAATTGTATTTTTAATGCAATCAACTCCATTTAATGATAGAAAGTATCTTTCATCATTTACACATTGCAAACACTTCATATAAGGTTCAAGAGAATATATGTTAATTTAAAATTCACAAGTATCACAATAATTACCACATTACATACAATTAATTCCAACTGGTACATAGCCAGATGGACATGATAAACAGCTAAAGGGACTACATGAAGTGCATCTGAATGAACATTAAACACATTGATCATTATTCAAGTAGTATCCTTATTTGCATTCCAAACATTTTGCCACTTGATACTCAACTCTTATACATGATTAATCTAGAAAATTGCATTGATTATTTGCAAAGTAGTGGTTCATTTTACAAATTAGATACAAACTTCGATTTAAATGTCTTAGATTTTCAAATTAAAAGCAATTAGACATTTCATCATCCGGATTACAATAATCAGATACTCCTTCAATTAATTATAAATCGAAATTCTAATCGATATAATACACGTCATTATCTAGACTTAATCTTTCCTACTTACGATAAGCATCATCTGAAATAGTAATTTTTTCAGTTACATAGTCTGTTTTACACACAGGACTGATATACCAACTGTTAAGATCAAACAAACAATCAACACATAATAAATCCTATAAACTAGATTATGGACTAAAATACCATCATAACATTACCATTTCATGCATTTTTTATTAATTTCCAAATAAAAATAACCAAATTGGCAAATACTACTTGTTAAATCTTGAGGAACTTCATTAAATTCAAGATTTGGATATACTTCATCAAAAGAATAACATAAACCTTCAATCTCAAGGTATCCATATGTGCAAAAACATGTCTTAAGATCTTCTGACCATCTTCTATTTAGACCGCTTTAGCACCCTATACAATTAGATGCTAAAGGGCCAATGCAATCAGCACATGTGGGATGACATTCTAATAAATTATTATTAAGATAATACAAAAGTATATCTCCTCATCATTTTCATAATTGTAGCTAAATTCAAAGTTTTACATTTGTCCACGAAATTTTCTAAAAACAGTAAGATCACTTCCAAAAATAATATAGTATTTTGTATTTATAAATAAACCCTAAGCCTATAGGTCGTTAAATTCGATAGTATTTGGATTAAATTTTTCTCCTTATTAAAATTGTATCCTCATGGCTGACCTATACTTTTGTGAAAGTCCATGTTGAAACAACATGAAATGCCATTTGGTAAGTTAATCTTAAAAATTAGGATTGAATATGTCATCTAATCTTCTTTTGCCCTAAAAATTTGCATCCACTGGTCCTTAAACAGGCATAGCATAATGATGAGAAATAATGTTATATCCACTATTGGATGGTTCTGTAAGATCTAAATCTGCAGTAATTTTCAGAATTTCATCTCCCAATCTCAACTCATCTGAATAGAACTTAAAAGTTGTTATCCGAAATACTAAATATGTTATTAAAACACTAGCCTCTGATGAATCCAGCTTTATCCATCCAGATATGGCAAATTTCAATCCTACTTAATCAACCTCGAAATTTAGTTGAGCGTCTCCATCAAAGTCCATTAATTCTGGTATTAATTTTATAGTCTGTTTACCAATAACATCAGGTAGAATCAAGCAATTTTATTTTATCATTTAAAAGGTGTTATGTGAGTATTCTGTCAATTTTATTAACTTTGACAATCTTCCTCGAAATATCCCTAAATGGTAGGAATTGATCTAAAATAAAATTAAAAATATATACAGATCCAGTTCCTCCCAATATAAATTTTACATTTTTTAATTTTTCAGATAAGTCAGGTATTTCAGGTTTAGAAATTGCATCACTTTCCACGATCACATGTTACTCTGAAATAGTTATCATTGTAAGTTTCCATTGCCCTTCATATTCAAAAGGATCAAAGTGAAAATCAAAAATACTCATATTATTGATATTCTCTTCTATGTGAAGTCTATGCGATACCATATGATCAAAATTTAAAAAAGCAAGATTCATGAACATAATAATTCTCCCATCATCAAGAGATTTCAACAAAAATAATAATTGTTCTTCTTTGTTATCAATATACAACTTTTCTTCTACTTCTGGGTACATTTTAACCTCCCACATTGGAATACTAAAGCTCCAAAACGCAAAGATCTAGGTTGATCCAATGCTTAAGAAAATGGTTTCTTCTATTGGATTCGAACTACTTAATAAAGACTCTTCATAATTATGAATAGAACAACTCTAAGTCAGAAAAAAGTGTAGCAAAATCAATAATTTTTGTACCATTATTAAGCCTACATTTTCTGTCTAAATCATTCTTTTATTAATTATTATTCATTCTTAAATCTATATTTAAATTTGAGTACACCAAAAAGGGATTTAATAATTAAAATATAATACCAATTATAAATTTTATCATTTGTTATTTTTAATCACTTGGCATTTTTGAATCTGAAGCTAGAATCAAATAAAAGTAATAAAATAATCTAATACAGGTAGAATATACTAAAAAAAAAAAAGATAAAAAAAAAAATTTTTACTCTTATAAGGGTGCTAAAAGGAGATAATAATGATCTAACCTTTTTCTGTTAGATTGTGTTCTTATTTTAATTTTTTAGATAAATATTTGTAAAAAATGTGAAATAAATCCTTTAAATCAATGAGTATCTATTTCCACCAACAGATATTTTTTTCAACAACACATTGTTCAATGTTTCTAATCTTATCAACTTTAGTATATATTAAGGCGTTTAAAATTTAAATATAATTGAAATTTCTATTCAGCAAACGTAGAAAAAATAAAGAAAATTTGACTTATCTCAAAAATATTGTTCATTTATTTTGAATAATCGAACATTTTGGTCATTCAAATGCTGATTGATTTACGGAGACAAAGATTTGAAGAATGCTTAGAAAGTAGTATAAAGGGAGAATTGTAAAAGTTGAGATCATCTATATACTTTCAAGTATTTCTACTTTTAGGAAATAAATTTAAAAAAAAATGGACATTTTGCCTCTCTTTATCAACTTGATCACTTAATTGAGTAAATTATTTAACATGAATTTTCAATGAAAATAATTATGGCAATAGCATAACAAATATTTTCATGGTATGATCAGAAGTTTTTAGTTGATGTTTTTGAGATGTAATTATACAAATTTATGAAATGGCTAGAATGTTCATCGTTATCTTAATTTATGAATGTAAAAATAGTTTCAACTATCTCAAAATTATATTTGAACCGATTTACTATTAAAATCTTTCGATTTAAATGAAGTAACTTCAACCTAATTACAAAAAATCCTAAAGGAAAAATATAAGATCCTTTAATAAAAATACACAAATTATTAAAAAAATATAGTAATAATCTCATAAACATTTCGACTTAAATAAACAAATATTTCTACTTTTTCTGAAAATTTGCCTAATTGTAACTCTTCTACCAACATCTCTATGATTAAATAATCAAACCAAAACAAATTAAAGTAATTAGCATAGACTCTTACAAGATTCGGAAATATCGATTGTTTATGTGTTATGTATTAATTGGAATGACTGCTGTTCAATTTTATTAAGTTGAGATTAGACATCCTGTACAAGGAGAAATGCTGGTAGTTTATCCATCCGACTTTCTGTATAATCCTAATAGCTACTCTTATGTTCTATTAATCAAATTCAGATTAGGAATTGGTTATATTCTGATCTGATTTGTTTCTATAGCCAAGGCATCAATGCTCTAGGTTAATTTGGAAAAACGAATAATCCAAATAAATATACAGCACCTATAATCTATAATATTTCTTTTACATCTCGGCTTTCATCTTAAGGAATTTCTTCACAAAGATGTTTATGCTTTGTTGATTACATATCTGTAATATCCTCAAATATCTTAATTCCTATAGCTTTATTTTCATTAATCTCTTGCTCCATCAAGGAATTCTATTTAAATATTTTATCTATAAAAGATTAAACACGTGGGATCTCAACAGTCTCTTGAACTCCTATATTTATTTCCATTTATATCCGAGTGCAATTTTATATCAGATTATTCAGATTATAAGGTTTGTACTTTAGACTTAATTCTAAATACACTCCTATAATTAATGAAATGATAGTAGCTTTAATAATGACACTGTCATCATAATAAGTTAAAAAAATGATCATTAATTCTTTCTGCAATATTTTGATCACTTCCCAAAAATAGGCTGTTTTAGTGTATTCATTATAGAGATAACCCCACTATAGCCTAACTTTCTTTTCATCTAATTAGTGTGAATTATTGTAAAGACCTTAAAAGAAATAGATTGGGATGAGAATAGCCAGAACCAAAAGCATAGGCAAACAAAATTCAATCATCCATCTTACATGATAAGGAGTATCAAATCTCTAAGAAACATTGGATTATACCCATCTATAACCTGATATTTCTCTGTATGAGATCAGTTGAACGAATCCTCCAATTAAACTTGGCTATAAATAGATGTACATATAGATAAGGGTAGTTGTTTTGACACTTCTATTATAAGTTATATTCTTAAATTTAACAGCAAGCAAATAACACAATAAAAAGAATGTAATATAAAGAAATGGCATAATAATTTACCAAACCATTCTAGCATATTGAATTTCAAAAGTAAAAACATGTGATAAAAAGCAATCCAATGAATACGTCATAGTCTAAATTGGGTTCCAACTGAATTAATTTTATTATGTGTTAATCCATCAAAATAATTAATCATTTATCAACTTTACTTTGGAGTCCATTTGGTAATTTTAATTAGAATGTAGCTATAGAAGAAATGATCTACAAATAATTCGTCAGCATTTTTATTAATATCGCAGATTGATTTGTATTTTAAGTAACTGCTAACCCTAGCAATATTATACTGATAATTCTAACAAATTCTTCTATGTCTTTTAAAGTACTTTGCACAGAAACTAATATCGAAACCAAGGTCCTATGATTTTATTTATAATATGTACCATATACTCACGAAAGTTATAATTATTGCATTTTTCTCCTTCTCCAAGCATGATCCACAAGAATATTTCTAACTAACCGAATATTCTCCATCTCCCCTTGTATTATATAAATCGCATTATTCACATAGTGCTCCAATATGTCCTATAAAACAAGAACTGTCACCTTCCTCCCAACCTCCTAAACAATTATCTTCTAAATTCAAACAATAACTGACAATATTGCTTTAAAAATAAGGTCTCCAAAATCCAAATTTTATATTTAATAAAGCAGGTTAAACACTTACAGTTGAAATATCATCCTTCAACTGGCATTTTTCAGAATTTATGTTTAATGAAAAAAGCCCTTAATCGCTATTACATGGAATACAAGAAAAATCAGTACTATTTTTTATCTCGCCATATTAACAACTCAAAGTCTTAATATTCATCCTTAATTTGTAATTCGTATGAGAATTTACCAAATTATATGGGTATTAATCATTGTAGATAGGAATTACAATTGAATTGCATCTAAATTGTAATTATAAAACAATATCTGATGGTAATGCATTGTCAAAATAGATTATCAAATCATCGAAATTATAATCTTGAGTTAAATCATTAAAATTTATCTTATTTATACTTGTTAGGTTATTACTAAATATTTCGTCATCCTCCCAATTTGATGTATTTAAACTTCTACTATCAATTTCACAATATGAATTCTTCAGATTTTTCATCACACTTTTAACTAAAAATAAAGGCTCATTTAATTTCCCAATGTTGATCTAAATGAGTGTATGAGTTAAACTAAATTTAAATTAATTTCATATTTTAAGCCATCCTGCTTTCAAGGTGAGTATCAGATATTATTGCAAGGTTTTTCTAGAATGCAATACTAGAATAATAGAGGATTATGGATAGTTTATTTTTCACCTTAAGAATGATTTTCTTAAATTCCTTTTCAAGTGAGTTAAGATCACTCTAATTCAAATTGATTATATTAATGGATGGTGTGGAAGAAATCTCTTTGGCTATGTTGAAGATATTTAAACTGATTAGTTAAACTATTCAGAACACATTTTAAGATTATTAAACTAATGTATAATGTTAAAATTTGAAGGTTATGAATATTCATCTATAAATTTTATTGATAATATTTTGTTTACAGATGTGATAAATTAGGTTTACATTTANAGAAGAAATGATCTACAAATAATTCGTCAGCATTTTTATTAATATCGCAGATTGATTTGTATTTTAAGTAACTGCTAACCCTAGCAATATTATACTGATAATTCTAACAAATTCTTCTATGTCTTTTAAAGTACTTTGCACAGAAACTAATATCGAAACCAAGGTCCTATGATTTTATTTATAATATGTACCATATACTCACGAAAGTTATAATTATTGCATTTTTCTCCTTCTCCAAGCATGATCCACAAGAATATTTCTAACTAACCGAATATTCTCCATCTCCCCTTGTATTATATAAATCGCATTATTCACATAGTGCTCCAATATGTCCTATAAAACAAGAACTGTCACCTTCCTCCCAACCTCCTAAACAATTATCTTCTAAATTCAAACAATAACTGACAATATTGCTTTAAAAATAAGGTCTCCAAAATCCAAATTTTATATTTAATAAAGCAGGTTAAACACTTACAGTTGAAATATCATCCTTCAACTGGCATTTTTCAGAATTTATGTTTAATGAAAAAAGCCCTTAATCGCTATTACATGGAATACAAGAAAAATCAGTACTATTTTTTATCTCGCCATATTAACAACTCAAAGTCTTAATATTCATCCTTAATTTGTAATTCGTATGAGAATTTACCAAATTATATGGGTATTAATCATTGTAGATAGGAATTACAATTGAATTGCATCTAAATTGTAATTATAAAACAATATCTGATGGTAATGCATTGTCAAAATAGATTATCAAATCATCGAAATTATAATCTTGAGTTAAATCATTAAAATTTATCTTATTTATACTTGTTAGGTTATTACTAAATATTTCGTCATCCTCCCAATTTGATGTATTTAAACTTCTACTATCAATTTCACAATATGAATTCTTCAGATTTTTCATCACACTTTTAACTAAAAAATAAAGGCTCATTTAATTTCCCAATGTTGATCTAAATGAGTGTATGAGTTAAACTAAATTTAAATTAATTTCATATTTTAAGCCATCCTGCTTTCAAGGTGAGTATCAGATATTATTGCAAGGTTTTTCTAGAATGCAATACTAGAATAATAGAGGATTATGGATAGTTTATTTTTCACCTTAAGAATGATTTTCTTAAATTCCTTTTCAAGTGAGTTAAGATCACTCTAATTCAAATTGATTATATTAATGGATGGTGTGGAAGAAATCTCTTTGGCTATGTTGAAGATATTTAAACTGATTAGTTAAACTATTCAGAACACATTTTAAGATTATTAAACTAATGTATAATGTTAAAATTTGAAGGTTATGAATATTCATCTATAAATTTTATTGATAATATTTTGTTTACAGATGTGATAAATTAGGTTTACATTTATATTAGTTATAATCAACTTTGTTAATAATTCCTTGTTGATTATTATTTTAATTTAATTTAATTCTTGGTGTGTGTGAATGCTCCCTGGATTATGGGTATTTCGATTCAGGGTGCACGATATCAACCTTATACTTACAGATAAAAAACAAATTAAGAGATTAGAGAATTAATATATATCATTCTAGTGTCAAACTAGATTGAGTGAAATTAAATTAATGATATGATATATTAATGTGTAATGTGTTCAATAATAATAATAATTACTTGTTATTCAATTCTTCATTTTTGAATTTAGTGTTGTTACAACATTAATACTTTAAAGGGGGATTTCATTTGCACAGAGCAACTAATTCTATTCGTTAAGGTTTGGTTTGTTATTTACATTGAAATAATAGAACATAGAAATTGTTTGATGGTTAACGTAATTTATTGTCTTAACTATCAAGCAATTCTGGATGTCTTAATATTTGAATTTTCTATTTACCAAATTGATTTAACAATTCATTATTATGTAAATATTTATATATGTTAATTTATATAAAATAAGATTTACTTTTAAGCACATAATTATAAATACGTGTGTAGAATAATTGATGAAGACAGGAGTAGAGAATAGAAACCCTAAAGACTTACTCTATTTAAAGTATCTGAGAAAACGTAAAATCTACAAGCAAGGGGTTATAAATGGTGAATTTTGTTAAATATTTCTCAATTACATTCAATCAATTTTGTATGTTTAATTAAGACCTTTTTTAGCTTCTCAATTAACGATCAAAACAGCAATTTGTAATTCCATTATTCGAAATATAAAAGTTTTTCAAAAGCAGAAATGAATCTCTTTTTATATTGCACAAAAATAATAAAATAAAGAATAAAATATTATAGCTTATAAAATTATATTTAGAAAATATTGATTTACATAACAACAATCTAGCCCTATATACATTTATAAAATAATATTAAACAATATTATTTCAATGTTATTCTAAATTAATTCATTTGAATTTTTTAATAGAAATCTGTTATGATTGGCTATTCCATATGATTAAATATTCTCCGTCATCACTCATTATACCATAAATATACTAATCTGCAAACTCTATAGATTCTTGTAACTAAAAAATATCTTTATCATTTATTTTATCATGAATATGCCTCAAAATATTTAAGTTCCATCCATTTTTAATAATTAGAAGACCCTTTTTAGAATTGTATTAAGATGGGAACAGTATTTAACAAAATTAACCACCTCCTGCTACAAAAATGTTTGCTGTTGTTTAAACAAAATCTCCCATTGTAGTTTGGACTTAAATCTCAAAAAATACAAAAAGAAAATTAGTGCCAATATTAAATTCTAAAAAAATATTTAGCCATTTTGCCATCTCTTAATTATCTACATTTATAGTGCGATTTAATAAATAATTAAAGATTTGATAAAATAAATTGATTCAAATAAACTTAATAAAATTATTATTATGGAATCCTTATTCTAAATCATTCAATTCAATCAATTTTTACTAATATCGTTTATAATCGATTTGAAAATTCAAAATCTAATAAAGGAACCGCCTTTATGTATAAAATAAATACCAAACTTAAGTTCCTACATTAGTCTATGTACCACTATGATATTAATATATCACCACTATGGTATTAATATATCATATAGATCAATTGGAATTATTAATACTAATCAAAATGAGTTAAATAATCTCACATTAGTATTCTTAAGTTGATGTAAAATATTAATTTTTAATCTTTTAAACTGAATCCAATTATATTTCTCAGGTAAATTAGTAAACATATTCAAAATGGAAATAATTATTAATTTATATTTTATACAATTTCCCAATATATTTTCCATTAAATCCATTAGGATTTGATTAATATAATGTAGAAATGCAATAGAAACTGGTTTATATTGTCACTTATTGTTTATTTCACTAATTTCTAATTATCCAGGCTGGAAATCTAAATATAATCAAGTAGAATCACAAACCATGTTCTTTTATTATTTCAAGAAATGAAAATGTAAAATGATTTGACTTAATAGTAAGTACACAAAAATTTTNTACATTTATAAAATAATATTAAACAATATTATTTCAATGTTATTCTAAATTAATTCATTTGAATTTTTTAATAGAAATCTGTTATGATTGGCTATTCCATATGATTAAATATTCTCCGTCATCACTCATTATACCATAAATATACTAATCTGCAAACTCTATAGATTCTTGTAACTAAAAAATATCTTTATCATTTATTTTATCATGAATATGCCTCAAAATATTTAAGTTCCATCCATTTTTAATAATTAGAAGACCCTTTTTAGAATTGTATTAAGATGGGAACAGTATTTAACAAAATTAACCACCTCCTGCTACAAAAATGTTTGCTGTTGTTTAAACAAAATCTCCCATTGTAGTTTGGACTTAAATCTCAAAAAATACAAAAAGAAAATTAGTGCCAATATTAAATTCTAAAAAAATATTTAGCCATTTTGCCATCTCTTAATTATCTACATTTATAGTGCGATTTAATAAATAATTAAAGATTTGATAAAATAAATTGATTCAAATAAACTTAATAAAATTATTATTATGGAATCCTTATTCTAAATCATTCAATTCAATCAATTTTTACTAATATCGTTTATAATCGATTTGAAAATTCAAAATCTAATAAAGGAACCGCCTTTATGTATAAAATAAATACCAAACTTAAGTTCCTACATTAGTCTATGTACCACTATGATATTAATATATCACCACTATGGTATTAATATATCATATAGATCAATTGGAATTATTAATACTAATCAAAATGAGTTAAATAATCTCACATTAGTATTCTTAAGTTGATGTAAAATATTAATTTTTAATCTTTTAAACTGAATCCAATTATATTTCTCAGGTAAATTAGTAAACATATTCAAAATGGAAATAATTATTAATTTATATTTTATACAATTTCCCAATATATTTTCCATTAAATCCATTAGGATTTGATTAATATAATGTAGAAATGCAATAGAAACTGGTTTATATTGTCACTTATTGTTTATTTCACTAATTTCTAATTATCCAGGCTGGAAATCTAAATATAATCAAGTAGAATCACAAACCATGTTCTTTTATTATTTCAAGAAATGAAAATGTAAAATGATTTGACTTAATAGTAAGTACACAAAAATTTTCTTTTTGAAGCCACATTTATAATAGTGTCATTTCAATTTTCAAATTATAAATCAATATCAATATCAAAACCAAAAATTGTATTTTAATCATGCAATATATTATAAATTATAGGAATTAACTTTAAGTAAGAATATTCAAAAATAAGCATTAGTTTTGAATTAAATATAATTATTAACTTTTAATACTTTATAATTTTCCTTTTAAACAATATTGAATTAACCAATTAAATGGTAATTTGCTAATCACAAAGAAAATTAGAAATAACTCAAATATAATAGCATTCTTAAGTATTATTACTAACATTTAATGCAGAACACAAAAAAAGACTTAATCAAATACTTTTCCGCAGTATTATATAGAATATTTAATTCAAATTAATTTTGTAGCAAATCACCTTTATTTAATAAATTAATTTATATGAATTGAATTTACAGAATTATCAGCAAGAACATTATGAAGCAGTCTAATCCTCATCTAATCAATTATAAAACAAAAAGAGAATGAAAAAAATTCATAATTACCTGAGAAATAGATTAATCTTAAAATATAAGTATTTTATCAAGGGCTTTTTCCTATCACAATTCTATAATTTATCCTAGCAAAAAAATTGTTTTTATTGTTTTAATAAACTTTGGAGTTTCTTGTTCAATAGAAATCATTTCCAAAATAAGAAAATGAAATAATATGTGTGATCATTCAAAGTTTAATGTTATTGTTCTATTATTATTAATTTGTTTGCTTGAATATGTATTTTTAGCATGGGAATACTTTCATTCAAATAATGATATTGGTGGACTTACTAGGTTAAATTAAATATTTTTTTAATGCGATCATTTATTTTAGCCATTTTAGACCTTCTTAGTTTAATTTGGCAGGTTGAAAGTGCATTAGAAAAATTCAGAATTATATCAAGCTTAGTTTTTTTTTGCCTTTTTTATTTATAATTAGTATTAAGAGAATACATTAAAGATCATAATTATTTATATCATATAATTGATTATTAATGTAAATTCATGACAGATATCTACATATCATATAATCATAAATTATATAAGAGTAATTTATAATATTATTGTTAGAATTACATTCAATTAACTTTATCTTCAAATTTTTGAGATGTTTTTATCATCAATATAATATTTTTTTAAAATTTTAAATATCAAGAAAAAGAGGCAATTCAGTTCCAAAGCTTCTAAAGGGTCTTAACGTTCAATATCACCCAGAAAAGACAGCTATAAAGACTCTTCTGAATGCTTGATTAGGACATTTTTGACAAGGGGGAGTGAACGACCCTATTTTGAAAGCATTATTCATAGATAGTTCCAAACCTAAATTAGAAGAGACAGATTATGACTTGGCTATTAAAAGACTGAAAAGTTGCTGGCTAGAAAGAAAGGAAAGTAATATGGGATGAGAGAGATCCTGAAGATGAAAATGATAGAATAAGGATTGAGGGTCGACATGTGGGCCAAGTTCCCAGTGATGAGAGCGCATCTTGTTATTACACGAAAATTATGGATAAACAATAATGAGAAAAAAAAGACTTTTAAAAGAATTTTAATTAGGTTTACTTCAAACGATCAGCGGCTAACAGAATACGCAATCAGAATTCAAAAGAATGATTTTTTATAAACTATCTAAGCCATAATTAAGGTAAGACTGGTGATACAAAGGCGGGATGAATTATCAGACAATGACTCTATTGTAATTCGAGAGGGAGGATCAAAAAAGGTAGTATTATTTTAAATGACATTATTTTTATACTGCTACATTAGTCATAAATGGATGATGGAGTCTTTTTATTGGCAAGAGAGAGATAGGAGATTCAATTAATTTAACAAGACTGGTCAGATTATATATATGCAGGCAGAGGAAAAAGAAAATTACGAATCTAGAGATAAAGAGTTAATGAAAAAAATAGAGATATATAAACGAGGTATTTAGGAAGGTGGAGAGACATTATTATGAAACTAAAGGAAATAGTTCGGAATCCGATAAAGGAGGAGAAGATGTCAAACGCAGATTCAGTAAGGAGCCAACAAATTTTCCCCAAGATGACAATTGATCTTCAAGGTGGGATCGTCATCGTAATAAAGAGCGTAGTTGACAAAGAGTTAATCGAAGTTAGAGGTATGTATAAGATTTTCAGTCAAATTAATGAGGCTCTTGGGAAACAAAAGATAGACATCTCCTTAATTCCAAGTAACATTTTCCCGAAAAGATTGAGAGGCTTTATAGAAGAATTTGGTTGTCATAATCACTTCAAACTGTAAGATGAATTCAACAAAACTGTACGGGTAGGACGTGGAATTTATTTCTCAAATAAAGTTGATGTATGTATTAACGATAGATATGGAAATCATATTGATGTGGGTAATAAAAAAATTGCTGTTGTATTTATGTCAAGAGTAAACCCAAAAAAAATTAGATAAAGCGATAAAATGAAAGAGCTTGATTATTTTGTTATTAATAATTCAGAGGTTGTTAGGCCAAATAGGATACTATTGCATGAAAAAAAATGAAATAATTGTTAATAATAAGGTGTTTTATTATTCAATGGAATTATATTAAATCTAATTAAATCTAAATTTATTTAGAATAAGGATATACAATATAAATTTAATATATACAATAATTCTAATTCGAAATATTTCATTTTTTTACTTGTTAATAAATTAAATCTTATATTCTCTTCTTAAAGAATCTCAAATTTCATGTATTTTGTTCTGGTTATGCTTTAATAAAAACAATATCGAAGTTAAAATTGAATCAATAAAAATCGATCTATTGAAATTAATTATGAATTTTTTTTATAACTATCCAAGGTAGATTGCTTATCATCTAGAAGAACTTTAGCTATTCTCCTTTTTTGGGCAATATTTATAATGTTTAAATTTCTAATAAAATTTGTGATTTTTTTTCAAAAATCTATTTAATTGTGATTTTATAAAAGAAAAATCAATTAGAACATACTAATAAACTCCTTATTATAGAGAAGGAAAATAAATAATATATGAGATTTGTCTGTTTTAATATTTGTTCCTTCGAGAATCCAATACCAATTTTTCACTTGCTAATGAGTATGGAAAAATCATTACTGAAAAGGACTCTCAATTGGAAGATTGAAAAATAACAAATAAGGAATTGCTCACTAAGCTATAGGTTATAATAATATTAATAATGACATGCATATTTAATTATACTAATATTTGATTGTTAATTTATTTAAATTTAAACCGGTTAATTTGATAGAATGTCTGATTTGGCTGACAAGATAGTTGTAGTTATCAGAAAGAGACCATTAGGAAAAAAGGAGATAGCAAAAAAAGATGAAGACATTGTGGATGTTCAGAATGATTAAAGTGTGATTGTTAGAGAAGTGAAGTAATACACAATTGTAAACTTAGACAAAAGGTAGATCTTACAAAATATGTTGAAGAACATATGTTTAACTTCGATTTGGCATTTGATCAGAATGCCTCAAATTAATAAGTTTATTTGAATGCAGTTCGACCAATTATAGAAGCAGCCTTTAATAAGGCTCGTGTCACTTGTTTTGCTTATGGACAGACAGGGAGCGGTAAAACACACACCATGTTGGGAGATGTAGAAAAATAAATACCTGGGATGTACATTTTAGCAGCAAATGACATATTTTAACTGCTACAATAAGTATTTTGATTGCATTAATATTTAAGCCTGAATTCCAGCATTTGATAGTAGGAGTTTCCTTTTTTGAAATATATTGTGGCAAATTATTTGATCTTTTAAATTAGAGAGGGTAAATCTAAATTAGAGAAGATGCGAAGGGAAATGTCAATTTAATTAATCTAATCGAGAAAAGAGTGAACTCAGTCTAATCCCTTATGTAAATCATTACTTAAGGTTAAACTGTGAGAGTGACAGGTTAATTTGATTTATTAATTTGTTAGCTCAAAATGGAGCCAATAATGAATCATCAAGATCTCATGCTATATTATAAATCAACTTAAGAGCAGGTAAAAATGTTTTTGGAAAATTGTCTTTCATTGATTTAGCTGGAAGTGAAAGAGGAGCCGATGTTTAAGATTCTAATAAACAAACTAGAATAGATGGAGCTGAAATTAATAAGTCACTTTTAGCTTTAAAAGAATGTATAAGAGCGTTAGATCTCAATAAAAATCACACTCCATTTAGAGGATCAAAACTTACATTAGTAATTCTAATTAAATAGTCTTAGGTTTTAAAAGATAGTTTAACAGGTAATTGTAAAACAGTTATGATTGGAAACATATCCCCAAGTTCATCAAGTAGTGAGCATACTTTAAATACATTAAGATATGCTGATCGAGTAAAGGAACTTAAGAAACCCCAAGATAAATAGTTTTAAGGAGATTACATTTAAAGAGAGTTAATGTTGGCTAGACAAAATAGTAATACTTTATTAATAATTATAATAGCTAATGTAGTTAGAAAAGCATATAAGAATCCAGATGATGAGGATGATGAAGATATATCATGCAATTCAATGAGTAATTCATTGTTTCCTTAATAATAACAACAATGTATTTTTTAATAATAACAATCATAATAATAGATTATGATGTAACAATAATATTAATCAAATTAATTTACCTATCAATAATAATAGTAATAATAATTTATTCCTTAACAATAACAACAACAGCTCCAATAACCATTATACTAACAGTAGAATGCTCCAAAATTATCATAAATACCTAAAAATTCTTCGTAATAAAATTCAAATAATACTCTTCTTAACAGATTTAATTTAGGCTCATTTCCTACTATTAATGGAGGCAGTTCTTCTCATATAATGCCCAATAATTCCAGATAATATACATAATAAAATTCATTATAACCTTCATGCAACTCCATAATGACAGAAGTCCCTTAACAACAACCTCAATTATTCTAATAATAATCATTTTAATAAAATAAATCTTCACTCTTATTCCCCTAACAACAACAACAATATTGTTAGAATAATAATAACCTTTTCCAGGAAAATACATATGAATAAGGATATTAATAATAATAACTATCAAATTAATAGGCATTAGATGTTAGACAAGATTCGATGGTTGAGGAAGAATTATGCATAAACAATCCAAACTATTTTAGTGTCACAGGAAGGTATTCCCAAGAATCCCAGTCTTCAAGACAAAGTTCCACAAGACCCTTATAAGAGATCAACAATTATGAAGGGTCTAAGTACTTTAATAATAGACAAGTCACAAATAATGATTATCAATATTAGTAACACATTTTGAACGAGCACAAACAAACTATTGACAAAATAGTTGAAATTACTAAAGATGTATTGATATGATTATACCAAAGGAAATGATCAATTTGTAATAAGTCTAATCTCCATAAGATATGTCACCATATGTCTCTAAAGTAATGTTCTAGCTTTAAAACAAAATGGATTTGATTGCTAATTTACATTAAAAGATGAAGCAATATCAAAAGGATTTTGACACAAGAGGAATACCATTTCAACCAAATTCCCATACTTTTAGTTTATTTTAATAAGATGACAATTTACTCAACATCGATGATAATGTGCTTTGAATTATAATATATTCAACAATTATATTCAAATCAAAATTAGCAAAAATCATTATTAATAAATGACCATCCATTAATATAATTAATAGAACTAGACTTGTCAGCTGATAATATAAAGTCAAAAGGGATGTCAAACTTTTAACTTAAAATCTCCTAATTTATAATTGGTTAAGGAGGTTATATTTTCCATTGTAATAGTTTCAAATATCATTACTTTTGTGTTACAATTAGAAAGACTTCCCTAAATACTTTATTTTTAATGTCTATTTAATTGAGTTTAAATACTATTAATCATTGTTCTGCGTATAATTTATTATTCATCGCTGATGGTGCTTAAATTTAAAGTCGCAGCATCATTTTATTTCCTGAATCTAGATTAATATTCAATAGGACAAGTGACATCTCTAGGAGTATTGATTGACAAAATTTGATGCTTTTGCATTGAATAATATTAATTAAATTTCTTATTATTAAATATATTATATATATAAATAGATCATTAGAAAATCATAACTTTTCTTACATCATAGACTACTAAAGCCAATTTTATTAATAAACATTTAATTCATTTCATTTTTTTTCATGCAATAGTATCCTATATGGCCTAACATCCTCTGAATTATTAATAACAAAATAATCAAGCTCTTTCATTTTATCGCTTTATCTAATTTTTTTTGGGTTTACTCTTGACATAAATACAACAGCAATTTTTTTATTACCCACATCAATATGATTTCCATATCTATCGTTAATACATACATCAACTTTGTTTGAGAAATAAATTCCACATCCTACCCGTACAATTTTGTTGAATTCATCTAAGCATTAATCATTAGCATGTTGATTAACTTAACCAGGTTATAAATTATTTTTCACTATTGAATTAACAGCCAAATTTTTAGTTCCATGATACATAATTCTCCATTCATTGGGATTACCATCCATTTTTATCCAATCATCATTTCTATACTTTTTTACATTTAAACCAAATCCATAGCAACCTCTTGGAAAATAATAATCATATCTATGATAAGCAGGTCCCCTCTATTCTTTCTCTTTAAAACCATCCCAATTCCTATTGTGGGAAGGATTAAAATCATCAGAAGAAAGAGTGATTCCTTGCTTTGTGTCTGTTGCCAGATTGTATGCATCAACTCTTGCTTGATCAAAGTATGCTACATATTCTATTTTTCCATCACAATATTCATTTAAGAATCTCTTTGCGTTTGGATTATTGTTAATCTGTTATTAAACCGATTCCATATCATTTCCTTTAATATTAAAATTAATTTCGAAGTGTTTCTTTGATATTCCTAAAATTTCAATTTAATCAATTGAAATATTAAGAGAACTTGATAATTGTTACTTAAATTCTAATAAATGGTGTTATAATAATTGATTGTCATTCACAATTTTATCAGAATCAAGATTTGTATTTCTAACTTTTAAACAAGATTAATCAGAGCCATATGATCCTATTATTGAATCAAATCCAAATGAATATTCTTGACTTGTTGTTAATAAATCTATATTTTAATCTCTTAATAATGATTCTTTTAAAACAAACAGTGCTAATTCAGGATTTGTGACTTAAATATTCTATTTTACATGAGGAATTGATTTAACTTCACCTTATTATTTTAATTTGGTAATTAGTTATTATTAATATTAATGTTTATAGTATTATTTCTTATTATTTGTAAGATCATTATTATTATTTATTTTTTTTATTTCTTAGTTTAATATTTATATCTATTGCTAAACAGGTTTTGTAATAATTTCTTATTATAATTAAGTTTATTAACTTATTGGGTATAAGTCTTATTTCACTAATTGCTCTTCTTGCTTTCTTCTTTCTTCTTTAAGTCTTTTTCGTTCTTACTCCTCTTCTCTTTCTTTTAAGCCTCTTATCATTCTATCTTCACTCCTTAATGTTTTTTCTTCAATCTTAATCTCAACCTGTTCTAGATTATTTTCATCTGAATCAATCTCAACCAATTCTTCATGTAATCTTTACCTTCTCAGGTTTTATATTCTCTAATATATAAATCTAACTATTGCAATAAAAATAACAGAAAATATGAAACCTCCTAGACAAAATAGGAAGTACATCAAGTAAATTAATGATTATATTGAATAAATATATGTGCAAATTATATTCTATTATAATGCAATTTTACTAATATGTAATATATTTGGAAAGATAACTTAAGATAGATTATATTTTCATAATTAACCCAATATTAAATAATTAAGAGGGATGGCAAGAATTTATGAAGAGTTGTATATATTGCTCAGCTATGAAAGAAATGACAAAGATAACAACCGGTAATCCAAATAATGATGTATTAAGCCCCAAGATTTTAAAACCTATGAATATTTGGATTGGAGGTTGAGAACCATATTGAAATACGATTAATTATACAAATCAGTAGAATTAATTAGTAAATGAGTAACTTCTAGAATTAATTATTTATATTTAATTAATGTTAACGAACAATTAATATCCCTAACTTCCTGTTCAATCTGTTTTGTACTAATAATAGACGTAAACAAATTAGAGGCTGCCTCCTTAGCAATTTTAATCACCCATCTAAATGAAGATGATATCACCGTAACCTTCAATGGTATATTAATAACAGGCAGCATAGAGTTAGATGTATACATAATCAAATCAACATATAAAAACTATCTAATAACACCACATGTATATTAACAATAAATTTAAATAGGCATCACACTCATGAATATAAAATACCTTAATATCAACAACCAATAGTTGCACCTCCATAATAAACTATAATTGCTCAACCTCAATAACCTATTGTTGCTGCTCCTCCTCCTCCTTAGTAACCTGAAATTAATGAGATGTATCATGTTGAAAGAGAATTGCAAGTCCTCTCTGTTGAAGATGTTGAAGAGCCATGGAAAAAGAAATGCGTTGAATTAGAAATAAAAATATTCGATTTGCAAACGGAATTAGCCAGATATAAGAATTAAGGATAAGAATTGAAGGTGACCTCAAATGAAGAATTTTAAGTTAGAGAATTGGAAGCAAAAATCAAAATGATGAAGGACATCGAAGATGGCTTGAGAAAAGAAATAGAAAGTCAATAAAGTGAAATCGACTCTTGGAGATAGAGATATTCAAAATTGCAATTAGAGTTTCAACAATTACTTTAAGGAGGGGAAGAAGTCAGATAATTAAGAGATGCTTTAGCAGAAAAAGAAAGGTAAATCTTGAAATTGGAAAATGCATTAAATTCGTAAAATGTGGAAATGCAAAATTACATGAGATTAATTTAGTAAGTTTTTCAAGCTATATATTAGGAATAAAGATTAAGAAATTGCATAATATAAATAGATGATTCGTCAATTAGAACAAGAAATGAGTGAATTTCAATAAACCACAGAGAAAATGAAATATTATTCCAACGAGGCAGATATTTGGAAAGAAAGATTCATGAAAGCAAATTAAGATTTTCATACTGCTTAAGAGTAATGGATGATGGCATAAGCTGAATTGGATTCTTTGAAAAAATAAAAAACCATTACTACAACTGAAAAAACTACCACTGTTTAATAAACGAATACAAGAGCTAGTAGAACTGGTGGTCGTTAATATTGAAAATTATTATATCATTATTTATTTTCGAACTGCCTTCTTACTCTCTCATGCCAACATTTCCTTTCGTCCAATTCGCATTGATTCTCATTACCAAATCTAGCATAGAACTTTAACATATAGTCCTCTAAGCAATCATTTTCACAACCAAATGCATATGCTGTCACCAAAACCTCAATTGCTATTTAAATTTTGCTATAAATTACCCATAAAAATGATGTAATAGTAGCTTCGTTTTGCAACTATATTTTTATTTATCAATGAATTAAACATAGTATCCATTGATCTTGTCAGCAAATACAAAGCCCAATTTTTTCTCTTACTCTCTTCTATTAAACTTAAGCTCACAAATCCAGCACTAAATCCAGACACAAAAGACATGATTTTTAGATCCTGTTGTGTCAAATGTCTGCATCCACAAATTATGGTCTTTTGTATTAATGAATAGACAGTAGGAAATGATGCAAATTTCAATGTATCTATTCCAATAAATGCTTCTAAAATTAAACTACCCTTGCTAATTTTTTTATTTTTAGATAACAAAGCAGAAATCAATCCAAAAAGTGCTTTCATTGTATATGCTATTCCAAAAGATCTCACCAGTCCCTCTAAAACATTATACAAACAACCCTAACTATTAAAATATTGCTTACGTGTTCATGTTAACAAAAAGGGGTCTTCACTTGTAGTTATGGATGCTGTTTTACAAAACGAGCCACAAAACTTACTAATTATCTTTTCATTATATTTTATTTTAATGTAATTCTTTCTAATACCGAGTCATTAATATCACTAATTAGTCATTTTCTTCAATTTTCTTCGGTCCATCCAAAACTAATGAAACCTGTGAATTAATTTTCAAAAACCGTATTCATTTTCTCATTGTGTACTCCAATATGAATTTGAAAACACAATAATTTTATGTCGACAAAAAGCAAATTATTTTTTTACCCTTCATTAAAATGCTTTTCAGGTAGCTTTAAAATATTAGAAAAACAACAAGAAGGAGTATTTTATTGCAAGGCATTTATATTAGAGAGATAAATTAAGATCAAGATCAAAATCTCACCTAACTGCTAATTCTTATATCTTCCTGGGTAGATTTAGTAATAGAAAATTTTTTAATTAATAAGCTCTACAGTATTAAAAGAGAATTCCAGTCTTTTTAAAAAATATTACAGAAACATTATAAAGATTTAAGAATAATATCTAAAATGGATTCGATAGGTAAAAATAAAACTCAGATCTGATAATATTCCTTTCGCTCTAGATTAGTTCTTGGTTAACTCATCTTTTGCTCGCTCATTTATTCAATTTGTTCTGCCTTAGAATTCAAAGTCTTATTCAAAACAATCAAGTTTGTTCTTGTTAAAATATTTCGATTAACTAGTTCTGATTAATACCCCTGCTGTTTTTTGTCATCATTAGAATAATCATTATTAAGTTATAAGAAATTTTTCTTATACTTTTCCATCTACTATAACTTAAAATTTTCTAAATGTAAAATCTTTCCTCAACTGAACAGTTTGAATATTTATGATCAATTGTTATAAAAAATTGAATATTTGATTCTATTATTCAAACTATTTAAATTTTTTTTGTTATATAAATAGTTAAATCTCATTTTTTCAGAAAATCTTTTTTGTTAAATCTCTAGAATTTTTTTTATTCTCATAATCTTTGCTTTATATATCATTTTCTTCATTAGAGTTTTCGTTTTCTTCAATCTCCTCATCTTAATCATCCTCATCTACATCATCATCAGCATCTTCATCCACCTACTCTTCTTCTTAATCTTCCTCTTCCTCTTACTCTTCATCATCATCATCATCCTCATCTTCAACTTCATCTTCTTCCTCTTCCTCTTATTCTTCCTCCTCTCCATTTTCTTCGACATCATCTTCAATATCATCTTCTTCATTATCCTCATCTTCCTCTTCTTCGTCATTTTCATTTTAACTCTCTTCATTATTATCTTCAATTTCGTCATCATCATCCACATCATCCTCCAAATGTGCATTCTCTATTTGGGTGTTCTCTTCATTGCTTTCGACATTTTCTTCTTCATCTGAATTTCCGTTTTGTCCTTAATTCTTGTCTAATTCTTCATTTTCCAGAGCTTCCTTTAAAAATTTGTTTTTATCGATATTTTTTTCATTTTGGCTAATTTTCTCTGAGAATCGAACAGACTTCTCTTTGACAGTTGAAACTTTAGCTTTTTTTTATTTTTTTTTCTTTTTAGTAAGAATTGATTAAGGTACAAATTGGGTTGACCCTGATTTTCTGTATTCATTTTCTTATGGAGCTTAGACATCTTATGTAATATAAAATTAGTCTTAAGTGCCATCCTGATAATCATGAATTAGGCTCTAAGTATCATCAAGAGTATTCCAAGCCTCTATTTTGTCAGAGACCTTTTTCTACAATTACATTTTGACTGGGGCAGTAACATTAGGTTTTAAATTTCCTTTTTGTTACCCTATTTTTTTTAACTCTTCTTATTTGGTTGCTTTTGTCTTTGATTACTTTGCTATAATTCCTACCAATTTCTAGATTTACTTTTATTATTCCTTTTATGAATTTTCAAGTTCTTCTGTAAAAATTAATTCTAATGCTTGTTGTTATTTTTCGATAATTTTGTTTATCACTTTGACCTAATTTTCTTTTTTTGAAAAGTCTAATTTTGAAAAGAGGTTAGAGTTGGAATCTATAATTACCTTGTATTGAGGGTATTTTTTAATAATCTTTTTCCTTAAGTTTGACCAACTCAATTTTTCAGAATCTGTTTTTTTATTGATCGTGCATGTATTCATTTCTTAATTTTAATTATTAATTGAATTAATAAGTAGTAAATTTTATGTCTAAACTTTACATTCTGATAATTTCAATCAGAATTGATTCGGTTTAATAAGCCATTTCGAAGACCAAGATATAAAAATATTTCCAAAACCATTTATTTTTGTTACATTTTTTACCTCGGAATGTTTTCAATGATGAATCCTAGAATTCGCTCCAAAAATAAGAAAATTTAGAATTTATTGCTAAATGAAGAAAATAATAAGGAAATGTTAAATTTTTGAAATTGTTAAAAGCAGAATTGTTTCGAATACATATATATTGTTATTATCAATTTATTCAAATGTTAAAATAACAATTTAAATTAGAAAATTTGTAAATGATTTTATAAATTTTAATGGCATAAATAAAAAACATAGAATTGTAAATGAGAAAAGATTAAAGATATTTAGTTAAATACAGAAAGTTTTATATTGACTACTGATAAATATTGAATAAATAACAAAAATAATGAAAATAATGATGTGAATTAATTCATGAATGACTAAATATTCAAAAATTTATAAAAAATAATGCTTAATTATTAATAATTGAAATTATATATTCTAATAGTAAATTTTGATAAGTTAATTTAAACTATATTAATCTAATTAGCAAAATTAATGAATAAAACATGAAATAATTGAAAGTGCATTTTATAAATGTGTGAATACAAAAATATGAGCATATTAATCATTTTTATTAGAAAAAAAACAAGATAGTTAAATGAATTCATTTAAAATATTAAAACATAAATCATATTAAACAAAAGAAATGATATTTTAATGAATTTAATCTAAAATAAATGAATAAAATAATCATTCTATTTGAGTTAATAAATACTAAAATTTGCTAAAGAATTTTTTTAAAATATATCAAGAATTTAATGAATTCCAAATATATATGATTGGAAATGATTAAATTTTTAATAATTATTTCAAAATTTATTAACAAAATAATCTATCTTTATTAGTAAATAAACGACTTAATTTTCACTGAATTTTTTCAAATAGATAAACATAATTATCATCAATTTTAAACATGATATGATTCATAATGAAATCTTTTAAATCTATGAACTGAATTGTCATTTTCAATTCAAATTTAAATGATTTCTAAGATAATGAACATACTGAAATACACTTTATTTTTAATGTTTATTTAATTTTTTTTATCTAATTATATTATTTTTTATCATATCATTTTATTTACGAATGATTCTGCTTATTTATATTGAAATATTTAACTATAAAATATATTTTAAATCCTATCAATTTGTCACTTAGTTAATAATAATAATTCTGATCATATATTGATTAAATATTTAGAAAAATGAAGAAATACTATTAATATAACAACCAAATCCATAATTGAGTTGATTCAATTTTTTATATAATTGTTGATTTTGATTATTTTTTCATCATTTAACTTTAATTTGAAAACATTTATAAATATATATTTAAACAAAACTTTAGATTGAATATTAGAATTCTTATGTTAATGTGCATTACAAACATTCTTACAATTTATAAAATTTATTACTAAAATCATATTATATTCATTTATTGGTTTAAAATTGTTCAAAAATTAATAATACTTTTGTTTTTCTTTCTTTAGAAATTTATTTCAAATTCTGCTTTGTCATTCTGTTCAATCAATAATAATTAATCTATTTTCCTTCCAATCGCTAAAACCTAAGATTTTCTTTTTTCATATTTGTTATAGGGCACAGCACTTTAATTGAGCAAATCATTATACTATGTCTTTCAGATTTCTGATAGAAATATGATAGCGATCAATTTTCCTATAATTTTAAGAAGAAGAAAATAAATCCTAGATTGTTATTGTGCTGGTATATCCTATTGGAACTTTAGAGAAAAGCTTAATATGGAAAGAATTTATATATATTAATATATGTCATCTTAAATTTCTCATCTTCAAATTATTGTATGTTTACAATAATCTTGATCTTTATTTAGTTGGGTCTCAAAAAGTATATAATATTAGTAATTACTTTTCTGAATACAATGATATATAAATGATATATAAATATTATTAATAGAAATATAAATATTATTAATATGAGTTCATCTCAAGTAGGATATCTAGTAACTGCAAATATAATTACTGCATTTGGTGGAGGAATATTATATGGTTTATATCAACTAGCAGGTGATTACTTAACAACCTTTTTTTTTATGGTACCAGCATAATTTAAATATAGATAATTTTTGCTGTTGCATTGGCAAGCATCAGAATTTCAGTAGTGAATAGCATTTAGAAATTATATGAAACAAATAGCTAAAGATGGTCAAATTAAAGAATTTACTTTTTGCATCAAGCAAAATTTGGAATAACTTTCAATTTAATAATAAATCTTGTGTACTGCCTAAGATATCCATTTAAAATGTTAGAATATTTGAAATAGCTGTTTACGATTTCTTCAATTCCATATATTTTTATATTCTATGTTGTAGTAATAAAACTGCAATGCTTACCTTAACTATTGTTTTGGGATGTTTTATTTTGGGCCTGTATTGATTTATTAAGAATAATATCATATCCTTTTAAGAGAAAAGCCAAAAAAGACGAGTAAGGATTATTAGAATGGATTAGCAAATCTAAATTATTTAATACAATGTTATTTGCATCGGTGTTGTTGGGAATGATTTTAATATTACCAATAGCAATAGCATTAATATATTAGGATATAATGATATATAAAGAGGACTTGATACCAAAGCTATAGAAATATTAAATTCCAAATGAATATAAATACTATCTTTCAGCAGACTTCCTTCTATCCTAATTGCAAGGACAGTATCTATCTGAATCTTAGATTCAGCAGTTATCTACTTACCTAAATCCTGTTGATGTTGAGGATAACCATAAAAATAATGTCATCTTTTTAGAGATCTTTTATGGAGAACACGCTGTTAAAATACTTGGAAGTCTAAAGGACTGTTAAGATTCCAAGTATTGTTAAGCTAAAGTGCTATTTAATAATTTGAATTTGTTAAATGATTAAATCTATGAGTATATGTAATACGGGTATAACTATTTTAATGCTATTTTGCCTCAATTATAGTAATTTGCATCCGTGATTGGGCAGTTCCTTATAAAAGTATTTAGTGGGAGTGTTGCATTTTTAGTGAAATTCATTATTTTTTAATAGGGAGTGATGTACTTATTAACAGAATCTTCGTTTTATGATTTAATTAGTGTGAAAGAAAAGAAAAATTCATTTAAGGGAACATTGGTTTAGAATATAAGTAAACATATAACTGGAGTATTTGTATCCTTATTTACTATTTTTATGTAACACTTTATGTTATCATATATGTTTTTGGATATCCTACAAATAAAGTTAGCCTTTATATAAAGTCTTTTGATTGGATTATTATCTTTAACCTAGATAGTGGATCCAGGATTGACATTTATATTAATTACTGGAATTTGGTGGTTGGCTGGATTTCTAAATGATGCAGTTCATGAGTTTTGTATAAATGATGGATTAACTATATTGTTGGCTATAGGATTTTATTTTTAATCTGGTTCAATTTACTTAAATACATTTTAAAAACAATTAGGAGATGCATATTGGAGTGCAATGTCTGTTATTTTAGGATACATTTCATTTCGATGGTAAGGACTTTTAATTGGTCCTTTGTTGATTGGAGGAGTCAGAACTCTTTATGAGATTCTTGCCTGGTACTGGGGCGAAAGGGAAATTATGAATGATGATAAGACAATTTAGAATGAGAATCAAAGAATTTAGGGTGAGTTTAAGTCAATTGAAAATAAAGGAAACACAAGCAAGAGTGGCTAAATTAAGAAGGAAGGAAAGAAAAAGAAAGACTGACATTATATCTATCGTAAATAAAATTATATATAATAATAATAAAAATAAATAATGGAGAAGAGATTTTACAAAACCTGTTCCAAACATGCTTACTATTAATATATTAATAGATTTGATCCAAAATTGCTAGCCACTTATTAAACTGGATATTATCACGGGATTGGAAGACAGTATATTTTCTAAATTAAGTTAAAGAGGATTATTCAAAACATTAGTTTTGAGATAAGCAGGTGACAGTATTGGAATGGAAGAGGATCACAGTTATACTTATAAGATGCACGTGATGGCCATGAACCTAATGTATAGAAGTGGTTGGGTGTTATTTGCTTACATTCTTATTTGGAATACATTTTTATTAGGAGATCCCTGCTAAGTATTCAATAATATCTAATGGATAGGTGTTTAATACATCTTATTGGGACTTGGCATGCAAACCATCTGGAGATATGGATTACAATACAAGATATGAAATGTTGTACGTTCAAGACAGAGTATTAAGATTCTGACCCATTAAGTATAAAAATATTATTATTATTTTAACCATCTTCACTTCTTTGAGCTTCCACTTGATTAAGAAGGTCAGGTTAGTTATTCTCCTCCAATAATATTGAAATGAAGATGCCATGCGCTTTGGCCTCCATTCTCAAGATAGCTTATGATTACTCTAAATCCTTTCTTCAACTCATCCACTAATTCTACAATTTTATACATTTCGAACAATAAACTGTTTAAGATTTCTTTATCGTGTACTTGCGCACTGAGCTTTTTTGGCTAACATCATGAAATTAAGGCATTCGACATGTTTCAATATTTCTGGATTATCCTAACAAAAAATATTTGCTTTTTCAATAAACAAAATAAGATTATATATTTAACCAGAAACTATTTTATCAAAATTGGTCCTTCAGTGTCCAATTACAATAAAATTAAATAAATCAAAACATATTTTAATACAATTCATATACTTAATTTCAATTATATGAATCAATATAATATTTTATTTATTACAAAAATTACTGTTTACATAAAAATAGAAAGTCACCTGGTATTTGTAATTTATATCGACTTAGAGGATATGGAAATACCCAATTTATGATTCCACCAACTCCCAAAAATTTTGGAATAATCTAAAATTATTATTCATTCAATACATGAACTATATAAAACATTAATCAAATTTATAAATATAAAAGGAATCAAAATTATAAATGGTAGAACTAATGAGAGCAATATCTTAATAGACGAATTTTTTGTAAGCTTTGATTTCCACATACTAAAAAGCCCTTCTTCATAAGAACTTTTTGTATTCACATCACCAACTAGTAATCCTGTTATCACAGCTCCTAACTCTGTAAATTGAAAACAGGCTTTATATAATACTTATGGGGAATCTCTTGTGTAATTGGTAGATTTGCATTAATGAATTCTAAAAATCCATTAACTCATCTCCTATCGATCATAATAGATGAAGAATTTAATTTTAATAATACTAAAGATAAACCTAAAAGAACTAATAATAGGAAAAATGCAATAGGAATAAAATTATTTATTTCTTAATGTCGACTTTATTATTGATTTAACAAATTTCGAATGCACCTAAACGTATTATTATTGATTAAATACCGTCTTAATGAATCATGAATTATAGCAACATACATTTAAGTAATATATAGACCTGTTCTTCAGTGTAAATAGATTTATAAAAGTTTAATCATAAATACTCTTTAAAAGTTCATTTGTGATTACACTTGCTACAACAACTGATAAATATAGTAATGAATTTAATTTATTGTTATCGTTGAAGCAGCAATAAAATGCAGCAAGGGTGGAATAAAAACGGAAAAAAATTCATAAACAAAAAGTTCGAAACCAGGAATTGATTATTGCATCGATTTAGTAAATGATTTACTAATATCCCAAAGTTCATCATCAAAAATAATATAGAAGATGACATAAACAATCAGAAAAGTAGTGAAACTATTGATTATATTAATTTATTCATTTTATAATAATGGATAAAAAAGTATATCTTTTTTCTATTCAAAGGTGTAGGGAAAAATTACAAAATACAGAATACAAAAAATTTAATTATTGATTTGTGTATCAATCAAAACTATTTATTAAGAATTAAGTTTTTGACTATTAATAATCAGAACTTCTCAATTTTTACAAGCTTAATTATATAAGATTCTTATAATAAAATATATTTAAAATAAAGGTTATCTGCAAAAGAAGTTGAATAAATATCATTATTCCATATATTTAGGTATTGGTATTCCAGATTTTAATATACAACCACCTGCATGTACCATAGCTACTGCAGGATAGATTGGCCCTTTTTTAAGCAACTCTGATCGAAACGCAATTCCCTAATAATCAGCATTTAATGAGAAGGCCAGAGTTCCTTAAACAATTTATGATATCAATTACCATTATTCATATTTAGATAGACACCTATAACACATTCATTTCTGAATTTTTTTCCATACTATTACCCAACAGCTTGTCCATTTCTTAATGATCCTTATCCATAATATGCAAATCCTTAAACACTGTCACAAAATGCAACATCCAACTTTACGTTATTTCCTACAAAAACACCAATTTTAAATTCAGCATCTGTTTTGCTATCTACTTCAATTTCCCAATAATGAACCCCCCCTTCAATTGGCTTCATAAAATATAAAAAATACCATATCTCCCAATGCTGTTCTGAAATTGTATTAGCCATCTTTAATTTACACATAAAGATCTCCCATCGATAATAATAAACCATCAAAACATTTATTTTTGTCCCATTTAAAAATAATACTTCCATCACCCATTACAGATTGTTATTGAATTATTTAATTTTATCTACTCTAAATTTGAGATGGTGAAGTAGGTAACTGAGATACGTACTGTTTAATAATCTCATATTATTTTCTGGAAGCTCCTGCATTATTAAATAATGATACAGTACATTCACAAATAACACTGCAATATAATTATTAGCTAAACTTTATTTATAGAATTACATATTTTTCTCCAATGTTAAAAAGTTGTTGCATACATCATAATTTTGACATTTTTATTTTGCACATTCTGTTAGATGTTACTCAAAATCTATAATTGTGAATAATTTTTTGCATTTGAGATTTGGGCAAGTTAATGTCAAATTCTTATAAACTTTAAGCATTGCCCCTTAAAGTTTGTTATATTGTTGAGGTACTCCTTTAGGACAACAAGAACTTTGACAAATGGGCTTTTGGGCTACACATTCATTGCAGTACATTTAACCACACCAACCGCATTCTCGAGGGTCCTTTACAATTTTATTGCAAACCAAACAAATATAGTGATGCTCAGGCTTAGGTTGGAATAGATTAATTTCATAACCAGACATGCTATATTTTGTTGAAATATAAATTAAAAAAATTTAATAATGTTTTCTTAAATGAAAGATTTCTTCTATTTTGCAAATAGTTTAAAAGAAAATTAATTTAATAATTTATTCACCATGCGTCTGCTCACTAAATCACTACTCCATGAATTATAAAAAAGAAGAATATTTTATAAGAGAAATCTTTATAGAGTTTAATGTTTAATGTCTTACAATATTAAAACCCTTCAATAAAAAATCAAATAATCCAATATATAAACTGGATTGATACAATGAAAAATGTCATTTGATAACTATTAACAAAAATTTGATCAACTTTTCAAGACCCTTTTAATGTTGTTATTAATATTATTAAGGTATAAAATGGAATGAAGAATAGTTGACTTTATGAATAGTTGTAATAGAAGAAATGATGAAAAAATGGAAATTTTTAATTTAAAATTTTATTTGCTTATGGATATTAATTTACTCATACATTTAGATGACTTTGCCGGAAACAATTAGAATAACTTTATATTTTATGTAATCTATTGAAAATCCTTTCAATTCTACACAATTCAATGATCTAATAGCTCAATATGAGGTTCATTTAGGGGTCAAATTAAAAAGAATTACAAAATGTCTTAGTTTCCTCTATAGTTTAAGAAATTTAATCTATTTTTTAGAAATTAGAAAAAGAAATTTAATTGACAAAGGATTATTATTAAAATCGTTTTTATAATGTCAATATAGACACAGAGATGATTCAGATTGAATTGTTGTTCAAATATTTTTATATTTTCACATAGGGACATTTGCAAATTATTCCATCTCCTTTTGATATTATTCTTGCAAATATTGATCCAAATCGTTAGGACTGATTGATCCCTACATTTTGATATCACTCTCCTTAACCTCGAATCCACTTTCACTATCATATGATGAATATGGTAAACTGTTATCCGCAGGAGCAAATGGAGAAACAACTCCCTTTTGATCAGGGATTGGATCCTTTTAAATAACTGGAGTGAGTTGGTGTTCAACTACATCTACAGGCATTTCGCTTTCTGGATCATATTGATTGTCTTTTTTGCTTTCATTCTATTAACTCTACATGTAGGTATCTTCATCATTTAAATGTTATTCTTCAAGTGTTTATCTCTTCATTCTCTCATATTCTTCTTATTCTTTTCTATCTAACTCTTCCATTTATTCAGCAGTTAATGTTTATTCTTCATCTATTTATATTACTGCTTCTTCCTCTATTTGAACTTATATTTATTCATGAACATTGATTTCTTAGAATCCTTCTTATTGAGTTTCTTGTTGTCCATTCAATTAAACATCATCATCAATATATTGCACTTATTTTTCTATCAAAGCTAATTTCTGTCCATTCAAAATATGGGTCTACCTTTGTCTCAAATGCTCAGCTGATTGAGCTATGCCTATCAAAATAACTATTAAAATCACTGTTCTCATTAAAACGGATTATTATAATATTGTAAATATTCCAACAAATTAATAAATAATACTTTAAATAAAAATAGATAGTGATTCATTCATCCTATACTTTCCATCTTAAAATAGATAATATATTTAAATGCATAATGATATTTCTAGATATTCATAAAAAATATATTTATATCAAGAATTCTCATAAGTATGTTATTATTCATTATCTTATAAATAAGTGATAAAAACCTAATTGCCACATTATGATGAAACTAGATAATCAGTCAAAATAAAAAATATCTAAACATTACAAGATCATAAATTTCTTATGATATTTCGATCAAATACAGTTTTGGTTTATTACTCTATTTACTAAATAAAACTAGAATTAAAGAAGTTGTAAAAATCATCATCTCTAGCAATTTAATTCTGGTAATTATGCACTATTTGAGGATGACCCTATCAATATTTTCAGTTTTCATTTTTATTTATCATCGAAGATAAGGTTTACGAATAATATATTTGATTGCTGACAAATAAATAGAAATCCTAAAAATTAATTGTAGAATAGATGATATATAGTTGTTATGTATTAAGAGATTTGAAGACCAATTTGATAATTGTTTTCATATAATCGTAAAAGAAATGATATTAATTATAATTTGTATTCGTTTTTAATATTAATATAAAAATGAGAATTGTATTATTAGTTCTATTGAGCATGGTATTATTGATATAGGATGTTAGGCATTTTGTAAAATGGGGACAGATCCAAAGATTGTGTTGGCAGAAATAGATGACCATCATATGGGTAAAACATTCTTGAATGCCATCCAAATTAGTTTGGCAACAGGTTCACCTGTACATGAAATTTAGAGCTACATAAACAATATTAGGTATAAAATAATCATGACCGTAGATTTATGTTGGAACAAGAATAAAAGGATGCTGATCTCTATATTCAAAGCACATAGGCATCATGCAATAGATTGTTACATGATTTTTCAACAAATTTAGCTTATCATTAGAGTTAATTGAAGGCTCATTAGAAAATAGTTGAGGTTAATCATATATCAATAAATTAGGAAAATACAAATAATCTTTAGAGATCTCTTAATAAGATTGCAGAGGTCTCAGTTGAAATTGAGGAGAACAACAAGAAAACAAATGCGGGGTAGAGCGAAAGAGATTTACAATATGCTGAATTTTAATCTAAAATCAAAGATCATACAGAAGCAATTGCTGCAATTGATGAAGCATATGCATTGATTGAACATTTATCAAGTGGATCATCCTTTATTTAAGTGAAAGGAAGATTTAACAAAGTCTTGTAGAGATTATAGAAGTAAAGTATTATCTAATTCAATTAGTTAATCAACTGGATTATTATTTTAACCAATACTAACTATGATGACTTAATTATCATCAAAATCTGATTCCGACACTGCAAAGAAAGTTCTATAATTGTTGGCCAACTTAAGAGTTCAAATTGTTGAAAGCAAAGGAAATGATGAATCTATAGAGAAATAATAAAGTCTAAATTGGTAATAGTTCTTAGCAGATTTAACAAATGAGAAAAACACTTTGTAATTCTATTCACTATTCTTATAATAGGTCAGATCAAAGATAAAATTTAGAATAAGCTATTTTAAATTATTAGAGTATTATTGAAGAATCAGAAGGCAAAGTTGAGTATCATGCTGCTGAAGTTGAAAGAAACTAAGTAATAAGTAATTTAAATTAAAGAGTAACTTGGAAGGATAAGACTAATGGTGTAGATAATAACAAGACATATATTAGATGGAAACCTAATCCAGAGTTTAGAGTTAAGATTTAATTTCCAGAATTTCAGATCACATTTAGGATAAAATTGTAACTCTTAAAGAATATTTAAGAGAAAGACTTCAGTTAAATTGAGTATCTAAACATTAAAAAATAAATACAAATTTTAAATTATTAATACATACATCTATCCTTACTTACATCATCAATTTATTTTTGGGTTTTTTATNATAATTTGTATTCGTTTTTAATATTAATATAAAAATGAGAATTGTATTATTAGTTCTATTGAGCATGGTATTATTGATATAGGATGTTAGGCATTTTGTAAAATGGGGACAGATCCAAAGATTGTGTTGGCAGAAATAGATGACCATCATATGGGTAAAACATTCTTGAATGCCATCCAAATTAGTTTGGCAACAGGTTCACCTGTACATGAAATTTAGAGCTACATAAACAATATTAGGTATAAAATAATCATGACCGTAGATTTATGTTGGAACAAGAATAAAAGGATGCTGATCTCTATATTCAAAGCACATAGGCATCATGCAATAGATTGTTACATGATTTTTCAACAAATTTAGCTTATCATTAGAGTTAATTGAAGGCTCATTAGAAAATAGTTGAGGTTAATCATATATCAATAAATTAGGAAAATACAAATAATCTTTAGAGATCTCTTAATAAGATTGCAGAGGTCTCAGTTGAAATTGAGGAGAACAACAAGAAAACAAATGCGGGGTAGAGCGAAAGAGATTTACAATATGCTGAATTTTAATCTAAAATCAAAGATCATACAGAAGCAATTGCTGCAATTGATGAAGCATATGCATTGATTGAACATTTATCAAGTGGATCATCCTTTATTTAAGTGAAAGGAAGATTTAACAAAGTCTTGTAGAGATTATAGAAGTAAAGTATTATCTAATTCAATTAGTTAATCAACTGGATTATTATTTTAACCAATACTAACTATGATGACTTAATTATCATCAAAATCTGATTCCGACACTGCAAAGAAAGTTCTATAATTGTTGGCCAACTTAAGAGTTCAAATTGTTGAAAGCAAAGGAAATGATGAATCTATAGAGAAATAATAAAGTCTAAATTGGTAATAGTTCTTAGCAGATTTAACAAATGAGAAAAACACTTTGTAATTCTATTCACTATTCTTATAATAGGTCAGATCAAAGATAAAATTTAGAATAAGCTATTTTAAATTATTAGAGTATTATTGAAGAATCAGAAGGCAAAGTTGAGTATCATGCTGCTGAAGTTGAAAGAAACTAAGTAATAAGTAATTTAAATTAAAGAGTAACTTGGAAGGATAAGACTAATGGTGTAGATAATAACAAGACATATATTAGATGGAAACCTAATCCAGAGTTTAGAGTTAAGATTTAATTTCCAGAATTTCAGATCACATTTAGGATAAAATTGTAACTCTTAAAGAATATTTAAGAGAAAGACTTCAGTTAAATTGAGTATCTAAACATTAAAAAATAAATACAAATTTTAAATTATTAATACATACATCTATCCTTACTTACATCATCAATTTATTTTTGGGTTTTTTATTCTTTTAAATTGAAAAATAACAATTTCTGATATTATTGCATTTCTTTTCATATCTATTTATAGGATAATATTAATTTAGATAGTCAATCGTGAAATTTAATGAGTATTTATAAAAATGATCTCGACATTTTGTCTTTCTTCAAAAAAGTTATTAAAATAGAAATGAATAATTTTATCATATTTAAAGTAATATTAAATGTCCTATTTTAATTGCACCTCCACTTAAGTTGTTGAGATAGAAAATCAAAATATACAATGAGATTTAAAAGAATAAAATTGGTTGTTTATTTTTTTTTAAGTATGTACTTAAAATTTCACCCTATAATAAATTAATTTGAATGTCTTCATAGATTTGTATAATAGTATGAAATTAACAAAAATATTTTATACCTTTATAGAAGTGTAGAATTGTTGGTTAATAATGAAATTAATAAATAAAATGTAAATGAAAGAAATAAACAGATAGGATGTTCCTAAAATTGATAAATTTTTAAGGAGGGAACAAATATTCAAGAATGAGAAGAAACTAAATGAATTACATGCAAATTATTATTAAGGGATTTAATTGAATAAGAAGGAACTCCATTAGGAGGCAATTAAATTATTGGATTACAAGGTCATCCATCCTGATGATTTGGAGATTTATATATCATCCAGTTCAATAACAGATAAACCCATGATTTATAAGCATCCTTTATGGTTATAAGAGAAGTGAGTTTTGAATAGAGTTAAATATCAATAAATGTAAATAAAATTATTAATTATAATGAGAAAAAGTATTAATATATAATTCACAAACTGCATTATAATTTCTAACTTTAAATAAGTTTGATAACACTGCTTTGTTGTAAATATATTTATGGATTTATTTATTTAAATTTCTTATGTTATATTTTGGCATATTTTAAATAGCAAGGCTAATGCTATAATTCAATTTAGTTACTTTAGTATATGGATTTGTGTTCCATTTTTTGCCATTAAAATAATTATAAAAGTCTTTAACATATGATTTTGATTTGAGATTGATGAATGCATAGCCAGGATTAGCAGTTCCATCAAAAGGTAAATTGAAATAATCAAATTTATTTTTGAATTTTGGATCAATTTCCATCATTAGCATTTCTTTTGTATAATTTTGGGGAATATTTCTTATCATCAAAGTTGTTCTGTTATCTCCTTCAATCTATAATAGGCTTGATTTAATACATTAGTAATATTGAAATAAAATGATTGCTCGCTCTCTTCTGATTTATCGAATACCCCTTATATGAATTGTAACTGCTCGGAATGAATTGGAGTTTGATTGCTGCTTATAAATATTTGAGATTCTAAGTTTTATCATCAAAGATATACCATATGCTTCAAATGTAGAATTTAAAAAGTCATCAGAAGTAGAGGAGTCATCACTCTAATGTCCATCACTATCCTTTTGATTAAATTCATCTATTTCTTTAAACAATGACAATTTTTAAAGCTTTCTCTTCATAATTTAAATTAATTAACAACTTATTAACAATAAAACATTTAAATTAATTTTTTTTACATTTATCAATTTCAATAAACAATTTTGTATCTAATTCTAATCTACTTATTGCTATTAGTTCATGTAAACCCTGAAATCTACGAGTTAAAGTGGTTTAAAAAGACGAGGATTATAAAATTATTTATAAAGTTTTATTTTATTTCAATGAATTCTTTGTCTCCTTTGGTATTCAAATCCGATAATAAATAGGAAGAATTTAGTTTGCAATATCAAGAATAATAATTGATCCTCTCTGATGTATAAAATATCAACTATTAATAGGATGATCCTCCCATTCAATTATCAGACACTCATAAAGTGTTTCGTAAGAACCAAGCATTTAGTAACTTTATAAAGCATCATACACCTCTATCCTCTCAATTCGAAAAGGGAGTGACCATAAAAATGATCAAACATAATAGATAGGGTTAGGATAGAGATGAAAATATCAAGAATATGAAATCGGTTCAATTCAATCTTCTAAACAATTGCATATACGTAATAGTAAAGCATCCCAATGAATATCTATCTTTAAAAGAGAAGTTTAATCTTTAAAGAAGAATACAAAATTATGCAAGAAAAAGTAGATTCGATTCTACATCTGAGTAAGATGATGATGATATTGAAGAGAAACATTCCATTGTTGAAATAGTAGCTAAAGAGTTAACTTAATAACCAAAGAGTATATTGAAAAAATAAATGCAAGAATTTAAACATGAAGCAGATGATCATGAAGATTATTTTAAAAATAAAGGGTTAACTTGTAGAGAAATAAAAAACTTAGAGAAAAAGGTTACAGAACATGACTATGGAGTAGGATTACAATTACTCAAAAAATTAGGGTTCAAATATGGTGAAGGTCTAGGAATAAATAGACAAGGTATCTTAGAACCTGTAATCCCTGTGAAAAAGCAAGTGTTTACAGGTTCATTATAGAACTACAATAAGAATAATGAGGAAGATTTGATTTGGTAATATGATAACTAACAAGATAATAAAAACACAAAAAAATTGGATAAATTATGGAGAAAAAGGAACTAAATCGATATTTGGCAAGATTAAGAACAATCGGCTTAAATATAATCTAAAGATAATACTAATTTAGGATATATAGGGGAAGTAAAAGAAGTATAAGAATTGGCTTAATCTGTATAAGATTTACTACTTACAAAAAATATGATTGAATAATAAAACATCTCATCGAAGAAGAAGAAGTTAGAAAAGCATAAGGAATGTATAAGCAAAAACCAATCATTTAGAAACTATCTTCACATTTTTTAAGATGATGATGTGTAAAACTAAGCCAAATCTTTTACTTTATTTCATAAGTTTTCAGAATGCTTCAATAAACACCCTGATTTATTTATTTAGTTTAATCTGATTGATGTATTAATTTAAGAAGGAGGATAGGAAATAGCATAGATATCTAAAATTTGGGAGGGACCAAAAACAGATATTCTTGAAAATGAATTCAAATTAATTTACAAAATTGTTAATTTAGGCAAAGATGTTTTAATTTATTTGAAATCTTAGGCCATTTCTTCAAATCACCAAGCTTCATATACTGATGATAACTGTATGGCTGCAACCAATATTATAAACCTTTAAAATATAATAGACATCCTTATTCATCCAATCTCATAACAATTAGAAAATTATATATGTAAGCATTATGATCCAAAGAAAGAAAATTTATTACATGAAATGCTTAAATTATGGAGTACTGATATAGTATCAATAGAGAGTGATGAGATTGAAGAAAGAATGCAATTATTTAATGAAAAAACTATTTCAAAATTAAGTAGTCTTGTGATCCCAAAATTAAAATCAACTATTTCTAATTGGAATAATAAGGATGATCCAATTTAACTTCACAAAGTCTTGCTTCCTTGGATGGACTCTTAGTTCAACAACTAAGAATTATCAGATCAATTGATTGACAAACTGATGGATATTGATTTGAGAGATTAACCTGATTTTGGTATAAGGGTTTTATCTCCATGGTTGAAACTTTATGATACTTAATGGAATTAGATTCTTGAAAAATAGGTGATAACAAAAATAGGGCATTTAATCAAAGATTTAGATGTCGGATCTAATTTTGAGTTTGTAAAAAGAATTCTTCATTATTTTGATTACATTTAACACAAAATTGAAGTGCTATTTGGGCCTTTAATTGATAAATTAAATCAACATGTGTGCTCAAGAATATTAAAAAGTTGTGAATGTAAAAATTCAGAAATTCATAAAGAAACTGCTTAGTATAATTCATAAATAATTTAAATAGATGGTTGAGTGATTGGGAATTGATCCTCTAAGAAAAGGTATTAAACAAAGTTAAGCCACTGTCTGAAAACTTTAATTTGATCAAAAAGATGCTGATTTGATGATCATTTACTAATTAAATTATTATAAATGTTACTGAAGTTCTTATAATTATAAAGAATACATAAAAAGTAATCAAAATTCAACTGGTTTAAAGCATGATCTTGTCTTATTTTATAAACTTGAGTCATATAATGAAGGATTTAAGAATACAGGCCTTATTTGCTCTTATTGTAGCTAAGATTTCAGTCTCTACCTGAAATTAAATATTTCTTCTTCTGAGTAATGCAGGAATACTATAGAAGAATCTGCAAAACTCACTCTCTTCTCCACCAATTACTGCATGGAATCTTAATATTCATAGTCATGTGTGTAAGGAAACTAAGCTTTTTTGTTTTGTAGTAATTCAAACTTAACTTTAGGCCCTATGCAGGTAGTCATTGTATGTAAAAGATTATTAATTATAATTAAAACAGTAATAATCACCCATCACTCTAATATAAATTAGAACTGGTTTAAAATAAGATCAATTTTCAATAAAAAAGGAGGCTAATTATTTATAATTAATATTAAACGATAATTTTATTGTTAATTTTACTTTACGGTTTTCCTATTTTATTATATTATTTCGATTACTATGAGAATCATTATAATATATACACTAACTTCAGATGAATAATATATTATCATTCTGAGATTAAAAATCCGGATCGTTCTCCATGTAAAATATTAAATAACCTGGAAATAAGACAATTTGACTCTCTTGAACAAATACTTAATTCATACTTGTTAAGTAAGTGATCTTTTGATTCTTAAGTTAAAAATGTTAATAATTGAAGTATTTCTATTCTGGAAAATCCTTAATAAAAATAGCAGCCTTTTTTAAAATAACTAAAATTGACTGGCTATTATTTATAAGGAAGTAATATTTTGGTAGAAATAGGATTTCGAGTTTCAGCAACAAATTAAATAGGAGAATAGAGATGATAAGAACTCATAGAGGATAATGCTTTGAAGGTATTAATAATACAATTATAAAAATGAAGATATTTGTATATTATTTACCAGGGGAACTGGGAAGTCATTCAAGTATCATAGAATTCAATGACGAGATTCATATAAATTGAGAGGTCCTGGAAAACTTAATGGAAAGAAGTGTTGAGTGGGATACAAGTAGAGTCAGTGTTTATAATTGAGAATTTACAAGTAGGCTGATTAGATTAAAATCAAACACATTGGAAGGGTGAGTTGAAATGTTGAAAGAGTAAATTAGATTTAAGAATAGAAAAATTAGGTGTTATATAATTAATGTTTATAATGATTTTTATAGTTAATTATTAATATTTTAAATAATTAGTAAAGGATAGTTGAATAGTTATTTCTAAGTTAGTTTTACTTGTTTATTATCGCTGAAAATAAAATTTTGATTTGTTGTTTAGAATGTAAATCTTATAGGTAAATACGATGTTTGGTAATATATGGAAAATTAAACAGAATCTTAAAAGGGAGCTTTATTAATTTATTATTTGTAGTATTAAGGATATTAAGTCTTAATTTAATTAGATTTCTGAGTTTAAATTTCTACTCTAGATTTTAGATAAACAATATTAATCTTATAAAAACAAAATGAATTCTTCACAAAGCTCATTTACAGATCTTAATAATTGGGCTTTATTTTACTAGAATCTCTAACTAATTGAACCAGAGAAATTATCTTCAAAGCTCAAACTACATTTCAAAACTATACCTGATTTTAATGACTTTATCAAACTTTATGAGTCTTCTAAGATTGGATCGAATGATACTTGGAGTGTGAATGAAGAGCTTTTCTTATAACTTATAGTTTTGAGTCTCAATCCAAGATGCATAAAAGTAGTACCGATTATTTATATATAGAATCGATTTGATTGGGAGAAAGTGCAGAAGCTGATGCCGAAACCCAGGAGTCTGTCAGAATTGTGCTTTAAATTCTAATCTTTCTATAAAGCATTACTTCCAAGACAGCCCTGGTCTTGTTTCGAAGATAAAACCCTATTATAAATCATTTTGTATTATTAACTCATTTATATTAGAGATAATCCTAGTCGTTGTAAAAAGAAATGGAGTGCAATATCTAATTAATACAATCTGATTTGTAAGTCTGAAATATAAAGAAATGCAAAATAATGTCGGGAACGATGGAACAATAAATTGGATCCACAAATTAACAGGTAATTGTATTAATATCACATTAAAGAGAACCATGGTCGAAGTCTGAAGAGTTAAACTTTCTATAATTGCTACTTCAGAATGGACGCAAATGGGCTGAAATATCTATAAAATTGTCAATGATTACTAAATATAGAAGGAGGACTGAATTTGCTTTGAAACACAAATTCAAATAACTCAAAAAATATTATGGTATCTAGTATTATTGATTTATTAGGTTAGAAGGCCAAAAGATCTAGTGATGTAAACATTTGTCCATATTGGAACACCATGGAAGCTGACATGATTAGATACAAAATTGAACTTCTCTAAGAGAAAACCAGAAAGTGTCAGACTCAAGAATATTCTTTTTGTGAATTTTTGGGTTCTGATCATGAGTTTTGCTTAGTGATCATTAAGAATGGATGTTTGATCAAATTGTGATATCAAAGCAATATATATTTATTATATTAAATCCGATTAAAAAATGAGAAAGATATGTAAATTTCTGGGTTTTATATTCTCGCAATTCCAAAGCGATAAATTTGATTATTGAAAAAATATTTGGAATATGAGCTTCCTTCATATTCAATCTTATTAACAATCAACTGAGGAATCATCCCATCCTCTTAATTCCAAATTAAACTTTGTGCAAATACAAGCCATTGATTTAAAACCATACAAGAAAAAATGGAGGCTCCTTTTTAATAATGTTCCAAGTCCCAAAATTTTAGAATCTATTTACAATGATTTATAAGGCCAAACTATTGAAGACCGAGAGACCAAAGAGATGATCTTCTTATAATGCATTCTCTTGAATATGCGAGCTCCCTTAAACTTAAAATTAGTAATTTTCAAGTGATAACTCTTAGAATGAAGAATAATGGATTCATATAAGTGAACTGATGCCAACCTATAAAACTCCACTTAAATGGTCCCAAATATGTCAGTAGTTTGTCCATCAATCAGCTTACAACAACCCATGGTCTGAAAATGAGGATAAATTGCTTTTAGACATCATTTTGTAATCAATTATATTCATTTTAGGTCCTTTCAAAGAATGAAGAAGGGGAACAAATGGAGTAAAATAGCACGAGAACTAAATGAACGAAGTCTCAATAAGTTTATTCGTACTCCCAAATAATGTAGAGAACGTTGGGGAAATAAGTTAGACCCATCCATAAATCGGTAAGATTTGAATCTCATTATGTTTAGAAATGAATGGACTGATTAAGAAGATCTAAACTTCCTATAGCTACTCCTCTAACACGGAAGAAGATGGGCTGAGTTATCTATTCGTTTGTCACCTATTACCAATAATCAAAAACGAACTGAATTTTCTTTAAAACATAGATTTAAAAAATTAATATCGAGTACAAATAGCACAGGTAAATTGATACATAATCTATTATTAGAATCCAGATCAATCAATGGAACCAAGTATGCTATTTCATCTGATTGGAACAACAAAGAAATCAACAAACTACTTAGTAAGATTTCTCATTTAGAAATGAAAACCAGTTAGAGAGAGGTTGAAAACTTCTATTATCATCCTCTAACTAAGTAAATTAAACTCAATGACTTTAATAAGTTGGTTATCATCAGGGGAAGTTCCAAAGTAGAGTTGGATTTGTCAATTCTTTTTAATTAGACAAATTCCCAGTTTAATGATTGAATGATTCTATGGGATTCATCATCAATAATTATTTTATCAATATTATTCTTCCATTATCTTGTCTGATCTATTCGATACTTATTCTTAATTTCCTCTTACATTTTCAATTATTATAGATATTTTCTCATTGGCAAATCAATTATATTCCTATACAACTCTAATCTATTTAATCTCCATTCTAATATTCTATACTACTCTCTTACATTTAGATTCCCTTATATCCAAAAGAATTAATCTTTACTTTATACTTACCTACATTCAAAGGTTGATATCTTGACCATTATTTTGATTTTCCAAATTAAATCCAGATCCACTGATAAATGAACTCTCCTTTAATACTCGCATAATTATTGACTTCTCCATTTTATTCACTTATATAAATTAGTGTAACTGATAATTCTTTTTCATTTTACTACAATGAATAATAGTAATCTAAATGCTGGATTCCTTCACCATTACAAACATCAACTAAATATATTCATTTTATTTACCCTTTCTTATATTTAAGCTAATCATCCTAAGCCATTTGAAAATGTAGATATTGTGTCTTTAAAAGAGGTGTGATTTCAACCAAATTCTCAGTGTTTAACAACCCATGAATTCTACATATAATTCTTACTAATAGAGAAGATTCAATTATTTTATATATCAACTAATAATAATAGATGGAATTCAATTCAATAAATCAATAACTTATAGCAATATAATGATTGCTTAATTCAAACATTTATAATTTTAAGTATTTGATAATGGAATCTTCAAAACAAACCTAATGTAGAAGCAAGAGAGCCTTAAATAAAACCCTTTCCAAAAACTATGCAACCAAAAGTACAAAAATTAAATGATTTAGTAATCGATCTGCTGTCAAGTAAAAGTTAGCATTGTCAATTTGGTTCTATTCCAAAAAGTGAGTCACCAATCAGTCGAATGAGAATTTTGAGAAGCCTAAGAATACGGACTCAGGAAAATGAATAAAATAGAGTAAGTAAAAGCTTCGATCTCAAAGTTGTTCACCATGGTAGGAAATAACAACGACGCAAGAGTGGCTTTGAACCATTATCAGAGAAGCAAGTAATCAAGTTTATTAATTGTGTTATTAGATGCATCTTAATTGCCTATATCCCAAGACTTGTGTGTAGCAATAGTAAATATTATTGAATGAGATTCAGAAAACAAAGGAGAGAAAGAAAACTCTTTTTAAGCGTATGTCTAGTATCTTAATTAAACATTAAACAACACTTCGTAATATTGGAAATTAGAACAGTATTAATAATCAAAGGAACAGTGAGATTTAATTATTAATGCTATAATAATCCCAATAACCAATAGAAGAACCTGTTCTCCTGTAATAATAAGAAGTGAAAAAAACGAAGATTAGATAATCAGTCATCGAACCTGAATAACCTAAAGTAGTTTTAAATATATCTCGAAAATCTAAAAAACCCTTTGCTTCAATCTAGAGTTATGTTAATGAAAAAACAGAGAAAACTTTATAGACTAAAGAATTGACAAATAGCAATCCTTTCTTAAGTTACATGTCTTGTCAAAGTCTGACTGAGATGAATGGCCAATTGCACAGTAATTCTCCTTTGAGGAAACAAATATCTCCCAAAGTAGTTTGTCCTCCTCTTCCTGAAATTAAATTGGTCTCTTCAGCTCGTAATTATACTAATGCAAACGATATCAATTTTCTAAAACAGAAGTTTAAAAATAATATATATTATGCTAATTAATAGAGAAAGAAAAGAATTGAGACAAAAGCTTGACAAATATTTATATAAATCTATCATTTTCATTACAATTATTTTTATTACTTTTAAGCTATTATTAATTAAAATGAAACCCCATAATTATTCATCCTGTGAATTACCAGAACATGAATCTGAGTTTCTCAACATTGTTTGTATAGACTACCAATGCAAAAACCGGAGATTGCTATGTTCATATTGCTAATAAGATCATTAGAATTGCAAAATAATTCCATTGAACAGATTCATAAAAATGTTTAAAGATCAAATTGATACCAAAAATTTAGAGCCTTTGAAATAATAGAATCTGGAGTATTGAATCACATCTTCATTTAGACTGAGTCTTCATCTCGATGCGATGGAAGCAACACTTAATGAATCTCAGAAATTTTTTAATAACATATTCTATCAAATCAAATAGGCAATCCATCAGTACATACATTTCAAATTTATTTAGTGCAAAATAGTCACTTAATCAGATGACTCATTCTGATTCTTCACTATTAAATTACTGTTTCATCTTATAATAATTTGAATCAGAACCATCTCATAACAATTTTACCAGTCTTGTCTCTCAAATTGAATCCTTTATGCCAAATCCTGACTCATTCTCATTCACAATCAAGAAAATCGATCCTTCTTAATAATTGCCCTTGTCAGATGAAGCAATTACTAATTTGAAAATTGATGTATCACAATTTTAAAGTGCAACTAAAAAATTTATAAAGATATTTCAACAATTACATGGCACTCTATAAAAGAGTATTTCAAGCTTATTTCCATAAGATCTCTCAGAACTAGAGAATGATATTTAACCCTTTAATAATGTCTAAACCATAATTAATGAAGAATAAGTTCTATAATTAATGTAGATTTAGGATGATAGTATGCCAAAACAATTGTAATAATCAACTATTTCAAACATACCGCTCAAAATAGGTATTTATTAAGAGATAACCTGTAGTACCTCCTTAAAATGATATTTAATAAGAAAAAGAGACAATATTGGTATTTTCTGAAGAGAAGTAATTTCAACTTATACTTGGAGGATAAACCTTTACTAAAATGGTCTATATGAATTAATATATGATTTGTGGAATAGTTGGATCTAAGTTTTATATGTTTGATATCTCCAGTAAGGATTAAAATCTTCAAGGAATTGTCACTATATAGAATGATGCTGAATTTACAGATTTAGCATATTTCAATACGTATGAATAACTAGGATATATTTACTTAGCCAGCAAGAAAGGGAACATCTTTAAATTAATAACAGAAGGAGAAAAGAATATGAAGATTAAAGAAGTTTTGAGTAGGAGTCATAGCATTGATAAACCTGGATTCCTTTAGATTTAGGTAAGTCCAGAGGAGGAATAATTATATAGTATAGGTGAGGAAATGATAGCCAAGGTTTGGTGCTTGTAAACAATGAGAGAGGTGAAACGTGTATAGTTGCAAGAACCTGCAACTGCATTTCACGTTGATTGGAAATGTTTGTTTATTGGGGGAAACAACTAAATTCATATTTGGAATTAGACTATGGGGGATATTACAAAATTGGAAGGATTGGAATAGAGAGCGAATAAAATATTGACTAATGAATCCAAATTATTTGTGGGTTTGGCAGATAAAATAAAGATTTATGATAAAAAAGAAGAGGGAGAGTTTCTATTATTTAAAGATGTTTCGTTTGGTCAAATTTGTATGTTATAGATAATAAAGTCATGGCCTATCTTAGTGATTTCATATGTTGATGTAGTATTGTAATGACATTAAAAATAGTAGAAATAAGTGGAATAAGTGGGTCTGTATGATTTTACAGAGACAAAGCCTCCTCAACCATTAATGGAATAATCAGCATCATCATGTTGTGCAATTTATGAGGAATAGGAAATAGGTAATTACTTGGCATTGGTTTAGAAGATGGGATTATGCTTAATATATAAGATGGAATAAGAAGTTAACAATGATATATGAATTAGATTATGACAAATCATATTTTCTTGTCTAAGTATTCTCTGTCTTCTTTGAGCAATGTCTTTTTGTACACTTCGTTGATGTTATGGAACTATTTCAAAATGTCTTTGTTGCTTCTGATTTGTTGTCTTACTTACATTTCTTATTTGTATCTCTCTTCAAAGGATTTATGAAAAGAAATGAGAACATTTTTATACTCTTGTTTTCTCTAATCAATAAGGTTCAGGCTGTCTTCATTAATTGATGTTTCCAAGAGATTCTCACTCTATCCCTTAACAAACACTTTGTCCATCTCAAATATGTATAAGGAAGTCTTTCTATAAAGATCTTCCAAAGCCAGAGCTTTCCTATAAACTAATTTTCTTTTTTTCCTTTCAAATGCCAATAATTACAATATCTTATCTATAGTTGATTGACTTTGATCAGCTTTCTGATTGAGTTCGGTAATTTCAATTCTTGTATTTTCAAGATCTTAATCCATCTTCAATTTTCCAATATCGATTTGCTCTTACAATTTCTCCGCTCTCTCTTCAAGTTAATGTGAGTTCTATTACAATTGTTTCAAATCCTTTTCTTTTTCACCTATGGTTCTTTTCTATTCCAATATGATTTTTTCAGCTTCATCAAATTCTAAAGTCATGGTAGGAACAGTAACATTTTTGTTCTCCTTCTTCAATTCTCTATATGTATCATATTTATTCTTCTCCTTCTCATCTTTCTCATCCCAAGCCTCTCTTGCCTCCATGTCCAATTCATGCAAAACATAAATACTTTAATCAATAGTCCCATCATTCAATCTCCCTCCCAACAACATAATTTCTCCATGAACTTCATTTTAATTGCATGACATTACATAACCAAATCTAGGAGTTGGAATGTAGCCACCAGCTATGGGTTTAGACCAATATCCTTCATTCAAGTTCAATAGATATAAGTCATTCAATGTTTCTGAATTCTTTAACTAATTCTCATTCACGTTGTATCCTCCGTATAAACACAATAAGTTCTCCTTAACAACCAATAATTCCTTAAAATATTATCATAATTTACATGAAATGCTCTCTAACCAGGTGATTATCCTTTCAATTCTAATTAACTTATATCATAAGTCTCTATATCCAATAATAGACAACGGTCCTAACATTATTTTTGTTTATTGAATCCTCCATAGACCAACAACTCTTTATCTGATACTTATATCATAGTGTGTGCGTTGATAGCTGGCATATCATCAAATGGCAGTTTCTCCCAAGTAATTCCTGGCAATTCTAAAGACTGAGTTTCCCATGCCACATTTTCAAACTAATTTATTTACATATTATAACTTACAGACAATTACCATACATCATCCATCAATAAATTCTCTGGCATACTTGCTCCACCCATCAAATATTTCTTGATACCTTATGTTGAGAATCCAAAATGCAATCTACCTGGAGGACCTTCCAAATAAAAAAATCGTTTCCACACGAATTTCTCTGTATTCAATATGTACAGATCACTAACAGTTTTATTCTCGTATGTGATCCCTCCATAAACATATAACAAAGGTGCTTCATACCAAACCTATGCGCTTGTTCTTCTAGTAGGAGGTTTTCCTGTGCATTTCTTGATACTCCATGAATATGTAGCTGGGTCCAAAATGTATACATAATCTTAGCATTCTTGATTACTAAATGGACTACTCACTCTTGTCTACTTTGATGCACCTATTTTAAAGGATATTCCATCACTTTTTGGAGGAGATGGCTACTTCTCTATGCTGTAAATTCAATTGCATACCTTCCTATTACAAATCCTTAATATTGAATGGATTCTTGCCTCCAAAGTATAAATATCGATTCTGATCAATCAAATACACTAAATTAACACTCTCCTCTAACTTAGGTGGACGACCATGTTTCTCTATAAAATTTGAATTAATCACATACTGTTGTCAATTTCAATTTTCTTCCAAAATAACTATTACATAAATTAATGAACTAAACCAAACACTTTCAAGATTGTGAAAATACTATGAAGGATTGGTAACTATGGGCAGAGAACCAACAAATGTAATTCAATCTTTATCTCAATAGTCTCAATCCTGAAGAACTGCCTCCCTTGCATTTTACTCCCAAAGACCAAAAAAACAAGAGTGCTTTCAAATTGTTCAAACTTGATCATATTGTGGAAGTTAAAAAATAACATCCTGAATATGGCTTCAAGGAGAGATTGGAAACACTCAAACACATGTGGCGTAATCTCTCCAAAGATGAAAAGTCCGTATATGTTCAAAAAAGTAAAACAATTAAAATTTTGAATTGATTATATATATATAATTTTATGGGTACTTGCTAAACTAATTGTTGTAACAAAGACCAGGAATATGGTTTACGAACTCATTAGAAAAGTGAGATAAATGTGGATGAAGGCAATCCAGATATGGAAGATTCCAAAGTTAAACTCTCTCATCATTCTATCTAAAAACAACGAGATAAATTTGAAGAAGATCGCATGCATGAATAATAAGAATTAGAGAAAAAAAAACTCAAAAACAAAGAAGATCAAATTCTAAATAATGCTAAAATATCCTAAAATGAAAATGAGAAAACCAAATAAAAAAAAGAATCAGCATATAATTAATCTGATAAATAAACTCCTACCCCTGCCTCAAAACTAAAACATTTTGAAGATGACGGCCCCATCACCAAATATGATCTCCAAGAAAAGCCTAACAAAAATTCAGTTTTTTAAAAAAAAAAAAATAAAAACTTGGAATTTAATCAAAAAGTGTAAAAAGCAGAATAAGATGATACCATGAGCGATGTTCGTATCAAATTAGCAGCAAAAACACTTGACAAAGGAGCAGTCTATGAAGGTGAATGGTTAAAAGGAAAACGAGATGGACAAGGAAAACAAATATGGCCAGACGGTTCAATTTATGAAGGAAAATGGGTTGAAGGAAGATGTTGTGGAAAAGGAAAATTGATTCATGCAGATGGTGATGTTTATGAAGGAGAATGGCTTGATGACAAAGCTCATGGAGTAGGAGTGTATTAACATGTCAATGGTGCTAGATACGAGGGTTAAGTATGATTATCATATTATTTATAAGTGGTTCAATGATAAATAATCAGGAAAGGGAATTGAAACTTGGCCTGATGGAGCTAGATACGAAGGAGAATATCAAGAAGGCAGAAAAGAAGGTCATGGAATACTATACTTTGCTGATGGATCTAAATACACAGGGTTTTTTGCCAATAATGAAATCCATGGTTATGGGGTTTATGAATGGTCGGATGGAAGAGTGTACAAGGGAAACTGGAGATAGAATAAGATGAATGGAGTTGGAGAAATTAAGTGGAGTGATGGTCGTTAATTTATTGGAGTAACCAATTAATATAATTTAAGAATTACTAAGACGACTTGAAACATGGGAGAGGTCAGTTCCTCTGGCCAGATGGGAGGAGGTACATAGGAAATTGGGTTGAAGGCAAGTAATAAGGTTATGGGGCTTATTATTTACCTAATCAGCCACCAAAATATGGTATTTGGGCTGATGGCAAAAGAGCTTAATGGTTAGATCCAGACCAAGTGGAATAATTAAAGAATAAATAGGAATTGGACTTTTGATTTCTAATAATTTAATAACTTTTGGGATATGATATGTTAATTATTCTTGTTCCTTGGTTTCTAAGTTCTTAAACAAATAAAAGTTATTCTAAGAATTTCATTGATTGATTTATTTAAGTAATTGAAATAATTGATTAAATCATTTATACATTATAATAATCACATATTATGAAATCCAATAAATTGAAACCCATCTATGCATCTTCAACTCAAAACTTAGCCAAAACCTTATACAAATTAAGGAAACAAGAGGAAGAATTGAATGATATGATTTAATTAACAGAGTTGTGCGATTAAGCTGTTATGAATAACAGAGCACTTAATAAAATTCTAAGATCAATATACACCAACAAAGTAGAAAAAGAGAATACTTCAAGACCAAGAACTGTCACGACATAACATTCGTTTCGCATAACAAGAGATCAAACAGGATTTCATAACAGTAGCAATCGATCACCTTCGAATAAATCATATACTCCAAAACATACTTGTAGTAGTCTTAATAAATAAAGAGTACCTATCAAAAGAATTGGTAATATGGAATAGTGTTTTACAACAACTTAATTATACTTTGCTTGAGTTTAGTTAATAATGATAAGTTTCAATCTATTTATTAAGTGCTATTATTATTTTATTCCAATCTTATTCTATACTTTTATTTTATATATAGGACTTAGAAATAATAAGTAGTTCTGATATACTTCAATTCTTCATTTCTCTTTTTATGAGTGATGTTCATCTGATTATTGAATATATTTATTAGAAATAATATTCAACGATTATTCAAACATATTTATCATAATAATCAAGGAATAAAAAGAACTCTTCCTATATAGAGAGAATTTAAAATAATAAAAATATTAGATAAGTAAATTAGACCAGTTAATTTGAATATTAACATAAAATAATTTAGAATTACTATTATATTATTTAAGATGAACCATTTATGAACGTATTGTTATGCTCCGTAAATCGGAACATTTCAATGTATTTAACAAAAATTAGCAATTATTTTTTTTACTCTAATGATTCCTTTAAATTATATCAAAGATTTAAGAAGTATGTATATGTGATTTTCATAAAAAAGGAGCTCTACTTGTAGATGATAAATGAGTAAATATCAATCACTTTTCTAACAATTTCCTACGACTAGGTGAGTATGAACATTTAAAGAATCACTCAATTTTTTTGTTTTTCTTTAAGGATAATTCAATAATTAGCATAACTACTAATTGAAAGCAATTTAACAGTAATTTAGTATGTTTTCTATAGATTTATAGAATAAGAAGAATCAAATGAGCGAAGGTTTTCTAAATACATTTTTTAAAATGTAGTAAAATTCTTCACATTCTTGTGTGTATTGAAAGAATTCTTCCCTACTAAAAATTAAAATCTAACTTTAGATCCAGAATCTCTCATGGTACCATAACAAAAATAGAACAAAGCTTCAAAATTGTGTATTTAAATGATTATTAATAATTTAATTAGCAATACTCAACTTAACAGTTTGGTAATATGCTCTCTTATTGATGCATATTAGATTTAGATTCTTAATTTATAATATAGTCAAAATCAATTAGTTATTTGTAAAGTAGGTTAAAATATGCATAGATCTATAGATACAGTATTGGGTGATCTAATGAGCATCTCTTATTTATTCTTTACTTTATCTTTCTAATTATCAATATTAATAATAATCCTGTTTTTACCTTTTAATTCAATCTTTATATACCTCTCATTAATAGATTAACATTCTATTTTTCAATACCATAAGTATTAAGTTCTTAGTTTCACAACTTCCAAAATCAGACTAAATTATTTTAGAAGTATTGTTTATTTTTAAGCAGGGTTTTTAATATGATCTGTTTGAAATCTTAGTTACTTGTCCTAACTTACATATTAATTTATTCTCATTTAATTCAAATCTTCATCAACCACATTTTTTATATAGCAATTCCACTAAATTTTCAGAATAAATATCTTCAGCAATTACTACTCCAATATATTCATAAACTGAACTGTCGAGATGGTAAAGTATCTTGATACAAAAGATTTAGGTGAGAACAAGCGAAAATTGCTGGTTATATGAATTCAGTTTAATGAGTATTATTTTTGAACTATCATTATTAGATTTTTATAGGTTGACAGATGTTTAACTGGATTAGAGATATAGTTGAGAATCAAGATATGTAAGCATGCTTATTTCCGAATAACTTCGGCTGGAAAGTGGAAAGTGATGAAAAATTCTTATCATTAATTTTTAATAAACAATCACAACAATTATTGCAGTCCTCCAACTAGTCTCGTTAGATTCCTTTAACTAAATATATTTCTATATTCCTCATTATATTTTCGAGTATTCTAGATTTTAGGTAATGGAGTGGGGAGTTTATTATAATCACTAATGGTTTTCCGTTGACGAACAAAACCCTCATGAGTGAGTGATATGCTTTATTGCATTTTGTATTTTTGAGAAGGTTCTGAACTCAACTCTTGTAATTTGATTTCATAATATGATACCCGAGGATCAATTGGTTGGGTTCTCAACTTGGGAGGTAATTTAGATTTAGATTTAAATCTATTCATATATTTATATTTATAATCTTTAAAATACAATATGAAAACCTTGGATTCCAAAATATACAAAGCAATTTATCTTAAAATATACATAAATAGATCAACTGCAATACTGTATTCTACCAGAAGGAGCATTCCACTTACGATAATTTGTATAGCCTTAATTATTCACACTAGCTAGACGAGATAATTCTCCTGGGACTTCATTTTATGATTCTCTGAGCACTCCAACCAAATCGCCTGCTAACTTAGCATCTTCATAGGAATCAAACAATGAAATAGAGACACCTTAAGCTCCTGCTCTTCCTAGAATAATTATTAATAATCTTAATACCTGTTCTGCCAATTCTATGAACATAATCTTCAATCATTTTTGGCATGTCAAAATTAATCACAAATTCAATATCCTTAATATCTAATCCTCTAGATGCTACGTCAGTTGCCACCAATACTGTTGTGTCTCCTTTCTTGAAGCTATTCATTACGAAATCTCTCTCTGATTGTCTTTTATCTCCGTGCAATGATTTGCATCTTAATCCATCTTGAATTAGATAGAGTTGCAATTAATCACACTTCAACTTGGTCTAACAGAAGATGATTATCTTTCGAGTACCCAAAGATTTCAATATTTCTTTTAACTTTTCTTCCTTCTGTTCTTTAGATAGGATGACCACTTTTTATTGTATTTGTCTATTGCTAGTCAGATCCAGACTTCCTATTTGGATATGAATTGGTTGTTGAGTACAGAAATCTAAGGCTAAGGATTAGACTTCTTTTGGCCAAGTGGCTGAAAATAGCATCGTTTATCTTTCAGCTCTAGTTTGAGCCACAATTTTCCTTATTGATGGTTCAAATCCCATATCCAACATCCTATCTGCTTCATCCAATACCAAGAAGGTGACTCCTTTCAATGTTGTACTTCCTGATTCAACTAAATCAATCAATCTCCCTGGACATGCTATCAAAATATGAGGATGTTAATTCAATTAATTTTTTTATATAAATTTTTCTTATCCTCCAAATAAGCATGCAGCTTTCAATCCAGAACCAACTGAGAATTTTGTGAATTGCTCATAAATTTGATGAGTAAGTTCTCTTGTAGGAGCCATAATCAAACATTATGGATCTGCATTTTATTTCAATTGTGCCAGAATGTGAATTATGGCTGGCAATAGAAATGCCAAGGTTTTACCTGATCCTGTTTGGGCAATCCCTATGAGATCATGGCCAGTCAATCCAATGGACCAACTTTATGCTTGAATAGGAGTTGGACCTGGAAATCCAGCTTATACGATTAGTTCTTGTAATGGTCTGGGGAAACAGTAAACGTCTTCGAATCTAAGTATGGGATCAGGAACAAAGTTATGGGTCGATTTAATGAAGATTCTATTAGTTTGGCGGTACTTTCTAACATCTTCTGGGTTGGTATTGGGTCTACCCTAAAAGTGAGATTATTATGAATTCTTACATCCATAAAGACCTTCTTGATTTGTTGTAGATTATGTTAGCAGGTGTCTTGGGGTCTCAATTACTTCTCTCTGCTTCGACTACGACTTCTGCTGTGTGAATGAATCATAAAAATATTATTAAAGTGGGATGGCTAAAATTTTAGTTGATATATTCATTTTTATTAATAAATTCCTCATTATTATTATCCATCAGAAATGAGTGTTAGTTATCATAATAATCATTAGTTAATGTAATAAAATATATATTAAAATTATTTAAAATGTTTAGCAGTGAAAGTATGTAAGAGCATATTTTGTATGACAAAATCTATTAATACCTATGGGTGAAGTCGGAAACTGCTAACCCTCCTGCCATTCTCATTCCTGACACTGTCATTCTTATTCGTTCTATGCCGATTTATTGGTATTATACAGATAAGGAAACTGGGGAAATCAAAAAGAAGATGAGAAAGAATGTTACCAAACAAAATATCAAGCAAACTTGGAATCAACAAGTTGGCAGAGGAGGTGTTGTAGCATACCTTTTACATTTTATGTATGCGTTGTTCCCTACTAATTTGCAAGTGATAACTTAGATCTCAATTACCCTCCAGAAAAGTTTCAAATCAGTGGCCAAATCCAAGTGATATACTTTGATGTTGAAGGATTCAATAAGTTTATGGATGGGCACTTCGAATTACCTTTTGGTATTCTCTAACAATTCATTGAACCAGCAGATGATCGCAATTGTAAATTAGCAAACCATTATTTAATAGCCCAAATCCAAGCCTTCTGGAGTAAATCAGTCACTCTCTTCACCAAAAGAGTTTGCAAGAAATCGTTCACCAACAAGTCCATGAATATCTACGAACGACATTGCACTTTTGAAGGACCTGAATATTTCAGCGAAGCAAGTACCATCATCTTCTTCATAGTTCATCCCCAGCTTAAGTCAAAGATTTCTAATCCCAGAGAATCTCGGAACAAATTGATAAAATGATCTCTCATCTAGATGCCATCTCTTACGGAAAATTGAATATCTCATAAGGCACTTTCTATTTCAAAGTAGACAAGAAAGCCAGATGTTGGTTCCTTTTTTGTGGCAATCTCAAATTTGAAGATGATAAACATCTGAAAAATCTACCCAAAGATCTCTACACCCAATCTCAAATCAAAGTATTATTTCCTTCTACTGACCAAGATCCCAAAATCAATCGATAATTTGATGTCTGTCTATAATTCCAGACCTCTCTAATTGAATAGAGAACACAAGTGCATTCGATGTGGTTAATTGGAAAAGGGATCCAACTTTATAGAAGTTCCTTATCACTTCCTTATTGATTTACCTGAAAATCCACTCCCTGTTGAAAAGTGGCCTCTTGAAATCAAGAAATCAGCCAAACAAGTCAAACTCAGCGGAGCCAACCAAGAGAAGGTTGCATATGTCAATACTATCTCTTAAATCCCAATGACCTTCTAGAAAATACACGAACAAATCAACATTCAAAACTACTCAGAGTTCAAGTAGTCGCAAGGATTTAAGTACAAAACCATCGCAGTTTGTCTAGATTGTTACTTCGTTATGGGTATATAGAAATGTCATATTGTAGTTGAAAATCAGGAGAAAATTGCTATGCAAGAAGTTACCTCGAAGGAGAAGACCAGTATTCCGAGAGTGAGATCTAAGCAATTTCAAAGGAAAGAATAAAATCTTAACCAATTTTTGAACTCAACTCCATTATTCAAATAAGTTAAGTCTGTGAAGATCTTCAAAATGAAAGAGGCACCTACGCAGACACCAACTCCTAAGCAAAATACAATATAAAAGTATGTAAATCTCAGATTGAATAATTGTAAATCAATAACCCCGATAAAATATTCAATCGAAATGCCTTCAACAGCTGACTATTTGTCTAGGAAGACCAAATCTACCTACTAGGATTTGAGTACAACCTACAAATTCAAGAATAGCAGAGAAAATTACAACTAATCATTGCAAGATAGATTATAAAATAGATTGATAGAAATAAAGGATGAATAAGAATGATCATATATATATTTAATTTAGTGACTGTTATTTTAATAAAAAGAGAAATGTTTATTTAAGCTTAAATGCCAAGAACTCGTTTGGCCATCACTCCAACAAATGTGAGATCCTTTTGCATCGATTCAACTCCCAACAGATCGTAGGTAAATGTGCCACAACGATTTGATGAAAGATAACTGTATGGATAAGTCAATGATCGCAAGAAACCTATTATTCATTCAAGCAAAGAGAATCTTACAAGAATCCCAGGCAATTCATTTTGTCATAGTTCATCCTTGAAAGAACTTTAAAATTAAATCTCAGAACTAATCTAGTAAAGAGATACAATGCAATACACCCTTTAGGAAGCAATTCGAAAAAGCAATCTTATGGAATAACAGCTAGACGTATTCGATTAAATATTATACAAGTAACTACAAAATAACAAGATTGAGTAGGCCATGCAATTCAAGATTAATATGGATTAGTTTCAAGAACAAATTAATATATTAGCAAACAAACTGCAAGATCTCATTAATTATAATGATCAACTCCAATAATAGTTTTAGAGTCAATAATTTTATATTGAAGAGCTAGGGTTCTAAGAAAACGACCAGTTTAATATTACTCATAACTTTGGATAAATATGAAAGTAATTATTAGTTTTATATCCTTTTTTTGATTTCATGCTTAATTGCTGCATTATGTTAATATTCGAAATTCTTCATAATCAAGTATATTTCATTTAGATTTGTCATATTGTCATATTTTCGAATTACAATATTGTCTTGTAATTATGTATCTAATTTATTTTGCCTACTCTGATAATGAAGTTTTCGTATTGCTTTTTAAAATTTTGCAAAGATAAGACTCTTATAGTTCATTAGAATTCTCATGTAAATTTCTTAAAGCTATATGATAGCAATCTTATCAAACATAAAGATATAAAACTTAATAAAATTTGAAAACTTGAGATTCGATCTTTTATTTAATAAATGCAATACAGATTTAGACTCATTCTAAAATGTTATCATATAATTATAATATCAAATTTATTTTCGTTAAGGATTTAATGGTAGGATATATATGTACACATTTAATTCATTCGGATATAAATAAATTGATGATATATATATAATTTGGTTAAGTCATCTAATTCTAAGGAATTTGCAATTAAAATGAACTCATCTGGTCTAAGATCAAAATCCAAGATGTTCATAAGACAAGAAATTTGGATTCTGAGTGGGAGGAGCATCTCTGTAGGATTTACAATTCCATATTGGAATGTTCATAAAAATGAGTTAGATAAAAATATTATTAATTTACGGATATTATATGATACTTTAAATCATAAATTGACGAATGATATATGCTGCTTGCCCATTGATTATATAAATGTTCTTTAACAGAAAATATAAATAATCATATGATTACAAAATTAAAACAATTGATAAATGATAATTCTGCTGGGCAAGCAAATAATCCAATTTTGGCTGCTCTAAAAGACTTAAAATTAAACAGCAATGACACTCAGTTTACATAATAAGCAGAAATAAGCAAGAGATTAAAACACTTTTTTGCCAATGATCAATCAAAAGTAAATTAATAGATTAGCATTTAGTCTTAGTTTTTAAAATAATTATTAGTAGTAGTAGGAGAGTATTTATAATAGGAGAAAAATTTCTTCATAAAATTGAAAATGCTATTGTTAGTTCATATTATCATTAGTTCTTAAGTAGCAAGAGCTGAATTCTCAAAAATGATTATCAACACTCGTTTAATAATAAATATCAAGAGCAAAGATGACACAGAGAATGTGTATGGATAATTATGCCAATCTTATTATTGTTACATATACAAATTGGCTGCTTAAACCACTTTGATAAATGAAGAATTCAATAAACCTTAAGAAGATCTAATGATCTACTTTACATTGTCGAATTAATGTTACATCGGGATGAGTATGTAGCACTTGATAGAAAGAATAAGTTAAGATCATGAAAACAATCCTGTGATGGCACATTTAGTTAAGTTCCTTTATTTTGACATTCAGGACATTTACATTTTTATACTAAAAGACGTAAAGTATCTTATCGAAAAGAACCCTAGTTTGATAGGGAACAAATAACAACTATTGGAGTTGTATAAGGAAGTAAAATAAACTACAAAATTAGTGTCAATCCTTGTAAACCAAGATGCTGAGTTTTTACAAATTCAATAGATTCTTTCCTCATTTCAATTAGATTATGCCTCCCCATTCTATTTAGATCAAGGCTTCTGTGCTAAATGCAATAATTGAAGAGAAGCCTCTGATGAAACAATCTTCAATAAAGTCAGGCCCACATGAGATACGAGAGCCTTTGTCTGTCAAGAACTCAGACAGGAAACTTTAGGAATATAATAGGCCCTTCTCTCCGAAATAGAAAATGCATTGATAATCTTAAATTGCAATTGAAAATACTTAATTTCCTTAATGAATTAAAACAAATTATAACTAGTGCACTTGTACCAACTATGGCCATCGAATAATAGATTCTTTTGTCGAGGTCGTTTAATGACAGGACCGAGCGCAGACAACACAACGAATTTGATTACATGGCTATTAATCCTGTTGATCGGTGCCCCATTTATTGTCTACATCTCACCCCAGATTTGGATAGTTTTACATCCCTCTCTCCCAATCATCTCGTATGTCATGTATTTCAGCTGTGTGCTATTCCTGTTTCTAACTTAATTCACTGATCCAGTAACATACACTATATCTATTAACTTAGGGTATTATACCTAGAAAAGAAATCATTGAAAAAATGAAAGACGAGAATCTTCTACATTTAATACCCACAGAAGCTGATAATAGTAATTATAATATTAGAATTTGTATTACTTGTATGATTAAGAAGCCTCCTCGTTCTAATCATTGTGCAGAATGTGATAATTGTGTGGATGTATTTGATCATCATTGTCCCTTTGTTAACAATTGCATTGGCAAACGTAACTATGCTTACTTCATATCCTTCATATCCACCCTTACTATGGCAGCCATTTCATTTGGAATTGAGTTTTTATGTTTCGTTATCCTCATTGCAACAAACGATGAAAAAGTTCAGCAAATTCTGATCATTATTTTGATGGTTCCCTTTGGAATATGCATACTACTCGTCTTTGGTTTACTTATATTTCATATCTTTCTCATTATCACTGGAAAAACCACAAAAGAACAACTCAAAAACATTGAAATGGATTCAACTAAGAGAAAATGTGAAAGAACTAAGAGTCTCTTCAACTGCAGATTGATTGTTGAAAAATAAAAATAGGATCAAATTAGATATGATTATGAAATGGTCGACGTTAATCCAATCATAGTCCCAGCTTGATCAAAACTATTATTATTATAAATCTATTCATTTTTCATACAAACCACTCTAAACTAACAACCTCTCAGTTTCTGATTTCCTTACATTTAATAAGTTTATGAATTCCAAAGAAAAACTAATTTTTTTTAAATATCTATTCCCAAAAATAGCTAAATAAAACGATAATTTAATTTTAAATAATTATATTTTGATTATTCCTGTCAATAATATATCATCTAATTATGTATTGAAAGTTCAAGTAACAATAAAAAATCATCATTGCCTTTAATAACAAGTGTATTCTAATTATTATGTATTATTTGGAGTGATATCAGATATATAAAATAGCAAATATTGATAAATGAACTTTACATAACAAATTATATTGATCTTTATAATATTATAATAATAATTATGTCGAACAATCCTTAAATAATTTTGGATCTATTTTCTCTGAAGCTTTGTTATTGCACTGTTAAGATATCATAATTCTTATTATTTTTGCAGAGTTACTCAATATAGTGAATAAAGGAATAGAAAAATATAGGTAAGTGGAGAAAAAATGAAATCAATCAAGATTGCAAGTTATGTGTAAATGAAAAAGTTGAATTTAGGTTTAAAATAGTTGTAATTCTTGAAGATCTTTTTAATTGCAAAAATCTTTGAGTCTTCATATGTTTGAGAACTCTACTCTAATTTATAAGGATTAAAAAAAAAGAAAATCAAGTACCATATTTCAATGAAGATAGTTTACTGTATGTGTCCGCACTGCTTATAGTATTTTTGAAGTAAATTGAGAATTATATGTTACAAATCCTAATGCCCGCTGAATTCATAAGTAAATCGCTCTACCTGAATCATAAAAATAAGGTTGCATTAAACTATTAATACTTTTTATCTTGAGATGTATAATTAAAATTACATTATGATTATTTGTAAAGAATTTCCATAGAAGTATGTATTTAGATCAATTAATCGTTGTCATATATAGATTGATCACAATTAAAAAATAATGTAGTTTGATCTTAATTTTTTTATTTGTTAATAAATAGTTGTTACAAAACAAATAATTATTATAATAAATTTATTTACACCCCCTTTGAAATAGAAGATAAATGTTAAATCTGAAATGAGTATTCATCCGCATCAAATGGATTAAGAATCATTTTGATACTGTAGGATTTGTATTCTAATGCTAGTTGAAATAAACGAGTTATCTGTGACCTATAACATAAATTGATTGAATAATATAAGAAACAAGGTTTCAAATTGAATTATCAAAAGTATCTTTTAAGTTATAAGCAAATCCTTAGGGTATTTTTGTACAAATAAATTGTTGATTATATGATACATCGTATTCAATAATAAGTCTTGTTGGTCTTACTGTCGTGTTTTATGGGGCTTCAGAAATAGTGGAGGTTTATATTAGTGATATAATAATATCTATTCATAAAAATATCATTGAGAATAGTTTGATTATACTAAATCAAGCAGTTCTTAGGATATTTTTGAAAAATCATTAAACTTATTTTTATCTAATTCATATTGTATTTTTTATTTTAAATAACATAAAAATAAATTTGTTTGGATGGGTATCTGCTCTAGTAGATAGAGAGAAAATTTATTAACAGATATTGATAGTATTCCTTTGTTAACTAGAGGTTAACTTGGATTTGATGTAATTGTAGAAAACATTAAGGTGAAAATGGACGATATTGTATAAAGTTTAGTAATTATGATAAGTAAAGTTGCAAAGTAGTAATGATAATATCAAACTTTTCTGCATTTGAAACTGAAGTAGAGAAGGAAAACTAAGGGTAATTTTATGTAATTTAATGATAATATTTTTAGTTTAAATATATTCATAAATTTTAATTAAAAACAACAGAGGAGTAATTAAAATAAAAATTTGTTGTAGTCGAGATACAAAATGAAAACGGAGAGTAGATATCGTCATTTAAATTGAATCTATATCAATTAGCCACAGGTCCATTTCATGTTGATTACGAGTTTTCTTAAGTAGGATCAAGAAAACACGGAAAAGTGAGTTTGGATTTCAAAATGGCTCAAATTCTTGTTGTCAGATTTATTCCAAAGTTAATTGATTTCACCTTGAAGGAACCATTAAGTCACAATGAATATTGCTTCTAATTAAGGATGCTGACATCGTAATTATAATTTCATTCTGAATATTCCCCTGTATTTTAAAATCATTTATTGCAAAAACCATAACAACTATAATCAAATAAATAAATAGTATGGAATGATTCGAAAGTAGAAATGGAAGTGGAAGTACCTTTAATCGAAATTACTTCCTCATCAATTTAAATATCCTTGTGGCATACTAGTAAGGATGGTAAAAAAGAAATAGAATGCGAGGCATATGTAAATTTAAATTATGCTTTAACCTAAAAAACTGAATATGTATTTATTAAGTGATATTTAGATTATTGATAAAGGAATAAAATCTTATAAAATAGACTGGAAACAAAATAACAGAAGAGCGTGGAATCATGGAGTATAAGAGGGAATGCTTAATTATCATTTAGAAATCATCTTGCCATTTCATTTGAAATAGCAAATTGTTGGAGTTAGAACCGATAAGGGAGTATCCTAAGGAACCAGAGTGATCAATTAAGCTAAAGCAAGTATAAAAGAAATATAACAATTGAGCTCAGCTGGATAAGGCTTATTAGACCTATAGTATATTATCTTAAGCAAAGTATTTCAATTATTAAAATTATTATAGTCAGAACCTGATTAAAATTTAATTACATAATAAAATGGTTACATCAATCAGATCGTTGAAAATTTAAAGTTGAGTCACAAACAATCTATGGTGTGTTTTGAATATAAAACTTAATAGGATCTCTTTAGTTCTTAAAAACTATTAATTGATTTAGCAATAAGACTATTAGAAACAGCAGATTAACAATAGGAACAATTACGAGAATAATACTATGCTATACTTAAATTATTAATGAATAGAGGAGAACTCAGTTTGTCTCAATTGGGATTTTCTGATCAAACACAAAAAACTGATGAAAAACTATTAAAGTTTAAGATGGATATCGGATTGAGTTATTAAGTCTTTTTATAAAAAGGGTTATCAACTACTTTAGAGAAGTTAAAGTAAAAGTCACTGGCACAAAATGAAAGATCCTTTGTTGAGAATTTTTTTGCTAATGCTTATTTCAGAGTACCAGAATTCAGAAATAAAATAATCACCAGTGTTTAAAGAGCTGAGGATGAACAAATACCTGAGTGGAGATCTCTGACTAAATCAAGTGGTGGAATTTCTAATTTAGAATTTAATGACATTTTTGATTGGAACAAGCATTTCTATGAATATCTTATGAAAGATCCAAAATATTATGCAAATAATCATAAAATGAATGAAACTATTAATTAAACAATGTGGCAAAAACGATTAGGTAAAAGAGGAATTGCTTTCTTTTTATTTCTCAAAGAATGGTGTGATTTGCTAAATACCTATATAGTTAATAGTAAAAATGTTCCGTATCATTAATTACCAGGATACTTTTAGCTAGTTAAGGCATTTTTTTTAGAATTAAAATCAAGAGAAATATGTAACTATCCAGAGGCTTTAAAAATTGCTTTATGCTATTTACTCAGAAATACAAATTTATTAAATACAATAATTGTCATCTTATTCAATAAGGTTAGTTTATATAACTCTGACAATGTAGTTCATTGTTTAGATCTTTTAAATAAATGTTTTTAAAAAATAAGTCAATTTAACTTATGCATGCCATCGTTTTTGGATCAAAAATACTTTTTAAAAGGAATCAGGATTATTCTATCACAAAGTGAACATGCTTTAATCATAGCAAAATGTTTAGAGTTGATCTACACCAATTATTTATTGTTTCCAGGTAAATTTCAATTTAAAAATATAGTGGATCTAAAGAAAGAATTGACTGACATGATCTTTGAAAACTTAGCTTTCAAATTTTTTATTCATTGGTCTTATAATGTCAGAGTAATATTTCATTGTTTTCTTATTTATCGCATTTTCCATTTGCACAAGCCAATAAAAGATCGAGAGTTCAATGAAGAGTATAAAATTTCGTTATTTTAGAGATCTAATTGAAAAATATCAAGAATAATTGAAACCGAAGAAATAGCACAGTTATTTTGACCAAAGGAACTCTTCTAAATAGATCATAGTATGTATACAAATTAATACAATAGTCTGAATATATTTATTTAAAATACATTAGATTAATGTAGCAAATAGAAGAAGGAAAACATTTATCGAAATAAAAAATAAGCTATTTTAATTTAGAAAATAATACAAGGATTGAGGAACTCAAATTTAAACTTAGGAAATTATAATCTAGAATTTAGAATAGAGAAAAGAACGATAGCTTTTCTTAACGTTCTTTTAAGATTATACCTGATAATTAATGTGATGGTACTATTTTACCATTACAATCAACTGAACAGAATTAGGAAAAATCAGTTCTAAATAAAGGCTAGTTGCCTAAATAAAGGATTATATTGTCAGAAGCTTAGTTAAAATATTTGATCAAAGCATGCTTTGAATATGATGACTAGATCTCATAATATTAAAAATGGAGATAGACTAATTTACCTGACAATTATAGTACTTTAACTGAAGAATGTAAGATTGTTATAATACTCATTTTCAGAAATTATCCCTGTAATCGAATCTTTCGTCGTACCTGTTGTGAGAATTCTAGAATTAAAGGATGAAAATGAAGGAAATCTTATGCAGAAAGATGATTGGTGATATCAAATTATTAAATCAAATATAAATAGTTTCTAAAAGTATGTGATCATCACTGTTAGATATTTATATTATGATAACATTATATGATTTATTCATGCATTCAAATGTTATTAATTTCTAAACTAAAATAGAATTTTAGACAAGAAATAATATTTCTAAATTTTTTTAATATAAATTAATTCTTTATAGTAATTTAATTTGAACCTGAAATTTGAATTGAGTATTCTTGTGGAATTCTAATGATTTACAATCCTTAATATATAGTTATTTGATTGAGTAATTCTATTCAATTATATAATTACTATTTAAGTTTCTAATTTAATTATAAAAAATTCAAAATAGGAAATTTAAAATTTTTTACAAATATTCGATTTAAAATATTAAACAATTTATACTTAAAATAGTTAATATTAAAAATGGTAATAAAATTGTTATCATTTGAATTAAATTTGAAAAGTTCATTCAAAATAATTAAACTCGATAAAAATTTAGATTATTAATGATTGATTTATTCTATTAGGTGATTAAAAGAGATAAAGTTTGAATTTGTAATTTAAAAGTAGTAACTTAACTTGTAATTTTAAATATATGATTGAATTATTCTCTACAAGGTATAAATTATTGCCTCTTGGTTGTGTAATATCAATAATTAAGCTAAATGTATCCATTCTCGAATTGGTCGCAGCCATCTAAATGTATTCTCAATGGACCTTTTCTTTGCCCTCATGGATGCCAAATTGATAATCTATTCTAATGGGATCAAGCAGTTTTAATTAATCATTAATTTGAATATCTTGAGTGATTAAATAAATTAATTTATGTGTGCATATTCAGAGGATAATAATAGGTATTGGACATTGAATTAATTTATTTGAAGGGAGAATTCAAATGAGCCCCAAAGGAAATAAGAGAATAATAAGAAAATTCAAGAATATCCAGATGATTGGCCTATGAATCCATCGCCACGATTTACTCCTATGCAATATTCATAATTATTTCCCCATATTCCTCCTCACTTCGATCTAGAAAACAAAGGTATTACGGCTTTTTAATCAGGCTTCAATGACTATGATCCTTAGAAATATCTCAATAGCGACAAAAAGGGTCAAAGTAGCTAAGCATTTCTAAAATATTCATTAGGTGAAGTTCCCCATTTTGATCAAATGGATGATGATCCACATCGAAATCCCTACCCCTTTGGCTTCTATCCAATGAAATACCCACCATAACCTATGATGATGAAATACCCCTCTGGACAACAGTTTATGGTTCAACAATGGTATCAACCTAGACCTCCGTAACAAATGATGCCACCTTATTGTTACTATCCTCCTATGTATGATGGTCTACAATGTCAGAATACAGTTTCTAAGGAACTTCAGACTAAAGTCTATCAATTAGTCTAATATCAAAAAGTTTCTGATTTTTAGTGCAACTGTAAAAAAAGTAAATGCCTCAAACTTTATTGTGAATGCTTTGCCAACAATGGGGTATGATTTAATCTCCTAATTTTTTACAAAAAGGTATGTTCATAGAGTTGTAATTGCCAAGAATGTAAAAACAGAATAGATAACCCTCAAGAACGATCAAAAGCTATCGAAGAAGCCTTGTTAAGAAATTCTGATGCATTTGCCCAATGTTTTACCACAAAAGGAGCACCACAATTCGTTTAATAAGGTATACTCAATTTCATCTAAGATAAACCAATAAAAGAACCAAGTAAAGACAACTCCAGCGTCATACACAAAGGATGTAATTGTAAAAAGTCAGGATGCAAAAAAAAATATTGTGAATGTTACAGTCAAAACATGAAATGCAATGATCTATGCAAATGTGAGCATTGTTTAAATAAAACAGATGCTTAAATTTAAGCCTCACAAGAACAAGGCTAAGAATCCCTTTATAATTTAAATAAAAGCAGTTAAAAACAAAAAAAAGTAAAATTAGAGAAAAATCAGGAGGGAAGCGATTCCCCTTTGGTCTAATTGGAGATAAATTTAAAGAAAAATAATTAAAATAAAATGAAAAAGTAAGAGAATAATTGATCTATATATATAATAATAAATATTATCAAGAGTTAAAGTCAATAGTACCTAATTTTCATTATTATTTACCTGATTTAATTCAAGTCTTAAATAACCTTAGGCTTTAGTATTTGATATATTTATTAAATTTAGTAGTTTTTCTATTTTACTAAGTGATTTCATCTTCACATAAATCATTGTTAATGATTAATAAATTCTATCTAGTGGTTTTTCTCAAATGGACATCTGATTAAAATAACAAAAAATTTCAATTAATATTTGATTTCTCTCAATAACTAAATATTATAAGACAAAAATATATCTGAAATCAAATTAAAATATCTTTAATTGAATTATGACATCCTCATTAATATAATAACCAAAAGGAATCAAATAATAGAACATAAACTAGAAAAACTGAGGCATTTAATCATATGAGATAAATATCTTATTATCCTACGATTTACAATAGATTCATGCAGCAAATTGATCATTTAATTATACAAAAATATTGTTCAACACTAAATTTGATTTAAAATCTTAAACATAACTTATCCACATTTTAACCCCTTTTAGTTAAGTAGTAGTCAATTTACTAAATAATGTCGTTATGCACAATCAATAAATTTCATCAGTGCACTCTTTAGGCTATTTCAAAATTAAACTCGTGAGTTAACGAATTTCAAAATCAGAGATGAAATATGATCCATAATTTGAGATTTAATTAATTTATTTCATGAAACATTTTATCGTTTTTCTGATTATGTTCATCATCATAAACTGTTAAGGATAATCTTTAGAGCAAACTATAAGATAACGATATCAGAAGAAGTAGCTTATCAATTAAACGATATTTACATAAAATTAGTATTAAACCCGACTATTATAATAAGATCAAGATGATTTGGTTGAGCCTTAACAAAAAATATAGGATGGTGAAATGGTTGAAAAACAAGAGAATTAGAGGATAAAAGTGAAGAAAATTGTTAAAAAGAGAAGGACTATCCTCAAACCTATACCAGCTCCATAAAATGAGAAAGAAATTCATAGAAGAAAAAGAAAGGTCCATAAAACAGTTTAAAAGTGCAAAAAAATAATACAGGATTGAAAATTTATTATCATTAAACACATTTCAAAGATTTCAATAATCAAAACAAGAAATAATACTAACAATATTTCCTATATATTTATTATTAAGATCATAAACTGACCTTAGAGATTATACAATCTTTCTAGAAGTTTATTTTGAACAACCTACTCTTCTTCTTCCAGTAAGAATACAAAATCAAGAGAAATTGATAATAAATAATTTGAATATTTTTAGCAAATTTTTATTTGCATCATAATTATTTTTCATACCAAAAATATACAAAGATTTATATTTCATCATATTCTAAAACAAAAATAATTAAACCTTAACTTAAGATATAACTGTAGAGGAATGTTTCTAATCTAACAATTACATTAAAATTTAAATTCCAGTTAGTTACTCTAATTGATAATTCCAGAGATCTTAAATTTTTTTAGGAATATAAAATTTATAAATTAAGTATGTTCTCTTAAATTATTAACTCTAATGAAAGCAAATTGAAATTCAAATCTAAAACAATAGAGTTTTTATGATAACACATCAAAATAATTTTAGTTAATTGAAAATGGTTTAGTTAATTATGAAATGTAAAGATGTTAATTTTTATTTATTTTAACGAATTCAAATATGTTAAATTCATCACCTCATATGAAATCAGATAAGCTATACACACAAAGTCCATAATACAAAAAGCAATATACATAATATATAGATACAAATGGTTCTGTCAGAAACTCATTCACTTCTAAAAGTATCAAAGAGAATAGGTAAAATACGGATCCGCAATAATTTAATGAAGAATTAGAGTATTACAAGAACAGAAGTGCAGACCTTGAAATTTATTCTAGATAATTGAAAAATGAATTGGATGCTATGATGATAAGAACGAGTAAACAAGGAGCGTTAGATGATAAGACCGAATACATTCTACATTAGAATCAAATGCTTAATCAAGATCTGGATAAGCTTCAAAAAGGCTATGCTTAAAAAAAGACTGAATGTGAATTGTGGAAATCCAAGTACGAGCAATAACTGAATAGCGCAGTATAATGTATATATATGTTTTAATAAAAATCTTAGTGAAAGCACAATATGAGTTGGATTTGAAAAAGTTAAGCAATGAATTGAAGATACTAGAGGAGCGAAACAATTTATTAGAGAAAGAGAGGTCATAAGAAGTAGAAGCCACTAAGACAACTTTCTCAAGTATCATTATTTGATAAAGATTTTTAGTATAAAACGAATAACAAAAACATAGTTATCTAACATAAATAGATCTATTGTAGAATTAAGTAAGAAAGTTGAGAGAGTATGCAGATATGAGGGATAAAGAGATGGATGGTTTGGAATTAAAATTTAATTAAATTTTGTAGGAGAAGGAATACTTTGAGAGTTAGTTACTAAAGGAGAATGATATTTTAAGAAATAGATTGTAAGATTAGGAGAGGGAATTTTCTTTGGATGTGAATAGTTTGAGACAGAAATAAGACATTATTTATTAAGGATAAATAGAGAATCTAAAAAAATAGTATTTAACATAATAGGAGATCATGGATTCTGAAATTGAGAAATTAAAGGGTCTATTGGATATCAAAAATACAGAGATAGAAACCTTATTGTTATAGAATAAGAGAATGAGAGCTAATTTTGAAGAGGAAACTTAGACAATAAGATCTTAATTTGAGATTTTGGAATAGAAAATGGTTAGAAATGAATAGAAGAATTCAGAAGACTAGCAGAATGCAGAGAGACATTTAAGTAATTTACATGATAGAAATATGGAGAAGTAGAAGAGTGATTTCAATAATTAAATTTAAATCCTTTAAGGTTAAGTCAATCATTAGAAGAATTAATTATTGGAATAATAAAATCAGTTAAATGAGTTATAAAAATATAGTTAGCAGCTACTTTAGAACAACCAAAAAGATCAAGAAAAAGCATAAAACATAATAAATAATCTAAAAAAAGAAGTATTATATATTTATGATTTTTCAATAGATTTAATAGTAATCAGAGGAATTTTAAGGTTAAATCCAGAAAAACTATAGGGATTATGAATTATAAAAGTAAGAGTTGATCAATTACAACCAACAATAATCAGCTTTAATGAATTAGTTGTCGTAGCAAATCTAAAGTTTAAATCAAATAATAGAATTGAAAGAGAGACAATATGAAACAACTTTAACATAGTTTAAGCAACTGAATAATTAATCATAGGTATAATGATTATTTAGAGTTTTAGAATAAGTTGAATTAAGTGTCTAACGAGAATGAATAGATCAGGGTTTAAACCTAAAAATATATAGAGGAATTAGAAGAGTAATTAGCATTAGAAAAAGAGCTGAATGCAGAGTAAGAGTAAAAATTAACATCTCTTTAATCGACTTTGCAAAGAGAAAAAATGAATACAGAAAGATAGATAAAAAATCTCTCAAATCAAAACAGAGAGAAGGATTAAACAATTGAATAGTTAAGAATTTAGATTTAGGCAAAAGAGTTGAATCTTCATAAATTATAGAGTGAATTATAGGATACTACAAATACGCTTTCGAATTTATTGGAAGAAGAAAAGCATAAGACTGAACAAGAAGTTTAGTCATTGCAAATTAGTTAGAATGAAGAATTAGCAAATACAAGGAAGAAGCTAAGTTAAAAAGAAAATTCTTTGAAATCAGAATTAGTTTAATTGAAGAGTGAATTGTAAACTCAGCAAACCTTAAATTCAGAATTAAATAAAAAGTAAAGTTATAAAATTATCAAAATAGATTGGAACTTTATGGTTAACAGATTGAATCAGTTGTTAATAATTCAAATGTTATTAAACAATATTAGGTATTATCTGAGATTAATCTTACTAATAGGCTTCAAAATTGAGAATTTATAATATAATTATTAATATAACTAAACAAGGATTTTGTTAAGTATATACATTCATGACTAGACTAAGTAATGAAAAGGAAGCTTTTCAGGATCAAATTCAATTCTTATAGTTCAACTTTTACTAACATCAACAAAGAGGTTTAGTATTATTAGTGTGTAATACAAAAAGGAATAAATTGCATATTCAAGTCTGATAAGCAGGAACAAAGAGTTTGATGTATTGATTATTTTCTTAATGAAAACAAATAAATATTTCAGAACTGGAAAGGAGAGTTAGAAGATACAAAAATAATGTTCAGATCCATATAATTATTTGAATAAAGTTAAGTAAGGGTTCAGCTCTCTAAAGGATTCGCTATTGAAGAGAAATTAAAAAAACTGTAAAAAGAGTTGAAGATAAAGAGGGAATTTATTCTAATTATATTGCAGATTAGTTTGATGTTACTATTGATAATAATAATAGAAGCCAAGTTGCTTGCTGGAAGTATTTAGAAGTTTTAAAATAATTGAGAATAAGTGATTGTAAGATTTATACTTAGTTCATAAACTTGAACAATTTATCTTTATATAACTTATTATAAAATGAATCTAATCAGAATTAAGAAAGTTCAGTTATCAAAATAAGATTATAATATGCAAAGATATACTCAAAGCTTGAAACTTATGATAAAATATATTCAAAAATATCCTTTCAAACTTCCAAATTATCCTGTATTTAACATTTTCTTCTTATCATAATTTTAAACTATCACTTCATCTGGTTGTTGATGTTCCTATTTTATTGGTACCTTCTTAAAATATGTTTTAAAGCCTCCTTAACTATTTGCCAAAGAACCTGTGATTTTCACAAAACTATCCCTTGGATTTCTGACTGAGTTGATTTCTTATTTCATTACATTCTATCCAGTTAATTAAAGTTGATCGATCTCATCTAAATTTTATGGAATGAGTTTCTTAACAAGTTCTTCATTCTCTTTCAACTTTCTATCCAAGTAAAAACGAGAAGTGAATGATGAATAAGGTCTGAATCCTTTGGCACTGGAGTTTTAGGCTCTGATGATTTCTATAACGGGAGGCTTTTTATCAATTTGATAATTTGGATCCTCTTCTAATTTGTCGATGTACTTGTAGGGGTTCTTTCTTTTCAGAGTAGATTCTTGAGATCTTAATCCTTATTTCTGTATAGAGACAATAAATTACCCAATAATCATTGCCTAACTTTTAATCAATGGGTGTGATATGATCAAGCAATTACTTAACTTCCTATTTGACTCTGAATTATTCAATCTTCTCATTCATGGATTAGCCAGTTTTTCTGGAGATTCTAGAGCTCACCTTAATTTTAGTTTATTCCCAATCAGTTTAAGTATTTTCGTAATTTGTCATGGCCCTAATAAATGCATCCATTTTAAGTTGATCTCCTTTATTGAGCTGCTATTTGATTTCTTGATTCAATTTGGCAGTCTTAAATCATGGGGCATGTCTTACTTCAGCTTAATTGATTTTTACTCTTCTCTCAACATCAACTATTTCTTACTGTACTTATTCCTCATTTAATTAGATCAGTTGGTATTCTTTAGATTTGACTTTGCTTGGGGATTTTTTGACAAGATCCTTACTTGACATAAATTCAGTTACTTAAGAATATTGAGTATAAATTTACTTTTTGTGTAACTATTATTAATCATAGGTGGAACCTCCAATTCAGGTTGTAGTTAGGTTTACAACTTGACTTATGGTTTCTTACCTGTGCTTTGTCTTCTTTATTTTTCAAGCATAAATTGTTGAACAGAACCAACTAATGTGTGTCTAACGATCTATCCTTTAGAATCAAGTTTGGGTCCTTTATCATGAGAAGGTATTTATCTTAACAATTCTGAGGATCCACAAAAGAAATTTTGAGTTTGAGTTTAGATTTCGATTGGTGATGGATGGACAATATAAAATCGATTATTCTGAGGAGATGTCACTTTAACTGTTTCTAGACTGGTTAATGGCTGATCTAATTTTTAAAATTTAATCATTTTTTAATAAATGATATTAATTCATTGTCACACTACCCAATTTTATAATATTTCAATTTCCTCTTATATATTTTTTCTTGCCTTCTCTTCATTCCTCAAATTATATATTTTCGACTACAGGAACTTCTACAACACAGCTATCCTACCAGTTTTGTACTCCTTATCTGGAAAATGCGAATACTCCTTCCTTATATCTTGAGCATAAACAGGATAAGCATCAGATTCTAAAATAGACATATCAGCATCTAAAAATATCATCAGATCTGTCAAATCATCCTCTGGTAGGAATGGCACATCAGTTTGATGACTCTTTGTTTGCAATATGAAAATAGAGACAACCTCTGAATCAATGTTGCATTCCTTGGCAAACTGTTAAAACAACAAACAACTCTTCTCTTCGTTGTCATGAATTTTAGGATAATATATTGCATCATGGAAGAAGGTAGCCAATTTAACATTCCTAATGTTCTTGGCTCCTTTCAATTACCTTAACATGTCATAGATGTGTCTTAAAGTGTGATAGTGTCTCTGAGGTTATGAATAATAATCAACTAGAATAGATTCAAACCAATATGCATTGTCACTTATTGACAGCCATTCTGTCTTGAGTTCCAAATATTCATATTCTGATAATCTATTCCTTTCTGAAATTTATTCTCTGTATTATGTTGATGATATTTTAGCCTCTCCTTAACCATTCTCATTTTCAATCATGCCAATTATGTACCCTTCCAATTCATTCAAATTCTCTTGCTTCCTCAGATTATTAATGTACTATAAGGAATTTTGACACTCTTTTGTGGTAATCAATATTTCATATTGGCCATTTCTTGTTGGACCTGCAGGATCAACCAATTCAGAGAAATACAAATCGATATCAGGTCTGAACATGGAACAGAACTCTTAGACGCATCTCAGACGAGTGTTGTAGGATTGGAGGAAACCTTTCAATTTCTTTTTTTGTTATAACATTTCACCAGTTATTCCTATGGTCAAATGCTCACTGACTGCTAACAAGCTTAAACTTAGAAGCACTTTGTGTCCAATATGTAAATGATCAAAAGTGCCACCATTGGCACCTCTTTTATATTGATTTACTTTATGGCCTTCTTAAGAAAAATGGATTTTTTTAATTTCATGATTGAGTTTAAAATGTAGATTGAAATCACCTTATAAATCAGTGCCCAAATTGATTACCAAATCGAATTGGTATTTGTTTCTGAATTCCTTGTTGAATAGATCGAAAATCACATTGAATTTAGTAGGATAATGTTGTGTTCTCCCATAAAGATGAAATAAAATCTGTTCATAGACCTTCANGGTTAATGGCTGATCTAATTTTTAAAATTTAATCATTTTTTAATAAATGATATTAATTCATTGTCACACTACCCAATTTTATAATATTTCAATTTCCTCTTATATATTTTTTCTTGCCTTCTCTTCATTCCTCAAATTATATATTTTCGACTACAGGAACTTCTACAACACAGCTATCCTACCAGTTTTGTACTCCTTATCTGGAAAATGCGAATACTCCTTCCTTATATCTTGAGCATAAACAGGATAAGCATCAGATTCTAAAATAGACATATCAGCATCTAAAAATATCATCAGATCTGTCAAATCATCCTCTGGTAGGAATGGCACATCAGTTTGATGACTCTTTGTTTGCAATATGAAAATAGAGACAACCTCTGAATCAATGTTGCATTCCTTGGCAAACTGTTAAAACAACAAACAACTCTTCTCTTCGTTGTCATGAATTTTAGGATAATATATTGCATCATGGAAGAAGGTAGCCAATTTAACATTCCTAATGTTCTTGGCTCCTTTCAATTACCTTAACATGTCATAGATGTGTCTTAAAGTGTGATAGTGTCTCTGAGGTTATGAATAATAATCAACTAGAATAGATTCAAACCAATATGCATTGTCACTTATTGACAGCCATTCTGTCTTGAGTTCCAAATATTCATATTCTGATAATCTATTCCTTTCTGAAATTTATTCTCTGTATTATGTTGATGATATTTTAGCCTCTCCTTAACCATTCTCATTTTCAATCATGCCAATTATGTACCCTTCCAATTCATTCAAATTCTCTTGCTTCCTCAGATTATTAATGTACTATAAGGAATTTTGACACTCTTTTGTGGTAATCAATATTTCATATTGGCCATTTCTTGTTGGACCTGCAGGATCAACCAATTCAGAGAAATACAAATCGATATCAGGTCTGAACATGGAACAGAACTCTTAGACGCATCTCAGACGAGTGTTGTAGGATTGGAGGAAACCTTTCAATTTCTTTTTTTGTTATAACATTTCACCAGTTATTCCTATGGTCAAATGCTCACTGACTGCTAACAAGCTTAAACTTAGAAGCACTTTGTGTCCAATATGTAAATGATCAAAAGTGCCACCATTGGCACCTCTTTTATATTGATTTACTTTATGGCCTTCTTAAGAAAAATGGATTTTTTTAATTTCATGATTGAGTTTAAAATGTAGATTGAAATCACCTTATAAATCAGTGCCCAAATTGATTACCAAATCGAATTGGTATTTGTTTCTGAATTCCTTGTTGAATAGATCGAAAATCACATTGAATTTAGTAGGATAATGTTGTGTTCTCCCATAAAGATGAAATAAAATCTGTTCATAGACCTTCAGATATGTGTTTGGGGTTCCCACCAAGTAGAGAACTATTTCTTCTTGGTTGGTTTTGAGGTATTCCTCTATTTTCTGATCCAATAGCTAATATCCAATAGAATTAAATGGACATAGGATTAATAATTTGGCATGATGTTTCATTAATAAAATGAATAAAAATCAATCAGCTCATTACATTACTAATAACCAATCATATGGTGATGGTTGGCTGTTACACAGTGGATAACAATAGGTGGATATGACATCATGTCCTGTGCCTACTTATGCTGAAATCGTGCGTCAAATGCAGGTGATGATTCCATTATTTACAAGATTAGGACTTTAGAAGAGCTGAAAAACTACTCAAAAATAAACTGGTTGCACAAACAATTGGGCTTGAACTGTCTCAACCTATTTCTGAGGAAGAAAAGCAACGCAGGAAATTAGATAATAAGGTGCCTTCAAAGAAGTTTCATGTCACAGAATAGGAGTACAAGGCTCCTCCTCAGGGAATCAATGTCGGTATGAGTTTCATGATTGAGAAAAGGACTACCTATCTATGAAACATCCAATATGTAATACGGACAGTTGAATCCAACCTCATTTGAGTTGATTGAGAAATACTATCCGAGAGATGCTCGATTCACTTAGGCCTTTTTGGGAGACACCTACAAGTTTGATGGACTGAACACTAGCACAGCCTTCTCAAAAGTTCATAAGAAATTAGATGAATATTGACAATTAAAGATCATATTTGCGATTGTTTTCTCAATTAATTCATTCTTCTAATGACACTTTGTCTCCAGTTTTTCATTTGAGTAACTTCCCCGAGTCTTGCTCCTTAGAAATCACTAGTTTATTATGATAACACATTATACTTTTTGGTTGTAGAGACATACTATTTCTAATAAGTTGGAGTTTGTGAATAGGGAGTCTATTTACAAATTGGATCAACTGGGAATTAACTGTAGACATCTCGTTATTTATCGAAGAAGATTCCAGAAGATTGAATTGGATTTCTTATTTAGAATAATGAGAAATGTTTTACAATTTTGAATAAATGTTTTTACAATTGGTGGGTTATTCTATTGGTTGAGGCCACTAATATTCTGTTTTATAAAGAGACTAACTAGATAGTGAGAGTCCTCCTGTTGTCAAATGCTTAGATGCGGTTACTTTTTCAGGTTTGTAATTGGTTTGGAAATCAAAATGATTGGCCTATTTAAGAAACTTATGATACCTTATAGGTTGTCAAAGTGGCGAATTGCAATTCACTTTTCTCGTACTTTCTTCTTTCCAACTTGGGATTGTAATCTTTTGGGGGATATGCTGAGAAGTGACTTTTATAGCTGGTCTTTGAGAACTCTGAAGTTTAAGGAGACTTATAATCATCATAAACAGTATTTTTGATGATTTCTTATCTTTCTTTCAACTTGAGTGGAAAATCGCGTCCATATTGACTCTACCATTTGGTTGGCAACATAAATTTGTTCATGTTAAAATCTCCATGCATTTATTCCTGTAGATACAATCCCAATAAATAATAAAAGTAATCTTTATTGTCTTCGAGAAGTTATTCTACTGATGCTCCCTGCAACACCTCCTGAGGGATAATCTCAAGCCAAATTGGATCTGATGCAGGAATGTCAGGGAGTTGTTCATCGAATAGAGATGTGTTGGTTTGACAACTCACTGAATTGCTCTATTGAGGAGTTGCCACTGGAGTTAATGGATTGTGTTAAGATTCCGATCTTCCTATTTGTTACTTCGATGAAGGCTGTTGTGAGCTTTTTTATTGAGTGTACGTAGCAATGTCTTCAATACTGCAAGACGAAAGAGCTTTGTTCCTCTTCTTAAGTAGCGTAGTTTTTCGAGAGAACCTAGGGGCGAGAAAAGATGTAGAGCTTGTTGACAACACCTATTTAATTTGATCGGAAAGCATATATTTAGGTAATTATATAATTATTTATTATACATCCCAAATCTGCAGAGAATATCTTGCATCCAATATTGATCTTCCTATTCAATTACATGATGCACAAAGGCTAATTCTTGAATAATCGCTTTAACTGTATATTTTTAGAATTAATAATCAACATCCATCCTTTTGTTTCGTCAACTGACTGGACTTATGTTACTAACATAGTTAATTGATCTCACATAGGTGTATATTTGATGATCCTCTTGATACTAATACAGACTAATGTTTAATAAATATAATTTGAGTAGATTGTTCAGATGACCATACTAATTCATATAGTGATCAGATAGTAAATACTTATCCTTGATATAAGGAGATTTCGATTTTATAGAGTTATTCTAAATACCTGCAATAAATAATATATTATCTTCAGAGTGAATAATTATTAACTTGCTAACTCAGCATGTCTCTGACTATTAATGTCAAAATGAGAATCAATCATGATTTACACTTGTTCTACTTGTTAACTGCTTTATCAATTCTTCTAGATGACTCTATTATTAAATGTGGATAATTGATCTCATGGTGTTACTGTGTCTTCATGTATACTCGGATGGGAATCATATCTACATTTGTATGGGTTCCATTGTTTGTTTGTTAATTTATTAATAAACAATTTATATTATCACTCGGGAAATCACACCTCATTACCATTAGATAAGACATTCAGAATTTAGAAAATTGCTATTGATTATAGGGATGGCATACCTGATCCAACAACCACAAAAAGAAACACTCCTAGGAGAATAGGACCCATGGCTGCAGCTTCTTCAGTTTTCTGAGTTAATGTAAACATTTACCATCAGAGACTTTGGTACCTTGCCTTATTTGTGGATATTGTTTCTATTAATCTTATTTCTCAATTTCATAGTTTAGGCTGATGGCTAGGTTATGAGTATAGTGTCATACCATTTCAATAAGAAATAAAGTTTATTAAATATTTCTTAAATAAATTATCTTCTTAACTTGATGCCAAAGTGCAGTATAAATGTAGTATTCAGAATTCACATATATTTGGATATAATATTATAATCATATTTATTATTTATTTTCTGCATTCTCATCTCAAACACCAATATCATCAGAGTGAATACTTCAACTGGGGAGAACATTTACGTTTGATTAATTTGCTGCAATTTGGAGAGCCATTAGGTTTGGAATCTTTGGAGCCTCAGACTAGTTAGTCAATTGAGTATACAATAGGAAATCGACGGAGTTATATATTGGATGGCATATTAATATATCTCTATAATCGCGTATATTACTTAATTAATTCTCCATAAGTATTAGTATCTTGAATTAATTCATTATATATGCTGCATTACAAGAAGATATGTTTTTTAATAATTATTTTAACTAAGAATGTCTTGGGATGCTTATGTGACAAACTTGACAGCCAATGGCGCACTTGAATTTGCTGCCATCATTGGACTTGATGGAAACATCTGGGCTAGCAATTTCGGAGTTGCCGTCCTCCCATCTTATTAAACCGAAGTGCCAGATGAAAAAAATCCAGACATCACAGCTAAAGTCGCTTATGATGAAAAGGCTGCTTTTGTTCATGCCCTCACTCACAAAGGAGAGACAGGAAACGCTGCTGGAGTCAGAATCAACAACCAAAAGTATTACACAATTTAATTTGATGGTGAAGCCAAGAGCTGGTACTTAAAGAAGGTATATCAAATATTCATTATCTTAGAATAAAGGTGGAGCTTGTATTGCTTGGTCTAATACAGCTGCTGTCTTTGCTTCATTCTCCCAAACCATCAATGCTGAAAATGGAGCTCCTTAGAATGCTAGTGATTGCAACAAACGTGTCTTGGATATGGCAAAATACCTTGCTGAATCTGGATATTGAGTATTTATGTTCACACAAACAATTATAAATACATTCCTTCATTTCATCATCTTCCTTCTAGAATTTATATCTCGAAACGTGTCCAATTACTTTTCTATAAACTAATCCAAATTCTACTCATACCCACCTTTTTCTATAAGAATAACAAAATATTATCATAAACGATATTTACTATTTCCTCTTTACTTATCACCCCAATTTAAGTATTCCAAACATCTACACGTGAATATCTTCTTTCCTTAAACCATCTATGACATTCATAGCACAATTTTGACTATCTTCCCCCTTTTCCAACTTCTTAGTAAGGTAAAAACAATTTAACCTTACAACACTCATTTGATTTGCAATAACAAAATGGAAACTTAAAATTTATGACAAATTTAGCAGATGTGATACTTGGGAAATCCAATTCTAAGATCTAGAAGTATTCATCCTATGAACCCATTTTTGTAGTATAAAATAACAAAAATCTGAGACCTGCTAATTTTCTTTATTTACAGTTCTATTGGAACTAGGATTGATTATGGATATAGAATTCAATTGATATAGATATTTGGATTTATTGATGATTGGTTAGAACCTTTATCAAAACAATTATGTGGGTTATAAAAACAATTTTATCATTTTAAGTAAGGAACGATAAGATTATGGATAACTATCAGAATTCGTTCACATCCAATAGCAGCCTAAGCCAGTATACTATTTTCTCAGAATCAATTAGATTTATTACTTTTACTAATTTGATTACTTTATACTATAAATTTATTGAATAATCAAATTACAAATATGTTAATATAAGCAGCAATATTTTTAAAGCTGCTTTTGCAGATATAAGAAATTTATATTATATAATGATTATATTATAAAATAATTATATTTTAATATCATTACTTAAATAGAGATATATATTGTCAATTATAAATGATATTCATATGGACAATATCACTAAATCTATTAGTAGAATATGAAATAATCATTGCAGTATAAGATATTATCACCTCTTATTATCAATAATTATTTTTGTTTCTATTCCTTACCTCATGAATTTAGTCACGTATAACACACTCTCAGATTTTGAATATCTCTTTAATTGACGCTTTCTTAGTTTATTGTGTGTTATTTCTACTTTCTCTAGGTATAATTTAATATTGACAAAATTATCTGACATTATTATATAAGTGATTAATGATTCGTATTTTTTCAAACACACACTCTAAGCTATTGTAAGATAACGATATCCTACTTTGAATGAAAGGGATCATGTAAACCAAAAAATTTAATGCCATATATCTGACAATATTTAATAATTTGATTGTATAGGCACGTTATCATATTTGAATATCATGCATAGATGTTGCAATGGATTACTGTGCATGAATATTTGAATAGTTAATAATGATGATAAGGATGCAAATATGTAATGTGATTTAAATCATTTGATTTCAACAATGTCTGCTCTTGTAGTTTCAGCAACAGCTGCAGCTTCAGCAATGACTTCAGCAGGTACACCCATCTCTTTCAAAGTGTCTCCAAGATGTTTAACGATAGTATCAAAGGCTGCGGTGGTAATTCCAAGTCCAGCATGGCCTGCTTTCATATCCTAGATTATATAAATGTGAATTGATTACTCTTCCTGTATAATGATTTGGTCCTCCGAAGGCCATACCAAGGAACTTCTATTGCATGTCTGTTTATTTCTTCATGTCTGTGTTTTTGAAATAGTGACTAACAGATGGATCTGAGAGAACTTTTTGATAAAACTTGACAACAGCTGCATCAATGTTGGCTTATCCTCCTAACTTATCAAAGACTGATTTATTTTGCATTGCTAAATTTAATTAATGATTTGAAACAAATAAAGTGGTCACTTAAAAATAGCAAAATAAATATAATAAGATATTTTTGGATAACCAAAATTATTTATATAATTAATTTATATATCACTATTGATCATTTTATGTAAAATCATGTATATGAGTTGTATTTGACTTGCGAAGTACTCCATTCTACACCTTCAAACATTTATTGTCTGATAACAACTCCATTGGTGCCAACGCAGTATTAAACAGACTTTTTCGAGCAACACACTTAACTTTCATCTCCTATTCAGTAGTAGTACATCCTTCATCTCCATCACTTGAACCTCCGTAATATCCTCTCTACAACAGGATAGTTCTTTGTCTTAGTTTATTCGAGTTCCTGGAGGAAAGATGAGAAATGTTTTTATTTATTGTCAGATGTCTTAAGCTTTTTCGTATTACGATGCTCTCTGCAAACCAAGGATGATTGAGAGCCTCATCAGGATGGGGTCTGAGACCTGGGTCTTTCTGAAGCAACTACTGGATTAGATCCTTGGCTTCACTTGAGACTTCTTAGAAGATTTCTTCAGGGAACTCATATTTGGCTAATTTGATAGACTCGATTAGATCGTTCAAACTTAGAATATCTAATCAAAATGTACTAATCTGCATTGAATGGCAATTGACCAGACAACATTGAATATAAAATACATCCGGCACTCCACATGTCAACCATTTGACTATAATAATAAGCATGAATGAATGTTATACTTGTATCCTTCGCCTGTGAATATTTCTGGCGCTGAAAATGCCACAGTTCCTGTATATGTCCACATTTCAATTTTTTCAGTATCCTACAAATTTCCAAATTCTTTGTAAGAATCACTGAATTTACTAACATTGAAATCTGTGACTTTTATCAGTTTCTTATCTATTTTTAGTATAAGCTACGATAATACCGGAGAGACAGAGAATGTTGTTAGGTTTCAAATCTCTATGACATATGCCATTTCTATGCATATATTCAATTGCACTAAGCAACTATTTGAATAATTCTTTTGCATCATTCTCGCTATAATGTCCTGACTCATTTATTACTTCGAACATCTCTTTCCCCTTTATGAGTTCCATTATCACATAGGCCTGACTCTCAGATTAGAATCCATTATCAAAGTCCAAATACATTTTGTAAGCCTTAACTATATTGCCATGTGACAATTTGATTAATCTCTTAAACTCGTGAATCATCTAATCATTTTCTAATATCACTTACATTCCTTATAATCTCATCATCTTAGGTAGCCACAATTTTTACTGCGAATTCCTGTCCTGTTCTTTTTAATACCACCCTCTTAACCAACCCTAAACAACCTTCACCTAATCTTTCATGCATCTCATACTCTTCAAAAAACTCTTTTGTATTCGGTACAATGTTTTCAACATCACTCGATGTTATTTCAATATCCAATTTCCTACCCAACTCCAACAATTGTTCTTCTCTCATCTAAAGAGGCTAAATTGGTTTGTTTATTATGTGGTTGAGTTAACCTATACTCAATTCTTGATCTTTACATCTAAATTGCTACTTTATTCGATTCATATTGTTTTAAACTACTTCTTTCTGTTCCTCAGCTTGGGTCTTCACAAACGTAAATCGACCACTGCATTTCTTCTCCATCATCGATAATCTCGGCGGGATTCGCAATGTATCTTATGGACTGCGCTCCAAAACTCTATCGTCTTACATTTTAGTTTGGTAATTATATATTATATGATTGTATAAGAATTGTATCATTTGAAGAAATTCTAACAAAAATGACTTTCTTAATTGTTGTTAATTTGTCTCCTCAAATATAATTGTTCAGTTAGTAAAAAAATTAATATATAATAAAATATGTTACCAAAAAGAGCTTGATTATCATTATGCTAATTCTTGGAATATAGAATGATGCTATTATTTTCGATATTTTTATACACAAATCAATCATCTCTTTTCATCTTTTTAAAAAGTAATTTTTAACAAAAATGCTTTACAAACACATACAAAAATTGTAATTTATTTTGCAATTGTATTTAAATTGTCTCCTTCCAAAAGGACTCATCTATCGGAATTATTTTCGATTGAATCTGATCCTAAATAAAGAAGTCCTCAATCTGATCCCATTGATATATTCTAGTGATATAACTTTCTAATAGATTAAATTGATCAGAATATAAGGAAGGGATTATTGTACTTAATAAGATCACTGCGTTGGATCGTTTGTAGAATTATTGAATCTAATTATTATCCAATACATAATTACTCTCTTCTAAACTTATTGTCTCAATAGGGTGTGATGATCAGAAGGAATCAGATCAATCTTACAACCAATAAATATAAATGGTGTCTTAAGGATCCTTTTCATTGGAATTCCAGTGTAATTACGGTAATTCAATAGAGAGTCTTATCCATCAGACACAGCTGTGGTGCTTCGAAGTGAAAAATCGCTTCTATCGGTATCTAGGAATTCCTCCATTTCCTCTTCTATGGCATCCTTTACTGTGAGTCTCTTAATCCATTTTCCCAAATGGTCCAATGTTTTAAGATTGGTGACATCGAAACAGAAGATTATTGCATCCAGTTTGAGTCTGGAGATGTAAACATCCAGATATTGCCTCTATGACTTATCTCCAGAAAGATCAATCATTTTAAGGAGAACTTTTTTATTGGAATAATTCCTCATCGCAATTTTGATATCGCATCCTTGTGTTTTAATAGGGATCTTAGATTAGTCGGATTTGATTTTTATTGGGTATTTTCTATATGTAAGTATATTGAGGAGCGAAGTTTTGCCAGTTGATCCATCACCTAAAACCAGAATCTAAATGATTTTGCTCTATGCATACTTACAGTTAGGGAATACTTTGGTAATTGTTAGAGTCGCGAAATCTTAAATCTTAATATTCAATTTTCATTTATATATAATTAAATCAGGAGGAGNGTGGTTGAGTTAACCTATACTCAATTCTTGATCTTTACATCTAAATTGCTACTTTATTCGATTCATATTGTTTTAAACTACTTCTTTCTGTTCCTCAGCTTGGGTCTTCACAAACGTAAATCGACCACTGCATTTCTTCTCCATCATCGATAATCTCGGCGGGATTCGCAATGTATCTTATGGACTGCGCTCCAAAACTCTATCGTCTTACATTTTAGTTTGGTAATTATATATTATATGATTGTATAAGAATTGTATCATTTGAAGAAATTCTAACAAAAATGACTTTCTTAATTGTTGTTAATTTGTCTCCTCAAATATAATTGTTCAGTTAGTAAAAAAATTAATATATAATAAAATATGTTACCAAAAAGAGCTTGATTATCATTATGCTAATTCTTGGAATATAGAATGATGCTATTATTTTCGATATTTTTATACACAAATCAATCATCTCTTTTCATCTTTTTAAAAAGTAATTTTTAACAAAAATGCTTTACAAACACATACAAAAATTGTAATTTATTTTGCAATTGTATTTAAATTGTCTCCTTCCAAAAGGACTCATCTATCGGAATTATTTTCGATTGAATCTGATCCTAAATAAAGAAGTCCTCAATCTGATCCCATTGATATATTCTAGTGATATAACTTTCTAATAGATTAAATTGATCAGAATATAAGGAAGGGATTATTGTACTTAATAAGATCACTGCGTTGGATCGTTTGTAGAATTATTGAATCTAATTATTATCCAATACATAATTACTCTCTTCTAAACTTATTGTCTCAATAGGGTGTGATGATCAGAAGGAATCAGATCAATCTTACAACCAATAAATATAAATGGTGTCTTAAGGATCCTTTTCATTGGAATTCCAGTGTAATTACGGTAATTCAATAGAGAGTCTTATCCATCAGACACAGCTGTGGTGCTTCGAAGTGAAAAATCGCTTCTATCGGTATCTAGGAATTCCTCCATTTCCTCTTCTATGGCATCCTTTACTGTGAGTCTCTTAATCCATTTTCCCAAATGGTCCAATGTTTTAAGATTGGTGACATCGAAACAGAAGATTATTGCATCCAGTTTGAGTCTGGAGATGTAAACATCCAGATATTGCCTCTATGACTTATCTCCAGAAAGATCAATCATTTTAAGGAGAACTTTTTTATTGGAATAATTCCTCATCGCAATTTTGATATCGCATCCTTGTGTTTTAATAGGGATCTTAGATTAGTCGGATTTGATTTTTATTGGGTATTTTCTATATGTAAGTATATTGAGGAGCGAAGTTTTGCCAGTTGATCCATCACCTAAAACCAGAATCTAAATGATTTTGCTCTATGCATACTTACAGTTAGGGAATACTTTGGTAATTGTTAGAGTCGCGAAATCTTAAATCTTAATATTCAATTTTCATTTATATATAATTAAATCAGGAGGAGGTAAAATGATCACGTAATTGCAATATTAAATCACTTCCTTTGTCCCTCAAACCACACTCCTTTGACTTAATTACCATTTTTATCAATGTACATCCCCTCTCCATGTTACAACCCATTCTACCATTATCCCTTATAAATCCTGCCATCAACCCAATATAATTCCCCATAACCATCCTTTTCATTATCCTTAAATCCCCCTAATCAAAAAGAGAGGATACCTATATATTTTCTGCCATCTTCCCAAGTCATCATACCATTGCCATTCATCTTGTTATTCTCCCATTATCCCTCTTACTTGCTGCCATCAGACCAAATGTAAATGCCCTACCCTTAAAATTGGTTGTTCTTAAAATCTCCTTCATAACTCGAACCATCAGCCCACTTATAGATTCCATATCCCTCCTTTAGACCCATGTTAAAACTGCCTTTAAAAACAGCTGGTTTATCTTCCCATGTTTCAGTTCCTTCCCCATGTTTATTATCATCCTTCCAAAACCCTTCATATCTTGACTTGTCAGCATGTAAATAAACTCCATACCCATCATTCCTATCATTCTTCCACTCTCCAATATAATATTCTCCACTAGTAACTATGAGTCTTCCATATCCATTTGCTTTATCTTCCACCCAAGAACCCTCATACAGAGAACCATCAGGAAACATGTATTTTCCTCTGCCGTTTCTTTTGCGGTTTTTCCATTACCCTATGTAGATCCCTCCATTGCCCAGAAATTAATAAGGGGGAAGAAATTTAGCTGCAATCAAAGTAGAACACTTAGAATAATCGAAAGGACCTAATTGAAGAAGTACTTTTGAAACAACTTTATGTAAGGTCTCAGGAACTTACTCAATTGGGACAGCTATGTGTTTCAGAGGAGCCTAGGAGTCTTCGATTTGTTTTTTCTGTAATCATAGAATTCTTTATTTACTTGTTTTCGTGCTTAATAGCGTCGATAACAAGCTTAGATTTTAGTTGCGCACATGACCTTCACCTCTGCAAGAGGACTTTAAAATTCACAGCAAATGTTTACTCTATTTACTAAATGCACATATTCCCTCCTTCAGTTCTATTTATTAGCTGGCAAACACTACCCATAGCACAATATGTTATAAAAATTAAATATGCGAAATAATCATTTCTTTTTTCCCTTTACCCATTCCCCTTCAATTACTCTCCCATTTGGCTCTGTAAGTTGTCCTTTTCCATGCATCTTATTGTTTTTCCATTCTCCAATGTATTTTTATCTATTGGGCCAAATTTGCTCTCCCTTTCCATTCCTCTTATCATTTTCAAATTCACCTTAAATTAAAATTAGATATCTCACCCTTATAAGTCTTCCCATCAGAAAAGAGTTGTCCTTCTCCTTGCATATTCCCTTCCACCCACTGTCCTTTGTACCATTTGCCATTGCTCCAATAAAATTCGCCGTAACCATTAAATGTGTCGTTCAGAAATTCCCCGTCATAATAAGAGTTGTCACTCCATCTATAAACTCCCTTGCCACTTTTCGCTCCATTCTCAAAGTGCCCTTCAAAGGATTATCCATTATCAAAGGATATTGCTCCAACACCATGCTAAAAATGATCATCACTCATACTGGTATTCCATCTTTCAACTCTCCAGTATACACTCCTCCATCTGGAAACACATACTAATCCCGAGCTACTTGACTGGCTTGACAACAAGAACCCATATAATTTTAATTAATTTTATTTCAGTTGATATTTCAATATCAAAAGCAAATCTTCCACCATTAAATTTCTTCTCCAAAAGATAACCTATAGCCATTAGCCTTACTCCCCTTGTACATCGAAACCTCTCTCCCATAGTTCTACCTTCTTTTTTTTAAATAAGTGTATTTGATTCAATTATTCATCTAAAATGCAGTTTTCAACATATTATTTTTATACTAACATTAAATCATTTCATACACCATTCTTATATCACATTTTTAAGTTTGTTAAACTCTCTATGATAATTATTTACTTAGTATTTTAAATTGATACAAGTTTTGTTGTTGAAAGCAATAGTATTAAAGCTTGATTAATATGCTCATGTCCAAACTTTTGTTCTTATTTTAACTTCACTGTAAATATCTTCTTCCACTTCACCATCAACCGCATTTTTCCATTATTTCCTTCCTTCAACACATTTGGCTAAATTACAGTAATCTGATATGAGTAAATATCTATCTATTTATATTCTAAATTCATAAAGTTTTTTCAAGACTCAATTTATCAAATCTTTCAACTAATGATATTCTCTCAAAATTTTTAGTTTTTTACCTCATATATTTTCTACTAAAATAAAATATCGATCTCATATTACTGGCCTTAATTTATCTCCGATTGATTTTGATTGAATTTCAAAGTATCAAAACTAAATTAATATCCTGTGATCCTGCCTAATTATGTTTTCTAAATTTGCTAGTGATTCTGAATTCTATGATTAAGACGAGTATGAATTTCAAAACATAATTCTTTTTATTCTCTAATATTTATAATATAATCTTAATTTTGTACAAAAAATTAATAGTATTATTTATTTCCTTAATTCATGACTAGATGTTGGTATTTAATATAATAAATACTCTTATTAGATTGATATAGTTTCTATCAATTTCAAATATCAAATTTTCATCATCTGCTAATATACTTCTATGAAAATAACCGTATCTCCAAGCAAAGAGATTCACACAACTTAGTCTATCTAAAGAGAGAGTTAAAAGGTAATTCAGGAATTAGAGAAAGTTCAAAAAAACAAAATGACAAAGTAAAAAACTAATAATTTATATCTATATTAGAATCATTCATTAATTGGCTTTTTTTGAACTGTCCAAGAGGCTATCATCATTTAAAAAGTCGAAACCGTTTTTATCAAATTCTTCTTAATCAAATTGTGAATTAAATGTTTATATAACTTCTTTGTTTGCCATCACTTCTTATTTAAAGGTTTCAAGATTGAATTTGAGTTTCTCATTTTCCCATTAAAGTGCAGCCAATTGAGTTTGCAGTTATGTAACTAGTTCTTTATCTTAACTTTATTAGATCTACTGGGTTAATTTTTGAATTTTATTTTATAAATTTTAATTAATTTATTTGAGTTCCCTCTTTTCATCCTCTAATTATTTTAAATTTCCTTGAATTTTCAACTTTCTTTGAGGATGAGCTGTTTAGAATAATTGCAAAGGCACTTGACCAAATTCAGTAACCTAGATTTCTAAGGCTTGCCTTTCAATATCAGTTTTACACTTATCCCAATTGACATTTTCTGCGTAAGTGTAAGGGTAGAATAAGTTGTCATTTAAGAGTGCTTCATTTCCAGTGGATTTGCTTCCAAAAATCAAATCGATCCATTAAGGTAGGTTAGCTTAAACATATGGACTTTCCAAAGCTATCCTCATTTTGGCTAAGAAATCCACAGCATTGTCTGCCCAGGCAGGTATAACAGCATCATCAATGACTTCTCCATCTTAGGTTATGCCCAATTCTAATTTATCGCAATTAACTAAAAAATCACTATCTAATCCATAGAATCTAATGTATAAAAATGGTTAAATACTCTGGTATGAGTTCTTTGGAATCAGCATGAAGGTTGAGAGTAGTAAACCAAGTGGAATCGATGCCTCTGAATATTCTGTCAGTCGGTCCAAAGACGCCATTTTATAACTTAATCACGAATTCAGGAATCTTCCTGATCATATAGTAGACGACAGTTCCAGGACTGGAATAATGAGTGGGGTACAAATAAGGTTTGGGATCCTATTTCTTATCTTTTAATTGATCCTTATAGAATGCCTACATGTTTACGACTATGAGATTACTTTATATTTTTAGAGTCTGTGCTTATTGAGGGCACCCATGGGTTTGGATAGATCTCTGAAGAAAGCGGGGGAGTTGACATTGAAGTCCTTCTCATTATATTCAGCAATGATCCACGGGAATACAGGGTAGGCAGAGAGATCGTTGAAGCTTCTGTTGGCCAGAGTATTCAAGGCCATCAAGTAATCAAAATTAGTCATGTTACCACTTATCCATTCATCAACTACTTTTTCTTTGGTCAAAGCCGTTAGACAACGTTTAGTTGCCTTCTTCTGGAAGTATTTAAACACAGATTCTTAGGTGTTTTAGTCATCGAAGACAAAGAGATAGGATCTCTTTTTGTTGTACATCCAGAACTCGATTCCATTGTTTTTGAACATATATCTGTATTTGAGGAAGTATTTGATGTCAGTGAACATGAATTGCATGATTTTGGCTTGGGGTGAATTGATTAATGGAATGAATTGGAGGATCTCCTCTTTTTGAATGCTAAACAATCCAAAGATCACTCCTTCTGGTTTAATGAGTTTGGCTATTGATATGAAATGGGAGTGTGTACCTTTATGGACAAATTCTATTTTGTGGCCTTCAGATCCCACATTTTGTTTATGTTCTTGTAGACTGTCATTTAAGGTTTGTTGGATTGTTTGACTGATGAAGGTGAACTCGTCTTCGGCTTAATTGATTCCTTGGTATAATTTAAGAAATCGAATGAGGATCTGCTTGGAATTAGATTTGGATATGGTGAACACAATGTTGTCATCGCACTAGAGAGAGAATGAGGTATTTTTACGGTTTCGGTGATGTAGGGACTGATGGGATTGCGATTGACGATAAAGAGTTTGTCGACCTTAATGAAGAAGCAGTTGCATGCTAATTATATGAGGTTCTTGCGTTATCTATTGTATAGCTTTTCTAAGAGTTCATTCGATTTCTAATTTAGTAATCAATAATAGTAGAAACTTATTCTCCCTTCTGTTGGTTCAAGACTGCTGCTAAATCGAGTTGATCGATCTCCTCCTGCATTAATTGATGGCCCCAACGAATACTGAGTAGATGACCAAGTGATTTGGGTTCGAAATTTTTGAGGACTTTCATAAAGAGTCCATTGCTGTACTTCATTTTCATTAATGGCAACTACGAGGATTTGGGCTCGAAAACCAAGGAACGAGAACATAGATGCAATTTGCCTCGGATTCTGAATTGGGAATCGACATATACAAATATGTTACTCATCACTTCTTGCACTGGGTATTAATGCCACTTTGAGGGAGAGGAAATATTACTCTTGTGTCTCAAGATGCAACAGATTGAAACTCTTCTTGGGCTTCTTGATTGAGTTGAGCGAGGGGAACATTTTAAATTAATTAAAATTATTGGTTAAATATTATCATAGCACTAGTATTCTGCACTTTCACTCATTGCACTCATCTACTACTCCGTCGCAATGTGATCCACTCCAAATGATTTAGTGATATATTATTGCTTGATATATTTTAATAATTATTATTCTAATAACAATGTCTAATGATTATGAAAAAAAGAGATCTGCCTTAACAGTATCCACTGCTTCTATCGATGCATATTCAGATGAGTTGAAAAGAATCGAAAATAAAATTGATGTACAACCCATGAAGGGATGGATGAAGAAGAAAAGCCCTGCTATCCTCAAAGGATGGCAAAAGCGTTACTTCATGCTCGTTGAGAACTTGCAAGAAGGACCCTGGAAACTAGTGTATTTCGACAACGATGTAAGTCAAATCAACCCTCAATGTAGAAAACCGACACCAAGCCCAATGGAGCTTTCGATTTATCAACAATTACATCCATTAATTAGATCTCCAAAAAAGAATTCACTATTTAATTTCCTGGTCGAAATCTAGAATTAAAAGTCAAAACTCCAGAATTGAGTCAACAATGGATTACCACTCTCAATAGTCTCAGAACAGCACCCTCCCCTCAGAGAACTAACAGACAAGTCAGCATGGACTCAGTCGTCAAGATGGCTGACGAAAGTCCTACCAAAAGTAAGAGTTCTCCTATTTTGTAGTCTAAAACCATAAGATTGTGGATACATACACTGCTCAATAGGCATAGATGTATAAGGAGAGGCAGCGAAATTCCCTGCTCGTAGACTTGTCCAAGGGAGATAAGAAGAGCAAGGAAAAGCAAATCATCTCCCAATTATCTAATGAGAAGATGATTGAACTAGTCGGTTTGAAGGAATTCATTAAAAACATGAATGAGCAATTTATTTATCAACGAATGATGTATGGCTATTTGGGCAAAAGAAGCAAGGGCAAGGTAAAGTACTTTTAAAAGCGTTGGTTCATTCTTGTATCAGCTAAACCTTTGGTATTTGATATTTACAATAGTAGTATTCTGATTACAATGATGAAAAGATACTGCAAGAATCACAACTACCTCCTTGGTTGGAACTGGATACCATAACCTATTTCAAACAAAATGAAGATGGGAAACCACCTAAAGCCAAAGGAGATGTCAAAATGTTGGATTGCTAAGAAATCATAATCAAGAACATGTCCAAATCAAAAGAAAGTGGATACACCTTCAAATTGAATATGGGAGATAGATTATATCATCTCATGGCTGATTCTGAATTGGAACGCACAAAGTGGCAATCAGCCCTAAGTGCATCTATCAGAATAACTAAGGAAATCAATAACCCATTAAAAATTAAAATAAAAAAGAACATTGACCCATTAATCAAGTTGTATGACGAAGAAACTCAATTACCAGTAAGGAGAGAGAAGATTCGATAGAAACTAGAATCAGACATGATAGCCATCTTGACAGACGATGATGCAGATCTCAATAAATTGATTAATTAATTGACCAATCTGAGACAAGACATGTTGGAATCAATGTAAGCTAGTATTGTGAAGGATCCTTAGAGAAAGGATATTGTAAAGGAATACACAGATATATATCATGAAAAAATTTGTGGTAGAATTACAAAGTTTTGGGATTAGTCTTACATGAAAATCTAAGTATTTATAACTTAATATCATAATTAGTCTCCAGAATTACTACTTATAGCATAATGGCTGCATGATTACTCGCTGCAGATGAAGGATTTCTTTAATGATGATCGTATTCTCTTAGGAGTTGGAGTGCTGTTAAACATCTATGTAAATAGATCACTTGAAAGCATGGAATCAGTTGTCTATCAAATAATTGAGCAGGAAAGAATTTAGGAGCCATTCTAGAATGAATAAGAACAATTAGTTACTTAGACTCCTGTTGATCTGTTTAAAATCGTAAACGAAGGTTTTGATATGGCATATAAATTATGTTCATGTAAAGAGACAGTACTTAGATTTGGAGGTTTTGGCAAAGTTATCCTATAATAGTATTAAGGTGGGATTCAAGAAATCATTGATGAACACCAACTCCCTGTTTCTAAATTAGTGGCCATATGTAACAACACTTTGGCTTTGCATGATAATACCAAACAATATGCCAAAAGACTCCAATCTATTGGCAATTTAACTGATGAGGAAGTTGAAAAAGTATTTGATGGACAGAAAATCACCAAGAATTTTGTTTAGATTGCCAATAATTGTAGGGAAAGAATATTCGTTTTCTATTTCAGTCGGGTAGGCACTCATTTTAAAAAACCTTATCTCGAATTCAAAATTATAGATACTCTCAAATCCATAATTGAACCAGCCACTGAAACCTTATCACAATTGCATGACAGCTTTAATAGGAAACTCTGGAAACAACTCACTGATTCCATTATTCTCTACTACTTTAATTAATTCATTATCTCTTGCAGTAAGGCTAAAAAGGAGCAATAGAATTAATTCATCAGAAAATTAGAAAACGACAAAGATATTCTATTTTAAGAATTAGAAACATTCATTTTTGAGAAGTAATTGTAAGCTACTCTTAAACCTTTTGATGATATGATATCATTTTTAAACGAAGAATCTCTGAGTATTCTGGATCCTTGTAAAAGTTTACGATTGTATTTTGGCAGAGCGTTTTCAGAAAAAACAATCAAATCTATTATGACTCTAAGATTCGATTTGGATAAAGAATAAAAGAAAGATACTATTGAAATTTGTAAGAATCTAATTGACGATATCAACAAAACACAACCTATGGAGGATGAAAGTGTTAGAATTATGGACTTTTTAGGTTAAGAGGATGACCAATAAGAAATTGGCTAATAGTAAGAATAAGTGATCAGAAGAGCAGATATTAAATTAGATTTTAATGATCATGAAGTTCAACATGTAAACATATAACTAATAATTATAGATTCCCTAATAATAACAATAACGAAACTCAATTGAAAAGGAAGAATTCATAGATGAAGGCTATCTCTATAAGAAGAAACCCAAATCGAAAGCCTGGGATTATAGATATGTTAGAATTAGAAAAGGGTTTATCTATTGGTATATCAATTCCAATTCAAGAGAGGCATAAAACAAAATCAGCCTTCAAAATGTGGATGAAGTCATTCCAAATCCAAAGAAACCTGCTAATTTTAAGATCTAGTTAGAAGATTCCAAAATTTATAAATTTAAGGCTTAAACCAAGGAAGAATGCGAATTGTGGATCAAGACTATTTTAAGAGAATAGAATCAAGCTGAGATTGCAGTGATTACACTAGAAGCCATAGTAAATATCTATTATATATATGATAGTAAATTGGCAATGGCAAAATGCCCATAATCAAGGATTATGATGAAATTGCAAGGAAAGAACGGTAAAGATAGAAATAGGAAGAAAGAAAAAGAAGAAGAATTGAAAAAGAAAACGAGTAAATATTCCTTAGTATCTAGATTAAAAAAGAAGTAAATGGAATTGAAGTAGTTGTAGTAATAGTAGTTGAAAGAATTAGGAGATAAGCCATTGCCACACTAAGTGGATATATTTGAATAGCAAGGAGGATCGGTACATACTCATAATATATACATTTATAGACAATTAAAACCAAAAAGACTACTTCTTGTTGGACTTCATTTTTGATAACTTTAGGAGTTGAAAAACCTAAATGATTATTATCATAACTATTGATAAAACCCCTATTAAAAAACTTAGAAGTTTATACTTAATTATTTTTCTATAATTTAAAATTCATTTTTCATAAAGCTAAAATGTAATAATTGAAACTTGTTCCTCATCTATTTCCATTATATAGTTTGTTTGAGAAAGAGACAAAATAAAAACAATATTTAGGAAGTAGAAAATAATCATTATTTTGAACTTAAGAAATAAAAGCAAAACTAATTTTGATTGTTTTAGGCTTTATTTTTGTTATTAGTAATTTTAATATTGTAGTAGTTTATTAATCAGTATTACATGCACCTGATATTCTATATTTTACATACTTCAGATTAAAAAACTTTTCAAATTTAATTATGGCTAGACCTACACCTTAATTTGAGTTGCCCTATGTTATTGTATTTTTTTAAGTGTTCCATCAATTAAATATCTTTGGTGGCTAATTATTAACAATTATACATTCTTTATTTTGACATCTATTTAATAAATCATTCGATGCTATAATTAATGGAAAATCTTTGAATGAGATCAAACATTTTGCTATTATTATTATCAACAATCAAAAAATTTGAAATTAAATAATATTGTAATTTATAGAATTACATTTATCTCGAGATTATTCTATTAGGTAGCATTTTTAAATCTTAACCAAAATATCACCGGCATTAATATTATTTATGGTTAAGATGCTCGAATTTCGAATTCATTTCGCGACCCAATTTGGAAAAGCTCTTTATCTTACAGGGGATTCAGATATTTTAGGTAATTGGGATCCAAAAAAAGCTATAAGAATGAATTGGTCAGAAGTATATGTTAATATCTAATTTATAGGGAAATATTTGGAAATTTGAAATTTAGGCTCATAATTTCCAATACAAATATTTTGTTGCTAATTATGATGATGCTGCTTCTGATGTAATTTGGGAACCTGGTCCTAATAGAGCTATATTCTAGCACCAAAAAACAAGCTTAAGTACATAAATCAGCATTATAGATAGAAATTTTGGACTTCTGGAACTATAGAGAAGTTTAATTTTATTGCAATAATCCTCAAAATCATTAAGTTTATATTACAGGATCAGCTTATTCTTTGACTTTATTTAAATAATTCAAAAAGATGAACCACTACAATAATGAAGTAACATTTAACATCCTGATTAATCCATGTAACGAAAAAGTCATCAAATTTCGATGCTAGCTCAATAATTAAGAAGATCTGATGACTGAAATAGAAACAGTTTGTTTTGATGACCAAAGTAAAAATTTAATTTAGCTTAGATTAATATAAAAATAATGTTCTATAAATAAAATGCCAATTATTAGATGCTTTAATTAAGCAGTTAGAAGAGGAGTAAAGGAGAATTATTGAAGAAAAAAGAAGAATTGAAGAAGAGAGAAGAGTTTAAGAAGAGAGAAGAATTTAAGAATAGAGAAGGATAGAAGAAGAAAGAAAGAGAGTCGAACAAGAAAATATCAGAAAGTAACAAGAGGAAAAAGGGAGGTAAATTATATAATAAGACTTATAACCAGTAAGTTAATAAATATAAACATAATAAGAAATTCGTTCAAAACCAGTTTAGCAATAGATCTAAATATTAAGTTAAGAGCTTAATAAATTAGATTATAATAATAATCTTACAAATAATTAAAAATAATACCTTAAAAGCTAATATTAATAATAACTAATTGCAAAATTAAAAGATTATGGTGAAGCTAAATCAATTCCTCATGTAAGATAGAATATTGAAACTTCAAACCCTGAAGTGGCACTTTTTGTTTTAAAAGAATCATTATTAAGGGATTAAAATATAGCATTATTAGCAACAAGTAGGTAATACTCATTTGGATTTGATTCAATACTAGGATCTTATGGTTAAGATTAATCTTGTTTAAAAGTTCGAAATACAAATCTTGATTATGATAAAATTGTGAATGACAATCGATTATTATAACACCATTTATTAGAATTTAAGTAAAAATTATCAAGTTCACTGAATATTTCAACTGATTAAATTGAAATTTTAGGAGTATCAAAGGGAAGCTTTGAAATTAGTTTTAATATTACAGGAAATGATCCGGATTCGATTTAATAACAGATTAAAAATAATCCAAATGCTAAGAAATTCTTAGATGAGTATTGTAATGGAAGAGTAGAATATGTAGCATACTTTGATCGTGCAAATAACTAAGCAAAAGAGAAAGCCCTTTCTTTTGATGATTTTAATCCTTCACACAATATGAGTTGGGATGGTTTTCATGAGAAAGAATAGAGAGGACCTCCTTATCATAAATATGATTATTATTTTCCAAGAGGTTGCTACGGATTTGGTTTAAGGGTAAAAAATTATGGAAATGATGATTGGATAAAAATGGATGGTAATCCTAATGAATGGAGAATTATGTATCATGGTACTAAATAAGTTGCTGTTAGATCAATTACAAAAGATAATTTAAAACCTGGTAAAGAAAATTATTGTGCTAAATATGATTGCTTAGATGAGGATGGTAAAACTGTGAAGGTAGGAAATGGAATTTATTTTTCAAACGATTTTAAGGTCTGTATTAACGATGGATATGCTAGCTACACTTAGATTGGTTCAAAATAATTTGCAGTGATCTTTATGTCAAGAGTAAATCCCAAAAAAGTTAGACATGGAGGAAATTATATGAGAGATAATTAATACTTTGTTGTTAATGAATCGCAAGATGTTAGACCATATAGAATATTATTACATGAAAAAAAATGAAGCAATTGTAATTTATAAATGTGTTTTATTGTTAAAATGGAATTAAATTAATATATTCTGATAAATAATCTTAATAATACCATCAATCTACACAAGCATCAAATTTGTAATATAAATTATGAAATTAAGATTGTGTAGAAGATTGTTAGCGCAGACCTTGCTCAAATTTTAAATTTCACATAACATCTACTAAAGGATTTTATTTGTCAAAAAAAGTCAATAGCTTAATATATCTATCTGAGAAACATATTCTGACTAGACCTATCTTTCTTGAAAATTCTTTTAATAGCTATCAAATTTTTAACTTTGTAATCCATAACCAAAATTCATTTGCATTGATAATAAAGTTATTATTCCAATATCCTAATTTAATCAGCCTTTTACACTAAATTAATATTAGTTTTCAGATGTCTTGGGATTCTAAATCAGTAATTATGTGAATATTAAAAATATACTAAGACAAGAATTGATTGATATCATTGTTGAGTAATTTGAAAAAGAAGGAGAAAAATAACTTAATTATAAAATTAATCCAAATTAAGATAATTTAACATTAACATTCTTTGAAAAAAAAGCAATTAATTGAAGAGTTAGAAAAAATAATAATGAATCTTTATTGTATTTAATAAAAAAAAAGAATAGAATCTGATATAATAATTTTATTAAAGGCAAATTCTATTATATCTATAAATAAGCCTTGAGATATTACTAGTTTTATATTTAATATTTAAAGAAAAAAGAATTAAATCTTTAAACTATTAATCATCTTATGGAGAGCTAAAAGTAACTATATTAGCATAATGATAATTGACAAGTACAGATATTGTAAATTAAGAAGTATCAAAATGTTCAGATACTTGAGAAAGATTGATTATACTATATTGATGAAGATATTTTAAATAATGATAATATCAATAGAATCTTAATAATTGATTTTAAATGTAATAGCTTGATTCCAGCAATTCATTGGGATTTTCTTTTATTAAAAGAAACAAATTTAATATTAGTTTAAAGCGGTTATAATAATTTTAAAAACAAAATTCAAATTTTAGAAAGGAATGAATATATCAATTTGTCAATAGTATACGTTCGTTTAATAGTTAAATAATTGTTAGGATGATAAGAATTTTACAGAGTAGAATTATGAAATAAAAATTGATCTAAAAGTAAATTAAAGTGTTAATAATTGAAATATTATCATCAGCAATCAATATGAATGAGTATAATTTTATCTAAAAAATTATTTTAATTGAATGAGATATGATATTACAAGTATTTTTATCATAAATTTATATAATTATTATGTTGTAAGATAAATCTTTAAAAGAGAGACTGAAATGTAAAATAGAATTTGGTGAAGACGAAGAGAAGCCAGAAATAATTAGTTTGAGTGTAGTTGATGATGCTATAAAATTTGAAGATAGATATGAGGCATTGTAAGTGCTGGGTAAAAATTTTAGTGATTTGTAGGATAGGGAGCACATGCAATTGTAAAATTGGCAAGGAGAAAAGAAACTAATGAATTATATGCAGTAAAAGTAACGAGAATGAATAATGAGGAAATATATAATAATGTTAAGAGGACATTTTACAATGCTCGTTGTTTAAGACATCAAAACATAATATAGGAGATAGAATTGTTTATAAATGAAAAGTATTGCAGTGCATGTTTGGTTATGGAATATTGTCCCTATCCTACGTTGGAATCAATATTAGTAGAGAGGAAAATTTTAAGAGAAGAAGAAACTAGATAAATCATCAAACAGCTATTGACTGCAATCTAACACATCCATAATAAAGGAATAAGCCACAGAGATATAAAGCCGGATAATATTTTGGTTAATATAGAGGGTGATTGTGAATTAAAATTGCTTGATTTTGGTGTTTCAAGGAGGTTTATATAAAAAAGTTAGCACCTTGAAATGCTCACTAAAACAGGCAACATATATTACTGCGCACCTGAAATTTACCATTAGCCACATTACTCTAAAGAAGTAGACGTTTGGAGCGTAGGAGTCATTATGTTTTAATGTATGACAGGTGAATTACCATTACATTCGAATTCTATTAATGACTAAATTGAATTGTTAAAGAAGCCTGAATAATGGAATTTCAAGAATAGAGTAAAGGAAGAATCCCTTAGTGCTTAAAATCTATTATCTAGACTTTTGTCAGCTGATCCAAAAAAACGAATAACTCCAATGGAGGCGTTAGCTCATCCTTTTATTGAAAAAAATCAAATATATACGACTATTGCAATGCTTTCGTCAACAAAGATTATTGAAGAAGATGAAGGGTTAGCAAATAAGTGCAAATCATTATAGACCAGTTTATCAATTAATTAAAAATAGAATTTGCATCGAGCATTAAAAACTTTGCATCTTGGATTAGAATATTAAGACATAGTAATCGAAGATTTAATATATGAACTTGGTAATATTCATGTAGTTTAAAAGAGGAATGGAGAAAATTATCCAGGTCTAATATAATTAATCAATTCTCTTGGTAATAGTTCTGGTAATAACTAAATCGAAGCAAACAATAGTAATGGAAAATGCAATTTAGGGATAGGATCTTCGCAGAGTATATGTAAAAATTCACCTATATAATAAGTATCGGCTGAAAATTAGGTATAAGATTGTTTTGGAGATCTTTGTAATATACAATCCAGCGTTGATCTTGGAAATACAGGAAATTATGTTTAAATTGAGGAAAAGAAGAGAAATCCACTTTAATAATTTGTAAATTAGATTGGTGGGAAAGTAGAATGCAGTATTGATATCAATTTAACAGACAGCATTCAAGAAACTGGCTCAACTAATAGATAAAATTAACTTATTTCAACTCTTGATCTTTTGGGAATGAAAGAATGCGATGAAGAAGTAGAAAATACAATGTGATTGAATTATACTCATTTTTTCTTCATTTCTTAACTTGTTACTAACTCCATACTAAATTCATATATACTATTTTTTAAATATTTCTAGATGTATGTATTCATCTGGGCCTGTCTCCAGAGTTATCCAATATTGGATTTTCATCAAAAAAAAATTAGTGTATTTATCCCTATTGGTTTCCCTTACCTTTTATGGTTTATTATTACTATACAATGTATCATTTAGACTTTTTGTTATTATCGAACTCCTTCAATGTCATATATAGCCAATTGAGAGATAACTAATATTTGATGCATTTCCAATTTTGCCACTTAAATTCACATGAACTTTTTAAGTCATAAGTCTTAAACAATCATGAGAATAGTTACGAATTGAGTTGAATATGTGAAATAAGAACTGTCAGTGAAGTTATGAAAATTGAAACTAATTGACTGACGTATAATTAATATAATAAAAGCGTATGGATTTTAAAACCCGATTCTAAGGGAGAACCTCTACTATGGATAAAAATGGTGTTATAGGAATTGTATCAAACACTTCAAAACCAATCAACAAGAATAGCGAACCTTAAATTATCACAACGAACATGAATATTAATTAAAATCCTCCATCGTACTATTATCAGAAGTTCCAAAGAAATGCCCAGAAGGTGTTATAATCAGAGACTGATGTTGATTTAACACCTTCAACTAGATCTGAATATCCTTCTTATAAATTTAGGCAGGACTTCCAAAAATTGAATTTAGATGAATATGAAATTGTTGCAATTCCAAAAAAGGTTTTGGAGGGTGAGAAACATTCAATGACTCATTCACATGTGCCAATAATGAATAAGGGAATCAATAACATGGCAAGTTCGCTAATAGGTCAGAGTTAACAAATGATCAAAACTCAAAATTATTCAAGATATTTGAAGAACGTTAATCCAGTTCAGAATTCAAATACTTTTATATAAGCTGGATACGGAGCACTTAAACAGAAATAGCTATATTTACAAAATCTAAGAAAATGATTGCACTAAGACTATCTATTGTTTTTAATATATCAAATAATTTTATAAGTTGCGTATACTTTATTTTCAGTCCTCTAATATTATAATAAATAATAACGATTAATATAATATCTTGGTTTTGCAAGCCAAGTGCTGAGATAATCCATTCAGTGCATTGACAGAATTAATCCTTGAAGTTTTTAGAAGTAAAATTTGAGAGTCAACAATAAATAAATAATTCTTACTGACAACAATTGAGGTGATATTTATTATTCCTTAATATTGGAAGAATTTGTATTTACTACAGCCTACAGTCCTGAGTCTTAATACATCAAAAGTATGAGTAGTTCTTTCATTTATTCACTTTCCTCTTCACCAAGGCTTGAAAGTATAATTTTTCTTCTATAGAAAGCCAAACTCAATAAATCTTAGATCAGCAGAAGTAGTAAAACATAAATTATGGAAATGAAAACAGAAAGAGAGCTATAATTTATCTGGAATTATAAATGAAGAAAATGTTAGGTTTATGAAAAGTATTAAATTAATAAATTTAGTTTAGAATTGAAAAATTAGAAATTGTAAATCGAGATTAAAGAGAGGTTTTTATATTTACATATGCTAAGATTAAAAAAATGGAAACAGAATGCTTAATATGAAATTGAGATTAATAACAAATTATTGATCTTGATAATAAGAAATTAAAACTTGAAAGGATATCAAGCAGTAAATAAAGAAAAATAAAATTAAGTGTATAAAATGAATAAAAAAATAAGAGATGAAGTAAATAAAATGACAGATAAAAATTTACAATGTAAATATCAAAATATGATATTAACTAAATAAATTTAGAAGTTAATTTTACAAGAGTTATAATCAGAAGATTAATATACAGATTTAATAGCGATTGAAATGAAATCGCCTTATAGAAATACTCTTAGAAAATTGCAAATTATGGTAAACCAGATAAAAAAAGTATTAGATATGATTTTAATACAAAAGACAAGATCAATTAGAAAATATTGAAAGGAAATTAAAGTAAATGTGAAATTAAAAGGAGAAATAGAATTTAAATAAACTCAATTACAAGTTCGATATCCCAGTGTTTTATGCAATGAAATGTCTTTATGAATATTAGGCTTAAGTAAGATTTTAATTATTTATTAACTAAGCTGCCTTCTTAAATAATGAAACTTAAAGCACTTTATTAAGCTATCACATGTCTAATAGTGAAGGATTGAGAATTTGAAATAATATACTCAAAAATAAAATATTTATACATTTAAGTAAGCGAATATTGATTGAAATGAAATACTAAAACAAAACAAAAATAAACAAAAGATTTTTCAGATTGATCAATTAAGAAAGAAATAATTACTAGAAGAAAATAGAAGGTTTATAAAATTATTAAAAAGATAAGAAAAGAGGGATGTTTAGATATTCTAAAGAAAATATAGATCAATGAAGGAAGGTTTATATATAATGAGACCAGAATCCAAAAATGTTTAAAAAACTACTTCTTTTATATTCTGATTTCTAGATGCAGAAGTATGAAAGATCACACAAATAATTAGAATAGAAAGACCTAAAGTAATCATTAAGTAAAAATTATTATAATCCCATAATTATTTTTGGAATTTATGAAGATGTTTTTTTAACATTTAATTTTGATTCATGTTTCTGAATGAAAGAATACTAATTCAGAATTTTTTTTTTAACTTTTTAAATAATTTTTAGTAAATATTTCGTCATTAGTATTGTTATTCAAAATCTCAAATAATGTGTAGATAAAAATATTCAATCTGATTTTATTCAAATTGCATTTATTTTAGCATTTTTCAATAAACATTTATTCGCATTTTTAGTTTATTGTTTTTTGTTCAGCAGATGGTTTCTAAGTTACTGAATTTATACTTTAAATTATCATCAATTACATAATAATTTGCTTATCATTTAGAGTTATTTATGGGTATATGAAAAGAATTAAGTAATCCTCAATGATATTGCTTTGTATTTTCATCTTACATTAATTAGTATTTGAAATTATATTCATTATCTAAGTTTTTAATATGAATTCTTCCAAAGAAGATGGTATCAATTTATTGATTATTAGTATTGCACAAACTTGAGTTTAAGAAAATAATTAAAAACTCGCCCAAAAGTAACCCTGAAGAATGTTTGAATCCTCCTTCTTTTAGTGAAAGCTTTTTCTTAGTTAATTCAATCATATCATATGATAACTTAAAAGAAGCTAAACAAGATTAAATAAACCAATTCTTGGTTGAGAATTGTGAGAAATGGGTGGAAACATCGGAGTCAACTTAATGCATACCACATTCCAGGAAAAAATAATTAAGAAAAAAATTATCATAGTTTTCTGTTCTTATTTAAATACTTCTCTTAATGAAATATTCGATCGATTTTTTGAACACCATATTCAACCTATTTTGTGGAATATACATTCCTTTTCTTTAACTTAGAGAGGAGTATGAAAATATTAGCAATACCCTATACATTCTAGTATTTTTTCATCTACTCATTATCTTTATTTAAAATCTTTATTCATATATACAAATACTCAAAACATCAAATACACATAATGAATAAAAGTTTAGCTTATTAAATTAAATTACTTTGAAGAATTTAACAGTCATATCCTTTTTATTAATCTATATAATAGAAAATGTGAGCCAAATTCTTTTAATAGTTTCATTTTATTACTTCTACATTGGGTATTAGAAGATAGAAATATTTACTCTATTGCTAATTATTAAAAGAAGTATAATATAAAAATTATTTATTAGGAAAGTTCTATAAAACTCTAGCTATTTCTAAAGTCATTATTTATTATATTTACTTCTTGCACTTATTCTCTTGTTTTTTTGAACTGTCAACTGAAAGTGGAGATTTTTTCTAAAAATACAAGGAATCCTTAATCATCAACATAAATTTTATAACTTTCCAAGCAAATTACCAAGTCTAGGATTCAACCATGAATTTTGAAGTAATGATTAATTAAATAATTGCATTGCTTCTGATGTTATATACCATTGATGTTTTAATGCGAATAAGATCAAACAATGGTTAAATTGAAAATTAAATATAATTTGATGTGTATGTGTTACAGTATTACATTTGGAACCATAAGGGATAAATATTAAAAAAATTAAAATTATATCAATAAATCTCGAATAAAGAGCTGACATAAAAATAGGTAATTTTTATTATAAATATAAGTTGGCTTAATAAGAAATTATTAAAAAAATTTATTAATCCATTTTAAAGGACAATTTAAAAGTTCTTAATATATTTTCAAAATAATTTACAATAAATTTATCTTAAAAACTAAAATCAATTAAAAAGTCTAAGGAGAAAATAAAATTAGATAGATACGGATTATATTTGATTTTAGAAGGCAAAGGATACCTCAGATTGGGAAATTAATTTAAAGGCCAAAAAGAAATAGATTCAAAATAGTTCCAATTCGGGTTAATAAATTGTTTTCAGAGTAATATCTCTGATGTTGAGTTAGAATTGGAAGATCATTTTTTATTATTGTATGTAAGTTCTGAGGATTTTTCTTAAAGTCTAACTTTAAGTTAGGATTTTGTAAAATAATAAATTATTTTAGGAATCCTTTCATCTAATAAAACATAAAATCATTTTCGAAGGTGAAACAAATCTGATAGAGTATAGATGTTGGATTTGTAATGGATATCATTAGGAAAGAAGATGTTCAGTTATAAAAATATAAATGAGCTTTACTATCTAAAATGAGAATAATGCTAGAAGTAATTTAAAAAAAAGAATCCTGAGTAAAAGTTAAAAAGCTTATAAAACATATGTAATATTTCATTTTCATACATTTAAGAGACTTTGCAAGCAAAATGATAGTGCAACCGTTGATTAGAGTGATAGCAGTTCAAGTGATAGTAAAGACGAATTTGAAGTATATGCTGATGAAGGAAGTGGAAGCCAAAAAGTCACTGATAAAAACATTATTTTAACAAGCAAGGGAAATATATAAATTCCTACAATTTAAAAGGACGGATACGTAGAATACATTACCGATAAATTATATGAATAATTAAGGAGCAGCCATAAAAACATACAATTATAACCATCTATATACACCAGTAGTTAGTAAATCGCACAAATAATACAGCCAGATTTTAGAAGTATTCCTTTAAACTCTTCCTAATATAAATTTCAAGAACTCTTAAGTGTTGATGATTGTGACTGTGTGAAAGAATATGCTTATTTTTACCCGGAGTACAACATAAGCTACATCATTTCACTAATACAAAATTGAAAATTATGAAATATCAATAAATACTTTAATAAATTCAAATATTATAAAATTATCAAATATATTATTATCACTAATGAAAATTATCATAACTTATTTTTTAGTTAAATCAATATAAAGAAGTTAATTTTCCTTAGAGATTATAATTTTTTGTCTGCTTGATGTGGTTATTCCTATGAATTATCTATAATATTTTAATGAGATGCTATTTCTATTTTAATCATCATTTCTAACTTTGAATTTGTTTTTGGTATTGAAATTTTTATACATAATATTATTTATATTCAGTTATGAAAAAGGGCGATGCTCTAATAAATTTGAAGAAATATACATAGGAAGAGGATTGTCTATTTTGTTAGAAATACGGTAGAGTAACAACAGATAAAATAAATTTTGCCCCACTCCTCAATAGAGTAAGTGATAATCAATATGGCATTTAGGCTTTGTACACAAAATACTCATAATCGCAATGGAATGGAAGAAAATACGAGGATTTATTTTCGACAAAGCCAATATCATGGGTTATTAAATTCAAAGATAGATTGACCTTTGAAGATTATGATGAGTTTCTAAAAAGGTATACACAGAATAAATAATGTTGCTTTATAGATTTTACCCTCAAAGTGATCAACCTATGAAGTTTGAGTAGTTGTTAGAATACTACAAGTATCACAAAGATATTCCAAGAATGTTCATGCCAAGAGTGTCTGATTTGGCAATCTATTTTTATGAGAAAAAGAAGTACATAATTTGTAGATTAAACTATTAGATAGATAGAGTATAGGAAGATAAAATTCATGCTTGGTATCCCTGTGGAAGATGCTAGTAATTGCACATGTAATCACATAAAAATAATTAGAATATGAAAAGCTCAAAGAAGACATCAAAGTATTGAATAGCATAACCCAGTAGACTCAAGTGTCAAGTCTTTCAGTGTTAAGAGAGATCTTAAAGTCTAAAGCTAGTGACGAAATTATTGTAAATATATGTCAACTCATTTAGAATATTGATGCAACATGGATGACTATGACTCAATAATAACAATAGAAATCTTAGTATCCACCGAACTTGAAATTACTTAAATAACTCATATCCAAAAATACTCAATTTTATAAGGACAAATAAAATATCTATGCTGCAGGAATAAGTAAAAGGCCCGTCTAAAAGTCTCCTCAACAAAAAGGACATCTCAAAACTTTAAGTAAAGATACTTCCCAAAAGTCCTTAGTTTCCTCCAATAAACTTATCAATAGCAGCAATGGAGACACAGATTTACAAAAGTTCTTAAAATAACAGATTTTAACTGTTAATCATGCAAATCCATGTTTATTCAGTTCCAAACAATCAGGAAAAGCTAATCACATATCGAATTATCAATCTAAACAAAACAGCATTCATTATATCACTAGCACTAGAAGCATATCTTCAGAGCAATTAAAATTAATATAATCATAATAACCATTGAAATAAAGTAATAGTCCCAATTTAGTAATCCCTACTCATAAGAAAAGTTAGACATAAACTCACTATACAGAGATAAACTCTCCTAATAAACATTAGAAGTAACTCTCTATGAAAATGCACACAAATATGGGATAGGATGTCAAATAATCATTAACACATACCAAATCTTCTGAAAAACTCTTCAAAATCTATACATCCCAGTCATCTGTTCCTCTGTCAGCAAATATCAACATCAATATCAATCAACTTAATATGAATAATTTAAATATTAAGACTCCATTCTAACAATATAAGGCCATGCTTGAAAGTCCAAAGATCAATTCAAAACAAAAAACGCAATCTAATATAGAAACACAAAGAATTACTAGTGCTCAGAAAAGTGCCAGTTCTTAAAAAAAAACTTAAATCTCAGTATAATAGTTATATGTCTAAAAAATTAAACCAAAAAGCAAAACAATGAAAAAATGATTTACTCTATTGAATTTATAAATAATTAACATTACGTAATTCTTTGCTACATTTTTTATTATAAGAATTCCACTTTGCACTATTTATAAATTTATTATAAACATATTTCTGTTAAATGAATAGATCGTCACATAAGCGATAGCGAACTTCCAATACACCAAAAAGATAAAAAGAACAAGATAACAACCCTATTCCAAGCTAATAAGTGGCAAAATAAGTCAGAAACGATGAGGCTGTTTAATAATTAAGTGTTATGGACAATCCCAAAAACTAACTTAGGAGGTAGGATTCTCAGAATTTTCACTTGAGATCCTCCTAGAATTTAGAGAAATCCTATAATCTGAGTATATATCTTATCTAAAATAAGCTGATAGAATTTATTCTCCTGCAAGAAAATAGGATTAATCTCCTAATTTAAGAAAGAAGGAGAACATCAAAATTATAGATTCATATGAAGCTAGATATGGTAAATTGAGTACTGAAAATCTTTAACTTTAAAACCAAATCTAAGCTGATCAATAAAAATACAATAAAATTATCAATGAATTAGAAATTCAGCTCTCAAATTAAACTTATAAATTATAAACCGAATAACACAATATTAAACAATAATAACTGTTATTATAAAAGAAGAATGAAGAGATTTAACTATTAGTCAATGAATTGAAAAAAAATGAAACCAAGTATATTTAGATCTCACAAAATGTAATTATTATGATTTATTATCAAGAATGTTCAAAGTGTTGATGAAAATTAGAATTTGAAAGGTTATATCTAAAATTTAGAGTATGAATTATAAAATTTGAAATAACAGGTTCAAGATTCGCATTTCAAAAGTGCAAGACAGATTGAGGAAACAAAAATAAAAGTTGAAAATGATTGTTCTCATCAAAGCTAACTACAATTAAAGGATATCTAATAATAACATCAATAAATCTTGAGCAAAAAGAACGACTAACTAATATAGGAATAATAAAAGTATTCAAAACTCTTAGGCTAATTTGATAATATAGTAAATGAAAAAAATAAGATGTAATTGTTGATAGAAGATCTTCAAGACGAAAAGTTAACTATTTAATAATAACTTCAACAATAAAACTAAATGTGTGAAGAGTTCAGGTTAAAAAACATGAGTTTACATAAGGAAGTATAACTAGTTCATGATAAGCAAGCAAAATAAGAACTTTCACATCAAAAATAGATCTAGGAACTTAAATAATATTATGAATAATAATAAATAAATATCTTATAAAGAAGACTAAATGAAACCGAATTAAAACACTCAACAGAAAATTAGCAATAAGATTAGATAATAAGAGAGTTGTAAGGATAATTATAACAATCTGAGAATAATTACCAAGTAATGAAGACTGAAAATGCAAAATTATATGCTATAGATCAGGAGTAGGAGAAAGAGATTAAAATATTATAGTAAGAATTAGAGAGGATCAACAAATTCAAAGACTTAGAGATATAATAACTATAAGAAGATCTTTAGAAGTTAAAACAATAACTTTTAGAATAATCATCTAAGTATTAGACTAAATTACATGAATTAAGTAAGCAATAAGTTATTGCTAATGATATAAAGAGTGAATTAGAATTATAAAAGAATGTTACAAAGGAAATTGAAGCCAGTATTAGGGAGCAATGGGAAACTGATATTCAAGAATTGAAAGGGTTTAATCAATAATAACTCTAAAATCTAGAAGAATAAATTAAATTCTTAAATGTTGAGAATGAAAAATTAATTATCTAAAGTCGTAAGAAGGATGAATAAATCAATGAATATAAACTTAATTAACAGTTATTAGATAATTCAATAAATGGATTGAAACATTAATTAAGCGATACTGAGAAATAGAAATAAAAGGAATTGGAGGATTATTAATTTGAATTGGAGAACTTCAAAAAAGAATTAAAGGAATAAAATGTCAAGTTACAATAAGAAAAATAATTAATGGAATAATAATTAAAGCAATACAAATAGAGAGCAAAAGAATTGGAAACCGCAAAAATTGAATTGGAATTTAGCTCCTCTCAATAGATCTAAAATTATTAAGAACAAATTAAATAAAAAGACTGGTAGATCAGTTAATTTAATTAAGAAAAATAGAAGTTTGAATCATAACTAAAATCAACAAAAGAAAGATTGACCTAAGCTGAATTCCAAGTTGTAGAGTTAAAATAAAGTGCTGATATTTATTTGAAGGAATTAGAAGAATCAACTCAACAAAGAGATCTTGAAAGAAGTCAATTTAACTAAAAATTTAGCTTTTAAGAAGCAAGAATATCGTAGTACAAGTAAGCAATTAATTAATATGAAATCGAAATTCACAATCAAAATAACTAAATTGACAAAGCACAAAAGTCACTTGATCATGCAATGTTAGAGTCTTAAAAGAAAATTGAGGAATCAAGGAAGAGGGAGTAAAAACTCTTAGATCAAATCGCTAATCTAAATTTGTAGTTGTAATCGAATGAAGATTAATTTTTTAAATATTAGGAGGAACATAAGGAATCTAATAAATAAATTGAGTAATTGCTTCAAGAGAAAGATTCTTTGATTAAGAGTTTGGAAAATTAAAAGGAAAAATTAGTTGAAGTTAAAAATGAATTGACTGAGGAAATCGAATAATTGAATTAAAAGATCCAAAATTATGCTGAAGGAGAGAACTAGAGATAAGATTGGGAATTCTAAGTAGAAAATGAAAAGGTATATATTTATATAGATTATTTAGGCTGTTTTGAATAATGAGATTGAAATATTATAATAAAAGCTCGACCAAAAAGAGTCAAAATTAAATCAAATATAATAATAATATTCAAATTTAGAAATTCAACTATAAGATAAAGAAGTATTGTATGATTCTCTTAGAAGATAAATTGATTAAAATTATGTACATGTTGAAGACTATGATTAATTGAAATAGAAAAACAGCAATTTATTGAATGAGATTCATGAATTAGAGAGCAGTTAGCTTAAATCAAATAGTGAGAAATAATCATTAAGAAGACAAATTGAAAAATTGAAGAGTGATCTAGAGTTGAAAGAATAAGAGTTTGAATAAACTTTTGAATAATTGAATAAAAGAAGAGGAGACAATGAGGATGTGGCGAAGTTGACAAAAGAGATTTAAAGACTGAATTTCGAGTTGTCAGATGCTTAAACATTATTGTAAGCAAAAAGCGAGCAATTAAATATAATGAGAAGAGAAAATGATGAATAATTGGAGCAGGTAAATAGATTGAAGAGACAATTAAATTAAACATCAGAGAAAGAATTAATAAGAAGGATAGATAAATCTGAACATTTAGAAGAAAACCTTTGATTGCTTATATTAAATAATCTTAGCATATATAAAGGGATTAATACTAAAAATAAATATAAAATGTAGTATTAATTTGTTCATTTCCATACAGGTTTGCTGTTGATAAAAGATTAAATGAAATCCTCATCGTTCTTCAACTATCCAGGTGATGGATATCTCCACCCTTTGTTTTTATTCGTTGGAATTAATTGGGTTACTTTAGGAACATTGTTTCCTAATTTTTAAGTAAATAAATCAAACTACCTTTCACAACCGGGGAAAATTGACGATAAGGAAAGGGTGCTGGTTTTGGAATATTAACAGGGGGTTGAACTTCAGGCTATCTAGAATTATTAATATTGGTACACATAGGCAGATCTAGGTCTGTCTGTTGGATCTCTTTTTTATTATTTTAAGGATTGAGATTTCCCTGTTTGTTTAAGTTTCTATTCTTAATGTTTTTTGAGACTATCATTTTACTATCTTTTGATAGTTCCACTATTTGGTTTGATAAGTGCATTATTATTTTCTCTGGAATTCATACTGGAATTGTATTTTTCTAATTCTTCTTTTAGTGTTACATAATTATTAACTGTCACGTGGTAGATATTCCCACTTATATTATTTTAACTATTCAATTTAACAGCATTCTTGGGATTAGTCTATTTGATCTTTTTTTAGGACTTTTTAGCTAAGGTTTCATCTGCCCAAGTGATGGTTCTGACTCTATTCTCGTTTAGATATTAATTGAATAGCCTTCTGTCTAACCAACATGAATCAGCTGGACTGGATTTTGCATTCATAAACGTATTCCTAAGAAGTTTTTCATCTTCCTCAAGGGGTAGATCTTATTCCTCATGTGGTTGCCATGAGCTTGATAGACCACCTTCACCCTTCTTACTTAGTTTGGACTCCAATTGAGTTAGTTGGTGATAGAAACTGGCTCTAATTTCAAGATCTGGTCTTCTCGAATTGAGAAACTCCAAGGTCTTATATAGTTTCCACTTATATTTTCTCATAAAGTAGGCAGCAAGTGCACAACATGAACGAGATTGCCCTCTGACTGAATGAACCAGAACAGATTCTCCATTACTATGTGCTTATTCTATAAATTGATAGATTTCATTAACAGTATCATTTGGAAATAGTATTTACTTATTCATGATATATAGGATGTACTTGTTCATTCTCTAACCAATTGAATTTCAGATAGGTGACACCGTAGTTTGTGAATACACAAGGTAGTTGTTTAGCTGCGCAATTAACAATTCTAGTTACTTTGTTCTGTATGACGAATTCAAGGTCCTTTATAAGTTAAGACTATATCTTACTTTAGAGGCTAATTCATCTCCTATGAAGAGACCATCCTTTACTTTAATTGCTCCAATTATCATTATGTTTTAATTAGTAATAATTTTGAAATTTGAAAAATGGAATTAATGCCTAAATTGCAAGAAATTCAAAAAGAGTTGCAATATTATACAAGATTCTTCCAAGAGAACAAACTCTATCATTCTAGCAAATGGACAGGAGAGCTATTATTAGGATTGACATAAGAGGAAGATTTATAATAATCATAATTTGCAATGCATTTTATCCAAAGCAATACAGATTACAAATATTAATTCATCAGAGAATTTGTTCCTGAATACAATGATGTCATTTTAGTAGCTAGAAATCTATTTGATTTAAGAGAGTTCAAGAAATGTGCATCATTATTATAAAATCTAATCCATAAGAATGAATCAGCAATGTTCCTCTATTATTATTCATAATACATGTATGGAGAGTTGAGAAAGGAAGAAGAGATGTTTGAGAATGAGAACTCAAAAACAGCCACGAATCCAGAACTCAAATTATTGGAAAGAGAATTATCAAAATTGTACAATCAAAAGTAATTAAATTAATTGAATCTCTATCTTTATGGATTGATCTTAAAAGATACAATGAGATTAAGAGAAGCTAGAGAAGTATTCATCTAGGTTTTGCATCAAATGCCTTGTTTTTGGAGTGTTTGGTTGGAACTATGTAAATTGCTAACTGAAGAAGATACTTTGGAGGAATTACCAAATCATTGGATGAAATTATTTTGGAGTTCTAATTTTAATTTGGAGAAGTTTAAGAATGCAAATTGTGTTGAATAATTTTAGACATTACTATATTACTTTAGGAATTCTAATTTTATCATAAATCAAATTGCTAATGCTTATTATAACAACTAAGAATTTGAATTATCATTGGAGTGGTTTGAAAGATTGCTTAGTATTGATCCTTACAGATTTGAGAGTCTGGATACATATTCAAATATTTTGTATATCAAAGAAAATTAAGGGGAATTAGCAAACTTAGCATTATAATCATTCACCAATAATAAGTATGTACCGGAAACTTGCTGTGTAGTTGGAAATTACTATTCTCTAATGAATGAGCATGCAAAAGCAATAAACTATTTCCAAAGGGCTTTAAAATTAGACAAAGATTGTTTGGCAGCTTGGACTCTGATGGGACATGAGTATTTAGAAATGAAGAATGTGGCATCTGCAATACAATCATATAGAAATGCTGTGGAAATAGATCCAAAGGACTTCAGAGCTTGGTATGGTTTGGGATAGACTTATGCATTGCAAGGGATGAATCAATATGCTCTGTATTACTTCAGTAGGGCAGTTATTAGCAGGCCAAAAGATGCGAGGATGTGGAATGCAATGGCAGAGTGTTATGATAAAATGGATAAGAAAAATGAATCGATGAAGTGTTATGAAAGAGCAAATCAGTGCAAAGATAAGGAAGGGATTGCTATCCATTAGTTGGCGAAACTGTATGATGCAGTGGTAAGCATTTTAATTTTCTATGGATTTAGGGCAAAACAGATAAGGCCTTGTCTGCATTTGAAGAGAGTTTGAAGAGGAAGGATGAGGAGTAGATAGTGGACAAGGAACTATCGGAGTCCTTACTATATTTGGCAAGAGCATTTTTGAGAAGGGGGGACAATGAGAGAGCCATGCAGATGGCTAAAAGACTTTATGATTTCAACGGGCCGGAAAGAGACGAAGCCAATTTAATAATGAGTTAATTAAATAAGTGAAATATATATTATTAATTGATGAATTAGATTTATCACGATTCTCTCATTAATGCACTGAAAACACAAATCTTAGTTCCTATAACCTTGGATTGCCGATATCTCAAAGAGGCTCTAAGTTAAATTTCCAACGAATAACAGTTTTTATAAATAGAAGACTATTTCTTAAACCAGGACCTGATTGATGGAGTTAACCGACGAACAATCAATCTAATGAATGACTGTATTAAAATACTTCGAAAGTATATGTTTATTGGGTGGAATGTCACTCCTAAATTTATTGAGGTATTTTTCAATCTAAAAATAGGATATTGTGTATGAGTTCATCGATAGAAGTGCCGACGAATGGAAGGAGCCTGCATTTTTTGTATAACGACTCCCAGAAATCAAGGTTTAATTAAAAGGGTATTATAAGACTTTTTAAGAAAATGCATTTGAGTAATAATTGTTTATCATCAATTAGATTGTGTGATACTCTGATCTCTGAATTGTGTGATGACTATTTAAATAGTGCACAATTGAATGCCTTGTTGAATGAAATTTTGGAATCTCAATTAAAGAGGGTTGCATATGATCTATTTGAGTTTGCCTATCTCGATACATAACTTACGAATGAATTTTTGAACAATCTCCAAAAGTTGTTTATTGATTTGGTTACTGACTTCTTTAACTATCTGATTGATGTTGCATGTCATGCCAATTATAAAATGCAACAACTCGATAAACTATTGAAAATTTATGGAAGTCTAGCAAATCAGGAAAATTACAAATACATGCAGAAAGAAATATCATAGAACATCATTGATTATGGTGACATCACTTTGATAGGACAATCATTTCAAGTGAATCAGGAAAAACATTCCGTAATTGTTAAATAGGCAATTAAACATTTTTATTACGTAATGGATGAGTGTAAACAATTATTCACAGCCAAACAACATAAGAACTTTGATGAATTGATCAATAATGCCTAATTTAATATCATTAAACCTCTCCCTCAAAATATTTAAGTCATTTCAGATGCAGATGATATTCCGCTTATGGAATTATGTCATGAGATTAAAGTAATTAAATCATAAAAAGTGTAAAAAAATGATTTAAAAGGATTAAAAATTGTTGTCAAAGATGAGAAAAATAATAGAGTTCAATAATTTATTTTGAGTTTGTCTTATCATTATTTGATGTTTCACAAATACGAACAAGGTTGGGAATCCTTCGATGATGAAAAAGAATCAAACATTCTTTTAGTTAAATTTCTAAATGAACAATTTGATTACCTTCATTGTGGACATCCTGAATTCAAAAAACGTGTTGCCAGTGAAAAATCTATTGATAGAACTGCTGATGATGTTTCTGGATTCAAAAACGCTGTCTTTAAATTCAAAAAAATCAGTGCACCCAAAAAACCAATTAGATATGGAACATCTAACAGAGTGATAGGTGGTAAAGCACTTGGAATGGGTATTGGTGTTCTTATTGTTGATTGTCTCGATGAAGATATTCCTTGGGATGATAAATTAAAAAATGCTGGATTTACAGCTCTTTCTTTTGGTGTTCTTGGTATTCTTGCTTCCAGATTACCGATTGTAGGCATTATCATTTAATAAGTAATCTTGGCTTTGGCTGTTAAATCCATACTGGCCAATAAAGTCATTAATGATTCTCAAACAGCCAAAAACCTTGGCCATTTGGGTCTTATCATTACCATTGGTGTAGGAATGACAGTTGCTGGTAGCATTCTATTTCCAATTGCATTTTGGGGTGCCTTTTTCGGTGGTCTCTTAGGTGGTGTTGGTATGGGATTATATCAAAAGTTTCTGATACCTTATTATATGGATAATATTGTTGAAATGATGAACAAAGCAAGCAAATTGATCAGGAAAAATGGAGTGGTCAGATATAAACCATATGCATTATAAAAATTATAGATTGATGAGAAATTCTTGGGTAGTCATAAACCCTCCAATTTGAAGGATGACCAATACTTCACTTTACTTATGTTCTGTCTAAGCAATGAAATTAGATTGATAAGTACTGCATCATATGCTAAGCAATTGGAAAAGTTAAAATAGAAGAATGCTAAAGAAGAGGAGAAGGCTGATTTATTGTAAAGACAATGTTAGATTGAAGTGTAATTGAAGATTTGGACTGAGACTTATGAATATCTTAAATCTAATAATGTAAGTTTGGTTGACAATGCTAAATCTTGCGCTGAATTTGTCGATGGTATGCTTACAAACTATAAGGTTGAATGAAACAATATCTATATATGGATTACGAATATTATATTATTTTATAATACTATCGTTATACATTATTAGATCTTAGCTTATTCTTAGCTAAATCATATACATTTTCTATGTAAATTAGCTAAATTATATGAATGTCCAATTGATTGGAGAATCGATGGAGCTAATTCGAATTTCTAAGTCAAAATGATTAGGAGTTTAGAGAGGTACTTATGGATGATAGTATTTTTAAGCCCAAAATAATGAGGTTTAAAGTTATTTCATATTGGAAATGTGATAATTAATATTTTTAGAAAATTAAGAAAATTTAATAATTACGTCATTGGAAATTAAAATAAGTTTATTAATAAAAAAAGAATTGGAGAATAGGAGGATTAAGATTTAACTGCTTGTTCTTATTATAAGATTTTGGCATACTTTAGAAATTCCTATGGTTTATTTTTAATTAAATTTTAATGTATAATAATTCCAGAGATCCTCCAAGTTAAATTCTTCTACTCATTCTAACTTAATTGCCCCCATCTTTTCCCTTGACGAATGAGTACTTGCACAAGAAGTTTAATGAGTTTGGAGACATTAAGAAAATACTGATTTTCGAAAGAGGAAAGACAAACAAGGCTTTTGTGGAATATCACAATTTAAAGAGTGCCATCTCAGCCAGAAAGCAATTGAATGGGTTGAACATCCAAGGAGGAAAGTATTAATTTAATTTGTATATAGAATGATAATCCATTTCTCTCGACTTAAAAATCTTAATCTCGAAATCGTGGATAATTCAAGAGGAACGGATTATACCTAAGCTAGCAGCAATAGTCAAAATTCAGATTCTATTCTTCATTCTAAAACGGACGATAACATCCGAGTCAACTTAACTAATCATATTAGTTAAAGTTCATCATCGAGGGCCAACTCAAGTCCAGTCAGAAATGAGGATATCAATCGATTGCTTGATTATGATGATGATGATTTTGATATTTGGAAACAGGAGATTCAACTTAATTTAACTGATATGCATCCAGAAATACAAACACTACTAAGATAGAAACAATCCAAACTACTCAGAATCGCATCAGTAGATTCTAAAGTAACTGCAAAGATGATTTACAATGTGTTTTCTAAATTTGGTAATATTGAAGAGATTCTCTACTAGAAACAATAGTAGAAAGCCTACGTGAAATTCTAGACCATCAATTAAGCAACCATAGCTAAAGAATATCTCAATAACACTCAATTCTTTGATTCAATAGTAACAATCCCTCATATATCATCTAGTTGCGTATCTACTTTGAACCCTTACAACCTTTATAGCCAACTTCTTTGCAAGATGAATATATGATTTACTACAATGAAAACTGTACATAGAAAATTATGCCACTCTCACCTAATCTCATAATCACAGGAGTCTAAGATCCTACGGAAATCTCGGAATTAATCAAAATGTTTGCCAAAATCAAAGGTAATCCAAAATAATTAATATCAATAGACATCAAAATCCATGTAAATTGTCTTCAGCTATCAATGTGTTCAATTGCAGATACGCTCAAAATTATGGCAGTATTTTCAGATTATGAATTTAAGAATTAGAAGTTAAACATCATTCTCAAATGATGATTTATTATAATATTATATAAAACAAAATGGAAAATCTATAAATAAGTTACTAGAGTCATTTCTAGGCAATTTTGGTTTTCTCCCTCTGCTAAGAAATAATCTTGTTGAGCAAGTTCTACTCCTTAATTGTTTCCAATCCAGAGAGCTATTGCACCCTCTTTAACATTGAAATATTCAATTTGCTTGTAGTAGGTTTCTCTTTCACAATAGGAATTTCTGGATATCCTTATGATAAATGCTATCTTGGTAATTCAACCGAATAGTTTTGATTCTGTAATTGCTATCTTTACTATTTTAGTATTTGTTATCTGATTAAATTAGAATCTATGTATTGTAAGGATGTGTAATTATTGCTCTCTGAATTATTGCTTGTCGTTTTCAACTTGAACATCTTATTTTAATCGTATTGCCTTTCCATTGAATGCAGCTCATCATAACGTTAACCTTGGATAATTTATTTGTGATCAGAGACAGACCTTTGTTATCTCTCATTATGATACTCCAAATTACTATGTTATCTATTGTTTTAAATGACTATTTTTTGAAAATTCTCAAGCCCTCTCTACTCTTAATATTCCTTCAAATATTAATCGTCATCATCCCCTTCTTATTCCATTAAATCATTAATAAAATCAGTTGCCAGTGGGAAATTATTGAGATTCTCCCATGTAAGAGCAGATTACATTTATTAGGATATGTTCACACTTTAATCATGTTCTTTGGTTTAACTTGAATACGTCTAATACGTCTTAGTCTTTGAAGGATCTGGTAGTTTTTCAATAAGTTCCTTTAGGGTTGGGTATTTTAATAAAAGTTAGGATTTAGTATAATGCTTTAGTTCAAATTACAACTTATAAAATGCTTTCTTTTTTCTTTCTATGAGCTTTAGTTATTCGTTTTATTGTTTCCTTTACAATAAAATTTATTTGATTTATTCATCATTTTTGACTTCAGGGTGATATATTTTAAATTGATATTTGATATCTTTAATTCTTTCAAATTACCCTTTCATTTAAAATGGCCTTTGGAAAGTTTTCATTTTTTAAACACAAACTTTCCAGCTGTCTAATCCTAAATTTGTTTAGTATGACCCACAATCAATTCCTTCCTCACCTGCTAAGACATTTAACAATTGAATAAACTAATCAAAATCGAGTTCCTTAGAATTTTTGGCTTGCTTTTTGAATAGCTCTAGTAATCTTGAACTATTGATTTTCACTTAAAAGTCTCGACAGAAATGCATCCACTTACCAATCGTAAATATAGTTGCCTCATATTATTATCTTTCAAAGCTGGCGAATTATCCCTAAATATACTGTTGTTTGCAATAGAAGTCAAAAACTCTTTGTAAAACTTCTTTATTTTGCATTTTTATTTTTATATATGTAATTACTAAATTTTTCAATATTTTTACTCTCTCACTGCACTATTCACTAGATTCTACTCTCCTTCCAAAATAGTGTAATCCAATTTAAATACTCATCAATCTAGTAGACAAATCCTCTTAGTTCTTTCTTTAAATTCATTATGGGTCTTATGATCCTTTATATCATCAGAAATACATAAAGTGTTATCGGAATATCAATTTGTCCTGTAGAATTAAACTTTATGTTAATTAAATAATTAAAAAATGGAACAAAATTCACAAGAAAAGGTGATGAATGTCTTTGAGCATAAACAGAAAGATAATTATCCACTCACAAATTAGATATCTTAAGATTATGAAGATGACACTCACATATATCGCATTATCAGATTGGGCAAGGAATCCGTGAAGCTCATGCAAGATTATAAGTGGGAATGTAATTTTTCAGTATTTATTTTCTAGAAAGACTTCTCAAAGAGAGAGAATGGAGAAAGCTGAAAGTGTAGTAGAGTCGAGGATGGTTGCACTATGCAATTTTTGAGAAGGAACCATACGTTTTGCTATTCAAGAGGAAAATTACAAAAAACAAACGATGAAGAATGAACCCCTGATTTCTATTTTGTATAATAAATTATTTCTAAATTATTATTAATCATTCAACTCAATTCTAAATTTTATTTTAATTAAATAATAATGTCTAATATTTTAAGGATATGTCCCAAATGCCAAGTATCTCCAGCTACAATCCAGTGTATTGATTGTGAAGAAAAAATGTGTTACTAGTGTGAATAGAAAGTACATTAAAAATTGAAATAACACAGAACAGACATCCTTCCCTATTCATGTAAAGCATTTATTAAAAAAGAGATGAAACAGATTAAAACGACCTAATCTATCATCAGTGGCTAATCAGACCACTCTAATGTCTCTTAGGAATTAAAGCAAGAACTGAGTGAATTGGAATCAATTATTCAAGCCAAAAAGGAATTTCTAGCTAAACAAGAAGAAAAGTGGAGTACTTAGATCAGTTCTCTTGAAATCTAATATGAAAAGAAATTAAAGGACTTTGAAAAAGAAATTGAAAATAATGAGGATTAATTAAAAAATTATTATTCAAGCGGAAATACTACTTTCTAGATTGCTGACATCAAGAAGTAAATGGAAACATAAATGCAGTAAGAATCTAAATATATAATCAATAGATAAGCATGGAAAGAGTTGAATGATAAAAAAGCTAAACTCCAAGAAAAAGAAGCATTACTCAAAGACATGATCCAAACAGAAGAGTTTTGCTCTAAGGAAATTGCCTAGAAGGAGAAATTAATGAATTAGTACAAGGAGTTATTATAATAATAACAAGTAGAAAGAGATTTGATAAGTGAGGAAAATCAAAAGATCATAAAACAATTGGAATCAATCAAAAACCTATGTAAGAAGAGTCTACCTGAGTTTGGTATCAATGTTGATTTTTTGGATAAATTGTCGAGGATGCATAAACTCAAAAACACTTAATAGGTAGATGAGTAAGATGAAGAATATGAAGATGATAATGAAAATGAAAATGAAAATTAGGAAGAAGTGGATGATTAAGAGTAAGGAGGAGATTAGAATCAATAACTTGAGGATGAATAATAGCAAGAATAAAAATGATTTAAATGTAAAACCATTCAATTTAACGGATATCAAATTTATAAATTATTATTAAAACGATATATATTACAATCATCTATAACCAACAAATAAGTTAAATGCTACAACAATTAAACCAATTGAATAGTTTCTTAAGAGTATTGAGATGCTTTGATAATCCTAATTTGACTAAGTTATGAATTAATTGATTAGATTGATTAATAACCCATATATAATGCCTTCAATTTGTTGTAACACCTGTTTAATAGGTCGAACCATAATGAAGACGTGTTTGCTAAATAATAATCCTATATAGATATCCTAAACAGATTGAAAATAGCCATAGTAAGAAGCAACAAGTAGCTCAACAATTAAAATGGAATGCAATTTATATAGTTTCCTCATTGTATGTCTATCAATAATTCTACCCTGTTTAGTATAGGGACTTCGATGCATTACGTAGGTTTGGACATCCTAATTGCATTGTTTTTAAATCTGATGAGAAAAATGATTCAAAGTGAGATAGAAGATGATGAAGGTTGGAATTGGCATTATAAAAATGTCATCAGATAAAATGGCTGAAGAGATTGCAAAGATCATGATGGTTTATGAAGTGCAAGCCAAAGCATAAGAGTAAGACAGAATGTAAAAATAAACTGCCCTTCCTTAACTGATGCATTCATACATGGATGATATGTAACTATGATCGCTTTGCTCTAGATGATTAAATAGTTTGATGCATGATCTAGACTCATGAGGTCCAATACTAACATGTGCCATTTCCATAGCTTTGCCATCATTTTCTTCTCCCTTAATGAATATAATTTTGTCATAGAGTTTAAGTAAATTTATCAATTGCTCTTTTCTATCAGCATTCCCTCCGATGATAATGTTCTTACTTTTAATTTCCTCATACAACTTTTATTAATCAACAATTCCTTAAAATTGGAATTTCTACTTCTGCTATTCTAGCCATTCCAAAGTCTTACTCGACTAAATCCTTTCTAATTTTAAGTGATCCAAAGTTGGACACACTAGTCTTCTGCTTAGAAACATAAATTTGTTTTTCTATTCGAAACTACTACTTAACAAATTCCCTTCTATGTACCTATCATTTACTTCATCCTCTTTAACAAGATCTGTTTGAATTGCTATTTCTTATGCATCCTCTAATTGCGATTGGGTGAAATATCTAATATTTATTTATGATTTGTTAAACATTGTCACTTTGTTATCTATTTTGTCAATAATTATTTCATTCACTTACCCCAACCAATACAATGATAAATAATCCTATATATAAATACTTCTTTGTCTGCATTTCTTTATTACATAGATCATAAACAAGTTTATCAATTAGAGTAATTAAGATGGTATTGTAATTATTGATAATTATGACAAATACAAAAGAATTTGAGTAATATTAATTAAATAAGTATTCCTGAATAGCAATATAATCAGTAAAATAAGTAGACTGATGATGCATTGTATCCCAATTTTGTTCATGAGTGATTCAATCTTAAAAGCAAAAGGATTATACATAGAATTCTATTTCAAATAAGTTGTTCTTTATTTTTCTGTTTTTGTGTCTTCTAAAAAGGACTACTTGTATTATATGTAATCAGATGATTTCTACCCAACACTACATACTAATAATTGTCCAGATCCCTTTATTATTTGAGACCCAGCAAAAATGAAATTATCAATCAGACTTATATTAGGCTGCATCTATTCATCATGCATAACATGTAAATCTTTTACTTCATCTACGTTTTTAACCTCGTGAGTGTTAAAAAGATTAGGGAATGGTTGCAACACCTCGATTCCATTACAATTTGATAGTTTTGTAATTATACCATCACATTATATGAAATCTCCTTGTTTGAAGATCAAAATGTCTCCAACCACCAACTAACTATTATGAATCTATATCGAATCGTCTCCATTTCTTAATACGTTACATCTCTTTATTAAATGTTTACTCCTCTCCTTGATATCATTTTAATGCTACACTATCTCCTTATTATACTATTATTTTATCACTCCCTTATAAACAACCATTATTACTAACATTATTATGTACAAAGAGTAAATCTACACATTCTCATGGAAATAGATTATTAAGTTTATTGTTGTTATTATCAATAATAATTAAAACAATCTTTCCTTTTGAAATTATTCAATTATTATTTGTAGTACACTTTTTATTGCTATTTGAGGTTTCTCATTCTTACCAAAATACTTCTCTCTCATTTTCAGATCGTAATCATTCGTATCATCCAAACCCTACTTAATACAAGTTTTCAAAAAGTTTTATAGACCATAAATACCTCCCAATTAATTTAATTTCTCAATCTGAATTTTCAATCTTTTCTCCACCAAGTCCTTCTCTTGATCATGTTTTTATAAAGTGCTTTGAGCTTCCTTAATTATTTAATTCAGATCAAAGATTTCTAATAATTTATTATATTAAAATCCAAAATAATTATCATCATTTTACTATTATTTATTTCCATCTTTCTTCCACCCTTTTAGAAGTGTTTTCCATTAACTTTTTGCTTCCAATATCTATTATAATTTATTTGATTCAATTTCTAATATTTCATCTTTTTTTTAATGTTTCTCTAAATCATTCTAATTCAAACTCCTAAAGACTTGCATCTCTATCATTTAAGCTCTCTGTTCTGATTCTCTATGATTTTTTAGTAAGGGACTGTGTATTTAATCTAACTCATTTTACATACTTTCTTAATATATTATATCAAAGTTTTTTAATTAATTTAATAGATAACTAACTAGAGTATGATTGTATAATAATTAGAATGTTGACTTATCTTAGAATCAACATTCTAATTGCACTTCTAGATGGATCAATCTCTATATGATTTTAAAACTACATTCACACATTACTTGTTATTATTTAGTTTTATAACAGTAACATAATATGCAGGTTAATTATGTTGGATAGGAAATAGAATTATTAAAAATAATAAATATAAAAGTGTGTGTCTGATGTAAAGAAATTCTTATTTCAAGTTTATAAATTTTATTTAAAAACAAAAAATAAATGAATTATTTAGTATGCTTATGTATATAAATATGAAAATAAAATTATAAAATATATGTAAAAATACTTGAAAAGAAAGTAATAGAAGCTTTTTTATGGAAAGAGGGAAAATTGTTATATTTTAGTTTTTAAGATAAAATAGTATATCCATAAAGTAAGTAGTAAGCTTTTGAGGGAATACAAATGCATGATTAATTGAAATTGGATCTTCTGGATCTAATGAGTTTGGTTACTTCAAATAAGTTAGGGGTAAATCACTGGATTTATTAGAAAGGATATAATTTATTTAGATTTTGAATTCTAGGAAATAAATCAAAGATTTGCTGATTAGAGAATATTAATCAAATTATTATCACATCGCAAAAATCATTCTAATAAAATGCAATTTATTGAATATGATTAAATATTACAGTAAATTATACACGTTCTATTTTGCTTCATAAATAATATGGTCCCAAGATTTCGGGCTGAAGCGAAAAAACGTATTTCTTTGGAATGTATGTATATTTGATTTTAGTTATTTAAATTAGCACTGAGTGAAATTTGATTAAAAATATTAAAGATAAAAAGATGAGTTCATCTGCTGATGTTGCATATATTATGGACAGGGTAGAGTCTGAATTGTATCTCAAATTAGCCGGTTTATCATAAATTCAATTGTCTAATAAATATGAGCCATAGGAAATCAGATATGTTTCAATAATAGTTTTCTAGAGATTTATAACAGAAATTAATTCAATATTCCTTTACGCTTACGACTCCAACTCTTCTACTATTATTAAGCAACAACAATATGATGTAGGCTAATTTAAATCAGACCCAGATAAGTACCATGAAGCTATTAAATACTTTATTGATTAAATTCTTGCTATAAGTTATTAAGTTTGCTTGCATTTTAAAAATTATGGTTAAGATTTCGTAGAAGGAAAATTTGAAACAATTCAGTAGGCACTTAAATTATTTGAATTATTTGAATTGCGTTGTACCGGGAGTAAGATTTTCATCTGGATGAAGAATACAGAAAAAGAAACTTCATAGAATGGTTATTTGACGATTTCATATTCCAATTAACTAGTGATCCTTAAATATGAGTAGGAGAATTAAGAATTGGAAGAGTATAGGAAATTCACTTTAAATTAATTAAAAAAAGTAGATGATGTCCACGAGAAATTTGTTAAGTAATTAGATTAGAACGAGTAACATGTAAAAATGTATAACATATATTCTTTAATAAAAGATGTTACATAAATACATGATATACCAAATTCTATCTATTATTTAGCTAGATTACTTGTAAATTTGCCTAAAAATACCTGTTAAGAGACTGATAAAATGATCTTTAATCTCCAACTAATTTAACAAAATCAATAACCTAAAAAATACACAAAATTAAAAAATAAAACAATTCAATAAGTGATTTCAACACATTTAGCTCCATTCAAGGATGACAAGAATCTGCATTTCCCAATGAAAGGCCCGCATTCCCAGAAGTATGTGTAAATTTATTATAATAGATGTAAAGTGTGTTAAAAAAACAAGAATCATAAAGTCCATAAATCAAGCTTTATTTGTGAAAGCTGTCATAAATACTATAAAATAAATGTAACGCTTTGTACAAATAAATGCTTTAAATAGTTTCATCTCAACCCTGCTTATTATTTAAGAAGAAGCAGATTTAAAAGTAAAGTAAAAATTGAAGAATGACTGTATTTCTTTCTATATATTTAATATATATATAAATATATAATATACATTATAATAACAATTCACTTAATTTTAAGTTTAATCCATCTCCTTATATTTTTTCCATTTTATAGAAATTGCTCCAAATGCTTCAGCATTCTACTTCGCTTAACTAAAGAAATAGTCATTATTTAAAAAAGAATTCAAAATTTCAGCTTTATAATTTTGATTATTTATGAAGGAATCAAAATTATAATTTTCTAATCCTACAGTTGTCTCACCTTAAATTTGTTCTTTGCGTTTTCTTCAAATACCAATATTCTGCAATTTTTCATTCTTAGTCTGAATTATTCTTGCGATTCTTTTAGCAACCAAAGATTAGAACTTTTTTTGTTATAAGCGTACACAAAATCCACTAGTTTCAGGTTTTAACTTGTTCACTGTATATAATAAAAATATGAAAATTATCTCAAATTAAAAATTTCCTCTCTATCTTGAAAATTTGAAGGTTTTTTGAGTCTAATTGAGGCTGTTTTCATTAACAAAACATTACTTTTCATATTATTAGAATTGTTTAAAATATCAGAACTTTTTTTTATATAATTTAGCATAATCTTAGTGATATACTTATATATCATTACTAGTTTGAGCATAACCAGAAAGTGACTATATTTTGTGATAATAAAAGTCAAAAGAATCTTGGAATTAAGATGTGAGATAATATCATTTCATTTAAATACAGAAGTTATTTTGATTTTTATATGTCGATAAACTATTGATGCATAGTTGTGTATTAGATCTACTTAGATTAAATATACAGCATAGTATTTCAATTGAATTTCAACACTTCTACACCGAATAATATTTTGACACAACAAAAGTGTTTGAGTCTACTAATATCATTTAAACGAGTAGAATAAAATGGGGGGAGTAATTTTTGGTTCCTAGGTTGGATATAGAAAGTGATTCATAGTGTAATGAAGAGTTATTATAAGAATCATAAATATAGTATAATGTTGGCATTTAATTAAATCAATGAGTGATGACGATTCGAATCAAGTTGTTCTTGCGATCACCAAAGTGGGATGCATGATCACTTTTTTTATGTTAATTCTTATTGTGGGTAGTCTCCCAATAAGACTCAAAGCATTCAAGTCGAACAAGGTACAAGTAAATCATGAACAGCTAGAAATTGTTGGCGTACATGGGAGCATTTTCTGGGGGTCTATTTCTGGCAGTAGGTTTGGTTCATTTGTTACCAGAGGCAGCGGAGAATTTTGAGCAATCTTTTGATGACGATGAGGAACATTTTCCATTTGCATATGCAATATCTATAGCTAGTTTTGCACTGATTCTCTTTATTGAAAAAATAATAACAGATCATCATCACGATCACGGACACGATGAGGACCTCCATCATCACGGGAGCAATTCTAAAAATACTTAGATTTAAGATTAGAATCAACTATTTGTGAATGGGAGTGTAGATGCAGAAGCTTTATTAGAGAAGAAGGGTACTGAGGAGACATTTAAGGATGCTCTCAATACTTAAGTATAAAGATTGTCAATTTCTTTAGTTAATTGTAGCAAAGAAAGCCTCATTTGTACAAATGGTGAGAAAATCGATAGCACAAGATCCGAAGAATTCAATTGTTTACCAGGATGTAAATACATGGGCTCCTTACATCCTATAAATAGCTGTGGGCATCCATGCAGTTTTCGAGGGATTGTCAATAGGCATTCAGGAGGAGGTCTCATTGTGCATAGGGATAGCGGTGGTGGTTTGTTGTCACAAATGGGTAATAGAGAGGTGTGAAATTATATTTTAGGCTGAAGGGATGACGTTGGGTCTTGCGTTTAGGAAGGCAGGTGTGAATAAGACGACTTCAACCTACATGATATTGATCCAGGCTATAATGAACCCGATTGGGATAGGAATCGGATGGATCATGGCAGATAAGGGGCCATTGTATACTGGGATATTTGTATCAATATCAGTGGGGACGTTTATTTACATCTCAACAATGGAGACATTGACGGAGGAGTTTTCGATTTCACAGTACAAATGGGGGAAGTACATAATCTTTTTGGTTGCCATAGCATTTGTGTCAAGTTTATGGTTTATAGAGTAAGCAGTTGGTGGAGAATGAATTGCTATACATATTAATAATATAATTAAATATTGTCGTAATTAAATTGGAATATCTGAGCATAATTTATTTGAATAATTTATTTAATTATGGATTAGAAACTCAATGATGCTGAAATAGCACTTGAACAATTCAGACTCAAGAAACTCATCAAGACTTTGAGTCAAGAAAGAACTGCTGGCACAAGTGTTGTGTCTGTTTATATCCCTCCAAAAAGAATCATTTCAGATATCACTAATAGACTCAATACCCAATATGCAGAAGCAGCATCCATTAAGGACAAAGCAAACAGAATATCTGTGCAAGAAGCTATTTAAGCAGCCATCCTAAGTATATACATAATCTATTCAAGGACTAAGACCATACAATAAGGCTCCAAATAATGGATTAGTGGTTTTTTGCGGTATTGTCTAATAAGCAGATGGCAAAGGCGAGAAGAAAATTTCGGTTGTCATTGAACCATACAGACCTTTGGATTTGTCTCTCTATTTTTGTGATCCCCAATTCCACGTGGAGGAACTAAGAGCATTGCTGAACATTGATCCCCCTTTTGGATTCATCATCATGGATGGTAATGGATCCTTGTTCGCCACAATCCAAGGAAACAGTAAGTAAATTATCAAATCTTTCGACGTTGATTTGCCAAAGAAACACAACAAGGGAGGTCAATCTTCAGTCAGATTTGCTCGTCTCCGTATGGAAAAAAGACATAATTACTTGAGAAAGGTGTGTGAAACAGCCACAACTTGTTTCATTGCTGAGGACAGACCCAATGTGAAGGGTTTGGTTTTGGCAGGCTCAGCTGATTTCAAAAACGATTTAGCTGGAAGTCAATTCTTTGATAAGAGATTACAGCCATTGATTATATCAGTGGTGGACATCAATTATGGTGGTGAATAGGGATTGAATTAAGCAGTTTAATTGAGTCAAGAATCCTTGTTGGAAGTCAAATACATCAGAGAAAAGAATCTGGTGGGGTAGTTCTTCGAAAACATCGATAAGGATACTGGTTTGGTGGTGTATGGTGTTTAGGACACAATGAGGGCTGTTGAGTCATAGACAATCAAAACTCTAATCTGCGTGGACACTCTTTAATATTTACGTTTGGAATGTTAGAGCAAGTAAACTGAATGTATGAAATTAAATGTTATTTTTTAGAGAAAGCAATTAAGTATGTGAAAGGAAACGAAGGATATGAACCAGGCACTTTGCTTGAAGAGAAGAATGGGGAATAGTTTGTAATTTCGGTGAAGGAGGATTTGGTTGAACATCTATCTGAGAAATTTAAGGATTATGGATTAGATTTTCAATTAATCACAGATCACAGTGTTGAAGGAAATCAATTTATGAAAGGGTTTAGTGGATTGGGAGGATTCTTACGATTCAAAATGGACATGGATTACTTGGTGTAATAGGAAGATTGGAAGGATGAAGATGAAGATTTTATTTGATTATCATTGTATTTTGTTAGATAAGTTAAAATATGTATTGAGTGATGCAGGAATTCAATTAATATCAAGTAATTTTCTTGGGTTTTCTCATTAATTATTCCATTGTCTTTTAAAATTTCTTAAATTCAACAGCATTTCGATTTTATTAGGAATCTCTCCACGAATTGGCAGTGTTGTTAAACATCAATAAAGGGGACTTCATTTCTGATTTGGTTGGTGTACTTTATCTGACACTGGTCGAAGGACTTTGAGGTCTGGTGGTGTAGATAAAGGGATTAGAATTGTGTATTTTGGGACTGGTGAATTTGGAGGAGAGCAGATGATCCTTGTAGAATTGAAAGGAGGACTCGGTCTTATTCATTAGGATTTTGTTGAGATCCATCAAGTTGTTGTATTTAAATTTAGATTCAGGTAAGTAGAGTTTCTTATTCTCTCTTTCCATTTTCTTGATCTCTTCTTAAAGAGTCGATTTGTCCTTCTTGCAAGAGTCTAATTCGTGTAGTAACTTGGCATTAGTGTCTTGCAAATGCTGAATTTGAGTGGCGAGTTCGGAATTCTTTCGTTGTAACTACTGAACCTGGGTTTCAAGGTTCTGCTGATGAATTCGATCACAGTTACTTAACATTTGGCAATCTCGTCCATCAATCTTATATTACTAGCCAACATCTATTGGAGGATGACTTCATAATTCTGTTCTTCCAAAAATGATTCGCGAATACTCCTTTCAGTCACTGTCTTGCTATTAAGTCTTGCGAATGAGGTAGAAGAATCAACTAGATTCTATCCAACCAAGAATTTTTGAAAATATTCCGGTTGTGGTACATCACCAAAAGAAGCTCCATTCGATTCTGTATTCATTTATTAAATAACTGAATTTATTTTTTTGAATGAGTGAAATCAATGAATCCCTAATTGAGGCTCCTCTGAAGGCCTTGCTTGAAGATGTAACCAAATCAATCATCATTTAAGGTGTTGTTCTGTTTGGAAGGCTATCTTGAGGGATAGAATGATTTGAAGATGATCGAACACCAATTGAAAGACTACGATTCATTGGCAGGCCTCGTCAAAATAATTGGCAATGTTTTCAAAACACTCATGAAGAAAGTTGATAAAAAAATCACGCAACTCAAACTCAATCTCAATGATAACAGTTCCTATAGGAGTTATCATCCTGAAGAGGAGTATGAGAAATTAGAGCAAATCATCCAGAAGCACGAAGCTGAAATCAGAGGACACATCAGTGTAAGACTCTCCATACATATTCTAAGATTGAATAACAACTCAAGTTGTATAGTGAAACTCTGCAACAAAAAATTGAAGACATGGAAAAACAACACAATCAGACCATTGAGTAAATGCACAAACAAATGCACCTCCTGAAAAAGGATCTGGGCAAATCCAATGAGAGTTATCGTCTGCTTATCAAAGAAAATGAACAACTAAGAGAATCCGTCGAACATCCTCCTAAAGCCATCATGCACACTGAAGGAGAAGTCAACGGAAGAATCAAAGACAAAAAGTACTTTGTCATAAATCTATTAGTTTTGTCATTCAGATCACAGATTAAAGAAGGTTGATTATAGCAGCGAGTATCCCACTTCCAGTGTCAATCTGCAATCCCAAAATTCCATGAGACACTCCGCTCCTTTCAAATCCCAGTCTTAACATCACAAATCAGGCAAACTCAACAATCAGATCCAGCATCGCAATTCCCAAGAATAAGACTTATTTATCAAATATAATCAACTCTTAAAATCACATGCCTAATCAATCACTCAAAGATCTCAGATTATTTAAGCAAGTCAATACCTACTCAAAGGAGGATTTGCCAATACCAAGAAACAGAGAAGCACACTCAATGTCATATCTGATATTTGCAATGCCTAAATGCACAAGTCCTCACAAAGAAATAAGAGCCAGGGAAACAGTGCAAAAGCAGGAAATACAAACTCTTAAAACAACATCAATGCCAGCACTAAATCTACTACCTAAAAAATTATACAAGAGACCTCGAAGACGAATGAAGCCATTCAGAGATTACTTAAACTAAAATGACTTATGTATTTATATTTATTTATATATTTATACCTATCATAGAATTATACTCAGAAAATCTAATCCAAATCTCCTGCTATTTATTGTCCTTCTCCAAAATCCATAAGCCTAAAATATTATAGCTTAGACTTAAAGTCTCTTATGATTTTAGGTTGAATCTCAACCATTTGACATATAAAATTAGTATTTCCTGTGGTTACCAATATTTGGAGAGTGGGAGTTTAACAAATTCGGTGTACATACGGTTTAGTGATTTCAAAATTACGAAAATTTGTTCCTCACATATTTAATAATATAATAATATAATTTGAAGTAAAAATGGAATACGGTGATTTTTAGAGATTACTTTCAGAAGAGGATGAATTAGTTTAAATATCTAGAGCATAGTTGGAATAATTAATTCTGAAAAATTAACTGCCTGAAACACTTCCTGCTCAAAAAAAATCCTGCAAAAAAATTGTAATAACTTAAGCCGCCAAGAAATAAAAACCTTATTAATTTGCAGATGTTCATTATTGGACGATTACTCAATTTGATTGGGATACAAAAGTACTAGAAGCATTAAAGGGAGCATTTGGTAAGGAATAATTTAAGGCAAATCAAAAGGCAATTATTAATTGTGTTTTGGCAGGGAAGGACGTATTTGTTTGTATGCCCACAGGATACGGAAAAAGCATTACATTTCAAATTCCAGCTTTTGTAGAAAATGGTACAAATTGACCTGATTATTTAGGCGTTTCGATTGTCGTAATGCCGTTGATTTCCTTGATATTCGATTAGGTGCAATATCTCACGAGTCTTGGTATTCCATCCCTGAACATGAGTGGTTAAAACAGACTGTTGACTGCATAATAAATTCTGGACTAAAAAATAAAGTTAATTTATACTACTCCTGGTATTATTTAAATTCAAACTAGAAAAAATTGAGAAATCAGAATAATTTAAATAAATTTTAGGAGATCTCTTCAATCGAAAATTAATCAAAAGATTTGTAATCGACGAAGCACATTGTGTGAGTAAATGGGGAAGAGACTTCAGACCAGATTACTTGAAATTGAGCAATGTTAGAAATGAGTACCCCAACATTCCCATCATTGCTTTGACTGCCACTGCCCCAGAAGAAGTTAAAGAAGACATTATCGACGTACTTCAAATTAAAGGTTGTTTATATCTATAATCTTCTTTCAATAGACCAAATCTGGTCTATGAGGTAAGATGCAGAGAAGAATTCAAGAAGGCAGTCTAAGAAATCAAGGAATTTATTAATCAGACCTATCCAAAACAATCTGGCATCATATATTGTTTGACCCAATCTGAATGCCAGACTCTATCACAAAATCTAATATATCATGGCATAGGATCAGACTTCTATCATGCTGGTCTTACTGAAAAGGAAAGACACAGGATTCACAAAAATTGGTTGATGAATGAAGTACAAGTAATAGTTGCAACAGTAGCATTTGGTATGGGAATCGACAAAAAGGATTGCCGATTTGTCATTCACTTTTAAATGCCCAAATCAATTGAAAATTATTATTAAGAAAGTGGCAGAGCAGGACGAGATGGTAAACAAGCGCATTGTCTTCTATTTTACAATAATAGTGACTATAAAACTAATTTGGTAATACTTCATTATTTATGTCTCTAGTATCTAATGGATTAAAACACAGAGATGACTGCTCAAATGAAAAAATATAATATTAAAAAGTTGGATTAGATGCAACAATTCTGTTATGATCGAGTTTCGTGTAGAAGAGTCTTGCAACTATCTTATTTAGGCGAGAATTTTGACAGAACATTATGCAATAAGAAATGTGACAATTGTCAAAGAGATGATGAAAATGCAGAAAAAATCAATTTAACCACTGAAGCTCTTAAGATTCTTGATTGTTTAGATAAATATCCATTGACAGAGAATCAACTAGTTTAATGTTTGAAAGGAGCACAAGATAAAAAGAAATCGAATAACTCATAAAAGAATGTTGAATAGATATTTGGATTATTTAAACATAATCCTCGTAACATAAATCCATTATTGGATCAATTAAGAGCTCAAAATGCTTTAAGTTAAAAAGTATAATGTTACAATGTTAAAGGTAATTTCAAAAATAAAGTTGTTTATTTAACTCCCAATTCTGGAACATCCTTAAAAAGTGTGATTATATCCATTCCAAGAGAAAAAGACAAAAGATCATCCGTTTTAGATTAAAAGACTAATGATTTATTTAAAAAGTACTTATCGAAAGAAAATAATAATCAAAATAACAATGGAATTAATTTATAAATCAACTAAAATGCTTTACAAAAGGATTTCATTTGGTAAAATGGCAATCACATCGAAACTGAATAAAAGAAATTGTAATATGATAACCAATATGGGTATTGCTTAGAAAATCAATTTAATGATCTGCGTGAAAGATTGATGTTAGTTCGTAAGAATATTTACAAAGAAATGACCAATGATGCTTCAAATTAAATCATTAATATCGATTTGGTATTATCAACTGATGACATTGAAGAATTGTGCAAAAAGCTTCCAACCACTATGAGCGAATTAAATGACCCATTCATTTGCATAGCCTAAGAAATTAAAAAATTGCAATATATGAAACACTTTATTGAAGAAGTTGCTCACTTTGTTGATATCGAAGAAATCAATAAACTATTATTTGAAAAACGTACACATTTTACTTATTCTAGCCAAACAAATCGAAACTCAGGTTGACTAAGTTTTTGAATTTTAGAAGCACATCAGATAGGAAGAGGATGTTGTTGACATTACTAACTAAGAGTTTATAGGTAAATTATCAATTTTTAATTTTAGCCAAATAAAAAGAGATAGAAGAATTATTAGTAAATGGTTAAGAGCATGATGATTACTTAGATGAAGTACTCTATTAATTTAATTTAGCTCTTAAACCTAATTGAGGAAGATGAAAAAAAAAAATCTCCTGATATTGTTATCATCGATGATGACATAAGTTAAAATGATTTTGCTTTAAACAAAAAACCACAAATGTAGCAGGTTTCCACTTTTGAACCTATTTAATCACATCAACTTTCATAGGATTTAAAATAATCTGATAAAAGTGAAAATAATTAACAATCAAAAAAGCTAAAAATAAATCTAAAAAGATCCTTTTTATGAATAGTTGATTAATAATTTATATATATTTTTATATATTATCAGTAAAATTATAGATGTTTTAAGAGATTGTAAATTTATACTGTAATATTATANTATTTGGATTATTTAAACATAATCCTCGTAACATAAATCCATTATTGGATCAATTAAGAGCTCAAAATGCTTTAAGTTAAAAAGTATAATGTTACAATGTTAAAGGTAATTTCAAAAATAAAGTTGTTTATTTAACTCCCAATTCTGGAACATCCTTAAAAAGTGTGATTATATCCATTCCAAGAGAAAAAGACAAAAGATCATCCGTTTTAGATTAAAAGACTAATGATTTATTTAAAAAGTACTTATCGAAAGAAAATAATAATCAAAATAACAATGGAATTAATTTATAAATCAACTAAAATGCTTTACAAAAGGATTTCATTTGGTAAAATGGCAATCACATCGAAACTGAATAAAAGAAATTGTAATATGATAACCAATATGGGTATTGCTTAGAAAATCAATTTAATGATCTGCGTGAAAGATTGATGTTAGTTCGTAAGAATATTTACAAAGAAATGACCAATGATGCTTCAAATTAAATCATTAATATCGATTTGGTATTATCAACTGATGACATTGAAGAATTGTGCAAAAAGCTTCCAACCACTATGAGCGAATTAAATGACCCATTCATTTGCATAGCCTAAGAAATTAAAAAATTGCAATATATGAAACACTTTATTGAAGAAGTTGCTCACTTTGTTGATATCGAAGAAATCAATAAACTATTATTTGAAAAACGTACACATTTTACTTATTCTAGCCAAACAAATCGAAACTCAGGTTGACTAAGTTTTTGAATTTTAGAAGCACATCAGATAGGAAGAGGATGTTGTTGACATTACTAACTAAGAGTTTATAGGTAAATTATCAATTTTTAATTTTAGCCAAATAAAAAGAGATAGAAGAATTATTAGTAAATGGTTAAGAGCATGATGATTACTTAGATGAAGTACTCTATTAATTTAATTTAGCTCTTAAACCTAATTGAGGAAGATGAAAAAAAAAAATCTCCTGATATTGTTATCATCGATGATGACATAAGTTAAAATGATTTTGCTTTAAACAAAAAACCACAAATGTAGCAGGTTTCCACTTTTGAACCTATTTAATCACATCAACTTTCATAGGATTTAAAATAATCTGATAAAAGTGAAAATAATTAACAATCAAAAAAGCTAAAAATAAATCTAAAAAGATCCTTTTTATGAATAGTTGATTAATAATTTATATATATTTTTATATATTATCAGTAAAATTATAGATGTTTTAAGAGATTGTAAATTTATACTGTAATATTATACTTAATGTAATAGTTCTAATATAATAATATTAATAATATATAATTATTTATATATTAAAAAAATGGAAAGATGAGTTTAAATTTGTTATCTTATTATTTATGAATTGATTTAACTTAATCATTTACAACTCAAAATTAAGTATAAATAATTTAGTATTTTAACAAATTAAAAATAATAATTAAATGATTATGAAAACTAAACCATCAATTTATGTAACTATATTTTATTATTTATAGATTTATTTTATAATATTGAATAAGTTAGAATTTATTATTGAATTTGAGATTGTGAGTCAAAGGCATGTCTTATTTGAGACAATTAATTTGTAGATTTTTTGGTTTTAATAATTAAATAATTTTTATTATTCTTAACTGGTTCCATATAACTATATTTCTTTAAATTGACATCTTTTTTCCTAATCAATAGAATTACAAATTTATTTTTCAAGATTGTGTTCTTTAATTTTAAGTTCTTTTGTTAATTAAGGTATCTTTAAGGTAAGGTATAATTTTCCATTAGTACTTTATATGGATTCGAATTCAATTTTACATCAAGCTGCCCCTGTATAAACAGAAGAGTGATTTAATTAATATAAATTGAATTATTAAAATTATAATGAAACCAATATTTCGTGGTGTCTTAATAATGAAATATACAGACAATTAAGAGGAAATCACTCTTGATTAAATTAAGGAATATTTGAAAGAGTCAGGAAATTACAATGAAGAAACCTTCTCTCAAAATGTAGATATTTTCCAATAATTGATTGATGATCTCATCTAAAATGATTCAGAGCAAACATATGAACAATATGTATAAAATCATCATATTAATTTCAGGGAATCTCAGCTTAAGAATTACATTAGACATGGTTAACTGAGAAAGATAGAGTGTTATCCTATTACATTAAAAAGAGGACTCAAGGATAAAAAGTAATTATTAATACAATGAATATTAGATTGAAAAATTTCAATGGTCAGTTAATAACCAATTCTACTCAAAAAAAGCAAAAAACATAAATAAACCTGTTTGCATTATGAATCTTAAGGTAATACTTCTAAAAATGTGCAATAGTCTAAAGATGTCGTGAATAAAACTTATAAATTTCATACATTCGAGATAAATGAAGAGGATTTAAATTATATAGAAGACCAAATGAAAAAAATAGAGTAAACTATAAATGCATTGCTTTTGTGATGAATCATTAAACCAATATCAATAATCTATAATCATTTAATTTTGATACGAGATTTAAATTAAAATGAATTAATCTAACATGGTTCATCATATTTTGAATTATCTTCTACATTTTTTTGTTTGCAATATTGTAACACAATTTCTTTAGTTTCCTCATTTCTTCTTTTGAATCAAATAATTTGCTAAATATTGTAAGCGATCCAATAAACTTTAGATTAAGTTCACAAATAAAGTAATCTTTTTTATACATTGTCTATTAAAATTCTCTGAACTTATTAATCACTATTGTATTACAACTGCTGTTCCATTTCTATAATTTAGCTTAAATCTTTAATATATGCAGGTACTCTAGTACCAATACTACCTTAATTATGTAATTGTGAGGTTCATAGAATTTTCGATGATATTCAAATAGATAACAATAAAATAATAGATAGTTGAAACATTAGTCTAAATTTAAGATGAGAGAGTTCACACTCATTTCATTATCACATCCAATCAAAAATACCACATTTAAAATTGTAATCAATATGAAATTCAATAATCCAAAAATCTTGATTGTATAATTAAAGTTGCTTATATTTAACATCTAGAATATATTTCAAATACATTTAATAAACCTATCTTTTATGCTATTGACCTGTAAGCTCATCCAATTAAATTTTAACCATTTTGGTTGAGTGGATTTATTGAATATCTATTCAAATTCCTCAACTAAGATAATTTGTTGATGCTCATTTTTTTTCTTTGGTTTTAAAATCAACCAAAACAGAGAGTATCATAATTTTAGGATGATTTATTGATAATTGGTATTTTATTCTCTCAAGAAGCAGTAAATATATTTCACACACATTTACTTTTTCTTTCAATTTTATCACTTTTACGTAATAACAAAACAATCTATAGTTTAATTTTAGACAAATCTTCATGTATAAACATCTTCTTAATATTTGAATATTGTAAATTAACTCGAAAATTATCAATTGAACAACAATTAGTAACAAAATCATAAATTTCAAGAATAATACTCTTTTCCTAATGTTCTGAAAATAAGGATTATTCTAATTGACTCTACTCCAATATATTAAAATGATCTGATTAGGACTTCTCGTTCGGATTTAATTTCAATATAGAAAGTGTAGATGTATATAATTATTTATTAATAATTCACTCTGATTTCATTTTTGTTTTAACCAAGTATGTGCCAATTACAGTACTTATAGCAAGGGTTGTCCAATAGCAGCGAGCAAAAAATACATCTTCATAGCTGAGAAAAACACTCAGAATAAAGCTGATTATGCCAATACCTCCTGTACAAATTGACACTAATCTAGAACTTAGGTTAATCTTGTTGAATTTATAAGGAAGAAAGAAAAGTATGTAGTATAAACTAGCAACTAATTATATACGATGGTATTTACCTAATGCAAATATTCGATAACATTGCTCGTAATTCGTTTGACCTGAAAAGTAGATTCCAAAAGTCATATAAAATGCACAATCAAGTATTGGCTGAATTAATTTTAACATAAATAATAAATGTTTTTATTTGCAAATATTATAGAAGGATCTTCATTTTGATTAGGAATCGAATATTGCACCAACTCTTTCGATTACTTACACTCTCTATTTGATTTTATAAAAATAGAATAATTGAAATAAAAGATTTCACTTATCATCATTTTACCAAACAGTTCCTTATTATTCGTTGGGACATCTCAAATGAATTGTAGAAATGTAACAAAAATATTTATTATGACAACTATACTCTTAAGGAAGATGATTTTATAAAATCATAATAATATTAGTGATCTTGGGTCCAATTATAAAATTCATCTATATTTCAGCCATTATCAACTCTGACGAAAGTAATATAGTTGAACATTCTTCTAAAATTCATGGTAAATACTTTTTTGACAGAAATATCTTGATAAATGAAATTATTTCAATGAATTTTATTGATTATTACATTTATATAAAAAGCAAAAAATGGAAAAAATTGTGAAAATTACATAGATTCTTCCCTCATTTTTAATTAGAATGGAGAATCAATGTCATTTAAGGAATAAGGCCTTAAAAATTAAAACTTATTATGATCTTAATAAAAATATTATTTGTTTATTTATATCAGATTTTTACTTTGGATTTTAAATGTTATGTTATCTTCTCTAAAAACTATTCATCTTCAGCAGACAATTATTCTTTCTTTAATTCTTGAAATGGCAATTGCTCACTAACTTCAAATTAGGCTAACTAATTTAAGAAATTTTATTTAGCCAAAGGGTTAGCCAACTAGTCCACTATCTCTGATTTCTTTTCTCGCAAGAAATCCTTCACTTGCATCATCACAAGCTGTTTCGAATACTAATCTAAATTCTATTGAGTCTCAGTGAGAGTTTAACCATTATGAGAAATCTCAGAAGATTGCTAATTTATTCGAATCAGAGGGTGGATGAACTATAGGTTTTCGATGGCATATTCACTATTTCTATTTGAAATTAGGTTAAAAATAGAAAATTACTTAGTTTTGTCTATTAATGCGATCACTGTAGTGTTGAGTAATTTGACTTTTCTATCCCTGGTGGATTTTTTCCCTATTCTGCCCTCTTTCAAATAGACCTACAGAATTGCCTTCACTGTTGATGGTTTCAATTGAGTTTCTTCGGATACCTACAGTCATATGGTTCTTATATCTACTTCTTTTAGGGTCTTTCCATTTTTAGTAAGTTCATTTATTATGTGAGTTCTTTGGTCGTGACTGATTTTCTTGTACCTATTGATTATGTTGGATTGTTCTACTTCATATTGCGAGACCCCTTTCGGATTTTTGAGCTACTATTCATTATTATCGAATTATTATTAATTAATTATGATACCCTCGACTCGAATTTGTATAGCCCCGAATTGTCAAGCATAATCGCGATTAATTTAATCCATAAAGGAACTCGATTATCACAAGGGCCATAGTTCCTCCAGTCTGGGATAACTCACCAAGAAATTGAAAGATGTCATACCTGAATTTCCAATCACTGCAAGCACCAAACAAATTATTGAATCTAAATTTCAAATTATTCAAGAATACTTGTAGAAGAAACAAGAAATCTATTAGAAGTAAGAATCTCAAATATTTAAAATAAAGGAAATGTGAAAAATATGAATTGATTGAGGCAGCATCCAAATTTATCAATTCCGAATACTCCTTATTAAATGAACGGGCTATAGATTTAATAGTCAAAGCACTGCCCAATAACATTTCTGAAACCCTAGAATTGCAGACTGCTTAATATTGCGAATTACAAATTCAAATTCAAAAAGAATTGGATGATTTATTTCTTTTAATTAGTGCAGATACAAAATAAGAATCAATTTAACCTGTCCAATAAGTTCAATCACCAAAAAAGAAACTATCCCAAATTCAAACCGCAGCCATCCCAATAGCCATAACAGAGAAACCACAATTCATCAAAATGCCCCAAGCCTATGATTAACTTTCCAAATTTGAAATCGTCAATCAAAAGGCAAAACACTTAGAAGGATGTACTTCTACCATTCCATTTTAGATCCTTCCTTCGTCATGACCAACCAACTACTCAAAGAGGGCAGTCAAATTAGATTTGAGATAGTTAAGATATAAAGTGACTACGTAGGAATAGGTATTGGAGCAATGGAACGAGCCTCTATTGAAAAAAACGGACTGATCCTTACTGGAGAGCAGCTCTAAACAGTTGGTCATGGAGTATACATGAATTTTAATGATAAATGCATTTACCATAGTGAAATTGAAAATGGGGCTGTTTAAGGAAAGGACAAAGGAATTTCATTTTAAGATGGAGATAAAAGTAAATTAAATTTCAATTATAACCGTAGTTCTCTGCACTTATTCATAAGGATAACTGACCTTTTAAAATTTGAAAACCAACTCCTCATATTCAATGAAAGTCACCTTAACAGATATTATATTTATTGTTTGGTTAGACTTGAGTGAAATTAAAATTATTTGATTATTAAATCCTCTATTATAAGTATCAATATATTCTTTTCAATTGACTATTAATTCTAAATCAACGATTTTAATACGAGATACAATTTTTCTGTGTATCCAATAAAGTTATTCGAAATGCATATCTAATTAGATATATTATTTTTTGCTTAATCATATCAATTAAATTAACTTAACTTATGTTTTTAATATTACCTAACAATAAATTAATGTAAAATAAATCATTAAGTCTATAGTATAGGACAAAGAATATAAATGATCTTAATTTAACAAACATAATAGACTTGCGCTTCTATTAGACAAATTACATTTTATGCAAATAAGAGATATTTGATCGATCCTTTTATAAGAACTTTAATATCTGGGGGGCAAAAATGGAATTTATATTATTTTTAACTTATTACTTATTTAAGTTTTCATTAGAATACATCAGTTTATTATGAGCTCTTCATTGGATAACTAGATTGTATTATATATTTTGGTGCTGTTGGATAATAAATTGACTTTGTATTATAATCTAATAACAAGAAGTGACAATTAAATTATAATAAATATACGAATTACAAATTCGTTTTGCAATTCATATATTTAATGTCCTACCGGCATATTATGGAATGAGGGACTTTTTAAGAATTTAAATGGATAGAGAGTAGTAATACTATAAATAAGAAGGGAATGGAAGGTTTTCTCAATTGTAAATCTTGACTTCAAAGCAAGTCAATAGACTAATTGATTGCAGATAAAGATCAATAATAAATTAAAGATAATATATTATCTACTCAATCAGCAGCTGCTGAGGTGTCAATATTACTTTGTATTTAGCTTGGTCTAAATAAGGAAGGCAATTTATTATTACAAAGAGGATTAAGAAGGAGTAATTATTCCATTAATGTAATTTTCAAATATAAGAATTAGAAATTATATATTGGATGATAAGGGTAAATAGTTGAAAATATTAATCGTTATTTTTATATTGATAATGAGTAGATTTTTGGGAAGCAATGATTAAAAAAATGGAAAAATTCCGTCCAGTATGTTAATAGCAAGTTCCTCAGAATACAGAAAATTAGAAGTAATATGAATTAGTTATTGGAAAAGAAGGATGTAATTTTAAATTAAGAATCAATTATTGACAAAATCGAGATTAACGAGAATTTCTGGATGCATTAAAATATATTTAGTTCAAAAAGTGTCAATAAAAAAAATTGAGAAACCTTTAGTTACAATGTATTTCAAAGGGATGATACTTAGTTAAGACTCTAACGATTACTTAAGTAATTAATAGAAAAAATGCAGTAAATTTAGATAATTTAGCTAAGGTATGATTATTGTTTAACTGAGTTCAAAATTTTCTCGAATTTGAGCAAAATATAAATAGAAACAATTTTTTAGTAATTGAGTTCGGATACAATGATTGATTAATTTAAGCTCTTTAAAACTTTATAAAGAATTTAAATATATTTAAATAAAATGAATAAGAAGTCTGAATTCTAAAGAGCCAATACAACTAAATAATTAAATATCAGTAATTAGAACAGTCCTAAGTTAATCATATCGCAAAGCACCTCGATAGGTTTTCACAATGAATAGAGCAATTGTTTATCAAAATCACTTGCGTATAGTCCCAGTCGGGCAGATTATTCTTTCGACAGAATAATCGAATAAAGCATTATAGAATCGAAAGGGTAAATAGGGCATTAAATACTAGGAAAAACTTGCCGACGAATGCTAATGACTAAGAACAACCAACCAAAGTATTCTGTCAAAAATGTTAAAAATAAGTCATCTCTAGAATCGAGAAATAATATGGTTGCGGTGCCCTAATCGTCACTCTCTTGATATTACTTATATTCTGGCCATTATTTTGGATTCCATGCTTTGTTTCAGAATGCAGAGACATAATACATTATTGTCCATCTTGCGAAGAAGTTATTGGAACGAAACCTTATAAACTTTGTAAATGATCAGTAGATTAATTATTTGTATTTACTTGCCATGAATATTTTAATTGAAGATATCATCCTTAGTTTGAATCTAGATACAATCATTTATCAAATCTTAAATTAATTTTTGAATTGCAATAAAAAATCAATAATTCTAAATTTAGCAGTTTTATAAGACAATCAAAAATGTATTACATCATATTATTGTCTATTCTAAACACTGTTTGAGTAAAATTAAGCTGAAATCAGTTAATTAAACATGCTTAATGTGCTTAAATGACAATAATTATGAGTTATCATAAGAAACAAATATCTCAAGAAGTTTATTTAACCAAGGAGTTATATAAGGATAAGTTTCGAATATAACTATATTTTTAATATTAATCAATGACTGACATCTCATATGATATTTCCACGTTGTTTCTTATTATGATAATGTCTGATGCTATAAGAAGTTATTTGATATTCATGTGTTTTATCAGCCAACTCTTATGTATTCATATCTCTGTAGTCAATTCAGCGTTAGTAGTTTACAATAACTGACAAGAATAGTGATATTTGAAGGACTTCCAGATCGTATGATTTCTATTGCCTGAATTGATCATCTTTTAATTTATGGTTCAGAGATGTTTGAATTCAATTTTAATAAAATTAATTAATATGGCTTAACTTAATAAAAGGAAGTAATCTAAATCTTTGGATGATAGTGAAGTAGCAATTATCAAATTAAGTGATAGTATAGGGTGAAGCAGTCTAAGGTAGGTGGGTAAAGGAAGAACATCAGAGATTTGTAGAAGCATTGAGTTTACATGGAAAGAATTGGAAGAAAGTAGAAGACTATGTTGGTACAAGAAGTGGAGCATAAATAAGGTACCTTTACAAATGATAGCTATTGAAGGTCTCATGCTCAGAAATTTTTCAATCGTTTGGAGAAAGAATTTCACAAACAGATTAATGGACTGAAGAGTTCTGAGATTAAAGAAATCTTTGTGAATAAGATGTTTCATTAATATTCTGAAGAAGAATAAATGTAAATAAAATAGAAGAATAACTCTATTATGGGTATGCACTTATATCTTATATATTTATTTTTAGATGTATCCGAAGATGAAATGCTACTAAATGCAGAGTCTATGTAAGCCGAGTCTAATCAATAATAACAATAAATCAAAGCCCAATTGGAATAGGGTATTTTAGACCTCAATTTACCTGAATAGCAAACTCACAATCCCACTAAGGAATAAGTCACAAAATATTAATAATAATAATTGAAAATACAAAATAAACTCTAAGATGTATCAGATCTCTGTCAAATACCAGATGAACTTCTCAAAGAAATATGTAATCTACATAAGGAAAAGGGATAGATCATGGCTCTCCAATAGATTCAAAATGCTTATAAGTCTATTTCAGAAATTGTTCAAAATGATGAAGAATAAAATCAACAGCAATCAATACAGCAAGAATAAAATAACCCTGCCAATTCTGATCACAAAAAAAGTGAAGAATCAAGACCAGGAAATGATGAGTCCTTCTTTCATTTTATCATGTATTCAATATCTCATAATAACCCAGGGCGAAAATTTCAAAGTATTTAAACAACAGAAAATTGAGTTTATCTGATTTAATCAATGTACAAAAATCGGAAAAAGAAATCTAAAAAGATTCTAATCAATTAAAACCTGATGCATTGTAAGAGGCAGAAGGATAAAGAAGTAGAAAATAATCATTTACTTTTTATAACGATTAAGACGAAGAGAATGAAGTTCGATATTTGAATCTTAAGAAAACTAAAAAAGATTGAGATTAAACTATATAATATAGTCTATTTTATATTTTACATTTTATTAATAGAATCGTTTAAATGTAGAATTATATGCTTCCTCCATAAAATTGTGAAATATCTATAATCAAATTTAAGTTTTGTCATAAATTTTTTTTTTCATTTTTAGAGGATAGTAAATTATGAGTTAAAGGTTTTTTAATAAGGATTGGGTAATTTTTTATTCAAAACCTAAAATTTATATGAATATAACAATTATTTAATGATCTATGAAATATCTATTAACAGGTAAGATAAAAGACAATAGTTAGAAAGATGGTCTATTTATGAAATATAAATATGCCTTTTTAACTAGAAAGCCTCATAAGAATAGTTATCATTAAGTAAACAGTTGTTTTGACTCATGCAACACTTCATAAATAAAATCATAACTTAATTAGTATGAAATAACAATTTATTATTTAATTATAAAGAAGTAAAATTTTCTTGTTATTAGTTTTTTAAATATATAATATTCAACATTTTAAAAAAATCTCTAATTTATTAAACATAAGTAAAAATATGCAACTATAAAATTGATTTCTTGAGAAGCATTTGGAGTTAAAGGATTTGTTTGATAAGTATAAAAGTATGATCTACACCATATTTTAGGAAAATGTAATGTTGCAAATTGATAAGAATCTTTGATTATTATTAGTATTTAGAAATAATCAATAAAATTATAGGATTATGTTTAAGGCATATTTTATTTCAAGTGAATTAATGGAGAGAGAGAATCATCAAAATGGATTAGTAAATTATATGTGGAGCGTTAATTTTAGAATTATGTTTATGTTAATGAAAATATATCATAAGATCTTACCCACGTGGATTTTATATCCAAATTTATTTAATTCTCTGTTAATAATTTTGGCAGCATGGGGCAATCTATAAAATGGAATTTGGGGGAATAAATGATGTTCTGTTTAGAATTGCATGCCTCCCATCAACAAATTGGATAACCAATCTATATAGATTTAATTAAAATACCTGTCCAATCATAATTTCTAGAGGTGATGATTTAATGTTCAATGAATGGCTTGTCAATCTTGTTGTAGAATTTATATTCTCTTTCATGATTTCCAATGAGAATGCATGCACTGAAGAATCCTGCAATATATTGTGCAACCAAATAGATCCAAATTTTTTATTAGAATACAATTATCTGATGCAACAACACGTAGAGAATGTCAATTTTATTGTAGGATGCAATGACTGAATCAACCTTCCATTTTAAATAGAGGAATCCATATTACCACATTTAATATGTGTGATCGATGTCATCATCCTTACCAATTCTGTTTGTGAAAATGTGATGGTTGTTATGTTTGAATTACCACCAGTCTGTAGAGAATCCATGGATGATACCATAAGGAATGGAGAGCTTATACAACAATGGATGTCGATTATGGTTGGTTGAATGGCCTTACCATCTAAGTGATATATTATTACATATAAATACCCAGCCACTATTTAAGTTAATGCAATTGTTGGTATGGCTATGTACCAATCTGTTGTGACACCAAGATATAATCCAAGGCTCAACGCTACGAGGAGAAGGATTTCAATGGTCCAATCTGGTTAGAAGAGATCTTTGACTTGCTTCTTGATATGAGAATAACGTTTGCTGTCTTCTGATTCCTTAAGATCAGTACGCACAACTTTTTAGGATTTTAATATTTTCAATGCCTTCTTTGAATGTAGACATCTAAAACATAGGAATCAAAGTACCTAAAATATTCTGTAATGTCTTATTTCTCATCTTTCATTTTATCAAAGAAGCTTTTTCCTGCAGGGTGTTTAGGAACATATTCTGTAACATCAAATTCCTTGTTTTTGTATATAAATCTATAGACCTAACATTAGTGTTAAATTTACTTCTTTATTCTCAGGTGTTTGAATTCCATTATTGTTTGGTTCTGGTAATGGTGACATCTGATATTCTAATAAATTATTTATATCTTTATTAAATTTTGCTTGATTATTTCACTCTAAGTATATAATATATATTTTATGAATAAGAATAATAATCGAAATGAGGAATTAATAAGAGAGCAATATTGTAGAACTTAAGCAGAGAGAATTCTGGACAAGCAGCTTTTCAAAAAGACTAAAGTAATTTAATAAGTTAAGTAGGGTTAACAATTGCATTAAGTGGAGAAATAGATTTATGGAGATTAGAACAAAAAAGTGAAAGCTGAAGAGAGTTCATAAAAAGAATAGATGAGTTGCTAATAAGCTATGTGCTTAGTACTCAAATATCTAAATAATGATAACAAAATATTCACAGCTTTGAATAAAATTAAGTTGCTAATTAAGGAATTTAAAAACAAATTCTATGATTATCATTTATTGTAGATCCTTTATTGCTTGTCAATCACAAAGTATCAATTCAAGTAACACGAATGCGATCAATTGGTTATTGACATTTTTGAACTCTGTCAAATTCCTAAGCACATTTAAATTATAGACATACTAAAAATTCAATTGATTATTAAGATCAACCTTTAAACTGACGACACCTTTTAATTTAACAACGTATTGAAGGAATTAAAGAAGATTATAGATGATTTAAATACTGCCTAAGTGTTGGAACCTGTAGATATTAAACAACAGAACTCATTGTAATAAATCGAAGCTTATGAATATGAAATTGTGCAAGATTTTGAATAGTTTCTGGTATTATTATTCGTTTATAGTAGAATAACAAAGAGTTTCATATGAAATAAAGATAACAATATGTGTTGAATTGCTTAGAGGTGTTGGTAGATCAATTTAAATATTAATGGGCAAAGACAAGTATTCACACATTCATTCAGAATTTGAATTTTAATCAAAAGTATTGGTTTTGTACTTAAAATAGATAGTTTTTTGATGAATAATTCAGAGTGCAAATAGATGTTATCATAAGCAAGATTTAGAATGCCAAGATTCTGTATACAGCCAGTAATGAAAGGGAGAAGGCTTAGAGTGCTAAACTGATGCAGGACTACTTGAAGCCTATCCATGATGTTGTAGATTGTCGGGCCATAGTTAACACTGGAGATGGTTTGGATTAGTGGGGTTTGAAGCAAACTGGATTGTGATTATTATTGACATTAATGTATTCTAAGGGAGTTGAAAATAAAAATATATTTCAGTCGGGAAGTGTTATATCATTATATTCATGTCGAAGCGTTTAAAGTCATCATAATTATTGTGAATGAATTGATTATAAATAATTATATAGCTAGAACATCCACGAAATAATATGGGTTTAATTCCAATTAATTTATGCTTTATAATAGTTTTTTTAAAACGAAGAATCAGAGTCCTCACAATGGGAGAACAAAGCCATAAATGCGCTAAAGCTCGATTGAAAAAGCAAAGAAGGACAGACCACGACCATTGTTATCTAGCAAAATTGATTAATTCGAAAAGGAAGCCATATTGAGTATGATGAATAGTAAAAAGAAATCCGTTAGCAAAAGACTTGTAATGATATTGGTTAACTTAGAAAACAGAATAAGGAATAGACACTTTAGATGATTACTTATATTTAGATTCATACATCACTAATAAATAATCTAAATCTAGATCATTCAGCAATGCATTCCCATCTACTAAAAGTGCAGATAGAAAAAACAATATTCTTAATAATAACAACACTAGTAAAAGACAGAAAAGTAGTAATCAGAAGCAATCACTTGAGGATGATACAGGGCCTGATAATTTCCCATTGTAGTTTCAAAAGATAAAACTTCTTGGGAAAGGTGGCTTCTCCATGGTTTGGCTGGGAGAACATAAAACTACAAAAATGAGGGTTGCAATTAAATAAATTAAATAATCCACCGCAAATCAAACTTACCTCCGTGAAATTTGGTTTGGATCTCATTTTTTTGACAATGGGATTCCGAAACCATAATTCAAGTCAACCTTAGGAATCAAAAGTCTAGTCTAATATTTGGGATTTGAAATCGGAAGTACTGATACCTGGATTTTCACTGAGGTATGTGGAGAGAATCTGAAAAATACTCTCTATGAGTTGAAAGGATAACAAATTAAAAATGAAATTGTATACAAAGTAATTAATCATGTCAATATTCAAGATGATCTAAAAACCATTATACATAAGTTTAAAATAAGATCTCAACATTTTAAAAAGAATAATCAAAGATGTCGCTCATGCTTTAATATTATTAACTGAATAACGGATTGTTCATTGCGATCTTAAAACAGAAAACATACTCATTAAAAAATCTAAATGTCTTAATGGAACTTATCAAATTACCTAAACCAAATTAATTGACTATGGGAGTAGTTTCATATTTGACGATCTCTCCCAATTCTCTATGGCAACTCCTGAATATATGGCTCCGGAAATCTTAAATTACGTTTTATATGAAAATGGCAAGGATTATGATGTAAAACTATACAAAGTCTTATAAAATTACTATAAACCTTGGGTCATAGACATATGGTCATTGGGTTGCGTAATTTTAGAAATTGTTTATGGGATTCCTCTCTGGTTGAACAATAAAATCATAGTGAAGCAACACAATAAGGAAGTAATGGAGCAAGGCTTATTTGCTGTAAAGAATAGGGCTTTCGATTAAATCATTTACAAGCAGGCTCATGTAGTAAAAAATTTAGACTACTTTCTGGACAATAATTATTCAGGTATTGCTATTTTGCTTATTAAGAGGAATTAAAGTAGATTTAGAAATTAGACTGTTATTACGAGAAATGCTTACTATTGATCCTGATAAAAGAATTGCTCCTCATACTATTATTGAATTTCTTTAACCTACTAAAGGAAGAATGAAAACTGAATGATTTAATATAAATATTTAGATTTGTATCTTCTTCGTAGGAACTTACTTTAAAAAATCAGTATTTATATTTTAATGAATAATATTTTTATTTTTGCGATACATCTGTCATTGTTTACTTGAATATTATTCATTTTGAAATGATATCGCCTTTATTATTTACTTATTTGAAATTATTTAAGAATATTATTCAAGACGGAATTTAAATAAATCATTATTAAAGTTCGAATTAAATGATTACTAAAATAGATTATATATTATCACTAAGGGAACAATTTAAGTACGAATCATGAAAATGAGTTATAAAATATAATCTTAATTTCAGGATTTTATTGAAGAAGAAATTTAAAAATTCCAAGTATACGGAGCTAATCACTCCTTCTTTTAGAAATTAAAGATTTACATTCTCCGTACATTGTTTAAGTTATTTCCTTTGTTTTTCTAGATTTTACGACGAAGAGCTAGATTGATTTTGATTATATAATAAATTAATTTTCAAAAGAAATATTAAATGAAAAAGCAATCAATATCTACAACTGCAACGCTTCCAATACCATATTTTAAGGTGTATTTCAAAATTCATTATCACACTCAACCCGGAAAAGCAATTTATATTGTAGGAGATTGCAGTATTCTTGGCAATTGGGTTCCTACTAAAGGACTGCGACTATAATGGAATGAGGTATTATTTGAATAGTATTTTAAAACAGAATGATGAATGGACAATTTGTATAAAAATAGATCGATCCAAATATTCCAAAATAGAGTATAAATTCATAGTTAACAATTACGATTATCCTAATATCAGTGATACTCTATGGGAACCTGGAGAAAATAGAGTAATCACCAATCATATGATTTAGAATGAGACAAAGTCTGAATATTTTAATTGTATTTACTATAATTAATTATTAAAGGTGAATATTGGGGGTATAGAACAATTAAATTGAAATTAAATTACAACTTACCTGAAAAACAAAGAATGATGGTTATAGGGAGTATAGAGTCATTAGGTTAATGGATTCATCCAGTACTAATGAAATAATAAACGAAAATAGACATATGTAATTTTTGATTCAGTAACATTAGTAAACGGGGAGTCAGTGTAACAATGGTCCATCTCCTTCATCGTAGACTCAATGAATTTCTCATTCCGATATTTTTATGTCATTAGGAATGATGACACAGGTTCAATGATATGGGAAAGAGGCAATGGAAGATATTTGAAGTCAAGCGATCTCAGATCCTTTCGATAAGTTCAGGATCAATATGCCAAATCTCCAATTAAAATCAAAACTCAATTGTTGACTGCCTGTTAACATTTGAGACTTCACAACAAGAAAAATGGATCATTTTGTTCAGAAAAGCAATAAAAATTTAACAAAGAAACTAGTATGGGTTATTCATTTTCGGATAAGGAACCTTCGTTTTTTTACTATGAGTCCTTTGGAAGACTGAACAAACTGGATTGGAATTTCGTTGTTCAATTCTCCATCACTCAAATAAATGAAAACATCATCATAGGTCCTTACCCACAAAATGAATAAGATATAATCAACTTGAGTAACTAAGGAATCAGAGCTGTCCTAAATCTACAAACAAGATTGGATGTCTATCACAGAGGAGTAGATTGGGATGAAATCTTATCTAGTTACAAGAAACACAATATTTATATGAAGAACTTTGAAATCTTTGATATGGATCCACAAGATTTTGAAAAAAAAATATCTAAAGCAGTTTAAATTCTCAAAAAACTAATTAACCAGTATGAAATTGTGTACATTCATTGCACTTCAGGAATTGGAAGAGCACCCTCACTTGCAGTGATATATTTGTCATCTGTCCTACAAATTCCCTTGGATGAAGCAATAGCCTTCGTGAAAAGTAAGAGAGAGCACTTTTACATCAATCTAAGTATTTATAGTATATATTCAAAGGTATGCTCAAAAAAGCTCTTCAAAAAACGATGATCTACAACAACGGTCTAGGATATGATTAAATCCCTGAAATTAACGAATTTTAAATATAAAGCTCTGGCCATGTGTTAATATAATAATTTGATTATAATATACTTTGTTGAGTTAGAAAAGGATATGTTTAATAAATCTATTAGATTTTATCATAAATCAAATATTCTTCTTCAATATTTACTCTAATTCTAAATTTCCAATTAAAATTATAAATTTATCATATCACATTATTATATTCATGGATTTCAATACTAAATGATGACATTATTACTATTGTTATATATTCAAAGGTAAAGTATGAGAGTTAGAAATAATTCCTAACCGAAAAAGATAGGGTTTATAAAATAATAAAATCCAATTTTTACAATTTTCTTTTTTTTGAAAACTTAACTACTGCTCTTTAATCTCTCTTTGTAAGTTATATGAATGACTATTTAAACTTCATCAATAATAAAGGATGGCAAATTCAACTTTTAATATGACTCCATAGCAAGTGCGAGATACAATTGTCATGATATTTGAAGCATGTAGTTGATGATAAATTTGCTGTTCATGTTCCTAGGGCTTAATACAAGCTAGTCCTACCACATTCCAAAGTATTGTTAAATTGATGTTCCTTAAGGTAGATTAACAAAAAAAATGACTTAATTAGTTCCTGTTGAGTATTATGCAGTATCTGAGAAAGGTGATCCATTAATTTAACATTCTCTTGCTGTTGGTTAGTTGATGAATAGTATGGGCATTTAAAATCATCAATATGGACTGATTTCATTATTAAAATAGTACTCACTACAGCAAGAACGATGATCTGATTAACAAGCATTCCATTCAAAAACTTAAGCGATTATACATTTATTCATAATATATTTTTCAATGATAACTTTCATAGTTGATTCTTTCATTGATTGTTTTTTAATTATTAAGGCCTTTGAGATTTCTTACAATGCATAAACTGTTATAATGTCCACAATAGATCATTAGATAGAATTAGATTAAAAAATATAATAAGATTAAAATGTAAGTAAGAATTATATTTTAACAAAATCCTATATGTATATATTGTAAATATTTAAAATTTATAATTTCATATTCTAAAACCAGATTAATAACTTGCATTTTATTATCCTTACCTAATAAATTGAGAATCCCCTTATTTTAATAGGAGTCCTTTTGGAATGAATTCTCCAACTTATTGTAAATGTTCTTGAAGAATACGATTTTTTTCCTCTTCCACTACTAATTATTTATAAGCCTCTTCTCTTCTTTATCTTTCTAGCTATTCAATTTCTTTCTGCTTTTCCATTTGATACATTTCCAATTTCTATTGCCATAATCTTTCAACTTCTCTTTTATGTTCCATTTCCTTCATTCTTCGTTTTTATTATCCTAATTATTCAAGCTTATCATCCTCAGCAAACTTTCTCATCATTTGATCTCTGAAATCTCTTTCCATCTATTATTCTTCCTCCTTTTATCTTTACTTTTTTAATCGTGCTTCTTGTTCAGCCTACTGCATCTCTCTTTTCTAAAACTCTCTCTTATTAGCTTCATCAATATCTTTTTATCTCTACTAAGCATCGTATTATTCTTGATAGAGTTGAAATCTAAGTTCAGTTAGTAATTCTGCTTCTTATCTTCTTCTTTCCTCCTCTTCCTTCAATTTTTGGAATATCTTATCTCTAAAGAAATTTGTAAAGACTTATACTTAGCTGCATTTTCTTCTTATTTTTTCACTTTAATTTCATGAGCCTGTCTATCCTTTTCTTTGATAAAATCTAAATATTTCTGATTCTCTTCTCTTTCCCTTTATTTCATTCTAAATATCAATTCTGCTTTTTCTCTTAAAGCATTTTGCATATCTGAGAAAGCAATTTTCTTCTTTTTAGCCTAATCCTCTAAAAACCTGCGATCCTCATTAATTAATTGTTGAATGACTCTATTAACTTGTTCCTTCTCATAAATGTATTATTCTTTGGCTTCATCTCTTAATTGCTCATGTTCCTTCATTTATTTTTATAATGTCTATTGATGATGATGAATTCAAATACGTATTTCCCATCTAGTCTTTATTAGAGTCTAAATTTTTCTTTGGATCTTTCTTCCTCTTGTTCCCTTTTCAACTTTTCAAGAATAGCTGCTTCTATCTCACTTTCTTATTTCTATTTTGAAAATATAACTGACTATAAATACCAACTCTTAAATTCTCCTCAACTATTGCTCAGCTAATTATTAAGTTCTCTCTTTGGTCACATATGCAGTCTAAACTTTTTATTTAAGTAGTTTGATTTCCTCACTCTCAGCACAAATTCTTTCAATTTCTCTTCTCCTTTTCTCTTCTTCAACTTTTCGTTTTTGCAATTCTCTTGCTAATTGATCTTCTAATGAATAAGGATCTGTTATTGGATTTCTATTCGAATTATGAATCATATGATAATAATTTTAATTTTAATATTCATTTTTAAACATAACCTTGAATAAGCGAAGGTAGATTAGAAATATGCTAACTCTTTATGGGGTGTAATTTTTATTATGAAAAATTAGTAGCTTGTGATTTCATAATGAAATCGATAGTTTCAAGTTTAAATAATATTATTCAGTGCTATTCGAGTATGATTATAACTTCAAGTTAATGTTATCTTTAAAAATAATATAATTCCTTTTAAAATAGAATTCTAAGTGCAGAGTATGCACCCATTCCCCTAAAAGTTCTTAGTTTAAATCATGAATACTAAGTTCCATAATTTTTCAAAGACTTTCAGAATTTAAAATAGATTCTTATTGTTATTGAATATAAATACTTGAAAAAAATCAATTTAAAATTCCTTTATTTGATCCTCCATGATACCTTATTCTAGCCTTCAATTTTAGAGGGTTTTTTAACAGTTTCAACTCTTTAAGGGTGCAATGTTAGTAAACAGCCTTTATTTTGGATTCATTTTCCAAATCTTGATCCTGCTGTTTATTTTCTTTGTCTAGAAATAGATCTACACTAGCAGTTTCTCTAAAAAATTATTAATTAAAGTACTCTTTCAAATTTGTATATGACAAAATGCGTTTAGTGATGTAATTTATTGTTTCTAAAATTGAAATATTTTACAATTTGAAGGTTTAAAATTATTGGTTACCATCATAAATATTAATCATTACCTCAATATATTTGTCTATACCTTCAATTCTGGAGTTGTTTTGAATTCCATTGTCAAAAATTTTTTCATTCTCCTTCAACCAAGAGAATGAAAAATCTTGATAAAACAATTCTAAATCCCCTTAAATGCCAAAATATGAAATAAAAAAAGCAAATAAATCACCTACTGTCAGTGTATTATCAAAAATTTATTCGATTTAATTCTATTTGTATTGGAGTGTGAGAGTCCTAAAAATTATGATATTAAATTTACCATTTTTTAGGCTCCACATTATTTTTATTATTTTCTTGCATACTCTATTGTTAATATTATTGTTATTGATTACAGCTTTGATTTTAACCTTATTGATTCAGTTATTGATTTTATTAGCATTGTGTTTAATGATTTTATTAGAATTATTAATTTTATTGATTGTTGTTTTATATTTAATTCTAAGTATAGAGTTATTATTGTTGTACCTGTTATTATGCATTTGTTTAATATTATTCATTCTATTAATGCTAGTCATTCCAATCCAGATCTATTTTCAATTCCAATATATAATTGCTTTAGTTATGAAAAAAGGGTTAGAAAGTCAATTGATTAATCTATAAAAATAAATTCTAAGCGGGCAAGAAGAATCTAAGCCTCTCCTGTCTAACTTTTTCAAATTCCCTAATATTAATGAATGGGTGAATACTCTGGAGAGAATAATGCTAAAAATTCGTAGAGCTCTAAAGTTGTAGTATTTTTCTCTAAAGTAAGTGAAACCGATTATCCAAAGAAAAAAATTGTGACATTGTAAATTGATGAATCCATTTTAAATTATTAATATTTTAATATAAGATAGCAAAATATGAATATGAACATATTAACTGTTAAATTCTATAGATACAGATACAGGCCTCTCTGAAAACTAATATTATTAAATCTTTCTCATTAAATGGAGCAGCATTATTTAGATATTTATTCATAAATAAATTTTTATTTTTCATAAAATCCTTCAAATGTACAATCATTCCAATCTATCATACACAAATACAAATAATATGAACCGCCAAGAATTGCAAGAGTTTAGAAATTATGTGCGTAAAGCTGCCTAGGCTAAAATGGATGGAACAGAAGATAAGTAAAGATAAATTGCTAAAACTTTTCATATGGATCACAAAAATTTGATGTCATTAAATTAGAGCCCATTATAAAGTAAGAAGTTGCATGTCGATCATGACATATCATAACACCATCACTTAGCATCCTTATCAGATTGGAAAAAATTTGACAGATCTACATCACAAAGTTATGTTTCTTTTGATGCCAATACTTGGAAAGAAGATCAGAACAGCATGAGGTAAAGAAAGCTGTAAACACCATCTTTGAATGCAGCTGACTTAATTAAAGTGAATCGAACACTCTCAGGATTGAGTACTAAAGAAATCTAAAATCTGAGTGGCCAATATTACCACTAAATCCAAGAATTAGAACACACTGTTAGCTCAATGTTGAGAAGAATAGATTTCATCTAAGCCTCAAAATCCAATTATTGAACATATTATAATGATTATATAATAACATGATAATTATAAAATTATTGCTTGGATCTCATTATTTATATATAAATTAAATTATCTTTAGAGAATATTATAAATTATTATTTAGAATATAGTATACAAAATATGGCCTAATAACAAAACATCAAATAACATAATTTTGACCTAGTTATTGATAGCCAAATATTTCACCTTTTTTTTAGTATATAAATGGATCACAAAATTAACATATTATATTGATAATTTCATTAAATTAAAATGAATTTTAAACTAGATACACATATATTTTTGAAAATAGAATAAACCTATAAATATTAAATTAATTTAACAAAAAGTAGGACAACAGTAATAAAGGAGTTGATATTCATCTCAAATAAATATATAGGAACAAGATTATCCTTAGAAAACTAATCATAAAACTTAGAAGCACTTTGTGTAATGAATATATTTAGAATTGTTTATTATTATCCTATATAAATTTTTCTAGGTCAATTTAGTAATATTTCCATCAATCTTTCAAAAACAATTAGATAAATACCAATTTAACTTATAATTCAAAAGAGACTATATTTACTACAAATTGATTAGTTTGTTATTTAACTGAATAATTAAACTGAAACAAATTAGATTTATCAGTCCTACATATTTCAGGTTAAAATGCACTTGGAGAATGTTTAGCAATACTATTAAAATTAAGGATAATGTTATTCTAAAGTAGAACACAGAAGCATATCTAGATTCTATATTACAATAATCTTTAATGTTTTTAACCAAATAAAACACTTTTCTATTATCTAATCAAGTATTTCAATAATAAAACAAGAGTTCCAATAAATTTTAATTCCCTAACTAAAATGGTGAATTATATTCAATAAGCATTTTAAATACTAATAAAGAAAAAATAGTAACTCTTTATCTCACTTCTTATTCCATTACTTCAAAACTGTAAGGTGTTTTTTATTAATTTCTCTAGATATTCTAAAAAATTTTAAAAATTTGTTATTATTTATAAGTGTAATTATTTGATCATCCCTAATAATATTTTCATTATTTTAATGAAATAGTGACTTTAAGTGATCATAAGTATCGAATATTGACAATGGTTATGTTATATAGATCTTTTATAATATTTGATTATTGATAACTATTAACAATACGAATTTTATATGTTTTGAACCAATAATAAATCATTTAGCATCAATTCTGTCCATCATCTCTACAAACTCAAGATAATCTATTTCTCCATCCTTATTCTAGTCTGCTTCACTGATCAAATTTTACCATAATTATGGATCAGACTAACTATATATTTCATTATCTTATAAAATATAGTAAATAATACTTCCCAAGCATTTCTTTAATTCTTCACTGCTAATTTTACCACTTCGATCAATATCGAACATCTTGAAAGCTTACAATAGTTTCTCCTTTTTCATATACATATTTCTCTCCATTGTTGCAGCGACAAACTCTAATCTTATTAATAATATAGATCTTACCAGTATAATTAATAACTCCATTGCAATCAGTGTCAATAGCTTTCAAAATTTAAATGACTTCACCCCAACTCTCTTATTGGAAATTATGTAACCCTTTTTTAACTTCTTCCAAGGTAAGAATGCCGTCTCCATTTTGATCTAATTCCTTAAACAATTTTCCCAATTCTTGGATTTCTACCTCTGATAATTAGGATGCAATATAGGTTAGTGTTACCTAATTAGGAGATGTAATGTACTTTTTTTAATTTGTTGCTGGCACTGAATCCTTTGAATGATTTGAAATCTAAAGTTAATATGGAATGAGGGATTTCTACTGAGGTAAGCCAAGGATGTTATAATACTTGTCCAGCTGTTAATCTGTTATCAGGTTTGGTTAACAACTTTTAAATCAAATCTTTAACGTCATTTGAAACTCCCTCTAATTGAGGAATATCCAATTTATAAACGCCAGACTTAACAGCCTTCAATATTTCTGCATCATTTCTACCATTGAAGGGAGGTAATCCTGTAAGCAGAATGTATAAAATAACACCAGCTGACCAAACATCGCAGAGTTCATCATATTTTCCATCTAGAACTTCTGGTGATATATAATAAGGCTATTTTAGGTTTGATAGTCATACAGTTCCTGCTTTTGATTTCATCTATGTCTTTCCATCTACACTTTTGTAATGGCTATCATGGAACAACACACTGAGTCCGAAATCAATGACTTTAATTGGAGCATCTGGTTATTTGTTAAGAAGTAAAAAGTTTTCGGGTTTAAGATCTCTATGACATATTCCATGAGTGTGGCAATAGTGAATTGCTTACATGATTTACAGAAATGTTTGTTGAGCTTCCTTTTCAGTGAAATGGCCTTTCTCGATGATTGTATCGAATAATTCTCCGCCAGTACAAATTCTTTAATGTTATATATTCATACTCCATGACTAAATAGATATTCCTCTAATCTTCGAAACTTTCAAAAAGCTTTATGATGTTTGGATGATCCTATATTGATTCTAAATGTCAATACTAAATTTTGCATAATTTCGATTTCTCTTTTGAATCTATCTGGACTTGCAATTAATTTTTTGGGAATCATCTTTATTGCTCTTTCCAATCCCAATTCCTTGTGTATAGCCTTGAAGACTCGGCCATATGCTCCAGAACCTAATTCCTACGCTTTTATATGTTAGCCATACTTTCTTATCAGAATCATAAATATCTTCGATCCTCTCTGGTCTCGACTTAATAAGCCATTACTTCTTGATCAACAATTAGTTATCCATTATAATTATTTGTAAAGATATTTGATTTATTAAATTAATTTGCTATGTTCATTGAAATAACATATAAAATTTGGTTATTTTATGATGATTGAATATTTATTAGTAAAATAATGAAAATCATGTTGATTTAATAATTAATAATAATAAATACATGGAGGATGCGCTTAGATTTTACAGTCTGAAGGAGTCAATCATTTAATTAAAATAATAATCCTACATCAGAACCTTCCCATAATTATATATCAGCAGAAATAAATTAACTTAAATAACTTCGCAATAGCTTGAACACCCTTTGAAATATAAGCCCATGCCTTTCGAGATAGTTTCGCTAAGCGAGGTGAATGATCAAAAGGATGACTCGTCAATCATACAAAAGGAATAGACTTTGATTCTGAATAATGAATTGTAAACTCCATTAGAAGTTAATTTATAACTAAAGGCTAAAAAGTGCATGAGTCTCTTGGAAGGACAGAGCAAGCATGAGAAGGAGCAACAAATAATGAGCATATTAGAAATAATAAAATCCATATTAAATGGAAAAAAAGAACGGACAAATTAAAGATTAAAGAAAAAACTAATATAAACTAATAAATCTCCTTAATAAGCTATATAATTTCTCAAATCATTGCGTAAAAACAGAATCATGTGTTGAAAATCTTGAACTTGAACTATAAATATTGTGTCTTAATGTTAGAAAAACATCCTTTATTAATCTGTCATTTAAATTGGGGGGGACTCTCCACAACTAATTGAGTTTTGTATAAATTCTTTAAAATCTTTCAAAATTTGATCGTGTATGGATCAAGTTGAACATCCCCCTAATTCCCTAATTGAAAGACAAAAATAAGCATATTTAAATAATAAATTATTATAGGTTCATTTTGGGCTTTCGGCTTTGGTCTCATCAAACTGTTGTAATGATTAGAAATTGCTTGAACTTTGTCGTTTGTTCTGGAGTGAAAATTAATCATTAATAAGAGATGAGAACATTTTCTTCATATACTTGCTCCCATAGTTTTATGCTGTATTGTAATCATCCTGCTTGAATTTGGAACTTGAGTTTCCCGATGAATCTCCTTGCTAAGACAACTTTCCTCTGTACTGATCAAATTCTTGAGCCACTCTTTAGAAAATGGTTTTTGACTTCTTCATTTGCAAAATCTTGATTGCCTAATCAACTTGGTTTTGCAGTTCATTAGTATCCTACAATTTTACCAAATGACAATATGGCAATTTCACTAATCTGATATAAAATATGACATTAACATATAAATTCTTATACTGTTTTTCGAATTAGTCACTCATCAAGAAGGCATCCCCTTTGACATTAACAATGTTCTCTAGATTCTTGAGTATTTGTATCGGATTGTAAATATCATACAATTCGGCCTCTATGGGATTTTCTTCTTAATAGAATGTGATTTGTATTTTGGGAATGAAAGTCTACCCACAACCCTAGTTGGTCTTCAAACACTCAATAGTATTCTCATACTAACTCTTTCTATATGAATCTAGGATTTCTTCAAAATGCAATTTCCTCTTGCAACTTGGACAGTTGGAATGTAAAGAGTAAACTGAGTTGGTATATGCATTTTATCCATCATTTCTTTATAATAAGACTACTTCAGTTTGGTGAATTTCCAAGGGTTGTTGTTGATCACTTGGCAATCCCTTTTGATTCATAGCCTAGGCTACAGCTTAGAAATAGACTCCATGAGTTGCTGGGGATGCTTCCAATTTGATTTCTTTCATTAACTTCACTAAGTACAAGGCCTTTGAATCCATTTGAAAATAACCGCATGATTCAAGTACATATCGAAATAGTTTCTCAGTCAAATTCAAGTGTTTTTCTCTCATGTATTCCAAGACTAAGATCGCCACTTCAGTCATCTATTGGAATATCTTGTTGTCTTGATTATTCCTCACATTAACAATAAAAATTAAGAACCAAATCTTGTACATGGTTTCAAGCATGTACTTTGACCATTTCTACTGATCCAATTAGGGAATTTCTTCTTACAACATTTCTTGATTTATCTCCTATTCATCTGCTTAGAAATCCTTCATGAGATCGTGATTCAATTCTGGAAATTTGTCATATTTATGGATGGTGTCTGTGAGTTAGTCCTCATCAGGCACTTAAATTTCAATGATTTATTTTGGGAGCATGAATTTTAGTTTCTGATCCTTGCTGTCTATGTATTTATCAAAGAATTGGTATTGCGATTCATTTTCACTGAATTTAATGCGTTCTTAAATGAAATATTGGAATATTCTTGTTTCCATGAATTATTACATAAATTTATCCTTCTTCCAATGATCATAATAACCCTGAACATTGAAGATCTCAGTAAAATCACCTTCATTATTTGAATTGGCAATAGTGTATTTTTTATATTGCTTCATTAGAATACTGTTACATTCTAAAAATGCATTTCTTATTTAATACCAATCTATGTTTTTATTGATTTCTGGATCGTAATTGTCATCATCCATATAAATATGATAAGCTTAATCCACTCTTCTTAAGTATTATTTCGAATAATCATCATTAAATAAATTATTGAAAGGCTTTAAGCTAGATTTTAGTTTCTTTAAGGCTTTTTCAGGTATAGCAGTTAAGTTTTCGCAATTCACAATAAAATTAGTATCCAAATACACATACAAACTGTCCACTTAAGTATGCTGATTCTGCTCTATTATGTTCTTTTGGCTATATCCGATCAAGAAAGGCACAGGAGCCTCAATATACCCTCGCAAACTATCAGGCAAGACTGGAATCAAAATGGATGTGAATTGAAATGGGAACAACAATTATAAAAATGCATCAATTACCAGTCCTGGCACTGATAGGTGATTTGAAATAAAATGAATCTTCTTCTCCAATAATATTGCACTATAAATGTTTATGATTCTGTTTATGTCCAATAATCTAAACAGACATTCCAAAGCCTCATTGTATCCTACTGGATATTTGTAATTGGTGTAAAAACAAATATCATAGGAGGGCAACACATACTTCAAGCATACATTCTCTTGCTCAAAGGTCTGCTGAGGGAATTTAATCTTATTGATGATGTTGCATATTGTACTCTCGATTGGGATGTTGTTTTTAGAGAGTGAGCATCTGTAGATATACTTGATTAATTCTCTCATCTGCTCAGGGTAATTATACGAACTCAATAAGCATATTGATTTAGGATAACAAATTAATTGTTGTTTGTCTATATGTCCCAATTACTCCATTACATCTGCAGGTATGATTTCATGAAAGATCAAACATATACAATAAGTCCTTTTTCCAGTTTCTGATGTCAATACAAAGTTGAAGATTTATTGACCCTTAGAAATTGGATCTATTTCACTTTTTTCAATGTATATGCCTTGTGGAAAACAAAACTAGCTTTTCATATTAGATTAATTACCATTGGGATCATAGTTGTCATGTGAGTTAACGGACTCTCATGATGATCTACTAGGGGATATCTATCAATTATTTTGGGCATGTAGGCTACTTTAAACGGGGACTATTCTTAAATAAAATATATAGTTTAGTAGGTTTACTTTATTTGAAAATGATGAAGCGGAAGTTGCTTAATGGAAATTGAATTGCATGAAAATCTTTAGGGATCACTAGTCTCATGTCGCTGAATGAGGAGGTGTATTTCTTCTTATCAATTTTATCTGCCAATATCATTTGGATGTCACAAATTGGTTGCTGATAATTGTTTTAGTTCTAGGTCTTGTAGCATAGGACGAGATGATGATTTTTTTTTTATTGCTGATCTGTGTATTGGGAGATGTCATAAAATCCTTAATATAAGGAATACCCATTATTGATCCCCTTGAACTGATGAGTGAGCTAATCGAACTTACGCTTGATTGGCACAGGATAGATGTCTTCTGTTAATGGTATTTTCTGTATTATTATAAAACTCAAATACTAATTCATTGTCTTCAACTTTTAATTCTTTTATTGTTAGAGATGTGATTGGTTAAGAATTCTGATCGTAAATGCACCTCAACCACACTTGCTTGTTGCCACAGAGATCCACCCATTTTTCGTTATCTTTGATGGGGATGTCCTCACTCAATTGACTTATCTATATTTCCAAAGATGTCAAAGTGTGCTCTATGTTTGAGAATGTTATTTAGTACATTTTTAGAACTCTGTATTCTGAGGGATTAATTTATTTCCTGTTCCCACAACACAAAAATAATTTATTATTCTTTTTGAAATATTCATATTTATATTTATATTTTTCATTTCTAAATATGCATAAATATTTTCATCAATATACATTCTCAATATTTATTATTAAATTGCACTAAACATTATTTAAATTGACAATGAATATTAAAATAGTATATAACACAAAAACCCACAAAATCTCAACAGTGCACAAAACCCTAGAGGCAATCAAAAACGCAATCCAAAACCTCTACCCAAAACAACTGGAGAAAGGATTCGACCTCTATGTCACACTACATCCCTGTAAGACTTTTAAATATTTATAGAAATGGAGCCCTTCAAAATTTAGGATGAAGAAGCCTTACTCAGAATCTAATAAATCTACGCCCAGATGAAATGGACTTCCATTAAATTTTTAGTTAAGGATTCCACCAATCCCAATCTAACCAATGACGACCTTTCAATACTCAATTAGAGCGTAATCACTCAATCTAATGTCCAACTATCTGCAGTCAGGAATCTCCTTCAAGAATCCCAACCACAAAACCAAGAACAATTCAAAGAATAGAAATAATAAATTGTATTCGAAGAAAATATGCCTGATACAAACTTAACCTAAGAGTATATTCAATATGTAAACTAGGATTATCAATTAAATTGAAAAGTAGGAGCTTTTGGGATTCGATTATCACTCTGAAGAGTTTAAATAATTTGTCATTTAACGAATAGATAATAGACTTAAACATCATGGAATATTATAAGCTTAAAATTTATAAGCTTAATAACCCAAATAGTATAAGATGGAATTAAAGCAACAAGACTTCATAATAACCAAATATGCAGATGAAAAATTTGAATTGAAATTTGAAGTTGTCAATACAGGTAACTAAGTTTGGAAAAGAAATCAAGTAGCTTTTGTTGGAATTAGTGGATTTTTAAAAAATTTTAGAATTGAAGTAATTAATAATTTAAGTGTTAGTTATAAGATGATGTCCTTCCAAGAATGACAGCTTAATTCTCATTTCTTTGTTAGATGCCAAAAGAAGAAATTTAGAATTAAAAAAATGAATTTTAAGTAATAATACATGATTGATTAAAATAGTTGACTTATAAAGATGAGTAAAATTAAATCAACTTCTTTGGCAAAAAAATAACATTGGTAGTTACAGTGAAAAAGAATTTCTAATAAATTAAGGATGAGAAAATCAATTAATTGATGGAAAGTGTACAAATATCGTTGGAATAGGCAACGGAATTTTTAGAAATGTATGGAAGTGAGGATAAAATTGATGACATTATTTTAGCTTATTTAGAACAACCTAAGTGAAGATTTCTACCTTTATATTAAAATAATAGTATTAACATTAATTCTAATTATATCCTATAAAAATGCTTAGAATACTCCCCCCTCTTCTACTCCTTTAAAATATTTAAGTACAAACATTTAAAATAGATTAAATTAAAATGAGTAAAAGCCTTCTTTGTATAATATATCAAAAGGAGATTCATTGACTATTTCTATCTATCCTTCAGGCATGTATTCAAAGAAATCAACAATATTACTAAAGATTACCACAAAATATTACTGCTGGATAGTATTCATTAAGACAACATAATAATTGAATATATATATCTCATAGAATTATTCTTCATGTCTAAGAAATCAATCATAGTGAAATAGACTTATAAATTTGTATTAACTAACTCTAATGACTCAAATTTATTCTGTGTTTTTAGCAATAAATAGATAAAATTATAATTCATTTTTAGGTTTATGGTGTATTTCAAGATTACGATGATTTTTGTAAGTTGGAGTGAGTAATTAATCATTTTACTCCTTTCCTAAAGGTTATCCATCATGATAAGTAAGAGATTTGAAAGAATTTCAATTAGTATTAATTATAAATTATGTAACTAATGGATGGAGGCGGTTCTACATTTGATCTCACGGCACCAGTATCATTGGTGCAGCCGAAAATAAATGTTTCGAAATAACCAGAGCCAACAATTAACAAAGGGTAGAAGGAAGTAATTAAGCATTGAATAAAATCAGTTACAGCCGTAAAAGACTTAGACTTCTAATTCAAAACTGCCGTAATTGGGGAACAATCAGAATGCTTCTAAAAGTGTGAATCAGAAATCGTCGCAGCCAGGACATCAGCATTCTCCAAAGTCGCTTTCGAAAGTAAAAAAGATTGAATTGTTCCGAGATGCTTTGCAGCAGGCAACCACGAAATTACTACGTATGTGATAGTGTGTAAATGTAGCCCCTGGGAAAAAGGACAAGGATAAGACGCAGAAACCCAAACCTCTGCAGGAATCTCAATAGTAACAGATTGAGGAGATAAAGAAGGAGTATGAGGATTTAGTGTAAAATCATTATAAAGATTTATATGCTCACATTGGAAATGAACAATAAAAAAGTTTGCATGATTTATATAATAAAAGAATCGTTACAGCTTTGCAAAACTTGGAATCAAGGCCAAAAATATAAGGTGCTTTGGAAAGAAAGGAGGAATAATTGAATAAATAGCGATTGTATAAGGATAGATTGCTGTATGAAATCAAGCAGATGATAATCAAGAGTCGAAGGATGGATGAGCTTTTGAACGATTTGGCAATTCAAAATGATGACACTGAAGTCAAAGAGTCAATTGAGGAATTACTGCAGAAGGAACAAGTACAAGAAGAGAAGATGGCCAAGCAAGCCTACGAAATAGCCAAACTCAGGGATATGTATGGGAAGCGAAGTAATTAGAATAATTAAATCAAGGAAAATTGCTATTGGAAGTCCAAAAACAATGTTAGATTACCTATGATGGATTGAAAATCAAATACCAATAATATGAGGCATCCTCATAGAGTATGATGAGTCGCAAGAAGCAATTAGAGTCTTTGTCGAAGATAGTTTCAAAATATAGAAATGAATTTCAAAATTAACAGAACTTTTTTGGAGCAAGTCTGAAGAGAGGATTTGATCCCATGCTTGAAGAGATCCTGGAAGATGAGTTATCAAAATGTGGAGATCTATAAGCATTGGAAATTGTGTAATAGGGGGAGAAGAAGATCATTGCAATCAAAGAAGAGAACGAAAAGAAGAAGAAGGGAGAATAAAAGGATAAGGCTAAATTGGCTATTGAGAATGCCACTCAAAATATCAACAAATAGAAGAGTGATATTCAATAGGAATTGGAAAAGAAAGTAAGTATGTGAATAATGTAGAAATAAATGTTTCAAAAATTGAGAGTAGTCACCAGCATTGCTAGTTAGGAAGACATGCAGAAGTACAAACTCAATATGGATTTAGATTAACAGGAACTGAAAAACATTTAAGAATATGTAGGCAAGGAAATCGAAAGATATGAAAGACAAAATGAGGAATTGAGAGCTGAAATCAAGAAATTGAAATATGAATAAGAGAATTCTATTTTGGATGCCCAAATCAATTTGGATGAATAAGAAAGAGAAGTCACCAAATAATAGGATCTACTCTAAGAAAAGGAGAAGTAAGTCAAAAAGGTTGAGAAGTCTATTGATGAAGTCACCATGTCATTGTCAAGAATCATGTATCAATTGAGTGGAAAGGGATTGAAACCCAAGAACATTGAAATCAAGAGACACGCTTTGGTTGCCACTGCATCCACCATTCAGCTCAGACTAGAGAGAATGCTGACTGTCTTGTCCAAAACCTAGGAATTTCTTAATGAAGAGTCCATTAACACCAATCCCAGATATAACAAAGTCGAAGACTTTATATGTCTCAATCCAAAGGTAATCTTTCTCTCTATTGTAGAGTTACATCTCTCAAGAAATCAATGAGAATGGCGAAACGAACATTAAATTTGTATACAAGGAAGAGGACAGTTCAGATGAGGATTGCAAAGATATGGATGAAGTCAGACAACAAGTCAAATCCAGAGCATAAGAAGACAAACCTTCAGTGGTTGTTCCACCCAAAAAGGATAAAAAACCTAAATGATTTATATATATATAATATATTAATTATTCTATATAAAAATAATCATGGAAATAAAGGAACCATTTAGTAACTATTTGCAACATGGAATTTCAATAATAACAATTCGATGTCGAATTTGTTCACGGCAAAAGACATCAAAATGGCTTTGAATACTATATTAAATGGGTGGGTTATTCAAAATAAGAATCAACTTGGGAACCTGAAACTGCCTTTGAGGGAATTTCGAATTAATTGATCACCAGATTTGAAAGATGCCAAAATTATAAAATTTATCATACTAAAATTTACAAAGCAAATAGTCATATTAAAATTAGAGTTCACATCATGCACAAAGGTTGTCAAGTTTATAAGAAATACACATCTGGAAACAAATATGCTCTCCTAAACCAAACTAATAAACTGTTTGAGGAAACTAACTATTACAAAAATTACGATAGCATTTCGATTCAAACACATTTTATAGATAGAAATGATGACAAAGAAGATTATGACTTTTACATAAGAAGAGGCAGAGGGCGACCAAGAAAGAGTGAAACTGATAGAGAGTTCCTTTCTTATAAGAGTGACTACAAAATAGAATCACAAAAGTATTTACAAAAATAGTATCCATCGCAAAATACAGAGTGCAGCTTTAAATATGGCCATTACAAAACAGAAAAAGAATTCATTCAAGAAATGCTAACAGTAATTAGGAAGAAGGAATAGAAGAAAAGGAGAGATGATGAAGTCATTATTTACAAACCATAAGCTTCCTTGCCTCCTGGATATAAGAGTCAATACACAGATTTACCAAAGTTTAATTTACTCAATCAAAAATATTACGATAAGAATTCTAAGTGTTAGGTAAGTGATGGCAAAATTCGATTAGAATGCATTAACTCTCATCATCTTATGTAAAACAAATAGCTTGTATTCAAATGCAAGGATAATGATGAATAGGTTTGCTATTTCGATTTTGATACTCTTAAATCTTATTATCCTACCTTACTCCTTGATTATTTATCCATATTCTCCATCTGGAAACAATGATTTATTATTTTATGTTGTTTTTAAATATATTTGACTCCTTATTTAATTTGATTATAAAGAATTGAGTGGTTAACAATCGTATAATAAACTGAAAAGAATATCATCATAAAACTTATAGGTATATAATATTGATCATCATCATTATTGGGTAGCTTTTGCACAATTCTTGGTGATTCTGAAGGATTTATACTATTTTTAAAACTATTATTATAGTGGTTATGCTTTCCCTTCAGATGTATTCCTATTCTTAGAATTCTCCTGAGAGACTTGCCTTTATTGAATAGACTTTTTCTATATTTCAGGTAGTTTTTCTAACTTTTAAGATTACAATTGAAGTGTCTGTTTTTATAGTTTTAATTCTTATTATGGAGGTTTCCTGGAAAATTGCTATTTGGTTTATTGTTATTCATTTTATTCTAAGTTGTCTCTAATTTGATTACTTTTAATGTAATCATAGAAGGACTTCAAAGTCCTAGGTATATTTTCTTTGTTGTTGATATTCCTATAAGTTAGACAAGATGAAATACTTAAGAACTCTCCTTAGGTATGGTTCAAATCTGAAATGCATGACTTTCATGATGTTGTAAGCAAGAAACGATTTAAGATTGGCCAGTGTCTTAAATTATGAGTCAGGTATTTTGCTGCAGGGATTAAGTAAGTTGACATCAAGAAGAGCCATTATAATGCCTTGGCCAACTTGTTCATAATCATTAATGGTATAGAAGTAGGTCTTATTGGTAGTGGTTTGCTATGGTATTCCCAAGACAATCTAATCATCAATTTATTCATTCCCATAGGTATAATAAATGTCTATATATGATATAAACAATTAAACCTTCCTAATCGGAGAGATAACTAGACTTGGGTAACAGATTCGTAATCTTGCCAGAATTGTAATTACATTCCACAGTGTAAGAGTAGATGATGTTGGTCTCTTTGTATAGAGCCACTCTTCCACTCCCCTCTTTGCTTAATCCATCTCCTTTGTCAGCTGAATACATGTTTTTTTCAGTGAAATTGCATCCATCATAATCGAAGATTTCCGAGTAGAGGGTCAATAATTTAGGGATGAGACAATTCTGTGTGTGCATGTGCAGATTTGGCAATTGATTTCCAAATATAAAGATTCCCTTATGACCTGCATGAGCATGGAGATCGATGTAGGCATAGAATCTATCTGTGTTATGCAGTCTTAATATGTATTCCTTGATTGCATAAATGGTTGGATGGTCATTCAGACTTGGATTCAGATAATAACGATTAAGATTTTGGCACAGCGAATCCGTTCTGTAATGACCTCTGTAGACTCCATCTGGATTTATTATTGGAACAATGACCCAAACGAATTCATTTCTAGCCACTTCCGCTGCCTTGTCATTAGGATTCAACAAGAACTTGATTATACCATTCAACACATGTGATCCTGGGAGTTCTCCTGGATGGACTCTGGCCGAGATGAAGATGTATTTCTTCTTGAATCTAATTTCATCAATTCATCGATTACACTATGGGACGACTTTCGGATGCTTCAGGAAACACGTTGTTGATTGGATCCTCCACTTTGTTGGTCGAATTGTTATTGCTCGTAATGGTTAACAAGTGAATTGGCCTTCTCTCCTTTGAGTATCCCAACACATTCAATTTTATATAGAGATCTTTGATCTGCTGCCTTCCTTATTGAATCATTTAGTTTATGAATTGCTACATATTGCCAATTGATACTTCGTTGTCTTGGTTTGACCATGGATATGTGAAAGCGAAGTACACCTTCTGATTGCTTTAGAATAGATGCTGGAATGTAACTTCAAACAACCCATCTGGTAACAAACGGTACTGACAAGGATACCTCACTCTTTGCCACTCATTGTTCGTCTTAAATACAGGCTGCATTCCATCCTTGAACAAACCAATCTCAAATTGTTTTTCATTACTACTTAATTTTGCATATTCGATATAACAAATGTAACTAAACTTGCATTATCCATTCCCTCCACTGAAAAATAAAACCAAGTCCGGTATGTTGCACTCTTCCCATTTATTCCTGTGTCATTGCAAATCGTTAAAATATACTAAATTCTAAATCAACACCATTTACTTTATTGTAGGATTCCTTCCTAACAGATTTCAAATTTCCAGCATCAAATTAACTGCTAAATGTTACATCGCCAATTGTCTCTACGATTTGAGAAGGGTAATAGTCAACATCATAATCCATTTTTCTCTATTTTTAATAAATTTATAAACAAATCACCAAGCAGTAGTGCAAAAATATTTCAACTTATTAAAATACTGTTCTATTCTTATTATTGAATCACATAAAAAGACATCATCAAAATCAAATAGCTGTCTCTAATCAAAAACGAAAACACAACCAAATATTCAAACTATACGATAACAATAAGGTTGCAACTTATTTATTGATGTATTTATTAATAGTAGATTATATACATATATCATATATCAATCTCAATAACCCAATTGAACTGCACAACTTTATAAATATTATAATATATATGCTTTTTTTTAAATAGTTCTTGAGATCTAAAACAGCAAATGCAAGAATTTAAACACAAAATAGCTCGATTAAGCAGTGTATCAATCAAAATAAAGAACTAATTCAAAATGTATTAAAATAATGTTATATTTACTTAATTCTTTGCTCTTCATTTATGAGTGTAATTTTGAAATGGAAAAAACTCATTATTTATATCTATTGTTGAGATGAAATTGTGTGGGATACTTTAAAATTATATTAAATTTCAAGGATACCTCGATGGAGTAATAGCCTTATTTTATAATATTTTAATTTATTTCAAAATAATGGATTCCAAAATAGGGAAAACGTTTAAATTAACAAAAAAATTAGGAAGCGGAGCATTCGGAGAAATATTCCATGGAATCAATGTATGTGAGCGTTATTTAAAGTCCATATTAGCTTAAAAATAATATAGAGGTCGCCATAAAATTAGAGCCCATAAGCGCCAAACATCCTCAACTATACTATGAAGCGAAACTCTATTAACATCTCAGTTAGGATAATGCTGCTGTAGAAAAAGGGATCCCCCAGGTCTACTATTGCTCAACAGAGGGAGATTATAATATTATGGTGATGGATTTATTGGGACCCTCTCTTGAAGAGTTGCTCACACAATGTCAAAGGAAGTTCTCTTTAAAGACTGTGCTCATGCTGGTTGATTAGATGATAACCAGGGTGGAATTCATTCACTCAAAGGATTTTCTACATAGAGACATTAAGCCTGATAATTTCTTAATGGGATTGGGGAAAAGGGCACAAACCTTATTTATGATAGATTTTGGGCTGGCTAAACGATTCATTACAAGGGATGGATCTCACATTCCGTATAGGGAGAAAAAGAATTTGACAGGCACTGCAAGGTATGCTTCCATCAACACTCATCTTGGATTAGAACAAAGTAGAAGGGATGATTTGGAAAGCATTGGATATGTTTTAATATACTTCTTGAAAGGGACGTTGCCTTGGCAGAATTTAAAAAATAATAACAAAAAGGACAAGTATGAAAGGATCATGGAATCGAAAATAGCCACTAGCATTGAATTGCTTTGTGCAGGGACTCCCATAGAGTTCTAATAATATCTCAAATATTGTAGAAATTTGTAGTTTACAGATAAGCCAGATTATGATTATTGTAGACAACTCTTTCGAGATCTATTTCAAAAGCAAAGATTCGTAATGGATTATCAATATGATTGGACTTAGAAAAGAATCGAGCAAAACAATTCACAATAATAGACAATCTAATAATGATGAAAGTGAAGTATGTGATAATATTATTATATTATAATTTGTAATTAAATGGCAAGTTTAACACAGATGACCGGCTTTTTTACAAAACAAAGAAAAAAAAACAAGACCTTCAAAATATCGTATTTCTTTGTTGACTCTTATGGCACAATGTATTATCTATCAAATCTTGCACAATTAAACTATTATATTAAAAATAGTAATAGTGAATTAGATGTATTAAATGAATTTACATAGATAATCTCTAAATTGGAAAGTTCAAATGCTATAACCAAAATGTCTATCCAAAATTGCAGAATCTCAGGAATCAAAACATTACAAGCATACGATAATGTCCCATTTTATCATCGCCAGCATTTTGAACTCCAAATTTCCTAAAAAAATGTTATCAAGGTCCTTCAAGTATATTCAACAATTGAAGATGATATTGAAATATTATAGGAAGTGATCAAACAAGGATCACAAAAGCAAAGGCCTCATTAATAATTGCAATTAAATTCAGATGCTGAAAAGAAAAATGCATTTATTGAGGAAATTTTGCAATTACTTAAAAAATATGAAGGAGAAGTCATCAATGTCAATGCAAATGAAATACAATAAGATAGCAAACTATATTATACAGGTTAGATAGTGGATGGAAAACCAGAAGGCTAGGGAACATTATTTTACAATTTGGAAGGAATTCATTATAAAGGGAGCTTTTAAAATGGTAAAAAACATGGAGTAGGTTATATTGCAAATAGCAATTTGGATTAGATAGATTGTGAATTTGAATATGATATTTTAACTGGTATTTGATAGTTATTCTTTTTATAAGTATATTTATTCAAGCAGTAATCTCATCCTATTAAAATTGGCTTTATAACATCACAAGATTTGCCATTCCAGCATTCATTAAATTTATGGATAATTTAGCCTTCTCTTTCCTAACAAATTTTAGTTGTTAATTTAGTGTTTCGATTTCCTCTTCTTTACTAATCAATTAAGATCTCAAATCATCATTTTCTACTTCCTTTTATCTCAAAGCTTCTTGATGATCTTTATTAGTAACCTAGGATGCTTAGGTTTGAGCCAATTACTATTAAATCATTTAGTTTTTAATCTTTAGTGTTTCAATTTAATTCTCTTTTTCTGTAATAGTAACACATTTGCTATCTAATTCTAACACTAATTATTTGTATTCAAATGTTTCTTTTACATTGAACTAATTTAATATAAATACATTTTACTTTTAACTACTATGATGAAAGCTATGAACCCTATTTATTTTTGTCTGATTGTTCAAGTACTGTTATTTTGGTCTAAGCTTTTTCCAAGGTTTGTTATTGTATTTAATCACTTTATATTAATTATGCTATTTTTAATTCAAGTTCTTAGATGGTTTACTTATATGTATTGATCTGAGTGAAATAAGCATTAATTTCTCTATCCTTCTATTACAGAATATTATTTATTTATTATGAAAGTTCATTATTTTTTTCTTCTGTTTTTTAGTTAATCGAGAGGATTTCATCCATATTCTATATCAATTATTTTAGCTCTTCCTTCTTTTACTCCAATTGATGTTCCAAAAGTTAAACAGTTTTTAATGTATCTTCATTTAAGTACTCATGATTTTTTTATTATTGTTTTGATTGAAATATAGTTACTTCATTCTTTAACTATAGGTTTTAATCCAAAAATAATTGATTTTATTCAACTAAATTATTATTTTGCTTTGAAAGCTCCTGAGTTTTCTATTCTAATAATTTAATTTTATCATTATATTATTTAACTAAAAATTCTTATTCATTCATGAGTTATTAGATCATAGTTTCGTAATTCTTTTTTGGAGGAAGTGTTTGGCTTAACTATTAAGTTTGATTAACATTCTTATTATTGTTATATATTTTAAATGGTTCTACACAACTAGAACAAGCAACTTATTATAACAGTTAGGATTTGGTAGCATTATTTTTAGTGAGAACCACAACACTCTATAAAGTAGAAGGGATGGGGGAGACATGACTTCGTATGGGACTATCTACTGATTTGATTTCCCTAAGTGAATCTAATTTAGCCATTAAACATGTGGCATCTCTAATTTAGAATGTCTATGATATTATACTTTGTGTAAGAGCATCGTTCTTCCTGAGTTTGCTTAAAAATTGGAGTTTCTCTTGTTGGCAGTATGTTGTTCACTTACTTGAGAGGAATTGGAGGGATGTTTTATTAAGCCGAGTGCTTTACTATTTGGGTTGGATGTTGCTGAATGAGCACATTTGGTTCTATTTGATGGGTTATTTTAGAATTACATTGGATAATTTTGGTAGATTATTTAGAATTCAAGGAAGTAGCAGATTTCACACTTTTGGTTATCCGTTGATTTTCCATTATATAATTAATATTAATGACTGACGGTTAATAAAACTGAACTCTTTTAAATTATTATCTTTACCTTCTTTATTTAATTTGAATTGTTTAAAATTCCACATCTCTTCAATTTACTCTATAGAATTTGAACTGTTACTTTCTGATCAAACCTTGTTTAATTATCAAAATACAAATCGAATTAACCCTATTAAATTTTAATAAATTAAAAAATGAATTGCAATATTAATTAAAGACCTCCACCTCCAAAATTCAACTGGAATATTTACGATAATTCATCTTCAGATGATACGAAACCACAAATAACGCTTTAGAAATCAGATAAAAGAAGGTAAAAATAGGTCATACTTTTGGTTGATGAGATGCTTGCTAAATTAACTCATAGCAATCTTTTAAATGGAATAAATATTGAGAACATCAAACAATAGAGTGTTGATCTCTTAAATAATTCTCTAAATGAGAAAGTAAAATCGAAAAAATATTAATCAATAGCTTGCGCATTGATCATTTAATCTTTGAGAATTCTTTTAATCCCATTGAGAATTAAGGAAATAACTTAAACATTAAATTGTGATGAAAAACAAGTGCGCAAGATATTGATCCAACTCAATCAGATCAAACCTTTTGATCAAGATGCCTTTACCCTACAATATATGACCAGAATATGTGTCGCTATTGGATTTAATCAGAAATTTCAAACCTTATGTAGATTCTTCTACTCATCCTTAAAGAATCAAAATTTGGTTCAAGGCGAACATGAACATGTCATTGCTTCTGCCCTAGTCAAGTTGACTGGCGACTTTATCTTCCAAGAGAAGGGTGGCTTAAACTTAAATGTGATCTCTGAAAATGCTGGATGTTGTGAAATCTCTCTCAAAAGTCTCCTTTAGAAGGTACAGCCCTACAATAAGGTTTTGGTTCAACAAGCCTATGAATTTTACAGAAGAACCATGTGAATAATTAACTTTTCTATTTTTCTATTTTTCTATGTAAATATAATTGAACCACGTCTATTTCTTAAAGAATGAATGATTCCTCTTTAGAAACAATTACAATGTTCTGAATTCTGAGATTTCAATTTGAAACTTTAATTCAAATGAATTCTTAATAATTCTAATTTTGGAACTCCGATTTTACACAATATATATATTATTTTTATAAAAGGAAAATTGAGAAAAAGCAAATATATTATATCAAAAGAATCATTTCTTAGTAAATTTGAGTTTTACAATTTATGATGCAGCTTAAGGTTAATTTAAAAAAGAAATATGTTTAAATTACTTTGTTGCCAATCCTTTAATCAAGGGTTCAATAGTTCTGTCTTCACCCACTTTTTCCGTTTGATATACTGACATTTCATCATCTGCTTCTTCTTCTTTGATTGATTCTGAACTCATTTTTTGGTGTTGCATTTTCTTAAACTTGCTAGTTTAACTATGAAATTGGGATTGCTGAGTCTTTTCTTGTAGATTCATATGAAACAGCGGGTATGAGAGTTCTCTTTCATTATACCCACTAAGTTAAATGATTTTTCTAAATAATTGCTTAAATTTCTCATAATCTTAGGGATAGTCGTTAGCATTACTGGTCTTTACTAGATGGAGAAAATGAATGAATTCAAGAGGAGCTTATTTAAAAGCAATTTCAGGAATAATTGACAATTTAATGCTCTCCAACTTTTTGAGTTTAAGTGCCTTGTTCTCAGCTTTAACTTAGAATACAGTGGAATTGGAGGCATACATAAGTAGGATGTAGGCTAAAGATTCAAGATCGTCTTTGGGCGTTGGAACTTAAAAATGTTTTTACTGATTACCTTGGTTAAGATGCTGATTGACACTTGAATATTTGTTTAGAAATAATTTGTTTGAGTTTAATTTATAGCTTTCGTTTACCATCAGCGATCCATATTATTTTTTGAACCTGCAAGCATATTTGAAATCGCTTAATAAAATTTCATTGCCACTTAGAGAGATTAACATTTTTTTGGGTCTTATGTTTCTGTGGACAATCTAATGCTTGTGAACAATCTCTAGACAAGTCAACTAGAAATAACATAGGAGTAGTACCGCTTGAATTGCAATCAGGCATAAAATAGGTAATGGTATATTTCTAGATAAATAATTGTATATTAGTTTAATGGAAGGACCGTGACGTTCCATGACCTGATAATGGTATTTGGATCCTTTAATCACTTACTCCCCATGATTAATGAGAAAGGGAACACAATTAACTAAAGTAGGAAATGATTTCGTTACAGTCTTTTAATCTATTTAGAAACTAGAGTTCTGGGATTGCCTCATTCTACTATGTTTATCTAGGGTATTATGAGGAGATATACTTTTTCATTTTAATCAGGTAATATTTCTCTTAGTGACTGGATGAATTGATATCATCTGACTATTCTTTTTTAATAGCTAACTATCTTTTAACTTCATCATTTATTACCTAAGTAGAGGTTGTACTATTGTCCCTTGTAAATATTTTTCACAATAACGTATTTTTAATCAATTATCACACGACTTATGGTTTCAGTGGTACTTCTAGTTTACGATGTACTTAACATTTAATTATAATTAAATATTCAAAAAGAATGTTTAATCAGATTTAATATATATTATAACTTTTAGAAATGTGAGACTATTAGAGTATGAATTCCCCTTTCTACAAGATTTTTCATAAATAAAAACAATTATTTATTTAACTAAATTCATAATATTTCGATTAAATTCTAAAAATAATTCAAAGTATGTTATTTGGTCATATATTTTATTAATATAAATTCTATATTATAATCAATTTTATTTAGTTTTCAAATCTAGTAAGTTTATACATTCTAATTAAATAATTTAATTATGAGAAGATACTTCGTAGGTGGTAATTGGAAATGCAACAACACCATAGCTCAAACTTAAAGTTTGATCAATACAGTCATCAACAAACTCGTTTTTGATACTAAAAAAGTTGGTAATTGACATTATATATCCTTCAGAGGTCGCTGTTGCTCCAATCTTCTTACATGTCCCATGGGTCTAAGCCAACATTCAAAAGAATGTTTAAGTGGCCGTCTAAAACTCATCCTTAACTAAGATGGGTGCTTACACTGGAGAAATCAGTGTTGAGCAAGTCAAAGACCTTGCAATCCCCTGGGTTATATTGGGTCACTCTGAAAGAAGATAATACTACGGAGAAACCAATGAAATTGTTGGAAAGAAGACCAGAATAGCTTTGGATTACCAGCTAAGTGTCATGGCATGTGTTGGTGAAAAATTGGCCGAAAGAGAGGCTGGTTAAACAACCTAAGTGATCTAAGCATAATTAGATGCAATCAAAAGTAATTCTTATTTATTATACACTTTCCTTAGAGGAATTGACAACAGACCAATGGAGCAAAGTTGTTGTTGCCTATGAACCAGTTTGGGCAATTGGAACAGGAAGAACAGCAAGTCCAGAATAAGCTTAAGAAGTTCATGCATTCATCAGAGGATGGCTTAAATCTTAAATTGGAACATAAGTAATTGTGTATTTCTATCTTTATAGGCCGAATAAGCCACCAGAATTATTTATGGAGGATCAGTGACTGAAAAGAATGCTGCCGACTTAATTAAATAGCCAGATCTTGATGGATTCTTAGTCGGAGGTGCTGCCTTAAAGCCAGCCTTTGCTGATATTGTAGCTGCAGCTAATAATGCTAGATGAATATTTTGACAATAATACATCAAATATATACAAAATATTCATTCATATCTATTTAATAAACTGGGATTAATTAGAATATAAATAAAAATATATACTCTAAAAATAAATTCCATAATATTGAACTACCTATTGAACTACCTAAGGATAAAGAGAATACAGGAGTTTTAATCATTAAGAGTAAATATGGAATTACTAATAAGTATTTAATAACATGAAACTTAGAATTAATTTTGAAGTGGATTGAAATGAAACAAAAATCAACAACAAAGAGATGCTTTTTATTTTTCTTCTGGTCCTTGTACTTAAAGAGTTATGATTGCTTTTTGATCAAGATTTTCCATCTTTTTTATTTTATTCTTTGCCAAAGTTCGAGCAACTCTTCGAAATAACATATCCACATTATGTCCTGTCTTTGCAGATGTTTAAATATACTTCATATGATTACTTTCCAGAAATGCTTAATCAACATCAAATGCACCCTAATCTTATTTGTTTCCAACCAGAAATTTAACACAGTCAGGATCTAAATATTTATCTATTTCTTCCAACCATCTCTTTGCTCCTTCCAAAGTATCTCTATTTGATACGTCAAAGCAAATTAAGACTGCTTAAGCATTTCTATAATAAATAGGTGCAATCTTCTTGAATTTTTCTTAACCAGCAGTATCCCAAATTTCAAGCGTTATTTTAATGTTTTTTCTTTCCACAACCTTCTTATAAAAAGCTAACCCAATTGTGGGAGTCTGCTGTTCTGAAAATGTGTTTTCCGAGTATCTTTTGAGAATGCTGCTTTTCCCTACATTGGAATCTCCCAAAAGGATTATCTTAAAAGTGAGAGACATTTCTTTCATTAATAAAATTATATAATAAGAAGTAAAATAAACAAATAAACTAAAGAATACTTACTATTCTCATATGAGATTAATCATATTGATTTAATTCTTACTAAATGTTAATAACATTAAAAGATTCAATAAAAAGAACTTAAACTCCCATAAATTATAATGAGAATCAGAATCAGTAATTTAATTGTTGAATTTGAAATTCTATTGGATTAAATACTGTAAAATAAATTAGGATGCAGTATTTGAAACAAAAATGAAATGGAAAAACGTCAATATAAAAATGAATAATTAAACTGTTTTTACTTTGAACTTAAAGTACGCAACCCTCCAAGATTGATAAAATATTGTTTAGTTTTATTCCACTCTTTATCAAAATGGTTTTTGGAATAGGATGACTTTTTATTACTTATTTTGGATAACAACATCTGATTTTCTCTTTGGATTTGTCTTTACTCACTTTTCTTCCTGCTTTCAAAACTCGAAGCTCGTTTCTGTCTTCCCACTCGAGTGGTTTCACTCTTCATAATGTTTGTAATTTTTTCCAATAACAATCTATTGTCCTTTTCTATTTATATATATCTGTCTTCCAAGATCTGTATTTTCTTGAGATTGGGGATTTTATCGACAGTAGGATTGATCTGTATCAAGGGCTAGACTTATTGCAATCTGCTGAACCCATCCAAAATGTCCTTTTCTTGTTGAACTCGAATGTGGGGTTTCGGTCTATGCATTATATTTTAGTGATTTAATAAAATTAATCAGTTAATCATTACGTGATAATTGGGAGTCAAATGAGTGCCATGTGGATCTTACTTAGAATAATAATAAAAATTGCATTAAGATTTGGAATTAATATATTTATAAAGAATTAAGTACTATCCACATTTAAAAGAAGGAAATGCACATTATAATGAATGATTATTGGTATATTAATATTATCACAATGTTGATGGGTGTTAGAGAGTCGTCTCACTGCATTCTGCCTACTGGAACTTCTTCCTGTCTTTTATAAATTGAATTTCATTTACAGTAACTCCAATTCGTCGTTGCTCTCCTCCATCTGGTAAAACTAACTTTGCAGATAGGACAGATTTTGAATGAATAAATTGTGATTTCTTAATATCGATAACATGGGAGCCTGCGTCAAGGACCTCCTTAATTGATTCTTCAACTAAGGTTGTCTAAAGAAAGTCGTAGCAATTCTTAAAAACATAATTATTAATAATGGTTTAATTTGTTAACGAATTTGTAGAATTTTGCAGAACCATAGGAATATTGGAGAAAGATTAAACTTTTGAATCAACCCAAGACGACCTGAGTTAAATGCTCTTCATGCATCTCGTAACCCTAAATCGACAATCATTAATTGATTTGTCAAACAGAGTCTCCCAAATATGGCTAATGCAATAAACCAACCCAAAACCCATTCATCCAAATAGTGCCAAGCAGTTCACTACCAGAAGCAAACACAGTCAATCCACTCCCTAAGAGTCCAAATCCTTGTCAAACAGCAACAACCAATCCACAGTTTACCTCTACGATTAATACATAAAGAAAGAAGAGAAATAAATTATGCACCAATAGAAAGTCATCGAAGATCAATTGAAAGAGTGCACCTTCTAACCTCAAATCTCCAAAAAGAGCCAACAACTAGACACGACAGCCCCAGTTTACGACAGATTATCACAATTTGGATACGATCAAAAGATGAAACACCAAATCAGTATGGAAATCAAGACCAAAAGTGAATTGAAGTAATGCACTTTCAGACCCCAAGTCAATCACAGTTTCTCAAAGATCTTGGAAGGCGATCCATTCTCTCGTCTGTACCAAAATGCCTTGTCCTAAAGACAGCCTAAACCAGTAAGCCAGGAAAAGACCTACTCCTTCAAACCACAATTGGTAAGCTAACCAATTGGGTAACAGGAGTACTTATCGATCCCAGTTGAAGAACGACTCTACAACCATTTTTTTGATTAGCAACAACAACTTGTACAACAGTAGGAGAATGAAAGTTAGGCTAAGTTGGACGAATGCACATTCACTCCCAGTATAAATCAGTATGGGTCTGCCTAATAAGGTTCAGAGTAAAAAATGAGAGTGTTTGATCGACTTTACAATAAATCATCAGCTGTTAAATGTGCTTCAGAAATCAAAGAGTAAAATCCCAATCAATTTTCTATTTCCAAACAATCTGACAAGATCATCAAAAAGGCCAATGGAGATAATTCCAAGTATGTGTCCCAATTTCAGATTGACTAAACTCCCTTTGATAGACTGCATAGTGAACACAAAAGAATTGAGAAGAAGAAGAAGGTCAAGGAGAATCAGATTTTCAGCAGCATACCATTCAAGCCCTAAACAAATAATAATAAAAAATGAACTTTTATCTAATATCCGTTTTCTTTTGTTATTAATATTAAGATGCATCGATAATAAATATCTGTGTTACTCAATATTATATAAACTAAATTGAATTATTAACCGTTTTGGCGACTCAAAAAATGTTGTTCCCAATTCTCGTCCTTCAATTATTTTTCCCTAGTTTATTCACTTAATATTCGAGTACTATTCGAAACTTTCGGTGAAAACTACTAAGAAACCTCCAAGAAAGATTTGGGGGGGCATTATAGATATTTATTGAATATATATGAATCGTGTGTGACGAAAAAGAACAAAAGTTTGTAATTGCAGATTAATCATCGTTACTGAAATTAAAATTTAATTATTTCTATATATATAATTTATTCTTATATTGAACTAGCTAATATGATCTCATCAGTCCCAATAACACTAGATTAGATTTACGGAGTGAATTTTAAGAGAGTACCCATATTGTATGGTGAAATGGAAGGAACCAATCCACTGCCAATTAACGAAATAGATGAAGACTCATATTCAGAAAAAAATTCTAGATAGTAACAGAAGCGATAGTTGCCGCCTTTACAAAAGGTGGATATCAGAGCCGTTGGAGAGAAATAAAAGAAAAAATAGAATATATATCGGTCGCCAGTTATATCCCCTTAATTTGACTAACATATTGGGTTCAGGAATTCCTTTTACAGATTCAACAAAGTCAATTTGGAGTCAAGATAGAGAGTGGAAGAGATTAAAAGCAAGGAGTAGGTCTTGTTCACCAAATATGCTTAACGATTTAATGTTCCTAAATCTTAAATATGGAATTGATTATATTTGAATGTCTCCTTGATTAGTTATCATTCATTCTATGGTTTAAACTGAAATTCTTTGGACCCAAATGATTCTCGCTCTCACCCTACCTAATGCAATTAAACTAATAAATTTAAATTACAAATCTTATATATATATAATTTATAAAATGGATGAAGCAATCTAAATCAAATAATATATATTAAATGACGGATTTGAAGAGTATGATCAAGATTATCGTTTTAGATTGTCACAACAACATGTTGAAGAGGAATCTTTAGAACATTTATACTATTCCATAATGTAATGCAAATCAACTTAAGACGAGAATGATCCTAATAAAAATCAACCCTAGAAGGGAAGAATCAACGATATGAGGTATCATCATTTTCATGTTTATATCTACTCTAGATTCTCCTATCTAGAAGATAAGAGAATTTTAGAGTTGGTCATTTAACTTGGTCCCAATTTCAATAAAATTGTAAAATATTTCCCAGGAAAAACTATGAACATGATCAAGAATCGATATTACAAAAAGTTAAGATATAATAAGGATGAGTATTTAAGTGATAAGGAGTTTTCGAAGACTAATCATAAAGGTAAAAAGAGCAATTGAAGATCCTTGTTAGCACTTAAATACAGAATACTTTATTTATATACATTTTATTTAAACATTATTAATTTTTGATAAATATTCACAGAAACTATAAAAGATGGAATTTAAAAATTGATTCACTATTATAAAATGAAATGTTCTAATATTATAAACTATTTTAAAATTGTCATTTTGATTAGTAATTATAATGATCAATTTATAATTTAGATTAACTATCCCTTAAAGAGTAAGCTACTTCTGAGATCTATCGATTTTCTTGAATTCTTCTAAGTTCTAATTAAATTGCAATATAGAATATCTAAATATAATCGTGATAATCACTGTAGATTTATATACTCTGATCCAAAAATATATTGATTCGAAAATTGAATGATCATTTTTTAGATTAATTAATTATAAAATATGTCATTGTATTTGTAGAAATAGAAAAAAGAGAAAATAAAAATATAACCTAACTAAAATGTGAACATAGAGGATTAGATTGTGAATACTGTACATACTAATTTCTAAGAGTTTTTTGATTATAAGAAAGGATTATGTGGATTGCCAACTTACATCACAATGAATAATGATTTAGTATTTGTTGGAATGGAATACTCGTACGTTTACATCTTCCAATAAGTAAGCATGATGTGAACATCTAGGATAACGATTTTAAGCATGGATATAAAATACTTGGGAAGGATACTCAAATTTATAGGGGTTAAGTGAAAATGATATAAATTTCTAATGATAACTAATTACTATTGGTGACATATTCAAACAATGAGTTTGTGATCTTTAGTTTGAAGGTATGAATAGGTATCTAATTTTATATAGTCCTTCAAAGAAGTGTTACAGCAGAGATACCAACATCTAAAATATGCTTATATGGTGCCTATGTCAATTAATTCTGACAATTAGCTTCAATTAAGAAAGGAATAGTATTACGAAATCATTATTCATTTGGAAAACAATTACTTATTGAAGGTTCCTTTGGAGGCGAATTTAACCACGTTAGAATAGAAGATAAGCATTCCTATCTATAAATTTGGTGAACCTTGCGAGAAATAAAAGATTAAGGAGAATACACATGCTGTATAAAATAAAAATGTTATTTTTAGAAAGTTTTTGAAAATGATTATGTGATGCCTCAATAATCAGTAATTCAAGATGTTTCCATTATGGATTCATGTTACGAAGAGTTCATCTAATGTATGGATGACAGAGATAGCACAACTTCATTAGGGAGTCAATTAGATCAATCACCAACTAAAAAGAAGAAAAATAATTTTTTTAAATAAATATTTTAAACCAGCACCAACTAAAAATAAGAATAACTTGAGGAAGCAAATGAGTATGTAATTAGTACGCAATTTGTAAGATTTAATGTAATCATTTAAGTATTTAATGGCAGTTGGATTTGCAAATAAGATCCAAGTTGTCAAAGTGTTTTTTGGGTATAAATTAAATCAAGAACAATCAAAAATATACTTATTATTGAATTTTTAAAGACCTGACGCTTATATTTACAATTTAGTGTTTAATTAGCCACAAGCAAGTGATCAATATAAGCCTAGATGTTCATGCGCTTGGGGATTGGGTAGTTTCAAGGAGACAAACAAGAGATATGTATTGTTAATCATAAATTGGGGATGCAGAGAATATTATGCATTTAAAGTGATGTCTAGTGATTACAAAATTCAAGTAGTACAAGGAGGTCATTTTTATAATTCTGTTGATTTAAGTAAATTAAGAGAACTCCCAACAGTATGTAATTTCATAACAAATTCTGTTTTTTACTCTGTTATTCACAATAAAGAAGATCAGACTAACATCAAACTATTCACAACCTCTTAATTTGAATATGGTGTCCCATTTAGTTTAGGTTAAATTTTAAAGCATTTTCTATAGGAGAAGCATATCTAAACATTGTAGAGTGGTCAATAACATCCAAAGTTCTATACTTTTGTAAGAGAGAACAAGTAGGAAATCACAATTAGTCAGAATGTGATGGATTCAATTAATGATGGTTTTCAAAAATCAAATGATATTATTTTGAATTATAAGTAATTGCATCCTAATTGTAAGATTTTCTGTTTAAATGTAGTATAAATCATTTATAAAAATGAACAGTGTTATATTTTGAATGGAACTGACTTGCAATCTATTCGATTAAAGAAATGGGATGAACTGTTGTATGAATAGAGTGATAACAATGAATGGGAGAGGTGTTTCTAAACTGCAGTTGATATACATAGAGGTCATCTGACTTTATTATGCAACATTCCTGAAAATGATGTTTAAAGACATTTTTGTATCAAGGAGACTTGTTGTAAGTTAGGTTTGTAATATCTTTTGTCGTAATTGCCAAATAAATAATTGAAAAATAGCTAATCCGTTTTAACTATCATGCATTTCCTAATTTAAACTCAAAATGAGGAATACTTATTTGAATCGATTGAGGATCTCATGGTAGGATGTGGTTATAGAAATGTGTTTTATGATTACTTAAGGGAATTGCTCTAATACCATGAGGTGAGCATTCCATATTAGCATTAAATCAAAGTCTTGAAGATGTTCACTGAAATGGAGGATAAGGAAACTTGTACTAAATTGATAATGTCAATTTAAAATATATAAAGATATGATCCAAAAGGATTAATAGACTTCTGTTTGGAATAGGATCTCATAGAACCCATGATGCACGTTTGTTCATAAATCAACGACTTTCTAACTCCATATCTAAGAATTATTACACTCCTTAGTCTTCTCCAAAGCAAGAATGCTTTGAGCGAGGAAGACAATAAAAACATTACTACTTTGACTCTGGACTAATGTAAAGCCTGTCTATTTAAGTATTCTTATAGATGTATATAAGTTTTTTGTCCTTCTGTTTTACAGGTCAAAATCAATCTAATCCTGAATCTTTCTTTACTGATAGACAGTTCAAGGCTATGTTCAAAGATCTGTTCGAATACTTATTTGATTTGGAAAACATCCAGAAACTATTTGAAATTGATTACATCAAGACTTTGGAAGTCTTTTTGGCCATCTTTTCGGAAAGAATACAAGAGAGCTTTAAGCAATTCTTGAATGAAGGCAAGGAAATTAACATTGAAATATCCAACAATACAATGATTGGGTTCTTACCTGAAATACTGGGTAAGATATAGGATTAACATTAGATATCGATTAAACGGATTATCATCTAAGGATTTTATCTAAGGTTTATGTTTTAATAAAAATGGCAGAATAGGCATATTTTGGTAGGATCAATAATGCTAAGGTGATAGATGAGTATATGAATTATTCTTGTGCATTTTCAACCAATGTTTTTGCCATTTGTCCATTCCACTTGAATGTTAATCACATTATGATTAATCTATTAGATTACATGGATGCTCTTAGAAAATAGCATAACACGCCATTTGACATAAATTGGATTTTGCGGGGTAGAGTTTAAAAAGATTTATCTAGTGAATTAGTGAAGAATGAATTCTTACACAAAGTTATGGTAAAAGTGGAGAGGTAATTTGAAGGGTAGTTTAAATTATTGGAAGAGTTGCGTTTAAAAGCTTAAGAAGACAATTGGTAATGAAGCAATAGAATATTCAATAGGATTTGGATGGAAGCATTTTGTTTAATAAAGATGAAACGGTTGCCTGAAGCATTATATTTATATATGAGACATCCAGACCCATTATTATCTGAACGTGTATTTACAGCATTGGCAGTCTAACTAAGATAAAAGCAACAAGACGAATTCATACAAGATTGGATTTATAAGAATTTGGCTTTGCTTGCAGCTGAGAACTCGCATAAGTTGTTTTAGTTACTATATACATACAAGAAAGATGATTTAATGGAGGTGTTCAAGGAGATGAAACAAGTGGGAGTGGTGTTGGTGGATTAGAAAATAAAGAGTTAACATAAGATGGACCTCCTATCTGGATTTGTGGAGTATTTGAAACCAAGAATGAAGATAGATTAAGATCTTCTTAAGATTTGATGGATTAATTATTTGTATATGCATTCCGATAAATATTAATATTGTTATTTTGATCAATCCTGTTCACCTTCTTTTTAGCCATCTCCATCATCTCCTTTTTGTTGTCCATCATCTCCCTATTGTTATCCATCATCTCCTTATTGTTAACCGTCGTCTCCATCTTATTATTAGCCATCATCTCCTTATTGTTAACCATCGTCTCCATCTTGTTACTGCCCGTCGTCTTTATCTCCTTCATCTTGTCCCTGATCTTGTTGACCTTGCTGTTATCCATCATCATCTCCTTACTGTTGTTTTTTATCGTCATCTTTAGGGGACTACGACTTCTTATCATCTCTAATAGAATATAAGTAGATCACATTACTTCTTTTGGGTCTTAGGACTGAATTCAGACAAATCATTTAATTTAGCTTCTTCATCCTTTTTAACAATTTGACTAAATTATTGTTCAGCTTCAGCTATCAATTCAGCCTTTCTTTGTTCCCATTTCTATTGGGCTGCCTTATTATCTTTTGGAACAACCTTTTTCATTAGATCTTATTATTTCTTAATGGCTTCTAGATTCTTTTCCTTTCTTGATTCTCTATCGAACATTTCATTCATCACATCTTTCTCTCTAAATTATAATTAGTATAATGAATCACATAATTCTAATAAAGTGACTGTACCATCCTAATCACCAATGGCTACCAATTTACCAGCATTATGATGAGCACCACCATTGGAATTTATTTTTATGCAAGTCAAAGCTGTTTCACTCACCTTGTGACTGAATGCAATTTCATTCTATCTATAATAGTAATCCCAAACATCCATCCAACCATCTTTTCTAGTTAAAAAGAACACTCCATTTCTGGTAGGAGACCAACAACCATCAGTTAAATAACTGCCATGATATTTAGTTCTCATTATTGGAGTCTTGATATCCTCAACCCAAATCTTGGCACTCCAATCTCCAACTGTTAAGAAGAATTTGGGATTGGGAGGACTTCTATTAATAGACATAACTGGTCCTAAATGACGTCCACTCTCCAACCCATATCTAGCTGTAATTTCAACGGCCTTCTTTGGTTTCTTGTTAGCAACCATTAAGGATCCCATTTCTGTACCAATCAAATATTTAGTTGGTCCTGCTTCTGTGTTGTATTCCAATACTGTGGCACCAATCAAGGGATCATTTGGATTTGCTCCTTCAGTTACATTCAATGATTCAATTGGACCTTCATTCAATTTTCTGGTATCCCACCACAACACACGACCATCAGTGGATGTAGTCACACACTCAGTACCAGTTTTGCTAAACAACCATTGAAAATGAGTAATTGGGTCATGATGAGACTTTTCAACAGGGGATGTCAAGACTGGCTATTTACCTCTCTTTACATCCCAAACAGCAACCAAACCATTATAGCATCCACCTCCGATTTAATCAGACAACTTCGGATTGTACATCAAATTAGTAATAGGAGAATTCGTTTCTAATTCAGATTCGTGATTATTTGGGTTTTATAAATCCCATACAAAGGAGGACTTTATCATCCCTTCAGGCATTTGTTGGAATCTGCTAATTGCATAAGATACTGCTGCCTTGATTGGACCTTCTGGATGCCAAGATATTTCAGACACAGATCTCTTGACTCCTTCAGATTAATCCCTACCATTACATTCTAGTAATACTTGAATAGCATCAGAGTCTTAGTGCTGAGATTCTCCACTTGATGTTCGCTTTCTTCGTCCAAGAAATATTCCTCAAACAAATCTATCTGGTTATTTTGAAGTATGCATTTCTCCACTGTTGTGCTCAACTCTTTGACAGCAACTGCAAATGCGGCATCTTTCTCGAACCTTCTTCTGTATTTGTTTTGGTCTTGCTACTCCATCGGGTCTATACCTGCAGGCCACTAAAAACTGTTGCATAAATTAAAATACCCCTCCTTCTTTATGATACATCACCTTGTCTCCTGTCGATACTCTCTCTGTATTCACCTACATTTTAGTAAACCAAATTCATACCGAATGCTCTGAATATTCAGCAATGTTATCCAAATCAATGTGATTCGGATTTCTTTTCACGTAGTTCGGAACAACCGCAACCGTCTTCGTGTAACCTGCTATTTTGATTTCGCTGTCCTAAAAATTGCAAGGCTTCCCCAAATCTCTTCTCTTCCTCTGATATGTATAATAATCTGCCATTTAATTATTAATATTAAGTGTGAAAGTAATTCAAAATTGCATTATATACTTAATTAATTCAAAACACTTTCGATCCTCCCATTCTCCCTTTCAAAAATATATTAGAGTACTTCACACAATTCGGGTCGTGATCTATACATATATATAACACAACCCTTACTTTCGTCATTCTCCTCCTTAATCAATTCCTTCCTAAAAAATGACTTCAACTCCTCATTCGGCTAAAATAGTGAAAACGCACTTGAATTTGAACTCATCGAATCTACTTTTACATCTACTCTACACATACCTTATTCTTCAAACTATGAAACCTAAACCTCCTTCCCCGATGATGAAACATTCTCAGCCGACTTCAAAGACACTTGTTATATAATCGGTGAATTTATTAGCTTGTCAGCCATCTACTTTAAACCCCCACTGTGTTTGTCGTAATTAATCGATTATTGAGTATTGATCTGATTTCCCTAAGTCTTCTACCTTTAAAAAAATGAAAATGTATTTTCCGTCTACAACACTTGCTACTATTCAAATCTGTTCGGAGACTTCTACTCCTTCTATTGCGGAGTCGATTACACCTTCTTTGTCGCCATTTAATTTTGCACCTAATTTGGTTCCGATTTGTAATTCATCATCCCCTAAGTACTCTTTTTCTCCTACACCTACCAAGATCTTTCCAACTTCTACTCCGGCTGTGTCTCAGTCCTCCTTCTCAAATTCAATAAGTCCTTCTAAGATTGATTATAATCCTGCGACTGTTATTTTAATTATTGCTATTGTCTTTCAATTTCTGCCTTCTACTACTACAATTGCACCTACTATTGCAACTTTATGTAATCCTTTATTTGCTACTCCTAAAGACTGCTCTCAGGAGTGTCCATGTATTTTGTTGGGTTTAGTTTGATTTCCTCCAACACACCCTGATAATCGGCTATCAATTCCCGAGTTAAATTATTTTGCAATTCCTTCAGTTTGTTTTCAGGCCCCCTTTTCGGCTTCTGACTCTTCATCTCTATAAAGTATTGAATCGATTGTTTTGGGGTTTTCACTGTGGAGATTTCCGATTTTGGAGATCTCATTTATTCCGTCTCCTCGTATTATTAACTGAGAGCCATCCTCATCGCCTGATCATCCAAATGGTGTCTAGACACAGTATTCCTTTGGTGGCCCAATGGAGTTGGAGCCTAACATTCCGTAATCTTTGGGGTCAGCGCTCTTTCCTTCGACTTTACCACTTTTATGGTGTGTTCCTCGTCCTTCGTCTGAATATTTTCTATCTATCTCTTGATGAGAGTTATTTGCTCTCTGACTAATTTGTTGTCATTCTCCTAAAGCACACTTTCAATTCCTATCAGAGCCAATAAGGTTATAGTCTGTTATGAACTCTAATTAGATAAAGTATGCATGAATTGTTAAATGAGACTTTGCCGAATGCTCATTTTGAAATAAATATATTTAAATTATCTGTTAATTATTAACAAGAAGACAAACAAAAAGGACACCCTTCCAAAGAATTGAACTATCACTCCTTCTCTCCAAAACCACTCTCATTCTGAGACAAACCGTCTTGATAATACACCTCCAACCCTCCTCTAAAATTAATCTAAACTCTTGTCTTTAAATTTATTATTCCCCACTTTTTTAATTAATTAAAATATACTAGTGAAACAATCTATACTTTTATAATTGCAAATTGAAATACATAGTATGTCATCATCCAAATGATCTCTAGTCTAAATATAAATTAAAATATGTACGAAAATAAGAGATTAGTAAATTATATAAAAGGATGAAAAATAAAAATGATAAAATTTTAAATAAAGAAATAAATTATTTCAATAATCTTTCATAAATGTACTTTAATCTGGATACTGAATTATCAATATATAAGCACTTTAATTAGTCTTAAGGAATATCGATAGGGAATCAATTATTGAAATATTAAGATAAAATAGATAATCAAATTATTGAAAATCTGGATCTTTTGGTTGAACGAGGATCAGTTTAAATAGTAAGCACATTGCCTACAACTTATTTCGGTTGATTTCTTTGCGTAGATATTTCACCAACATCAATGTATTAATCTTCCTAGTTCTGCTTTTATACATTAAATGTGTTTTGATGCCTACTTGTCCTGTTTTACATTGTTTCTTGCTCAGTACATAGTTTAGATTTTCGAAATGATTGTTTGATGTCTGAAATTGATATATTTTTATTAAGTATAGATTTCTTCACTGGTTTGAATTCTAATAGTTTCCAAAATTAAATTTTCTCTACAATTAACAACCCTTTGACTATCATTGCAATTAGCCACAACAATATGAGAATAATAATCACGGAAAAGATGACAAACAAAATTAAGAAAGATTTGGAATCTAGAAAGTTTTTCCGATCAGTAATTTAATTAGCTTCTGATCTAAATTACAATAAAGTTCATACAATCGAATTCCAAGTAAGATTACTACGACTATCATCACAATCAAAAAGACCAATAAACAAAATAAAGGTAGTTTATCCTTACTTTGCGACCATGCTGTTTTCTAAAGATGAATGATGTAAATACAGGAGCGAATATTTTTTCGATTTTGAGTTCCATTTAATATGTATCAGAACAGATTTCACATTTCGCTTAATGAAGTTTATTTCTATATTTTTTGATAATTTGTTTTTTCAAACAATATTCATGCACATATTTTTGAGATCTAATACATTTACACACACGAATTAGAGGATTGTCTTTATATTCTGAAAACTCACAAATTCGACAGATGCAACCCACACTCTTAAAGGAATCTACATTAATTTAAATATAGATCAACTTCTCGCATAGATATCCTTTTGAAATATAAGCTACTGTTGGCTATCTTGCTTTTGAAGAGTCGAGTCAATGATTTTTGATGATTCAGGAATTTCATTAATGATAATCTCTAATAGATAATGTTTAGTTTTACAATCGTTACATTCATTTGCTTTTTGAGCGTACTTTTACTGAATAATTGATATGATGTCTAAAGGAGCAACCTAAGATTCAGAGATTTAAATTTTTTCTTATTTGAAAACATTTTCGGCTTTATTCATAATTATAAACTTATAATTAATTACAATCATAATAACAACAAAAACCTGACAATAATTTGATGCAGACAATAAACGAACAATTTGGTTATTCGAGAATACTGTGAATTGATTGTAGGTTTTGGTTCCTCCTTTCGAAAAATCGATTATTTGGATTTCAAAAGATATATATAAATCAACTTCTAAATCAATGTAATATTTTGATAATTTCAATGTTCAACAACACCCACCAGTTTTCTTCTTTTCCTCGTAAGGCTAATACTCCTGTTGCTACTCCAAGTTAGTAATGTTTTAATTTCCATGAGAATAATTGACTTGCTCGCTGCCTAGTTTGATTCCAAAGTTTTCATTCTTGGGGTCAATTTATCCTAGGTTGATTTTCTCTAATATTATTTAGGCCATCTTAATAAATATCTCCTCCACATTATTTGCGGTCTTTGCACTGGTTTCAAAAAATTCAATTCCACATTCCTTTGCAAATTATTGTGCCTCATTGTATGAAATTTATCGACTTCATATTAAATACGATAATTACTCGGATTCCAAATCACCTTTATTACCAACTAAGAGCATAGACAATTTAGGATTTCCATTCTATTTCACCTCCTCCATCCACCTAGCCACATTTTCATAGCTTTCCCTTTTTGTAATGTCGTAAACCACAATAGCACCTGCAGCAGATCTATAATATGATCGAGTAATGGATCTAAAGGATTCTTGCCCAGCCTAACATAACTTAATAAGGATACAGTGTCCCATATCTGCAACTTAATATTCAACCCGTCTAATTCGATTAGTTTTGCTCCAAATTCTACACCAATAGTCACCTCATGTTTTTGTCTGAATCTTTTGTCAATGAACTACAACAGAAGGCAAGATTTTCCAACTCCTAAGCAATTAACTGATTTTCAATACCCGTGTCGCCAATAAGAATGAATTTGAATAGATAGCTATATGACATTCTGTATTATTTATTTTAAAATAAAATATAGAGAAAAAGTTATCAAAACAAAGCTTAAGCCCTTGAAATTGTATCAGATACCTTAACTGCAATTCGCCCAATTAAATTTAGGAGGAAACGGGAAGAAATTAGTTCTATGAATTACATTATAAGTTTAGGAGAACTTGGCTAATTAGTTTGTTTTTCTTGTTTCATTATAAAAGAGTGTTATGGAAATTACATTAATATTACACTAATTTATGTGATAATCTATGTGATTATCAGAATTGAAAATTTTAAATTATATTATTTATTTATTAAAAATGAATGAGTATTCGCATTTGACTCTACCCTTTCACTTTAATTCTGAAATCAAATAGGTCGATCTATAAACATTTTAATTCCCAACTGGGAAGACAAAACCCCTTGATTTACAAGTGATGAATTCTGAAAAGGGAAAGTTTATTTTGAAAAAAATGAATCAGACTAACATCATTTTCAGAATGCGAAAATTTTAACACAAGAGCGATCCAAATATTGTTATTTACAAATTGGAACACGAGAGCGAAATCAATGAGACTTATGATTCTTAGTATTACTTTCAAGACTTCTATTTTGAAGGTGAAAATGATTAAAACATCCTAAACCAATTTAAAAGTAATTGTTCCTGCCATTCAAATTAGAATACATACAATGTAAACCTTATCAACTGGAAAAGCAGCACGTTCCAAGAGACATTGCTAAACCATTCTGTTGGAGGGGTTCCAATTTCAAGATAAATTTGATGAAAAAGTATGTGAAGAGAAACAAAGTCGAGAAGAAAAATTTTATTACTCCCTTGAAATTTGGAGAAGTCCACTCCAATTTGGACGAGATCTACCAAGAAACTGATCCCACCTTAAATCAACTATTCCAGAAAAAACCAATATGGCTCAAGAAACAATTAATAAAAGAGTTAAAATAATTTTAGTAATACGAAGAAAAGTTAGGCCAAATGGTTTATTACTACTATAATGGACCGTGGGCGAAATGCTATGTCTTAAAGTAATTCAATCCCCAATTGAATTCAATCGCAGCAAAATATCAAACAATAAACATTAAGAACAATTAAAATGAGGACTCCAATAGTGAGGATTAAGATTACCCACAGAAATGCTTCACCTTATTATAACTGTGCGATTTATAAGACAAGGACATCGATAAAATGATATAAGAGGCAATCAACAAAGGGAAACAAAACTCACCTAATTCAAAGGATTTTGAGAAGTATGGATGGTTTGAAAAATAACAGATGAAGATAATAGTTCGAAAAATTAAAAGTTTGAGATAACATCAGAGCAAATAATGAACGGATTTTAATTTAAGGATTATGAAATTATTAAGTTCTAAACAAAATTTTTGTCATCATATAATAAAAATATAATTCAATAATGGAGGACCTCAAAAAACAATACAGCAAGATAAATAATGAATTAAGAGAACAGATCATTCACCAGATCTTAAATGAAAAGAAGTCTATAGCAGATGTAATTCTACTTTGTCTATTGTGATAGGTTGCCCAAGAACATAATATATTGCAATCCACTTGTAAGTCCATTATTAATACTTACATGAGAGAGGGGAGAGTAGGCAAGAAGGAGAGCAGAGTGAGAAAACTTAAAAAAATAATCCGTATTTATGATATTGTCTTAAATCCTGTTCAGCCGTAAATGTCAACTTACCTCTATTGTCAAAAGACAGAGAATTGCATTGAGAAATCGATCAAGAGTCAGAAGGAGGAAAATGAATAACAAGAAATTTAAGAAAATGAGAATAATAATAATTTTATGATGCTTTCATTTTGGTGCGAATAAATCAAGAATCAACTCACATCGTTTGCATAATCAAATTATGCTTTTTAAACATTCACTTAACCTTATTAGAAATGACTTAAATAAAATAATTTTATTTAAAATTTAGATCTTACTAATTAATTACAATTTCTAATTATTTATTTACAAAATAATTATATACATTTTTATATTTGGGTGAATTATGTAAACATCCATCATTATTTGAATTCAGGTTATCTTATTAATTATTGCTTATGGAAACTAAAAAATTCATTTGTTGACCTTATTGACTCATTTCAATAAAATTTCACTTGAATTATTCTATAGGGATTATATATCAATATAAGCATTTAACAAACTAAAATGTCGGCTTTTATAGGTAAATGCTTTTCAATAATCTTCTTAATGATTCAAATAAAAAAACCTTATACTATGGGGGATTATGTAATAAATTTAAATAAATTACAATAAATTTAAAATTATAGAATAACAATTAGAATAAAGAGTAATGAATCTTGTCAAATAGAATTCACAATGTTTCTAAAATGAAGATTGTGTATTGATGTTCTTAAGTAAAGATTTTTGTGAAAATAAGATTGTTAACATGATATTTATTTTTGGAAAATAATAACACTCTATAAAGAATGAACTAATTTAGACTGATGAGTTTTTGGTTTAAATGAAGGAATATTAAATTTATATCATATTGTTCATTTTTCTTTTTCTATCTTTTTTTCTCCGTTTTATAAGCTTAGCTATTAAATTTACCTAAGGATTGGAAGTGTTATGTAATTGACAAATTGTATTTTCTTGTTTTAGATGGTTCTTTGAGGTAGCATGTATGTTAAACTAAATGTTTAGTTATTTTTAATAAAATTAATTAGCAAATAATTTGAAGGTATTTGTATCTATGGGTCATAGTATAGAGGATGGCAGTTCTAATTTTGAAAATGGGAAATTATAATTATTATGATGTTTTGAAAGACAATAAATTAAATAATATATATACTCAAAAAAAAGATAACTGAAGGATGGCTACAGCTTTAGTTTCTGCAGGACAATCTATAAGTAAATTGATCTTATTCAAAGGTGTAGTTGGAACCTATGTGTAACAAGATATAGAGACAAGATTACAGCAAGATGTGTATAAGAAGCAAATCAGAGTCAGAGAATTCTTTACTGATTTCGATCGATTGAGAAAGGGCTGGGTGACAGAAGACAAGGTATTATTGAGTGATTCACCTTTAGTTTCGCTCTGCATTATCTATGATTAATTTTCATTTTACGAAGGAGGATATCGAGGAAATCATTAGGAGATACAAACTAAACGATGGCCTAGTACAATACACAACGTTTTGTAACAAACTTGAGGAGCAATTTCTGAACAATGAAGCGAAGGCTTAAGTATTTCAAGCTCCCCAAGTATTGATTTGATATAATTAGATTTTCAACTAAGATGAAGAGGACACTGTAAAAAGATTGATGTTGGCTATTAAAAGAAAGATAGCAACAAAGAGAATATTCTTAAAATAGCCATTTTAAGATTTTGATAGAACTGCATGTTCCCATATTACCATTGATCAATTTTCAAGAGTGTTGAATTAATTAGGATTATTGCCAAAAGACCAATATTTACAATTACTTATAAGACAATACATCGACAATGGAAATCCGAAGGAAGTTAATTACGTAAAGTTTTGTGACGATGTTGACAATGTGTAAGAAATGCTCAGCGGAGTTATCACAGGAATCAAATAGAATCCAAAAGATGTAAAAATGATTAATAATTGTATTAGGTCCACCCTGATGATGACTTCATTGAAGACAAGGAGGGATTAGATTTGATATCGACCTTGTTCACATCAAAAAAGTTGACAGATAATATCAACACATTGCATCAAGTATTGAAGAAGATCTAAGGAGATGTTGTAATGAAGAGAATCAGAATAAGAGAGTTCTTTAAAGATTTTGATCCTTTGAGAAAAGGATTGGTGACTGAATCTTAAGTATACCATCTAATAAATTGGTTTAGTTTGCTAGAATTTTGCATCTCCAGAACATCCCTGTATCGGAAAAAGAAATATAGATATTGCTGAGTCAATACAAAGTTGATAAGATTCCAAATGGATAAGTGGATTACAATCAATTTTGTGAGGATGTTGATAAAATATTCACCATCAAGGGCATAGATAAGGAACCACAGGCACAAGTTCCTTAAATTGATGACTCGACTACTTTACCTGCCAGAAGAAGATATCTACAGATGACAGAATAGGAGGCAATTTAATTGGATGAGTTGCTTATGAAATACAAATAGGCCATTCAAAATAAGAGAGTGCTATTAAAACCGGTGTTTGAAGATTTTGATAAAACGAAATAAGGTTACATCACAACTAATCAATTTCTAAGAATCCTGAATCAATTCAATCTATTTCCAGACCCAGTTTCATTAAATCTATTGTTGAAGAGATTTGTAGATAAGGCAAATTTAAATGAAGTCAATTACTATGACTTTTGTAGAATTGTAGATTAATCAGATGAAGGAGTAGCCATTAGTAGATCACATGCGGATGCATTCAAGAATTATGTGAAATCGGATAATTAGAGTCAAGCCTTCATTAGAAATGATTAACCAAATGATTTTGAAGATTTGATGGCCAAATTGAGGAGAATTGTCAAAGAATAAAGATAGAGAATTGCTGAATTCCTAAGAGACTTTGATAAATTGAGAAGTGGCACCATCACAGTGACTCAACTCAGAAAAGGATTGAGTATGGCAAAGATCCTCTTGTCAGATGCAGAATTCTAATTGATTCTTAACAATTTTGGTTGTAAAGATAAGCAAGGATTTGTTTAATGGAAGGAATTCACTGATTAGGTAGATTAAGTATTCACTACAAAAAATTTGGAAAAGGTAAGTCCATCGGAAGATGTGCCTTTAATGTCTACTCAATATAATTATGGTAGAGTGTCAATCACTGAAAGAGACAGACAAGTAGCTGAAGTAGTGAAAAAGAAGTTTTAATATTTTTGTAAGGCTACCAGACTAGATATCAAATAATTCTTTTAAGATTGGGACAAATTAGGAAGAAATAAAGTGTCTCCCAAATAATTTAGATAGACATTAGCTACAGTAAACTTTATATTGTCAGATGAAGAATTTTAAGCAGTCGTCAAGATCTATGCTGCAGAAGATGACGGAGATATTAGATATGTTCAATTCATAAATGATACCTAACCGCCATTGGAAATTCAAACTGAGTCTGGAGCATCTCAAGCGTATGTTGGAGTTAAGCCCAAAGAGAAAGAAAAAGTACATACTTCCATTTAATATTAGTTATAACCTTCAGTTTTATTGGAATAGATAAAGGTGGCTGTCAAAGTGAAGAGATTGAGATTGGGAGATTATTTCAAGGACTTCGACCCTTTGAGGAAGGGATTGATGCCGACAAATAAATTCAGGGGAGTCCTAAGCCAGATGAAGATCGATTTAGATTAAGAAAGTTTGGATCTACTAGAAACCATGTATGTTGTTCCTGAGGATCCCATCAGAGTCAATTATGCAAAGTTTATAGATGACGTAGAAATCGTATTTACCAAAACAGTAATTTATCTATTTTACATCTTATTAGGGATTAGATAAGGATCCATTGATGAAACCACCTGTTCATATCATCCCCACCTTCCTTGATCCTAGAGATGCTTTGACTCAAGATGAGGAGGAGGCCTTACATGCAATTATGTTAAGACTTGGTGAAGTCGTTAGAAAGCATAGGATTTTGCTTAAGCCTCACTTTCAAGACAAGGTATAGAATCTATATGAGACTTGTTTAGGATAAAACTAAATCAGGCAAAATCACTTTTACTAGATTTAGATCCATTATGGACTTTCACAAATTACCCTTAACTGATGATCAATTCAGAGTAATTTGCAAAAGGTTTATTAATTGTTTATATTATTTTAGATTCGCATATTAAGGCATAGAATTTAATTATGTTGAGTTTGATGAGATTTTAAAAAAGTATGAGAACTTTTATCAATGAATTATAAATCAAATTAAATATATTATAATATCTATTTGCACCCTCAATTCAATTTTTAAATTAAATGCATTTAGGATGCACTGGCATATTGAAGTCTGAGAAATGAATTTTTTCAACTTAATAACATTAATATTAAATTATAATATGAGTATTGGCATAATCAAGGCCAAATATGCACTTTCCAATCCCATGTCCAATAGTGTTCCTGGTGCTATGCCCATACTACTCACACTTCAGAATCACGAAAATGATAGTACGACTATGAAAATAACTAATTTTGCTAGAAAATTCGAATGAACCTAAGCTAAGCGACTCCATTTTTATTCCTTTCATTAATGAAAGAGACAGAATGAATAGGCTATTTTAAGCAGATAAATACTCGACTCCAAGAAAATAAAACATATAGTAAGTGCAGGAGACTGCCAACGAAAAATGGATATAAAATGATCCCATGAAGTTGAAATTGCCACCCAAAAAACTCTCCCTAGAAGATCGCCATCTCAGTAATCTTTAATATTTAACTAGGTAAGTATAGAAGTAGATCGAATGCTGAATTGCGAATGAAGGTCATTTAGGCAACCACTGAAAGATAACACCTATTGCTCTCTTAGGACCTATCTATCCAACCTTAATTCGAGGAGTATAAGAAAGCAGCCTATGAGAATATCTTAAATCGAAAGAAATAAATTCACTAATCTCCACAATCAATGGCCAAGAATTAAAGTTCTGAAAATTTCTAGTTATTTGCAGCATCAGCCCTTGATAAATTCAAATAAACAAGATCTCCTTCTGTTATTTTAGTTAAAAAATAAATCTAGCAAACTACCTCCAAACATAAGCACCTGCTGAATTTTAAATTACCTTAGCTTATTTAAAAAGAGTACATCAAATAGTTTTTGGATAACAATCAAAAAATTAAAGATTTAATATAAGAACAAAATGATGAAAAATTTAAATTTCCCACAGATTTCGAACCTAAAATAGTAGAAATGAAAAAATAATTAAAAAAAATGAAAAGCAGACTTAAAAACTGGGATACAGAAAGATAAGTGACAGATAATAAAGTATTTTTAAAAGAAATTGCAACTGGCCTATTAAATAAATGATTTATTAATGTTTCCTAAATATTGTGTTTTTCATATTAAGTTTTAATATCAATTTTAAATAAGCAATTTGAAACTTAAAAAGAAAACAAAATTAAATACTATCATACCATTTGCTTTTAAAAATTGAATCTATGCTTCGAATTTTTCTACAATAAATCTAGCAATTACGATGCAGATGATTAATCATCCTCGTATGATAGAGAAGAATCAAGCGAAGTTGCATTACTCTCAAACTAAATAAGATAACTATGGATAATGTTACTCTCTCATCAGTCAATGATGATATAGTCTCTTAAACTGGCGAAATTTGATTGAAAAGATGCTGAAATTTCGGATTGCTATATTAATGAACCCTGGGTTGATTGTTTAATCGTTCCTTTAAAATCAGACCTTGCAAGGCATCATATCGTTTTACAAGCATTTGCTTAGTCTTGTTTAGGTCCTTTATTTCTTTAATCAAAAAAGCGTTTTCTTAGTTATACTTTTGGAGTTCAATTTACAGCTTTTTCTTTTCATCCTGAATCGCTTTATTGTTGACTCTGAAAGACGAAAAGTTTTGCTAAGCTTATAGACATCATTGATTACTGGAGTTGTTTAACAAAAGTATTGCATCTATCTATCTAGGAAAACCAGAAACTCATTTTAATTTGCTTATTTCACTAAACATTAATCAAACAACTAAATTTATGCCATTTCATGAATATTGTGTTAAGAAGTACTTCGGTGCTTCATCCCTCCAAATTATTAAGCCTAATTGATATCCATTTTTATATTGGTTGACATTGATTTTGGTAAAGTGTCTTAGTTTGATCGTTGCTTTCTTAATTCTACCATCAGCTCATAACTAAAATTATACTTGCGTAATTGATTCCACTTGATTTTGGAGTTGTTGAATTCATAATTTAAATTATTTTTAACTATATTATTAAAAATTAAAATTATATTTCATAAATTATTCTTCTACCTGATATCATGCTTGTAATTCAATTATATTAGTATCCTAATGATTAAGAAACTAACCTTATAATAATTATGTAAGTCATACCTTACAGGATAATATTTTTTCACGTTTAAACCGTATTCGATAATAATGGAAAGAAATAATCACAAAATATTTAAAGAAGTAAAATATGATAATTCTTTTGTATTTCTACGTAATGCTTTTACATCGAAGTTAGAAACGAATTATTTAAAATTAATTAAGGTATTATCTTATGACTTTAAATTTTTATTTACAATTATTTATTCTAAATAATTATTTTTATTGAGTATGTTGAAAATTAAAATAAAATAAATAAAATAAGAGATTAGGACAATTTAATTTTATAAATTAAAAAACCTTTTAAAAAGTAGAAGACTGAGTAAAATGACATTGAAACAGAGGACTGGATATTCTACCCACTTACTTTAATTGGATTATTTAATCAAAGTGGTTTCATAAAAATTATATTATTTGTAATCGTAAAGTAGAAATTAAGTTCTAAAAATAGTTATAACTATTTTGTTTTAGATCTAAGGGTTGATAATTGAATTCATTAAAGTTAAACAATTATTTTTGACACACAAATAATTATCTAAAATCTTTAAGCCAAAAGAAAAGTAAGTGTAAAATGAATGTGGAATAATTCTATAGATATCGAAAATTGGTAAACTTTCTATTCATGATGCTTACCATATAAACATAACTTAAATTTGAAACATATAAAATAAATGAATATTCAACTTGAGAAGAAATAGAAAATAATCTTTGCGTTAATTGTGAATTTAAATTATTTTTTGTCCATTTAAACCAAGAGGATTGGATAAAACTTAAGAGTTTCTAGAAGTAATCAGGTACCAACATCGTAACCCATATAGAATTAAGGGAAAGAACACAGCAACGACGAAGAATTCTCACATGAGAAATTTATTTAAAACAACCGTTTTATGTGATAGACAGATGGTTGAAGATTAAATTTGTGTAGTTCTAGAGTGTAGAAGACTTAAGTGAGAGAAGGACGTAATAATGAATTTAATTACTATGAGGAATAAGAAAATAGGCTGATCATAATTTATTAAATTAAATTGATCAAATATTAAAAAAATAAAATTTTTATTACTTTTTTTGTAAAATCAACGTTTTAAAAATTCCACTTCAAACTTTGTTTTAAAGTAGGGTATGACGCATTTTTCATTGTTTAACATAAGATTACAGTTGTACAGGGTGTTTCATAATGATTTCATGCGATCAAGGTGCAAATCAAGAAAAATAATTTACCTTTTGAGGTGCTATGGTAGGGGAAATTTTGAAATTAATTGATGTTTAAAATAAACTACTGGGAATAGATGGGCAGAATTGGCCATTTGATAATTATAGGCCTACAATGTCATTATCCAAAAAAATCACAAATAAACCAATGAAATTAACGAAATTTTAATATTTCGAATTTAAAGCTTATAACAAAAATTATTAATAATAAAAATAAGAAAACATAAATAAGATGGCAAAAGGAGCAACAAAAGGAAACAAGGGAGCCAAGAAGGCTGGAACACCAAGTCAATTATTTAATTTATTGTAGAAGCTACAAAGAATGTTAAGAAAGTCACTAAAAAGCCCACTGATGCAACTCCAGTAGCAGCCCCAGTGACAACAACACCAGTTGCACCAACCACCTCAACACCAGTTGCTGCATCCACCCCCAAAAAATAAGGAAAAGCAACAAAAACTAAGAAAGCTACTAAAAAAGCCACAAAGAAGGCTCCCAAGAAGGATAGCAAGAAATAAGCCAAGAAATGATTAGTTATTCAAGAATTAATCTATTAATTAGATATCATTATATTTTTTTTTACACGTCTGCAGAATTGGATTAAATAAATATACAAAAGAAATAATTTTATCAACATCAAATAGATTTATAATCACTGATTTTAATAACTCTCTTTTTTTTCTATTCCTGCCTCTAAACTGACCAATAGAATCAAATAAAGCTGTATTTATGAACTTCATTCTTCATGTTATTATTTTAGTTTACAATAAGATAATCCCTTAGTTATATATAAATAAAATTTATTTTATTTCTTAAGTAAGTAACAATATACTAAGAGGTTCTTAAAAGAAAGATTAAAGTAATAGGCATAAGAATGTTAGCACTTTGTCTAATGACTAAATGCGACTATGAATGGCATATAGCTTAGTAATAGAGATGAAAAAATAACATATTAAGTATTATTATAAATTCAAAAAAGATTAAAAGGATAGTAGCAAAGGAAGGTATTTTTCTACATAATTCAGGTTATATTTTTTTTATTGCAATTGATTACATTACAACAATTATTAAATTATTGTTATATTCTAATATTATACTAATAAAGAAATATGAAAAAAGAGTCAAAATATTAGTTATGTTTACAAAGATATTAACTAATTAGTAAAAATTTAATAGTTATTATGCTTAAAAGAGATCGTTTATTTATGATAAGAAATGCTTTTTAATATATATAGAATAGGATACTTATTTCTACTTTCTAAATGGATTTGATTTCTAAGTTATTTTATCATTTCCATCTCATCCAATTCCAGTTTTGATATTCTAATAAATAATTATTTATAATGATAATTATTATGTCTTAAAACTTAAAATTCTAAAATTAATCTCTTCAAACAGTAAAAAATCTTAGTTGCTTGTAATATTTCATTCGAAAGCTATGAATTCTTATAATAGTATTCATAAAAATCTTTAATCACATTAATTTAATTCAATATAATTTATTTAATGAACTAAGAAACAATATCTATTTAATCTTCACAGTCAGCTGAGACCAAAGGTTATTTTGATATGGCAGATAAAATAGAAAGAAATTATTCTTTCGATCAAAGAATAGTTTTGAAATTGGTTTCTGAAAATTCTGACATTTTCTTTATAACTCAAGAGGTTCCATATAATATATCATAAATAATGAATAAAACTTACTTAATTGAGAATCAACCAATAATAGGTGCCGGGAGCTTTGGAACTGTTTTCATATGCTGGCATATGATTGCAAAATTTTATTGTGCTGTAAAAGTGCATTAAAGATGCTAAGCTGAGGAGATTCTACAGCAAGTTAATGAATACAAGATTTAGAAATTATTAAACCAGAAATTTTCTAATAGTTTTTTAGTATTAACTGATAGAGTATACATTATATAGGAATCCATAAATTATTTTACTACTTATGCAGGAATGGAAATTGCATTAGCAACTTTATCTGAATACACAGCCAATGTTGATATCCAATATGATGAATTTCTAAACATTTATCATTCAATCCTAAAACAAATATTGGAAATGCATTCCTTAAGAATAGCTCATCGAGATATTAAATAAGCAAACATAATGTATACTCATTAAAAGGGATGGATGCTTACTGATTTCGGCTGTGCAAAATTTTATTAAAACTAAAAAGAAAAGCATATAATTTAGGGTACTAAATAGTATTTGCCACCAAATTTACGAGGATTATTGAAAAATAATTTTTAATAAATTGAGTGCGAGCAAAATCTTTTTGATAATGACATATACGCCTTCTTGCTCACAATGTTATAGATATACAAAAAGGGATCATCAATTTTACAGTTATAATAGATGTTGGATAATGAGAGCAAATTAAAACAATTGCCTTTGGAATTTCAAATTCATGGCAAGAGTTATAATTATATTAAATTGAATGTTCTTATTGGATTGAATAAAATACCATTGTAAAAATAGTTTGAATAGTAATAATTCAAACAATCCCATAATAGGTTAGAAGAATCACTTAGTAATTCAGATTATCTTATTGAATTAATTATCAAACAAAAAAAGCTATATAAGATTTCTGGCTCTCAAATTTGGTCATCTTATCATATAAGTCTAACACAGTAATAGAAAAGGTTATCTTCATTTGTTTATAATTCAAAGGCAACGGATGAAGTTAATCGAACGTTATTAAAATATGATTTATTATTATAAGATTAATTTCAAATAGTAGAAGATAAATCATTGCTTGAGATTAAGCCCAACATGAAACAATGGTAATATAGTTTGATATATATGTACTATGTTCGGTTGGGGAATGTTCAACAATTACTTAATGCTTGTTTAGAAATACAAAAGCACTCCTAAGAAACTTATATAAATTACAAATTATCTGAAATTGAGTGTTTAATTGAATTAAATCGATTCGAAGAGGCTCTTCAAATTTTGAAAGATGTAGCTAATGAATAATATTTGTTAGATGATATGTCATACGTGAGATTAGAATTTTATAGAATCTTCTTAGAAAAGAGCTGGCTAGAATCAGCAGCTGAAATTTCAAAATTTTATAAAATATTAAGCCAATATTAAATTAGCTTCCTTATTCTAAGAATTGCTTATAATTTTACTTGGATAATTCACCAATATGATATTAATTTAGATTATTATAAACCCTAGGATGCAGATTCCAGTTTTGAATCAATAATATTATATTTCGGGATTACCACAGCTGATCCTAAAGAAATTATAAGACAATTAGAGTAAAGAGGAGCAGATAAATTTGGAATCAAACAAATATTATTCGGTATAATTCAAAATATTAGACATTTTTCAATATTTCAAGGCTAGTTTTAAGTAGAGGAATATTTTGAAGCAGCCATCCAATTTGATTAATAACACAATCCCTTATAAGACTGGGAAATTTATTATTGCTATTCGAGTTATTGCTTAAAGAAGGAGTAATTTCAAAAGGCTTTATCTTTGATCAACATAGCAATGCAATTAGTTGATAAGGAGAATGAACTCTATGTTTTATAAGTATTATTTCTATAGATGATGTGCGAAATCAATCTTGATCAATGCACACAATATTAAAACACCATAATGCATGTCTTAATGATCGTAAATAAAATACAATCCTCGTAATGCAGATTATATATTATAAAGAGGCTAATAAAAANATACAAAAAGGGATCATCAATTTTACAGTTATAATAGATGTTGGATAATGAGAGCAAATTAAAACAATTGCCTTTGGAATTTCAAATTCATGGCAAGAGTTATAATTATATTAAATTGAATGTTCTTATTGGATTGAATAAAATACCATTGTAAAAATAGTTTGAATAGTAATAATTCAAACAATCCCATAATAGGTTAGAAGAATCACTTAGTAATTCAGATTATCTTATTGAATTAATTATCAAACAAAAAAAGCTATATAAGATTTCTGGCTCTCAAATTTGGTCATCTTATCATATAAGTCTAACACAGTAATAGAAAAGGTTATCTTCATTTGTTTATAATTCAAAGGCAACGGATGAAGTTAATCGAACGTTATTAAAATATGATTTATTATTATAAGATTAATTTCAAATAGTAGAAGATAAATCATTGCTTGAGATTAAGCCCAACATGAAACAATGGTAATATAGTTTGATATATATGTACTATGTTCGGTTGGGGAATGTTCAACAATTACTTAATGCTTGTTTAGAAATACAAAAGCACTCCTAAGAAACTTATATAAATTACAAATTATCTGAAATTGAGTGTTTAATTGAATTAAATCGATTCGAAGAGGCTCTTCAAATTTTGAAAGATGTAGCTAATGAATAATATTTGTTAGATGATATGTCATACGTGAGATTAGAATTTTATAGAATCTTCTTAGAAAAGAGCTGGCTAGAATCAGCAGCTGAAATTTCAAAATTTTATAAAATATTAAGCCAATATTAAATTAGCTTCCTTATTCTAAGAATTGCTTATAATTTTACTTGGATAATTCACCAATATGATATTAATTTAGATTATTATAAACCCTAGGATGCAGATTCCAGTTTTGAATCAATAATATTATATTTCGGGATTACCACAGCTGATCCTAAAGAAATTATAAGACAATTAGAGTAAAGAGGAGCAGATAAATTTGGAATCAAACAAATATTATTCGGTATAATTCAAAATATTAGACATTTTTCAATATTTCAAGGCTAGTTTTAAGTAGAGGAATATTTTGAAGCAGCCATCCAATTTGATTAATAACACAATCCCTTATAAGACTGGGAAATTTATTATTGCTATTCGAGTTATTGCTTAAAGAAGGAGTAATTTCAAAAGGCTTTATCTTTGATCAACATAGCAATGCAATTAGTTGATAAGGAGAATGAACTCTATGTTTTATAAGTATTATTTCTATAGATGATGTGCGAAATCAATCTTGATCAATGCACACAATATTAAAACACCATAATGCATGTCTTAATGATCGTAAATAAAATACAATCCTCGTAATGCAGATTATATATTATAAAGAGGCTAATAAAAATGTTGTATTTGATATTTATGAGGTAACAATATTTAAATCAGATCTCTATGATCATTCAATAGTATTTAAAGTTTGAAACCAATACTGATATTTTATTTATTTTGAATAAAATGGAATGGGAAACAGTTTTAACTTACAAGCATTCCTAAAGTCTCATTAGTTTATTCAACAGCAAAATGCTAAGCATATGTGAAAATACCAATAAAAATGATATAGACATGTTAAGATGCTTTTAAAATATAGCAATAATTTTAAGGCAGCAGGTTAATGTGGATAAAAGTCCTGAAATTCAAACATTAGCAGTCAACCAAGGAGCAAAGTTTATACAAAATATGATTATATTTGAAGACTTATTTGAGTTCAATCAAACTGAAACATTAAATATAGAAAATGAGATCGCTAGATTAGCAACTTTAAATAATAAGTTTAATTAAAAGAAAAAAATGAAAGAATCATTAGAACTATTGGAAGCGTATACCTTTTGGAATTATAAAATCTTTGCTTGATGAAATTATGATAAATTTATAGGCTAAATAATTAATTGATCTTTTCTTCTATATATTTATAATATTATCCAGTAAAGTGAATAATGTTAATATCAGAAATTTTAATTTAGAAAAACATTAATTAAATCCAGAATTTGGTTATAATATTACAAAAAGTTTATAAAAATTAATTCAATGAAATAGAGCATCGTCACCAACAGAGGAGTTTGTAAATTATTTTTCCCAAACCACAAAGGTTCCATTCTACCATTTGCCTTATTTTTCCACATTGTTTCTCCCAATATAGGTTCCATTACCATGTCTTTTTCCAGCTTTCCATTACCCTTTATAAATCTAAAATGCTATTTAACAACATATACTCTTCCATCGCCATAATAAAATGTGCCAAATCCATCTCTTAAATCGTTTAGGAATTCTCCAATATATTTTGAACCGTCATTCCAATGAAACTCCTTAAAGTAGTTTTAAATATTTTACTCCTTATCCATTCATTTTATTTTATTTCCAATACCCTATGTATTTAGTTCCATCCGAACATTTGTAGGTTCCAAAACCACAAAAGCAATTATCTGCAAACTCTCCCACATATTGAGAACCATTGGCGACAGTGTATACCCCTTAACCAAATTTCATGCCGTCAACATAATGTCCTTCAAAACTCGCTCCATCTGGCCATAGTTCCTTGCCCTAACCATTTTGTTTGTCGTTAATCCAGCCACCAACATAATATCCTCCGTTGGAAGTGGTCAATTTGCCCTATAATGGATTGTGGAATTTATTTACTTGTCCGTGGGCCTTGTCATCTAACCAATCCCCTTCGTAAACGTCTCCTTCCACATGAATGAGTCTTCCCTTTCCATTCTATTTATTATCCCTCCAGTATCCCTCATAATAGGAGCCATCCGACCAATATTAGATTCCTCGACCCCATTTTGCACTAAAATAGCCAAGGGTTATACTTATCCTTCCATTAACCTATATAAATATGATCAAGTTCATCCTGCACCGGTCCCCTAGTTATCAGGCCTGGTTCTAATTGGGATTCCTCATAAATAAATTCGGGTAGGCCTTGTCTCAACTAAAAAAGGGAATCAAATTTAAGGAATAAATGTACTGATTTTGTTAAATCGTCAAGCGTTTCTGGTACCTTTTCGATTGTTTTTAGATTTTAGGGTATGTTAGTTTCTTTAGAGATAGAGTTGAGCCCTTTTAAATCCACCAACTAAATTTCTTATCTGCTCTATTTGTTTGAGTAGCTGTATTCATTGGTCCCTGTGATGGCCACACTATTATGCTTATGATTTCTGTGCTTTTTCCTGATCAAATATCCTCGAACAAAGGCTTGAGCGATAAAAAGGGCGAATTACATTGAATCGTTAATGCAGCCTTGTTGGCATACTCTTCATCTAAGAGATCTTTGGTGACAATTTATTGCTAGTGACACTCCGTGATTGAGGATTAGCCGCAGCAATTACCCATTAAATTTTAATTATATATTTCTGTGCTAATAAACGTAAGATTGTAACATATTATATAAGCTAGATAATATATAGATTTATTTTTATAATTTATACATATAATAGATATCATTCGTTAAAGTAAACTCTAACCTCTGGGACATTCTTAAGGATCTGCTCGTCTTTAACAAAATTAATTACTAAATCCACGTAATCATGCTAACCATAATACTAATTGTGTACCTTGACATCCAGCAATTCAACAATTGGCTGAGTGAATATCGCTGAGCCCTTATGAAGGTCATGCATGTAGACGACTGAAGATTGCTTGAAAACATTGGTCGGTTCCAAATGATATGTTTGTTTCAAGTGCTAGAACAAAATCTGCAAGGTAATTTCTTTTCCCAACTTGACATCCCATCTATCCCACAAAGTGACATTCACTTCCTCGTTCAGTTTGATGGTTTCTGCCTTCATGGGCTCAGTCAATTGCACCATGGGCACAGCTAAATTGATGAACCCATTTTTCATGTTCTCAAGTTTGCATCTCTTTAAGATTTTGACTAATTCGATTGTCTACAGTCCTGACACTACAGCTGTCGTCGTGGCCAAGGCTGGGACTATTCTTCCAGCCTTCAATTTCACTGTGATCCAATCCATTTCATCGAGACCGTAATTCAACGCTCTCAGGTTTCCCAGAGAGTGAATGAAGTCGATGTGTCCATTCATATCGCAATCCTTCTCAAATTCCTACGAGAACAATTTAATTCTACAAATATTATATATTCAAATACCCTGCCTATCTCAAGCTCTACAATTGTGCCAATAACTTGTTGGGGTCATCGAAGATAGCATTTTCCTACTCCTCCTCTTGTTGTTTCTGGGCTTTGTTCTCCAACTTCAACACTTGCTCCTCGATCTCCTTCTTCTTAGAATCATTGGGTATCCATTCCTTGCTTGTCATCTTGTCGCCCAAGGTGGCCACATCTCGTCTGTTCTTCTCTTGTCTCCAGTCAGCAGGTGTGGGTAGATTGTATTGTTTGGCTCTAAGGAAAGCCATTGTGGATATGAATTAGACAACGATGAGATTTTCAATATCGTAATTCAAGCATTTTGGAGGTCTCTTGGGTAGTTTCCAAAATGGCTGTCCATCCTTGGTTTTGGCATCAACTGGATATGTGTACAGTAGTTATTTAATGTCGTTGATGAAGTACTTTTAAAACTTATTTTTGGCCCATTGAATACAATCTTCCAATTTGGTTGGTGCCTATTAGAGTAATTTGATAGTGGATTTCAATTGTTTGATCTCTTCTGGATTTTATGGATTGAATGATTGATTTTCTATTATGTTCTATGCTAGTTTTGGTTTTAAGGAGAATAGCTTGTTAAACTTGTCTCTGGCAAACTCAATGCAATGGAATGTTTCCTCAGGGAACATCTTCAAAGTGCAATAAGGAATTTCTCCCTCCTCCACTGGATCCTACATGCTGTTGTATGATTCTGTTTGGAATGGGATGATACACTACACATGGCCTTTGGGACCCAGAGTACCTGATTCCAACAATGGAATCTTGGCCTTGACACATCTGCGATCGACATATCTTCTTGCTTGGACATTATCAAGAGCATTGGCAACAAGCGATAATTGCTCAAAGAATTGATCATGGAAAATGTTCTCAGTTTGTTCATGAACCTTGTCCATTCTTGCAATCAATTTGCCTTTCAGTAATGGATTGATTTGAATTGCTGCTGCAGCTGCAGTCTAAGACTTCGGTTTGTGAATGTGCTTCTCTCTAAATAGGAATTACCTATTTAGATTGGAAGTTTCAATGTGATCAGGATCAGTTATAGTAATTTAGCCTTCGATACTTAAATTGATCATGGCGAAATTCTTAAGCAATTCACACCCTATAGCACCACATCCGACCATGAATAAATTGGTACTTTTAACCCTCTGATAAACATCTTCCCCCAATAGTAGAGTCAAAGCATCTTTTCCAGTCAATTAAAATTGATCGACTGCTTGGATCTAAGCCTATTAATCTCCTTTTTCATCCCAAATTTCAAATGGCAACACTTCGATGCAATCAAAATAATAGGCTTGATTGATGGGAGTAAACTTATTTGTGAGGGCTTTGATTATTTCTTATGACACAAATCCTCCTAAATAGGCAGCTAATGGAGGGAATGCTGGTAATGCAAAGGTCTTTTGGAACATTTTGAGATAGAATTCTAAATACTTAGCTTGTTTGGAATTCTACTGGATGAAATTGCCCTTATCAAATTTAATAACCGCATCAAGTAGATTGGCAATATCTCCGTTGGTGTATGATAGTGTTCTATAAGCCAAATGCATTAGACTTTGTTCTACAAGCTTGATGCTGTCACTCTCCTTCAAATTGGCATCTAAGCAGTCATCACCATTGATTACAACATCCAAAGATTTATTAGTACATGTAATAGTTTGTTTGACATGTCTAGCAATTCCACTTGAAAGATAAGGAGAATATTGAGAGATGTCATCCATAATCTTGAATTTCTTCATAGAAATAGTTTGGATCTTGAGGAGCTGATTGTTGATTGATTGTTCCCCTGCCTTCATGCCTTGGACTTCCAGGAATATAATGGAATCTCCATCTGCAAATTGAGATCTCTGACCATCCAATAATTCAACTACTCCATCTGCTGAGATCGATTTAATCAATACATCAGGAATGTCCTCTCCGTTCTTATCGATAACTTTGAATTCAGCCCCAAAGTCATTAATGATTCTTCCATAAACAGAATTGGCATTGGCGATGATAAGCTTAATCTAATGGGCTCTGCACAGATTATCCCAACAAATTAGTTCATTGTAATCATAGACATCTGTCAATATTGCAATATCGAATTGCTCTGTGGTTATGTACTATTGCACATCCTTCTCTATCACCTTGACCCTAACATAATTATTTAACTGCTGAATTTTATCGACACATGCCGCAGCTCTTGGTTTGCCAATATCCGATTAAGAAAGGAAGAACTACCCTACCAAGTCGTCCTGATTCACCACTTTGTTATCATAGATAGCGAAGACTCCAACTCCAGAAAGCACAACGTTTTTAGCAATCTCAACACCAAGGGATCCCACTCCAGAGAGTAATACTTTTGCATTTGCTTACTTCTTAACAGCATCAATTCCCATTGCTCCAATGTATCTGCTCCATCTATCTCTCACTTATTCATTACTCACATCAATCACCTACTCTTAAATGGTATTATCATATGTCACGTCGACTCCTTCTAAATTCAGTATGCCATCAGTGGCCTTTTGAACATTTGCTTAATTGTCCTATTGCTTCTTCTTTCTTCTTTGATTCAACTTTGGACTGATTTCCTTGATGCTCGGCTGTTACAAACTGTTGAGAGCTTTTTCAAGTTCAGCAGTTGCATCCTTGAGCATTTCCAAATACTAAGTCTTGGATTTCTTGAATACTGAACACCATTGACTATTGTGATCGCTCACCAATCCCATATACAAGGCTTGTCTTTGCTCAGCATATTGAACCCATTTCCTGACTTCCTCCATTATTTCTCCTTTCTTCAAATAGAAGTGTCTTCTTATAATGGTCTCAAATCCTGCAGGAGGATTCTTGATATTCTCAATCATAGCATATTGGATATTTCCGTATCTAACAATATTGGAATAGGCCTCATTCTTCATTTCGCCATCCTATTAGCCTGCTTCGCCTTCGAACCCTGGTTCATTGAAGTACACATCTTCCGACATGATAATTGCTTAGGTTGACACCAACACTTGCAAGATGGTGGACAATTTGGGATCCCAATTCTCAGATGCATGCCCTCTCCAAGTTCCCAATAGTGATAGACACACCTTACCACAGGCATACAAATTTGGATTGAATCTGATCTTTCCACTTCCAGTCGTAGATAAATTCATCTTAGGAGGAGTATTAGGGTATTAGTCTTCAAAGTAGATATCAAACAAATAGGCTCCGTGAGCATAAGGGGTTCCGGATGCTCCCATAATCAGTGCCTTTATTACATCCACTCTATCCTTATCAGCTCTAACAAATATGGAATTGGTATGTTCAACTGGTAGAGAATTGGACATATCAGCGAATTCCTGGGCTAAACGAATCAGTTTGGCTGGTGTTGGAGTAGGAGCCTAAGTAATTTGTTTGTCATAATAGTGTAGATATTGCTGGTTTTATCCTTTGAATGAAACATAGTCAAATCTCAAGTCCTTCAACAACAATCTGTAGGCTTCATTCAATGGCAATTTGAGTATCTCCTGCAACTCGTGTTCTTTTGCCTCTTCCTATTCATTGTCTGACTCATCACATTAAAATCTCTCTATTGCCTCTTGAACACTTGTATCTGTCTCAAGAATAATGGTAGCAATCTGCTTTGAGATCTAATCCTTCTCGGATAACTCGTTGGTTTGCAGACATGATAAGAAGATGTGGGCGATGTTCTTAAGATTGCTTAACAATTATGCTATAGATTCGATTTGTTTTGGTATGTAATTGGGAGGTATTTTTAATAATAATGGAGTGAGGTTCTTATGTTTGGCTAATGTTTTTGTTAATTGGAGATAACATAGATTGAGATCGAAGTCTTTTGACATTTCTAACAATGAACCTGATCTAAAAGCAGCTTCTAATAAGGATAACAATGCACTTTCAAATATCATTTCATTTATTATCTGTGATAATTCTTAATTTAAATGCCAATTATCATAATTGAAAAAGTTTCTAATAATCTCCAAAAGAGACTTCAATTACTCTGATCGAACCTTCTTTTTATCTAAATATTCCTGAGTATTCCACTTTTAGTTCTGTCCAGTCTGATCACTTCCGTAACCAACTCCTTGCTTCTTTTTTGGTTTTCTATCAACTGATTTATCCCCCTGTGCTTAAGGCTATTGCTATTATTGTTGTTGTTATGGTTCTTCTGCAATAACAGCCTAGTACACTCTTTTCTTTTCCTTACTGACAATAGCAATCTTATCCAATATCT